GCACCAAAGAAGAAATAATTTTAAGAACAATCCTGAACTTCCGCCGGACATGCTTGTGGTAAGGGAGACATGGCGCGAAATTGAACAATGAACAGGGCGGCTTGCCGGAATGCCCATTGCTTTTAATGATTCAAACAAAAGGAAAAAAAAGCAAAATGTAAACAAACTTATATCGTGCATTGGATGGCTATGAGGGGCTCAAAAAATATACTCAGACTGACAATGGCTTTTGACCAGAATTTGTGCCATCGATTTCCTACCCATTCATTCCCAAAGTAAAAGTTTCAATAGGCAATTAAGTCGCGTTGAGTCTTCGATGAAACTGAAACCCTCGAATTAAGTGGAGGCTTCTGTGGTTTTGTTTTAAAATTTGAAGCTCTTGTTTCTTTAAAGTAAAAACTACTCGATATTCAGGAAAGGACTAAATTGAGTTAATCTGACGCACTCACAGTTAACCAGACAATTGTATTGAGCAATTTGCTTTGAAAAGTTCAGTGTCACGTTTGAGACAATTATTCAATAGATAAATTATGACAGGGTAATGAGTTAGAATTTCCGTCGGGATTGTAAGCCAACTAACTTGACGTAATCCTAGAAAATCTGCAGCCTGGAAACAGTTTTTTTTTAGAACGAGACAAAGTGGAACTCAAAATTATGGTTGGAAACGCTAAGTCGTTACCAAATGGTAATATGTATTTAAGGGAACATTCATTCGCCGCTTCATTCTGACAATCTTGAACTTACCAAGTCTTCCTTCGGCAGTATAAATCCTGGTATATTCTCAATACATTGCGGAAATAATCTCCTGCTCTTCACTGAACCAGACGCGGTGCCCTGAGAAAGCAAGCGCTCTCCTACGACAAAATGTCAGCTTTCGTGACGAGCTGAACCAGGAATTTCCACTCTGCTTTGTGACAGCAATAAAAGGACTATTTGTTCCAAGGAAGTCAAAACAATCTTCGAAGAATGTCATAACAAAAACAAACAAAACCATCACACTCTTGCACATGCTGCGCGTTCCTGGGTCCTGTGGGCGACAGCTGCTGTGAAATAAAAAGAAACAGTATTTACATTTCATCACAAGTTTATATGTCCAGCGACAGTTACACTGGTTTGCATCAAAGAACAATGCAAAGCGTTTTTTTTTTGAAGGCGTTGTTAGCAAACCTTCCAAATAAAGATTTAATCCTCTAAGCCAGATCAATTTTCAACCCTCAGCCGTCAGTTGGAAGTACAGGAAATGAAACGGTTGGCCATCTCTCCCATCCATACAGCAGTATCAAGTTCGATCACACGAAGTAGCATTAACTGTGATCTAGAAAAGCATTTAAGATGAATGCTCGCGTGATCTTCAATGATAAGCATGCTCTCCAATTCTATTATGGTTCATAAGATCTACGCACAGTGTTTAAACCGCTACGGATATGTCACTCTTCGCAGCTCTTAACTTCCTCAATCAATTGACCAAAATAAACAAAAGATCACTGGAACATCTCACTTAACACTTGAGTTCATACGCCAGGCACGCCGATTTGAATAAACACACAACAAAAAGAAGACGCATGTGCTCAGGAACTCAAGCAATAAGGCGAGGCGACGTAGGTCACTCGGTAGATCTGATTCTCTTTTTGCTCGTTTGTATCTTTTCTTGTCTACATGTTTTGATTTTTTATCATACATGCTGCATTTTCATTGCATTCGTTAGTATTATTCATTCTTCACTTAACTAAATTCGACTGCTAAATTTTTACAATCTTTTGGATTCCTTGACATTACAAAATTTAATATTCATATCTCGCTGTTAGCAAAGGAAGTAAAGAAACCCATTAGCTCGAGAAAATACAATTTTCCCTGAATTTGACCCTGTCTTTTCAGTCATTTACTGCCAGCTGACTCGAACTTAGTAAACTCGAAATAATTTTATATTCCTTAGGTTCAAATTTATCCTGAGATCTCCAACTTCAACTAGAAACGGCGTCAGTCGATAAACTTCGAAGTGTCAGAACATAGCTGATTAGCACGTCCCAATCTTTAATCAGGATTGACATAAACGTGATTTATGAAAACGCAATACGTTAAACTAAACTTTCCAAACTAAAAGTTTTTATCAAAAAGCTCTTCTAAAGTAAAGTGAATGTATGAGAATGACTGATGGCTGTGCAAGTGTGGTTAAACAAATAGTTATTTTTTTTTAAATTATTAACTGGATAGTTGAAATCCAACACCAATCCCCCGCTAACTCGAATCATTTTTTTTTCAGCTAACGCGAATAATTTTTTTTCCGTGAACTCGAATCGCTTTTCGTTCCCACTGGGAGTTCGAGTCAGCGGGTTCGTACATACCTGTGAATGCACGCTCGGAGTCGAAACAGCAAGCGGTGCAATGAGTGTAAGCACAAAAGATTTCTACCAACAATGACAAAAGTTAGTCCACATTTAATTTTTTGTGCCTTGTTCTTTTCTTATTCACCTTCCTGTCCATCCATCAATATTATTTAGCTAGAAACAGTGCGTTCTCTATGATTATCAAAATTTCTTGAGAAGAATCAAAACAAGATGTGCTTGCACGTTACAAAATTAAAGGAAATGCCAGTCAAAGTGCTATGACTATTTTCACACACTTTGATGACAGTCGCATTTAGGATTATGCTAACGGGAAATGTTTAAGGAACCCAGTTAGATTGCTGAATATTCGGTCGCACCACCTAATTAAAAGGCTAAATTACGATGACCTTTGCATTTTAGCACATTCCCTGCTAGTTTTATCTTATTTAGTATCTTCTCAAATAAAGACCCCTTTAACTAATTGAACAGGGTAGTCTTTCATATCTTGGGATCTGAAATTGTTAATGATCAGGCGCACTAAAGATCACAGTCCAACGATTACTTCCAACATTAGATCCTGCGCTGTATAAGTATCATAATATCGAGCTACCAGGATCCGTCAAGATCAGTGTTAGTTTTCACCGGTACGATAAAAACATTTATGTGCGACTCACAAATTTCTCCATGGACTTCAACTTGAGATAGCAACAAATCGAAGGCAAACGCTCAAAAGAAGGAAATATTGGAAACTGCAGTCAACAATAATGGTCTCTGGCAACACCAGTTCTAATCTTTAAGTTTGTGGCATGTAGCAGCGTCAAAAGGCCAAAGGTAAAGCTAATTTACAAGCTCTCAGATCTAAATCGTTCTTTCGCTGCAATCATAAGAATCCACGCTCCTTTTAATATTCTTTTCATTGTTGAGCAAATCGTCTTTTCACTTTGCTGCTTTTTATTCATCATGACTCGGCGATGAAATAAAATTTTCTACAGTGCAGAATTAGCTTGTCAAAACAACAAATTAAGTTTATCTGTAAAGTTATGGCAACTAACCTTTATTCCATTAAGAAAACTTGAAAATTGACTGCCTCAACATGCGAAGCTTGTAGTTCACTTCCACAGGGTGCCAAGATTTCTCCGTGAATTTGAAGCAGTTGACTCTAGATGTTTAGCTTTACAAACTTGATTGTTTTAGGATCCACAGAAGACGATTATCTGTTGACTTTGGTTCATCTTCGTTGCCATAAAAAGATAATTCATAACTCGACCAAACCGTCGCAACGACGTTTGCAAAACTTCAAAGGCAGTGAAAGAAGTTTGACGTCACAAGCGCTAATTTTGACGAAAATATGTGACGAAGTAAGTTTAAAGGCTTCTCCGCGCGCGTGCTCCGCGGTGAACATGAACATATCAGTTTCTACCGCGTTTGCATTGTTTTGGTCTCAGTTTTAGTAGCTCTTACTATGCTAATTATTCTGCCTCACATCATTTTTTCATTCCTCTGCGGTTTACCATCTGACACCTGAAAAAAGTGAGAGCGCGCGAAATTTCTCGCTGTTGCAGATTGTTGCAAGCTTCACATGGGTTTATGTCCACGTTCTATCAGTACAGCGGTCTCACAAAAATTGCACGAAAGCGAGGGTCACATTCAGTGCCACGTCGGCCATATTGACCGGTTAGAAGTGTCTTTCCTTGAAACTCTGATCGTATTTTTGTGGCAACTATGGTAAAGTCCATCCGTATTTAACCCTACAGATTTATACTTATACACATTTCATTTTGTTTTGTTTTGTTGGTTAGAGTTTTTTTGGTCGATGGTGCCTACTATTTGTGTGTTTTTGTTGCTCTCCTAATAACCCGAGTGACCCGTTTAGAATTCCTTACCGATTTTACTGACTTGTTTTATTTCTTTTGCATTTTTATGGAATCTGTAGCCTTTGAGACTAGATGTAAAGGTAAGTGACAAATAATACCCTTTATCTTTAGTCTTGTGTTCAATTTCCGTGTCATTGCGTAGGGTACACAAGCTTAATGAATCCGCGAGTGTCCAAGTAAGTTCTAGGGAATGTGCAGTAATTTATTTCTGAAATTTTCGGCCCCTGATCGTATTCCCTGGCTCTCTTGTTGCCATCTTGCCTTTTTAAAATAGATCTTAACAAGGTAAACTGGGGAAATAATGTGATAAGGTCTTATTCCTTAGAGCAAGTCGGTTGCAAGTTGTCTCGACAGCTTTACAGTAAATTGTCAGGATTGATAAAGCATAAAAATATGTAGAAAATACACCTTGGGTTCAGCTTTCAACATTGAGTGTTTCGATTACCAGAAAAATCCTATTCTCTTTTCAAGAGGGTTTGCATTGATTAAGATGATTCTTGACATATGATGGAGCTTAAAAGTTAGCAATTCTGCCCATCAGTGTTTGTCATGATCGGAAATCTATGTTCAGGGTCTTTGCTTTTACCAGCAGAAGTGATTGCTGCCATGCTACGTTCTAGTTTGTGCTTCTGTGATATGTCATGAGCAATTGCTACCCCTAAAAACACTATTTCAGAACATTTACATGTACAGTGTTTGCATAGTGCTATTTTTTTTATTGTTGTGTCTACATTGTGCCTCAGGTAACTTATGCTGTAAATGTATGGTGGTTATAAACAGGGCTCACTAGTTATCCTCTTGTTTACAGCGTAAGCTCTCTGCTCGGTCTGACCGAGTCAAGTGTGTGGATGTCCATCCAACTGAACCATGGATGCTGGCAAGTTTGTATAATGGTAATGTGCATGTGTGGAACTTTGAGTCACAGACATTGGTCAAGACATTTGAAGTTACTGACCTGCCAGGTATGAACTTTTGATACAGTAAATATAAATCCAGAATATTTTCTTTTCTTTGACTATGCTTATTTTTATTAGAAGTTACATAGACATCTGTTTTTGAGTAGATTAATTTTAAAAGGGCAGGGTGTGAAATTGCACGTAATACAGGCACCGATGTGACAAAATTTTTCACTTTGGCAATCAAATCCTGAAAATTAGTCGTCAAATTGGTGACTAGAATTCTTTATCATAACCTTACCTAGATATATAGTGAATTAAAAAGATTTCCAAAGATAAATCTGTGGCAAACTTCCTCGTTAAGTTTGTTACCAAAATGCAGCACATGCATCTTGATTGTTAAGTAGAAGCCATCTTGGATTTAGGAGAACTTGAATGTTGTATATCATCCATCCTAGTGTCCACTTTGTAGCATGTTAAGATGTTTTAATAATATACATGGAAAAATTACTCAGTTCTGATTGGTTAAGATAAATGCAGTGTTCATGTAATTCAGTGCAGAAGAGGGTTAATTCAGTGTAAAGAAAGTAACAAATCAGATATTCTGATTGGTCAATAATCAAAGAAACTCACAAACAGCCAATCAAATGTGAGCCTTGGATGTCCCAACAAAATTTGAAAATTTGAAAATTTGAGAGTGAAACAATGGCCGACGTTTTAGGTAGGTTTTCTTTCGCCACCACAGCTGATAAACAGCTCAAACTAGGAAAACACTTTAAAAAGCACTGCTTTTTTGTTGTTGGTTTGGAAAAAGTGGTGTTTAGAGAAGGGAATTGCCAAGGAAATTGAAAATTATGAAGTGACCCAGCTTAACACTTTGCTTGAGCAATCCAACGCTGAAATTAAAAACAAACATGGTTAAACCTCAGAAATGACGATTCCATTTCATCAAAAGTGATTCAGACACAGACTATACAATTTCTTGAACTGTTTAGCCAGACTTTGAACTTTTTTGTACCCTAAAGATGTGAAGATATCATTGCATATTATTGTCTTAATTGAATGCGGTTGTTCTGACTGAACGCAAGGTTTGAATAAATTATTTTTGCACTTGATGCTTAATTGTGTTAAGCTATCTTGTATTTTTTCATGTTTATTATTAACACATAATCACAAGATTTTTCTTGTGCAATTTGGAACAAATAAGCAGTTGTTAATTTTTTCAAAGACCCCAAATTGCACTCGCCCTACTGGCTCATACAATTATGTTAGTCTTTAAAAAAATTTACTCATGCTTATATATTCCAAATTGCACTCGAAATCATGTGATTACCGATACTAATTTTGGAGGGTCTATCTAGAATGCTGGCAGCGTAAAAAAAGGTTTTGTTTGTCTTTAAAAATTATAACTTTTTTATTGTTTGCTACCACTTTTTTTGCAGCGGCTGTCTGTCTCTGAAAGGTTTAATATACAATTTGTCAAGAAAGAATTGTAAAAATGAACATACAGCTTTATTTGCTCAGAAGAATTACCTTCTCAAGGCTTCTATAATATGTAACCCAGTTATACTGAATGTATTGTAATGTATTATTTGTTTGTTTTTTTTTTTTGCAGTACGTACTTCTAAATTTGTCCCAAGAAAAAATTGGGTGGTGACTGGATCTGTAAGTATATAATTTCATTTAGCTTCCTTCGCTTTTGAACTCTCCAGTAATTTTCTACAGTACTATTATTATGTTTTTTTTTTTATAATCTTTTTAAAATCACTTTTAAATATGATCCTAATGTTGTTTCCTAGCAAATGTTGTGTCATTCTGTGTTCTTTGCTTATATTGTACTTCTGAGTACTTCTTTCAATAACTAGTGATGCAACTATGATTTTTTGTAGGATGACATGATGCTGAGGGTTTTTAACTACAACACCCTGGAGAAGGTAATTCAGAGGGAAAAGAAGACAGAATACAGAGCAAAACGTGATTGCATGTTGATACATATACATTAAAAATTAAATTGTATAATCTACCATCCAAAACTGCATATCAAAGAATATTACGCTATTTATTTAAGGTGGCCTACATGTATAGTATGTACAGAGTGTATCTGTTCATCTACCTGTTTGAATTTTCTCCAATGCATTTTTTGTTCATGTAACAGAGCAATCCTTTTTACAGGTTCATGGCTTTGAAGCTCATTCCGATTACTTGCGCTCAATTGCTGTCCATCCAACTCAGCCATATGTTCTAACAAGCAGTGGTGAGTAGAAAAAGTTCCCTTGGTTCCCCCAGCAGTGCTCAGCTTGTAAACTCTCTTACTAATGTTTTGTTCATGCCAGATGAAGCATAAAAAAATAAATCAATTAGAGGATTTCTCGATAGGATATATGATAATGTTGTATTTTCAGGAGGGGCCTACAAAGGGATGTGGAGAAATACTCATCATTCTGATTTTGGAATTAAAAGGATTAAACATACCAGTTGAGCTGTAATTTTCCCTTTTGAAGTGAATTTTCTTTTAACCTTCTCCCTTGATCTAATCCCTAAAGTTGATGGAGGCATTTTGGAAGGAAGTGGATCATTCTCTCCTTTCTATTTTACTTTGCATTAAACCTTTCACTCCCAAGATCTAATTAATAATTCTCCTTACTATCTGCCATACAATTCTTATGATGTTAGTTCAGAGAATTTGGTATTGGATCAACTAATAATCCCATAATTGATATTCTTCTCTATTCTCATCATCTACCTGCTTGATATTGTTTTGATATTGTAAGGAGAAATTCTGCCTTGGTCACTTGTGGGAGTGAAAGGGTTACACCTGGATTGAACACTTTTTCTCAATTATTTTTCACTTGTATTATCCATGTACCTCCCTTGACGCATGTTTATTGGTTGTTTACAGATGTAAAGAGCTCCTGTTTTTGTTTTGGTTTTTTTCTTATACTTTTTCTTGCTCCTTTTCTCTCGTAGATGACATGTTGATCAAACTTTGGGACTGGGACAAGAAGTGGCAATGTAGTCAAGTGTTTGAAGGGCACACCCATTATGTGATGCAGATCGTCATCAATCCCAAGGATAATAACCAGTTTGCTAGTGCTTCTCTCGACCGAACAATCAAGGTAGGTGTACTGAATGCTGCTCAAAATGTTTTGAGGTGATTTCAAACTCCTAATTTTTTACTAAGATTGAGGACATAGCAATTAGTTGTTGCCTTTGTGAAAGGGTTATATTAACATAAAGAGGACACATGCAGTTAAAGTTAATGTCAGCAGAGTTTCCTTTCTATGCTGGTACACGCAGCTTTATTAACACATTTGCTTTGTTTTGTTACCACAGGTATGGCAGCTGGGTTCCAACACGCCAAACTTCACTCTGGAGGGTCATGAAAAGGTAGTGTAAGCAAGAATCAAATATATATTTACAGTGTATGTATTTTACTTTTACGTTCCTTTATTATTTAAATTGTATTTTGAATTTTACTCCTGCTGATTGTTGCAATTTGTATTATTACACATAAATTATGTACATGTCTATGTGTCTATCACGTTTTTAAAACTCTGCTTTTTGTTGTTTTAACAAACCATAAATTTCTCTTATCAGGGGGTAAATTGTGTGGACTATTTTCATGGAGGAGAGAAGCCCTATCTTATTTCTGGTGCTGATGACAGACTTGTGAAAATATGGGACTATCAGGTAAATATTTGTTGTCTTTTAATTCTTCTTTTCTGGGTGGTTTTACCATAACCTTTTACATGTACAATTGTATCCTAGCATCAAAATGCTTAAATCTTCATACTGTACTCTATTCATTACCTCTGGTACAGACAAGGGGAATGTATTTAACAATCAAGATTGGTTTTATTTGCATGACCTGAATGTTTGGTTCAGCAGCTATACTGTAAGGAATAATTAGGTGCTGGTCACGCTTTTGGGTTAAAGAGTTAAATATGTGAGGCATGTAGTTCTTTCCTTTTCTTTCGTTCAACTTCTCATCATCCCTGTGGCACTGTGAGTAATGGCTGTTTAGTTAATTATACTATCATGTGATACTTGTTAACGACTCTCTAAACATGTATCTTGTAGTGCAAAGGTTTTTCTTTTCTTGTCCTTTACTTTTGTATATTGATTAAAGCAGTGACTGATTTTTTTTTTGTGCATTTCAGAATAAAACTTGTGTTCAAACACTTGAGGGACATGCTCAGAACATCTCTTGTGTTGGTTTTCACCCAGAATTGCCAATCATTTTGACTGGCTCAGAGGATGGTATGTTCAGCTTTATATATACACATGTAACAATCTTGTTTCTTCTGCGTGTCAGTAAGATGATGAATGGTTACTGTTAAAAATTGAAGTGTTGATAACTTGACTGTTTTCAATGTGGTTAAACACTAATTCATCAGATTTTGGATTGTATATGTAAACTGAATGTAATTCCTATCATTACCAAAGGTACTGTGCGCATTTGGCAAGCCAATACATACCGCCTGGAGAGCACCCTTAACTATGGTCTAGAAAGAGTTTGGAGCATGGCTATGCTTAAAGGCTCAAACAATGTTGCACTTGGATATGATGAAGGAAGCATTCTTATCAAGGTTTGTATCCTACTTTACTGATGGGCAAGATAAATACAAACATGTACATTTACATCTGAAAACTTAAAGGTGGTGAGGAATTAGAAAAACATCAATTAGGGAACGACTTTCTTATCAAATACCAAATTATCAGTGGTTATTAGAGTTGTATGACTGACAGTACAGAAATCTGTTATTTAGATATTTGGGGTTAGTGTGGGTTCAAAGTTGTGGATTCTCTTTTACCTTTAGCTTGGCCGGGAAGAGCCTGCAATGTCCATGGATTCCAATGGTAAAATCATATTTGCAAAGCACAGTGAAATTCAACAGGCTAACCTGAAAAATGTGGCTGGTAAGTTTTAACATGAGCATTTGGAACAGTTGTATGCACTCTGTATTATGTGGTAGTTTTTTTTCATGTAATGTGAACTGGCATTTGAGTGTGGTCTGTAACAAATGATTTTATATTAAATCTTCAACCCCCAAGATTGTTGTTAATTGCTTAATTGTTAATCCTTCCCTCCAGTTGCTACACATATGCTTGTAAATTAGTTACAACGATTGGGTTTTATATCAGGATAACAACTTCTACATGTAACTGATAAGTTTAAGTATTCTTATTACCTGTTTGCAGGATATTGTTTGGATGTTTTTGGGAGAAGTTACTTCTTAATCACTTTTGGGAGTTGAATTGTTAACTATATCATCATTCAACATAGACCCTGTCATATACAAAAACAATTTTAAAATATACAGTATATATTACTGAGAGACTGAATGGCTTCAAGCAAATTGTTTACAAACATGTAACTGTTATGCTTTGGTGTTGCATGCTGGGAAAAGTGTTTATCCATGTCTCCACTTTGTTTTCTGTGGTTATTCTTAAACCAAACACTTTACAAACCATAGTAAAATATTTATGAGTGATCAAACTTTTTAGTATTTCTTTTTTTTTAGATTATGACGTTAAAGATGGTGAACGTCTTCCTCTGGCAATCAAAGACATGGGGCCATGTGAGATGTTCCCCCAGACATTGTCCCACAATCCAAATGGAAGGTACAATATTTAATTTGTTGAATTCCAAAGCCAAGATGATCAGTGTAACATGTTGGCAATGTAATTTGTACTCTTTGTTTATTGATTAATTTTCTTTTGCAGATTTGTTGTTGTTTGTGGTGATGGAGAGTACATTATTTACACAGCAATGGCACTGAGGAATAAGAGTTTTGGATCAGCACAGGAATTTGTTTGGGCTTCTGATTCATCTGAGTATGTAATGTTCTGTGGCCTGTTTTATATAAGACATGAAATTTATGGACATTAATTTTCTGTTTCTTGATTGTGCAAAAATTTAAAATTAATTGTTACATTAATAACATCATTGAACTGGTTCCAGTACATGTAGATTCCACTTAGCATATGTAGTATGTCTACATTTATAGTAACCTTTTTAAGGGTTGATGTTATTTAAATTTAAAAGAAGAAAGAAGCCCAATGAAACCTACCAGGCTTTTGGTAAAAGGATTTGTTTAACTTAAGTGAAATCTAAGCCTTAAGACTGCTTTTTCTATTTTAAAGTTAGACTGTTTACATATTGCCCTGATGTGGAAGAAACTGACTTCTTTGTGGAAGGCTCGACCATACAGTGATTGGTTGCCAAAAGGGTGAATTTAAAGATATTGTTTATTTTTTAGTTACATTTATGTATTTTTCCATTTTAAGGTATGCCATAAGAGATGGAAACAAAATCAAGATCTTTAAAAATTTTAAAGAAAGGAAGTCATTCAAACCTGAGTTTGGTGCAGAAAGTAAGTGTGGCATGTGTTCTGTTTGAACCTCCCAAATTCCCTGAGCAACTCACTGTGTCACCACAATGTACATGTATGCACGGTCAAACTTGATCTGAGTGGGACCTCGTGGAACATCAGAGATTGCAGAATTAAGAATCAACGCTTGAGGATTGATGATTGAGAATCAAGGATATAGAATAGAAGATGGAGGATTGAGGATTGGTAATAGAGGATCGAGCCAGCGATCTCAATCTGCAGTTTCAAGGGAAAAATTCTACATGTATTTGATTGTTGAAGTCTTAAAGTATTTAGGATCTTGATTTGAGAGGCTGTCCACTTACTTTTGATTGCTACTGTAGCTCATTTCTGACAACCATGTTTTCAGAATCCTATCAGAGGGTCCTCTCCCATACAGCTGTACACTTGTATTAATGACCTTCATAACTTACACAATCTATTAATTTTTACATCAGACATATTTGGTGGTCATCTTCTTGGAGTCAAGTCAGTTGGTGGATTAGCTTTCTTTGACTGGGAGAGCACAGATCTTGTCCGTAGGATTGAAATTCAGCCAAAGAATGTAAGTTGTTTAATTTTCACCGTCCAGAAGAAAAGATGTGCACTACAGGGAACACTTTACTTCTTTACTGAACGGAAGTTGTTCTTTTAAACAAAATTATATGAATATTCTTCTAGATATCATAGACTATAAATTGCATTCAACTTATTTATTCTTTTGGTTTTCATTTTATGATGTTCCCACCAATAGTGTAGCTCCATCTTTCTGTATGTAAACCACACACAACCTACAATTCCTCTATTTGCTCTGACAAAGAGCTAAACCTCAAATCATCAGCTTTAGAATCCCTCTTAAGTGGCCAACTTACAGTGTACAATGTACATCATCAAATCAGTTGATAGAACCAAATTATCTTGTTATTCTTCCCCCTCCCTCCTCCGCCCCTCCCCCACTCCCACCACTTCCCATCAGTGCAGATCCACAGTTTGTCAAGAAACTTACCCCTTTTATACTTAAGTCTTATTGATCACCAGGTGATTAATTTTGTGCAAATTATTGATTCAGTTGTGCATGTTCATGTCAATAATCATAAAGTTCATGATACAACAAGGAAGTGTGAATGTACATGTAACTTTCATGTCTCACTGCACTGTGCTTGTTTATTTTAGATTTATTGGGCTGATAGTGGTGAGCTGTGCTGCATAGCCACAGATGAGTCCTTCTTCATTCTGAAGTATGTCGCTGAGAATGTTGCCAAAGCTCAGGAAAATCCAGAGTCCATTACTGAAGATGGCATTGAGGATGCTTTTGATGTAAGATTAAAACTCAGTTGTTGATTGTGAGATGTCGAGGAAGCATTAAAAATGCTTGTTTATTGTTGCTTTGCTGCAGGCTTACATTGTAGAACAGATATCCCAACATATAACTGTTACATGTACTTGAAATATCAGCTGATGCAAGAGCCATCCATTTTGTTCTGTATTGTTCTACTTTTTTTTAGCTGAAATCATATGAAGAGAACATGTTTCAACATGCACAGTGTTCATGTAATTGTTGTGTACTTAAAAATCAGTTGATGTAGGAACCATCCATTTACTATTTTTGTTTTAGGTTTGTGGCGAAATAGAGGATACTGTGAAGACTGGTATTTGGGTTGGAGACTGTTTCATCTACACCAATGCTGTGAATCGTTTGAATTACTATGTTGGAGGTGAAATTGTCACCATTGCCCACTTAGACAGGTTTGTTCATATCTTTGTACAATGTTCCAAGGGCAAATGAGAGATTTTTTTTTCTGAACATGTTTGATCACTTAACGTTATCATCAATTCGTAAGCAACATACTGTACATGACAAGGAAATGTTTTGAAACGTTTCATGCATGCATACAGGTTTCTGATTTAGCCTACAAGCAGACCATTATCAGCGCTGTAGCAGAAGTGTTTCTTTGTCCTTGACGAAGTTTGAGTTGTTTGGCAAAGCTTGCCAGCGAGAGGTTTGCAAGGGCTCTGGCGCAAATAATGACTGCCAGACCCCTTGCAGAGCTTTGGTTAGCTTGCTTTGCTCCAGGCCTCAAACTTCCATGGGAGGGAAAAAACGCTAGTGCTGCAGTGCAAATGATGAGGGCCTGGGTCTTCTTGTGGTTTATTCTGTGATTACATCTTTACTTCTCAGGACCATGTACCTCCTTGGTTACATACCCAAAGACAACAGGCTTTATCTAAGTGACAAAGACATGAATGTTGTGGGTTACTCCCTGCTCCTGTCAGTCCTGGAATACCAGACAGCCGTGATGAGGGAAGACTTTGACACAGCAAAACAGGTACAGTCTCATACTGGCCATTGAACGCGTCCCCCAACCCTTGATGTTCTGAGAAAGTATAGCCTGCTTGGCTGCCTTACAAGGAGGTAGAAGAGGGAGCGTCCATTAAGTGTGAGGCACAAGCGTTTGTAACAGATTCTTATGATTGCACTTTGTTCTCAAATCCTCTCACCCCCTTCCTTTACCACCTCTTTTCTATACTGAACATGCAGGCTAAATAATTCCCGGAGGTATTGTGATATTTTCTGTTGTGTCATGATGCAGGTCTGTGTGGTTCTTCTGTCACTGTTTTGGATGGAGGCGTGGTGGCCTAAGCAATTCTGTTATTATTTTTTTTATCTAGGTTCTTCCCACCATTCCGCGGGAACAACGAAACCGTGTGGCTCACTTTTTAGAGAAACAAGGTTTCAAGCAGCAAGCTCTGGCAGTGTCCTGTGACCCAGAACACAGGTGACTACTCTTCTATCGAACCACTGATTCGTTTTCTTTTAATTTTGTTTTGTTTAAAATGCAATGCATTTTCCATGGCAATGAGTATTAAGAGCAATTGTAAATGAAGGTGAAGAGAGAAAGCCATAGCGACATGGTAGTAACCAATCACATTGGACCCTAAGGATAGAACGCAGAGTGCTTCTTTAGACCACTTTAAAATGTGCCACCTGTTGCGTATTCCTTTTACTTAATAGAGTATTGACTAAGTTGAAGATTTGATGTTAGGAATGCCTTTATGAATAAAGGTAATTTTGAGATCCATGAGAATTACTGTGCCACTCAATCATAAGTTGACGGTCTAATTTCTCAAACGGTCCTGAAGGCAAAGGAGGCAAGGAAGGGTATAATGAAGATTGATTTTAATATTGTTTCTCTTTATCAGGTTTGATCTGGCAATACAACTTTCAGAGCTGAAGATTGCTTATGAGATTGCTTCTGAAGCTGAGGTAAACTTTACAAAAAATTTTTTTGTCCTGACCTGGCTTAGTACAGTTTTTACGCAATTCCGAAGTTAATTTCATACAACCTCTCCTTGCGGTGCCGATGCATTGAGTTAAAAACCCTTATAACAAAAAGAGCATGTGCAAGGAGATTTCACCAGGCAATATTTGTTCCTTCTTCTGTGTTACATCTTTTACCAATAATTTAGTCATTCTCGTTCTGTGTAAGTGCACCAAACTGCAAAGATAACCGTGAGACTCGCTCTGTTTAAATACATTTTGTCCGATATACATGTAAATTGCGATGAATTGATTTTCTCTCTTTCTTCCAGAGTGAGCACAAGTGGAAGCAGCTTGCAGAGCTGGCCATCTCCAAGTGTCAGTTCCAATTGGCTCAGGAGTGTCTGATAAACGCACAGGATTTCGGAGGCTTGCTACTACTGGCCACATCGGCTGGAGATGCTGACATGATTTTACGACTCGCAGAGACATCTGCTAACAAGGGCAAGAACAACGTGGCCTTTTTGGCATATTTCCTTCTCGGAAGGTAGATAACGTGTCTTTTTACCCTGTTTAAAAATCCAAGCAGAGAACCCTAAATGACGTATTCTAACCGTACAGTGTGCATGTATGTCGAGTACATGTATTTACAAAAAAAAAAATGATTAGCTGAACTTAAGTGTTTGAGTAGAGATTACGTACTTACTGAATAAACTGTGGTGCTGCGTCTATGGAGGGTATTACAAGACAATTTGATTTTTCAATTTAGTTGATAGTATATATTGGCCACCGCGATAATTTTCAAAAGCTGACGTTTCGAGCTTTAGCCCATCGACAGAGCGAAATCTGCACTTACTGTCGGGAAAATATCTGCTTCGGAGACACGACGAGCGGACTAACGAAGGAAGGTCTGCTCTTCGTCATGCAGGTTTCACTGTGCGCACTAATCCAAAATTCGCCAGGTCATGCACGTCCTCGTTTACGATGCAATAAAATGACCAGCTTTCACTTGGCTTAGTAGCTCAGTTGGTAGAGCACGGCATCGATATCACCGAGGTCACGTGTCATGGGTTAAACTCCCGTACAGTCTAAAATTTTTTTCACTGCCGCTTAAGTTGTGTTTATTACTGCAAAGATCCTCCTCATCTTCATCCAAAAACTTATGCCGTTACCTGATGTACCTTGTCATTTCACCAGGCTGGAAGAAGGTATTGAGTTGCTATGCAGCACGGGACGGTATCCAGAGGCAGCGTTCATGGCTCGTACTTACTTACCAAGCCATGTGTCAAAGTAAGTTTCTTCACCCTTAGTTTGATAGTCAGAGTTCAACTTTTCCAAAATAAATACGGAATTTTGGCTCTCTACAAACAAAAGAGAAACAGTTGGAACTACAGTACTGCTCGGAAGTTTTCATTAAGTCTGTTTACTTTACGTACTCGTATTAAACATGACCACATATAATTGCTTGACATCAATTGCATGCATAGTAAAAATATCACAAAATTGTTTCGATGCAATGTAGCTATCTTGTTTTGCTTCAGAAATCCCCGATACAACTGAACATCCCCATTGTTAAGGGTGCACTTGTGAATGGAGCAAGTCAACTGAAGTGGCTCGATTCCATCACATAAACTCCTAACTACAAAAAGTGCAGAAAGTAATCACAAGTGAAGCTTGTCGCCTTTCTAGTCAATGTTGATGGCGAAGGAAGTGAATCAAGTTTCAACAGATATATTTATGACTACATAATAGTTGATTTATATATTTATTCGGTTATTTATCTTTTGGGGGACGAGATGATACAAGAAGAGTTTTGTTTCATCTCATTTCTCCATGTAGTGGACCGTGAAGAGAAGTTAATAATTTTTTTCAGCTCAAGGGAATATTACAACACTTTAACTGTATATCTACCATTTTGTTCTGTTTTAAGGATTGTCCAATTGTGGAAAGAAGATTTAGCGAAAGTCAATAAAAAGGCTGCTGATTCTCTGGCAGATCCTTCCGAATATGAGAATCTGTTCCCCGAATTTCAAGAAGCTTTGCAAGCGGAGCAGGTCAGATTAAGGACTTTTCTCAATTTCCAGATGTTCTTAATTAGGTTATTGTTTTTTGTCAACGTCTGTTTTCTGCTTGCTGTTGAAAATGTTCAAGTTTCTGGAAAAAATGTCTCTGTACCCATTTTTTTCCAGTTTCTGAAGCGGGAAAGAGTGCAAATGAAACCTGCTGCCCAGTATAAGCATGTTCCGGTAAGATTATTTGCGTGGTGTACAGACTTACTTTGGTAAATGGCTCTTTGTATTCTTACATTGCCCTTTAGGCGCATCTTCGCAACCTTTTTGTCATCCAACGACAGCCGTAAATGTGTCAACTTCTCCGCATCTTGCTTTTTATAGTTTAGGGAATCCGTTCCTACAAGGTTTGACTTTACAGTGCTTACCTCTCTGTTGACACTGGCAAATATGGGACCTTGATTTGTGTGACAATTTTTTTTCATCTATAGAGTAACTCTGAGCGTGATGTGTTTGAAGAAATGAAAGCAGCCAAGGAAGATGGAAGCTTGGACTCAATTCTGGTGAGATATTTTTTCAGCTTGTGGTTTAAATTGTTGTCATGTTACTTTGCTTTTTTGAGTCTTAAAAAACTGACGATCTTTTAAAGGGGACCCTTAAGTGATAGATTGTCATGGTGGGTCAATACCGAAGAGTTAAGAATAGCAAAGAATAAAATGAAACGAAAGAAAATTAATAGCAATTACAACCAACAAACCTGCAGACGTTAAGCTTAACCCCTTGTCCTAAGGGTGACTGGATTCTAATTTCCTCTTACAGTGTCACCCTTGAAACGAATAGTAAAGGGAATTATCACCAGTTGAAAAAGCTCCTGATTGTCAAACAAATTCTCCTAGTCGGTAACATAAGAAATGTAAATAGAACAGTGTGGAGAGTATGAGTGTTAACGTTGAGGTGTAAAAGGTTAATATGCCAAGGTGTACAAAACATGGCGGAACTCCTTATTGTGTAAATCCTCGGTTTAATGTCCCGATTTCAAACCTTCGTTGTCTTAGTCATTTGCATTAGATATTTACGTGGTTTTATTTCAGGCTTCGGTAGAAAGTTTGTCTTTCGGTGAACCTTCTGCATCCCAGCCAATCGAGCCGTCACCTCCCTCATTGGCTTCTAGATCGTCTGCCGCAACCCACTCTTCACCGCCTCCTGCGCCTGCGGACAGACCGCCAGCGGCTAGACCTCCAGCGGTAGAAAAAGAACCCGTGAAAAGTCCTGCTGCCGATACGAAACCTGCAGTCGAGGATGATAAGGTGAGAGAGGTTACACTGCGACTACTATACTTTATTGCTATGGTAGAGAGCCAGGTCTTTTTGTGCGAAGAAGATGGTGCACTTTTTGAGGGGGAGAAGGTTCTGCAGTAAAAGAACATGTTGCTTTACATGATGGACCTTCTTCGTTTGGAAACCCCATTCCCGCCGACTGGAATGGGCACTTATAACTGTAGGTTACACTGATTTTTGAACAATCCAGGCTAGTACTTTTTCTCGGATACCGAATCTTCTGTTGGGGCTTCCAGCTACTAGGATATTTAATCGCAAAGCGGCATGGGAATAGGATGAAAAAGACCTTACCAACTCTCCGTTTGGTTGAAAAACTGAACGTTGTTAGGTTTGTCCCTGGGTTTCTATCCACATGTTTCTCTTCTTCTAATTAACAAATATTTCTTTCTTTTTAGATGTTATTGTTGTTCCTTTGTGATTTCCATTCTTTCTCTTTCCCTCTCTCCTGTTCGGTTAATGCCCAGTCCGTTTCTTTTGTATTAACAGTTGAAAAAAATCCTGCTGTACCTTGCATTACAGGACGAAGACGAACTCGACGATTTCGACTTCGGTGGTCAGGACGATGACGAAGACGTAAGTTGCCCAAAATGTTACTATTGTTTTATTGATCCTTATCTTAATTCCGTCAGACACGTAACGAACAAAGTCTTTGTGATAAGCCAAATTTTAATGGCTACAACTGTTGCTATTATTACCACTACTGTAGCTTACAACCGATTGCTGACTTTGAATTTGAGATAAAAATTTCTGTTAGACCCTTTTAAAGCATTGATTTTGGGACAATTTTTTATCTGGTAGTTTTTGTCCAAGTATGTTATTCCTTTTTCGTATTTTAACATAAAACCTTTTCCTTATACTCACGAACGTACGGCAATGTCTTTTATTTAAAGCAATTTATGTCCAGTACGAGGTGCTTTCTTGTTGAATATTTGATGCAAAAGTCACCGGCGGTACTTTCATGCTATTTTCATTTTTCAAAACAAATTCTATTATTTCTCCCCCTTTAAACATTTTTCATAGTAATTTTTTGCTCCTAGTAAGTTAAATTTTGCAGTCCTCTGTAACAGTTGCATATTTCTGTTCTGTTCGCAGGACGACCTCAATATAGATGATGATGACCTTTTAAATGATGATGACGATGATTTTCTAGCTGATTAACAAATTCATATTACTCGGGGTTTGTTCCTTGAGGAAAAAAAAATGGAATTGCACTTTATTTTCTGTGTAGTGGTAGATTGAAAAAAAAATTTTTTTCTTTAAAATTGTCGGAAACTGACGCCGATGCGATAAACTGTATTGTTAAGTGGTTGTTCGTTTTCAGTGGGTTGTTTTCACGTAATTTCTACCATACGTTAGAGATTGACAGAGAAATGAAATGCCCATAAACTCTAGGTGAACAATGGAATACCAACGTCAATTTGTTTTAACCAGTGAACGCGGTTCGATTCCCTTCAGTGTTTATGGTAATGACAAAGAGAAACTATAGTCGATAAAATACAGAATTAAAATTGTTGTTTTATTGAGTATGACTTTTTTTTTATCGAGTATAACTTTTTAAAGCTGGTTTTGAATACAACTACCATTGTCATTGGGCGGGAAATGCGAAATGAGGAGACTTGCTACCGTGAGAAAACGTTAGATAACTTAGGATAAGCGGTTGAGTCATTCAAGAGACGTTTCTTTAGTGTAAGAATAATTATTTATTGCATTGTAGGTTATTTCACTTTTGCGTTTTTAGATACACCAGTCTTGTGACAAGACCCAACTTTTCCATATTTAATGTTCTAGTAATAAGTTGCTTCTTCGCGTGTTCGTGGACTTGATTGCTTCTTCTCCGAACGGTGGGTAAGCCCCGTAAATACGCTTTTTGTTCAACTGTTCCAACCATGATCTTTTGTTATACTGTGTTCAACAGAAAAACATGCATCTTGTATTAATTATTTGTAATGGCTGCATTACAAAGAATGAAGAGGTCGGTAACAGGGGCGCAAAACATGATTACACAATTATCTATTCTTCCCTGTGTCTTGTGATTGGTGATCACCCTGTTCCGGCTTTTTACGGGATAGTCCGCCCTATAGGTGTTCACTTGTCAGGCTTCAAATGAAAGGGATTTCAAGAGTTGACGCTCATGAAAGGACAGGGGAATGTGTTTTTGGGAATTGTAAAGAGGCGTTTGAGGGTCTCATGTTACAGTATAATCCCGTAGTAACATCAGAGGAGAAGAAATAGCACTAGTGGCGAGAGCACTCAACTGCCGTTTATTGCTGTGATCCTCCAATCATGGGTTGAGTTAATTGTTGGTTTATGTCTTAGTTCGGATGGTTTTCTAACCCTAATCTCAAACCCCTCCCCTCCCCCCCCCAGGGAACCAACACCCCACGTTGAATTTCGAATCAAAAGAATGGACAAGAAAAACAACCACTGAACTATCCCTCGCTAAATTCGATTTACCTATATCGTTCTTATTCTTCAAATGGGATGCATGGGTTACTTGTGAAAGGACTACCATTTTAAATTGTAATTTTGGAAAATGGAATTTGAATCTGTCAAAATTCATGAAAAAATTAAGGGTATTGAGAAGTTTGACCTCGGGAGAAGGGGAAAAGCATTCCCGTGTAGCCTTTCTCTTAGGGCATAAACGCTTCAGTTACCCTGCTGCAGCCATAAAGGGACATTCCACATATCCGCTTCCGTGCCTGTCCTTGTTTGCTTTCTCTCGCTAAAAGGTTCTCCACAGATAGTGCACTATCATCGACATGAAAGATTGGCGAACCTCTGACAGCAACAGACACCAACGACAGAGCAGCTATTGTAAATAACAACGCGATTGAAACTTGCATTTTCCACTTCTTTCGTCTTTGCGTTTGTTACTGCAAGAGGAAAGATGTCAAGATGTATGAAGACTTCTGTTACACGCATTTTCTCAAGAGTCATCGAATGAAACTACTTTTTTCTTTTTGCGGCTTACCTCTTCTTATAAAGGTTGACTGAAACAATAACCAGTCGTCAAAGAGAGAGAAACTTAAAGGGCCCCGATGGAAAAAAAAAAAATTATAAAAATAAAAAATGGGCTTGATCTGAATCATAAACAGTCAATTTTTTACGTAACTGTACATCACTGCATTCGCAAAGACACGCATCCCACAACGGATTTGTCGTTTAGAACCTTCCATATTAACCGAATTTACTCTCCTCAAAGACGTAAAGAACAGATTCTATTATTTTCTCTTTCCTTAGAAGCTTTTTCATTTTCTTTCATTCGTATTTTGCGACTATAGCTTAGTTGGTTTGTCTAGTATGACAATAAGACTGCTTTATGTCATTAGCTTTGTAAAGGTCTTTCGAGACCCTTTTTTTTAACGACGCAATGCTGCATATCGACCTATACACGAAGTTTTTACTATACTCACCTCTCAGTAGTGAAGTAAGACGCCGGTCGTTGTCTACCAAGTTCTCATGAGGTTCGACCTTTTTGTCAGTGGTGTTCCGGCTTTTTTAATGCGCTCTTCACTGATAAGCTTTTCTTCGTCTTACGAAAAAAAGACTCGAACAATAAGGACCCTCCCATTCCATTTTCGCCAGGGACTCTTACATACTGCGATCGAAGTAACTTTTATTTTAAAAACTTTTTAATGAGGAGTTTCGCAAAGCCCATTGTTATTGAACCTTCGCATTGTTCGCAGAAATAATAGAAATCGACGTCTCGCAAAAACTATCGCTAACAAGTCTTCATAGGCGTTTGATCAGCGTCATGTTATATCGTTAGATAAATAAAAGAAAAAAGAAAGCTAAAAAGTATGTCTCTTAAAATTTTTCTATTCTATGTTCAAATTAAACGTGAAAACCTCTCCCAGCTGAAAAAGGTCTTTAGTGAAATCCTTCGGTTGTATCTAGAAAAAGTAACTTTGTAAAACGATTTTAACCACAAACCGAAAACTCAACTTCATAGCTTAACAGCTGGAAGACCTTTTTACCTTCATCACACTAAGAAACCAGTTTGCAAGTATGATTTTCTCTCTTTACTTTGGGAGGAAATTGAAATTTAAAATCATTTCACATAATTTATGCAGTGTAGTCAAAACTATAAGTGATATGTACCTCCATTTTCTAATTTTCGTTTTAATTGTGGCATGGTTTTTAGAGAAATTAGTTCTCTCTTCGGTGATAGATTGACAAAAAATCATGAAAACTCTCCATTTCTTATGCTACGCTGCTTAATTGCCTTTCAACAAGAAGTACCAGTGCCGCAAATTAGAAGAAATTTTTTTTTCAAACATTAAGGAAGACCATGGATACCTCGTTTGTATGTTTTATACACTAAACAATTTTTTTTTAATCGAGAAAGTGTTATCTAGACTAAAAAAAAAAAAAAAAAAAAAAAAAAAAAAAAAAAGCAATTTTATAATAAAAAACAATTTTTCTCGAACGAGCGAGTCTCAGAAATGGACTACATTTCTTACCTGAGATCTTGCATTTCACCTCTATATATCTTTGTTTCCTTAGAATTCATGTTTTTCTCTGCCTCCCTTGACCGTTTTATTTCGGTTCAGTTGAAAAACAAAAATACTGTCAAAAGCGAAAATTATTTAGTAATTTACAGTCAAATTGTGCATCTTTTACAATCCTCCCAACAGAGGCCACTGTAAACATCAATTGTATTTCTAGAAAGAGGCTCTCAAAACGTCAAAATTAATTTGGTTTTGTTTGCTACTTAGTTTCGTAAATATTTTGACCGCATTTTTGCAGTTCAGTTTCTCTCGGTAGCCCTTCAATTATCTTGGTCTTGATCATTAGTAATCACTTATCCTTTTGCAAACATATTTAAACAGAACTTCTACCCATTGAGTTGAATCAGGAATAAGCGATCTGCCAGGAGAGATTTTCTTGTGGTGTAAAGTCACTCACTTCTTTTATTGTGCAAGACTGGCTTCTTTTTTATGTCCTCCAATTTTCCGCAAAGTCATCAAACGTGAAGGAAAAATACCTCTCTTTGTGACTGGAAACTATGAAATATTTATCTTCCTAAAATAATTATTGTAATAGTTTCCTGATGGAAAGAGAATGTAGAGCTTTTTTTTTAACTCGAAGTTATTATAACACTTGGTTCTAACTTCAGCGTTCTTTCTTCGAAATAAGAAACATATAAGACGTTTATAGAAAACGAGAGATACCTTATTTAAGAGTTTCTTCTCGCATGCTTCGTCTGGATAAACGCACAACTAACGCCCGAACTAACTGTTTCAAGGCAATTTCAACGCAGTAGTTTGAATATCCTTTGAAGAGGACCCCTTTACTCGGCTTCGATGCTTACATTCATTTCATTAAGGAATATGAAGGATGCATGTGCTACAGAATTTGATTACACTTTTCTTCTAGCTAAATGTATGTTACAATGGTGATTTTAAATGTTGCACTTTCCTACAGTCATCCCTGACTTGTAGAAAACAATTAAATAAGTATGTTAGAGATTTTCAGCCCTGAATAAAGATTCAATCGCACTGAAGAACCATGCAGATGATGATCCTTCTAGCAACAAAATCGAGGCATTCCGTGTAAGGCGGGATACAAGATTCTCAGCGTTTTTTCTTCGGCAAATGGGAGTCGAATTTTGCTGCCCAAACTCAGAAAATTCGGTTACGTCTTTGAAAACGCCCATGCTTTCGTGCTGCATATTCTTTTTTTTTAATGAAAATTTGTTGACGTTTTCGTATTTCCGATTAAAAGAGGGCGTGAGAAATCAAGAATCTGTCAAGGCAAATGCATTTAGCGAGGTCTTATTTAAAATAAAAATGCATGCATTCGCAATCTCGTTATAGATGTTAAATTTCAGAAAGTGTAGGGCTACTTCCACTAAGTGATCACAGCTGTCGTTATTTGAAGTTTATTTACAAGGAAATCGAATGAGAAATTTCATCTGTAAAATTCCGTAACATACTCACTTTGCCCTCTTCGATGGATGCTGTTGACATGAAATCGATATGCATCTTTGAAAATCTCTTTTCAGGAGTATTTGAACAAAAAGTATCATGGTGCCGTGCGTTCCGAGCTTTGATGAAAAGCGATGGCTGAAATGCTTGGAAACCTTGAAGTTAATGGCAGTTTTTGTTTCACATTACTCAATTTGACTCATTACTCGAATTTAATGCGAATATCAAAGATACAACCCTCTTTTTAATTAAGAAAATTAAAAATATCGTTGTTAAGACCAAATGAGAGATCAACGATCTGATCGACCATCATGATATCTGACTACCGTTGATGCTGGGAGGAGTTTTTAAAAGACCCTACATTTGTAATTGTGGCTGGAAGTAGAGTTGTTTAGGAAATATATGTAAAGCAAGATTTCAATTCCGTTGCATGGTGTTGATACAATCAACTTTTTACAACTACGTTATCTTCAAGGTTATTCCCATCAGTGCTTAAGCTATCTATGAAGTTTAATACCCTCGAGTTCCGAATCATTTTAGTGATTACTTCTGAATATGAACAATCCTATATGCGGCTGTTTTCATCTCGAAAAAACAAAGACTTTCTTCCTCTAAAAAGGAGGAACATTCACATCATCTCTTGAATATATTCAACACACGCTGAGCTACTAATATTGATTTCTAAATATTTTAATGCTTTTAAAAATAACAAGTTATTAACTATAAGCCTTAACTCAAGAATATTAAATATAGATAGTTTTATTCATATTTTCGTGAGTGTTTGAAGGTGAGCGATCAATTTTGATCCCAGCGTTTGCCGTTCTTCGCTATCAACGTCTCTGCGCGAAGGTACGATCTTCATGATCGCGCATGTTGCGAAGTGGAGGCATCCATGACTTTTTTCTGCGTTTCTGTTTTAAATATAGGAAAGAAATTATAGATATATCATATAAGATCGTTGCTACAAAATACCAGACTTTCTTGTCTTCTTTCCTCCCCCCTCTCTCTCTCTTTCACCCTCCCCCCCCCTCCCCTCACCTCCACCTCACATTTCACCTACGTAATACGATTCGCAGCACTGTTTCCGAAAATCTTGCTTGTTCAAGGTTAGCAGATTTTTTTGGACGTTTTGTCATGGTATCGTATATTCCCTATACAAGGTTTTACCCAGTTATGACAAGATAAGAACCTTGTCATTTACATGGATTTCGACCACCAAGTATGCGAGTAAGGCCGAAGGTGCTGCTGGGAATTCAGACCTTCGGATTCGTGTGGTTTCATTCAAAACATGCTTGGTTAATTCAGCACCGCAGTTAAGCACAAGTGCCAATAACTCAGATCTCTTTCAGGGGTCTCACCAAGATCCAATGACCGACACTCTACCGCCGCCTAGAAGACTTTCACCGGCGTTTGTTCAGCATGCGAGCAGGCTCTCGGGCCTTGCGGCCCTTTTCTAAGCACAGCCGAATTTCACACCATCGGCGGCCGCCGAAGGAAAAAGTTGTTGAAACCCTGACTTTATACAAGACCCAGGCTCTTCTGTAGTTCAGGACAGTGCCAGTCAAGCCTAAGTATCAAACAATTCAATGGAGTATTATTTCATAAACAATTAGCATATATCTTTGCTTCTCACCCCATTTTTTCTGCAGCCGTAATACGACATGCCACAAAGATTATTGCCCCGTTTGAGTTGCATGAATCGCTTAGCTGCTAAAGATCTGAGGTCCATTGTAGGGAAGTCGTCAGTACTTGATAGATCTGAAGACGCTGCGACATCATGGATGAAGATGGAAAGAACGACGACTGTGAGTAATAATGCATGTAAAAGTTGCATTTTGTTGATAAGCTCTTGCTTCCTGTTTTAATAGAAAAAAATTTATGAAAATCCATTAGGTACAGTTCCATCCTATTCACTTTTTTGCATGTCAGATTATGTTACCCTCTCTGATCGAGTAACTATCTATAATTGCGAGTTCAGTTCTCTTTGATAAAATATAATATCTTTTCACCACACTTGTTATCACATTTATTCATTACTAACGTTGACTATTTGTAAAGAAGTGCGAAGCTGATAGAAACGAGAGCAAGTAAATGGAATCAGTACAACGTACATGAGGGGATTAGATGTTCTTCAAATCCTCTCATTAAAAAGTTTTCAAATAACATCCAACGCCTATATTTCATGGTTGTATCATAGAAGGTTCACAAAAAACCTAGAAAATTTGAAATACTCACCTATTTCGTCGAAGCCACTTTTTTGGTAATGAAGACAGAAAATTGAGTTCATGCTTAATTAATGACTCAAATAATCCTAAACATTTGTTTTGGCTTAAATATAATCATAAAAAAAACAAGAAATAAATAAGATAGAAAAAAAATTGAGAATAGGAGAGAAAAATGAAGTTTTACAGCTATAACTTATTACTAACGAGAAGCTACGAGAATACTCAAGGTACTTTTAATAAGTTACCTTTAAATTCAGTTACTGAGTGTTAAAGTAATGAGGTGAGATGCAGTTGTTTGCATAAATGAAGCTTTGAAAATTTAAATGAATATATCCAAATTTAAGAAAATACAGTTTATTTAAATTTATTATTATCCCTGACAAATTTAAAGTTACCGTTGCTTTCGTTCGGCGCTTGTTAATTTTGGTGATAAAAACCTCAACATATATACAATATATATATATATATATATATCATATACATATCATATATATGCATATATAGCTTCGCTCTTTCAGAGTATCCAAACAAATTTTCATCGAGAAAAATTATCACTGACCGAGACAAATATACATATTCGTGTTTCGAGTTATCTTAGGAGGCAAAATGAAATGAAATTTCTCATTAGAAACAACCTTTCCATGCAAAAATATTAAAATGTCGCGTTTTAGGCTTACCTTTTGAACAGAGCGTGTGCTTTACTGGTGCACACGATAGAAATGATGTCTTCTACGTAAAGTAGCAGGTTCTTGGTTGTGTATATCTGCTTATGAAGTCTTCGCATTTATAGAGTGTTTACAATGAGCTCCCACCCATCCAATTTCCGCCGAAAACTCCTTAATTCACTACACTTGGAATAACTTTTGTTCTTCCATTTCCTTTTGGCGTCGCTCTGTTTAAACATTATGACAGCTATGGACTCGTTAACGTTGGCCTTGTCCAAAGTGGCAATTAAAAAGAAGAAACTTGCTATTCCAGAATGAATTACTATTATTGCTTGTTGCTTAATGGACTTCTTTAGAAAGACAAACCATGAACCTGGTAGTTTCGCAATCCTATGACAAACTATAAACTGACATTTTCGTAATCTTAACTTCAAATTAATTCTTCCGAAGGATTTTCCGCATCAGTCCCCTATTCTATGATTGGAATCACAGTTTATCGTGATTTCCAAACGTTATCTCGCGGGTAACCTATAAAAGTTACTTTCATCACCTGCACTCTTCTCATTCTTCATCGATCAAAATTTACTACATAACCTGGATGTAATATTTTTCTTTCAGACGTCCCTCTACACGAGAATATTACGATTTAAGTTGCAAAAACTACTCAGTTTTCTTTGAAGTAGAAGTCGTTTTTACGAAAGGTGTTCTTTGGGTTGAATTTGCTACAGAAAAAGGATTACAGAGCCCATGATGATAATATCTTTTTTTTATGCACCAGACGCCATGAATTTTTGTTTAAATTTTGAACTACAACAAAATTAATAAACAAGGAGAGAATACTTGCAGCAATAACTTGAAGACTAGGAAATAATCATTAAACTATCTGCCAGTTCTTTAAGTTCCGGCGTCTTCCGTTTGAAAAATGAAACAGCTTTTAGCAATTGAAAACCATGTGTCGTGCTCTAATAGAAGATATTAAAACCCAATTTAACAGTGTTTGCTTAAAGTAAAGTTCTTTTCCTCTAAATCTTCACTTGGGTTTGTCGTTAGCCCACGCTATATATATATATATGTCTTCTCAATTAAAGTTTCTCTGAGTTTGTCTTTTTACAATTGCATTTGACACTTCCCGACAAAGAAGCTTTCAAGAGATATGTCGTGCACAATTCAAAGAGAAATCTGCAAAACTGAATAAATTCCTTATTTTAGATCCTGCGCCAGACGATAATCTTTTATTTATTTGGCGCAACTTTTGTGTTAACAAAAAACTGGTACACCATATCTTACTTTCACGAAGAGTTCAATTTCTGATGGAAAAGTGCTCAAAAATATATTCGGAATGATGAGTGATTTATTGATTTTGTTACATGGTTAGAAATCAAGCAATAAGGTAAATTTTGATGTTAATTTTCAATTTATATAACAAAAACAGTTCATAACTTCTAACTCTGCCTATATTACGGTCTTTTACACGAAGATCCATCTGAGTCATATCCAAGATATGGTAATGTAATTTGACCGAAATCCCTTGATCCAATATTCTAGTAAAAGTGCGAAGCGTTTATAGCTGTTTCTCTTTTTTTGCGTGGGAAAGGACTCAAACCATTATTTTCTTTACTAATAACCATTTGCTAAAGAGAAAAAACTTTTCAAAACACAACGATTGTTACATGTATTATGGCCTGAGGGTCCTTTAGCGATACGAGACTAATAAGCTTTTGAATTGACTGTTATTGTCAAATTACCTAACAAGAATTCATTAAGTACGTTACGTTTGTTTTAGAAAAATGTCCTATATGCCTCAGAAATAGCTTGAAAAGGTTTAAACGATGTTTTTGGAAACATTTCCTAGAGCTTTTTTAATGTACCGTACGTCTGTGTTTTCTTTTTTCATTCTTTTCCCATATTCTTTGTTTTCATTGTTATAGTTTAAGAAAACACTAGTTATGTTTAATCCCTTAACAACGATCTCCTTCTGTTAATTTAGATGAAGATAAATTAAGTTCGTGACGCATTTTCCAAAGACTTTCTATAGCTTGAAAGCGTTGTTGGATGTCTTCTGCGAATATGAAAAATCTAAATAATCGCATTCGCGCATCTTTTTAGATTTTTTAAAAGTAGCGATACCATACTGTACTTACAAGACGACCACCCTTCCTGAACAAGTACTTAACAGCTTTATGTCTCTGTCATTGTAAAGACTTCTGCAGCTTCTTCGCACAAGAGCATCAGTTATCCTCTTAACAAAATTATGACTGGATGTATTCCTCCATATGTTATGATCGGATGTGTTTCCTGCATATATCATGTTCAGCTTTCAATTGATGAAAATTATTGTAAAAAAATGTTCTCTGCTTTTTTATTTTTAATCAAAATTTATTTTTCAATTTTCGATGCAAGGTTTATAGGCGTTAACGAAGTTATCTTCTGAGAGCGAGGAAGTATAAACACATATAAACAGCAAAGCGGCGCACACATGAACAATTATGACTTACTTGCATTATATAGGATTGTTGTTAGCCTATCCAGCTTCATAGTTCTTAAACAATCAAAATTCTAGAAGAATCGCATTCAAATTGTCCGGGAGTTTTAGGATAAAATTTCATCGTTTCTGAAGAGGAACATAAATACTGATTATATTGTCGAAAAGGTTGAGAATGAAGCTTGTTTGAAATTAATAGTGTAAGAATACCTATATTTTCCACAGAGCGAAACGCTAACGACGGTTTCAATCATTTTAGGACGTCGTCACGCTCGTAGGCACCTCAGATAGTTCTGATTGGTTTATAAATTCGAAAGCCATTCGGTTTTTACGACGATTTATAAATGTGAAAACGAGGCTTGGTTTTTTTGCCTTAAATAATTAAATTTTGTGCTTAACTTCTTCATTTTCCCTCGTGAGTATTAAAATGATAAAAATACGACTCTAAGCAAACTTTGCAAAATGAAAACTAGATGTCCAAGAACCTATGTCAAGCCTCTTCTGAGTGATAAATAATAAATGACAGTTTGTTTTACGGTGGAAGTGTAAACTGCAGGATATCAATTGTCTTTGTGACAAAGAAGCCGTATCCTGATGAAATATTTGACTTCTCTGATGTAGAAGATTTTCTCTATGGAAAAGCTCTGGCCCTAATGAAACCATGCAACAATATTTCATTACTAATTTAAATTTGTGTGGTTATTTGAGTATTATGATAATAATATGACCACCTCATTGAAAGACAACTCTGGCGTCAATTTTTTTCCATTTTTTTAATTTGTCTTGTCCAAACTATCGTTGCAAGAGATTCAATGCAGAGGTAATGTTCTGTGGACATCAGGGTTTGTATCGATGTAACGCTTTCTGCTAAGTTTCTGGAGGACGAATCCATATTGCCAAACGTAGACTTTCGACATGAATTTTAATCTCCGTTTGCATTGACCGCCAAGAGTAGATTTTTAATTATCACCCGGTTTGAAGAGGAAGCCTCATCATTGTGTCATTCATGCGGCTTTCCGTTGAAATTTGTGTCTGTCAAATTGTAGGCAATGTCAAATATCGACATTCGAGGGTAGAATTTAGTTTCAAACGACTTGACAATTGATCGCGATTTTTTTGTTCGAAAAAAGTCAATACAAAGGTCATTTTGTGATTGACATTCACCGCAAATGCTGAACGTGTTCCCTGTAGAAACAAATAAAAAATTCTACAATAGATAATACTCTATGTTATCTCCCCGAGGCAGGATATCAATTTTACAAAATAAGGAAAGCAGTTTGCGACATTTCATGACGAAATTGACTCTTGAAAAAAAAATTCCAGTTTTGATCACAATACCGTTTATTCCGTGAGCATTTTGATGGGCTGCAATTCTTCTCTGGATTCAAATTTAGAGAGATGATGTGACGTTTGATACTTCGGCTTTCGACTGGTCCAAATTTTTAGTCCAAGTTTCTGAAAAGACCAATTGCACGCATCCAATGTTGGACATCCCTTGCGTAGTAGGAATATGCCGACAATGCAAAAAAGGAGTAAGATTTTCATCATCTAAGTATTCTTATCTCGAATAAAATAATCTTGCAATTCATTTGTGAATTTGGCCGAAATAGAAACACGAAAAGTAACAAGGAACTTTCGTATATTTTCTCTATCATTATTTTATTCCTGTTCTATCATTGGTCTATAATAGTTGATATACCAATAATAAAATAAAATAATTGAAAAAATTATAATTAAAAGAATCATAATAATGTCCTTTTCCTATACATTTACGAAACATTGCATGGAAAAGTGATGAGAGCTAATTTCTTTATACATTGCACGATTCAGTTGACAACTTTTAACTAGGCGTGGTTACCTACACCATGCCAAATAATGTGATCAAGATGATTGCTTCAATATTACTACATTTCGCTCTAAATGAATATTTCTAATGTTGTGAAGGTATATCATGACGTATTACTCTTCAGTTATCCAGTCGTTAAACAAGGCATCCATATCATCGGGTACAAATGAGCTGAATGATGTTGATTGCTGAGCTATTCCATTCTATAAAAAGAATTAATTCACAAGTTTGATTGCTGAGCTATTCCACTCTATAAAAGAATTAAGGTTGTATCATTCACCCTTTCCTTGCTGAGTTTCACCTAGCCTAAATTGATGAAGTTGAATTCAAAATTTTTAAGTGATTGGAAGAGAAAAGGCAACAAGCTTTATTTTCATCTCGGAAGTTGGAGTTTCATTTTTGCGAGCCGATTTTGCAGAATGGTGTAAAAAAATTGTCTTTGATTTGATTATTCATAAATTCCTAAACAGTAAAGAAAATATCACATGAAAATTCTGTTAAGAGTTTTTCTTCTCTTGTTGTTTTATATTTCTCGCAAAAAAGGGCGGCGAACCAGTGAAAGATTAAAGCAGCAACTCGAAGTTAAAATTGTCGCGTTCTCTAATTATCTCACCCTCTTGTCCCAATAACTCCGCTTTCCACGGCTTTTACACTTCTTCAAGTTCCAGGTAAATCCACAGGGCTTACGCTTTCGTCTCTTTTCAATATCATCTCTTAATTCTTCAATTTCTCTGTCCAGTACTTGAGAGATTTCGGACGCCTCACTGTAGTGTAAGGTTTGCAAGAAAAGTACCACTACAAGAACACTCAGGACGAGCAGCGAAACCTTCATCATAGCAGCTTTTATCAACCCACTGGAATGTGAATGAGAAAAGCGTCCTTGTTGTCGAGCTTGAAGAAAACAAAATAATAATCAATTAACTCAATACAAGATACAACCTTCGATAATTTAATTAAGAAACCGCACTTTCTATCGCACTGATAGAAAGTCGGTCTATTGCTTTTACTAGATAAACTTAAAAACAAATACAGTGTTTCAATTTTCTATGGCATTACCGGTGCAGCAAACGATAGGCTTTTTACCAATCAGGGATTTCTAAGTATCATTTTTTTTACAACAAGTATTTGGCACTGCATTTCTTGAGTAATAGCGGAGACGGGAATTACAAGTGGAAAGCGAAGGAGAAGGACGATGAAACTGTAAAGAACTGCCTCGTGAGGGACCAGAAAGGCAATCTCTTTAAAACGTTATCCAAACGGAATCATGAAAATAGGGGATTCAAACATCGATCTTTTCCACCAAAGGGCGTGCTCAGAGGCAGAAGATTAATGAAATACGATAATTGTTGCAAGAGCTGAGGGATCTTAATTAAGGATAGCGAAGAAGTCCTGAATAGGGGAAAATATGTGAAATGTCAAATTCTTTTCATAAAGGCATAAAATGATTTCGATTGAAAACTATACTTGGACGAACCAAAGAAGATGGGGAAGGGGGGGGGGGGTATGGGACAGAAAAAAATACAACACACAACAATCGTTTCTATGCTAAATCTAAGAGGAATGATAACGTGAATAAGTGTTGCCAGCTCCGTAGTGCGTGACTAGGTCTACCTGCCTTTCAGAAAAAAATGCAGCATCTTACTAAAATTTTCCGTAGGAAAAATTGCATACGTCTCGCCATTTGATGCAGTAAGCACGGTTAAGTGAGTAGCACGGAGTTTGAAACCGGCCTTAAGAGAAATATAAGCGATGTCTATATTCAGCTGTCTTTTGCTTCGCAGCAAAAATCCCTTGGCACCCTTCCGACTGATATGAAAATTGATAACAAAAACTTCAGATCTTCTCTCGGTGAAACAAGAATACGTTTATGAAGAATGATGGTAAGGCAAAGAAAACTGCTAAAGTTTCAACTCCCAAACGCTTTCGTTTGAGATGGTGAATATTTTTTTGGGATGCAGATACAATGATAGTGATTAAACATTTACAAAAGATAACAAAAACAAAACTACTGCAAGCCTCGGTATTTCTTAGTCACAAATTCGGAAGAAATCAGTCTTTCCAAAAGCTGTTAGTTCAGTCCCACACATTGTTATGAATTAATTTGCGGTTCATTTCGTGGGAAATTGACTTTCATATGCTTCATAAAATTTGTTTTCATTGTCGCTTTGTTAGCTTGAGTAGGAGTTACCTGACAGTAAGATATACAACAGCACTTAGTTTCATTTACAAGATACATCGAGATTCTTCCTGTTGTGTTTAATACGATATCTATCGCCATGTCACTTAGTAGAGGTATTCGAAGTCTTGTGGTTTCATTAGCGCTGATTCCGAATTCTAATTAAGTTTTACAAGTGGATCCTCTGTTTTTCTTTGTTTTTTTGGCAAAATGTTTTGGTAAGCACAACCACTGTTTGCCGTTAACATAGCAGGATAAGTTTAGTAGAGAAATCATGCTCGTAGCTTTCAAAAAATACTCACTCAGCTGCAAAGCTTGGCCTAAGAAAACCTGCCTTGACCAAAAAAATATTCAATTACTTCGTGATCCCAAAAATCTTATGCCCTAAATTTTCTTCCTTTTGTGTAGCAATTCTAGTCGTCAGACATATACTCCGTTGTTGAATAGAGCAAAATCCAGGTATTGACCATCCCTCCGTGTGCATTTTTCTGTCTATTGCTTTCCAAGAAATCAATTTGAAAAAGGGCGGACCTTCTAATAGCCATGATCTTCTCTTTAATGATCAATTCCTCAAATTAAACGACTTGCACAGATGAAGCAGAAAGTGACAATGACAAACGTCGTACGATAAATTTGTCTACACTCACCTTGCTTAGCGTTACCTGGAACAAGTGTCTTCGTTCCTGATTCTCCCCAACGATGGCCAACGCTGAGTTCCAAATTTTTAATTTATAAACAGTGCCGCTTTCCTTGTCTATCTTCTTTTAAAGTGGTTGCGTAGATAACCAAACGCCCGCGTACTTGTGATGGAACCAATGAACGTCTTGATGGTTTAGGTCTGGAAAACGCATCTTCGGTTTAACTAAGGTTGATGGTTTTCGTAATATTCATCTATTCGAAATAATGAAATATTGCAATTAAACAACTTCAGGCCAAGTAAGAACAATTAGTACTTTGCAACCTATATATAAATTTTCTCATCGATACAAATACGGCTTCAATTGGAAATTATTTCCATTGGCAATTTTTAACAAATTAGATTATTTTGGACTTTTGGGCTTCTTTTCCCACGAAAAAAAATTCTCAGATTTATCGAATTTGTCAAGATTTGTAAAATCGTAGACTAGAAAAAAATGACGAATTCCAATTAGCCTAGCAAATTACTAAAATGATTTTTACCCGTTGTGTTAAATCTTTGGTCTCCCAGCATCCAATGATAATACAGTTTTACTTCTTGGGATCTTCCGGATTATATTCACAGATAGTGGAAGATAATGAAGAAGACAATATTTGCGGGGAATGATGAGAAAACTTGCATAATTATTTAAGTAGTCAGCGTTGATTACGCAGTTAAATAGCAGTAATTTTACGCCAAAGGTTTTTTATTCAAAGTCCACATATTTATTTCATTATTTTCTTTTTATACCATACAATTGGGTGTAACGTATTAGTTCTGTTCATGTCGAAATATTCTATCGTTACGATCTTTATTTGGATGTTTTTTCTAGTAGGAGTTTTGCTATCTTTCGTTTGTTGATAATAACTTTACGTTTGAGCTATGACGTCAAAATCAGACAGATTTAAACCACAAAACTTTTTCCCGTCTCATAGTTATCATGGTCTCCCTTTTAGTTCCATTACTGTGATAAATTTCAAATAGTTGTTAACTCTTTGTTGAAATATAATACAGAGAGAGAGAGAGAGAGAAAGAAAACAGAATCTTCATGAAAATTTATCTGGTCGCTGCTTTTTTATATGATATGAGATAATTTGTCGTATCAGCAGGAATGTACATGAAGTATTTGAAGAAATTTTTGGAAAAGTGTATCTTTGGAAAACTTCCGGTATTGGAAAATATTTCTTTGAGTTTTACGATTAACATGCAAAGTAATTTGCAAAATTAAAAGGTCGAAGTCTGTTTCTCTCTATATTTTTGTCGATACAGTTATCATTTCGATCACTTTTAGTAAGGAAACTCACATCTGTGAGGTTTTGTAATCTGAATTGCAGCTCTTCGGTCGTTTTCACGAAGCACTGGTTAGAAATATCACAAACATCTGGCATAGGGTGTGCCCATTGATGTTTTTTATTTCGATACAATGTTTGTTTAGCTCCTGATTTTGAATTACTTTTCAACAGCTCTTTTTCAGATGGGTACGCGATTTTCACAAGTAACTTTGATTACCACATTTTTAGTTATTTTCAAGGTCACTTAATCTCGCCAAAAAGCTGAAAAGCTGAAAGACATGAACAGGGGACTTTCATTTCGCTATTTGTCAAAAAGGAAATGGTTCATTAGTATTTAGTCCCCCCAAAAAATCCAACTTTTGATTTTTGACTGCAGAATCTTAATGAATAACAGACCTTCGAAGGAGGAGAGAAAACCAGCAGGATCGTTTTGGACCGAGTGTAGGTTATCAAATTTCTCATTTTTTTCTTTGTTTTCGTTTGGAATCTTGGTAATCGCGAATTTAAAGACCCATGAGAGTGAGTTAAAATTAAGGAAATGAGTTCATGGTTGAAATTTTTCAAGAAAAAGTAATATCATGGCAATGCAAGGCATAATAATCTTAAAATAGGGAAAAGTATGGTTTCTTCACATTGCTCTTAATTTATCAAATTTGACTGTGATGCGTTTATGGCTAGATTTTGACCGGGTCTATTCAACAGTAAGAATTTGATGTAAAATATTCAAAGCACTGTTATGAGTAATTATATAGCTTGGATCTAGCGTCATTTCATTCGTGAAATATGAACATCATTTTTAGTTTCGGCTTAAATCTGTGTATGCCGTTTTAGTACCATTTAAAAGTTGTGCTTAGCAGAACGTTCCTCAAACATTTCTGACCTACGCATCATCATTTTTAAGAGAGATAGATTGCTATATAACCTTTTGCTCTGCTGTAGTTTGTACGCATTTTTAGCCTGCAGATAGCAAATTCTAGAAGGGAGAAAAAACGTAGCAAGTAAGGGAAAAATGAGATACTAGACAATGCAATAGCAAATTCTAGAAGGGAGAACAAATTCTAGAAGGGAGAAAAAACATAGAAAGTAAGGGAAAAATGAGATACTAGACAATGTAGGTTCTACTGAACAGCTAACTTAAATGATATTGTCAGCACTTCAAGATTCATTCAATAGCCAGCTAATAATGACCTTTCGCCCCCAACCCTTTCTTTCTTGTAATATATTTTTTAATAGAACTTCTCAAAGTGAGAAATTTGAACCCCTCCTGAGTGTTTTTAAATGGATTCTGAAAGGTGGGCGTTTTAGCTCTCCTGGAACATTTATACAATAAGTATGGTTAGACAAAAAGAAAATTTGAAATTTTCAATCTGGAAGAAAAATTCTAGGCTTGTGAAGGAGGAGAAAGAAAGTGAATCGATGCTAAGCTCGCATTTTTGTGATTTGATTTAATCCATTCCAAGTGGAATTAAAGGCTCTAAGCTTTCAGTCAAAAATGAGGTATTATCTTTATATTAAAGCGATGTGATGCAAGGAGGGATTCTAAGTTTAATGTTTTAGGTTTGTGAAGCTATTGTTTCGCTCCTACGCACGCTAGTGCCGCGTTTAAAATTGTTCCTTTAGAAAGTGGACTCTCTTTCTTTTTCAAACAGGAAAAACAATTTTGCAATCTTTAAAAATGTTTCGTAAGCACTTTCTCTAGAATTTTTTTCAACAAAAAGAAAAGAAAATTGTTTGAGGAAAAAATTAGTGAGGAAGGAACAAAGAAAAGAGGAAAAACAGATAAAAGCAGAGAAAAAAGGAAATAAAAAAGAATTGATCAAAGAGACGATGGAAAATGGAAAAAAGAGCGAAAATACATAAGGAGTGAGGAAGGGAAGGAAAGTTAAAGGAATGCATTAGAAATACTGTCTTTTTTGATCAGCTATTGGATATTCCTCTCGTGAATTAGAATAATAAAAAAATCCCTCCATAAATTAGTGGAAATTATTTGGAAATAATTTAAGTTTTGAAAGTTATATTTATAGTCTGATCGAGGTATTCACCTTTGAAATCAAAACATACTGTGGTAAGGTATTTTTGGAAAAAACCTGACGATGTTTTTCTTTTTTGATGAATTCTCTCCTTGACGTTACTGTTGATAAGTAATTAATCATCCCAAACGTTTAGAAGCCGCTTCCCTCTCTAAACAACTAAACTGATCTTTATCTCGTTATCTTCGTTGGAAATAAGTGGTTTTTTTTTTTTAACTTTCTTGGTTGGCATACTACGTTTTACTTCATTAAATCGGAAACGATTGGATCTTTTATTTTTCTTTCTTTCTTTTTTTAACAGGAAGCCTTATTCTAGAGAAAAAGTTCTTATACCTGCACTTTATTACACTCACGAATTTTGCGATGCGGTCTGCCTTTGAGTCGGACATATGGGGCTGAAACGTTATAAAGCATCACAGAGCCGGATCTGAACTATTCTTTGGCAATACAAATGATTCAGCTTAATCGAGATTTTTTTTCAATTTTCAATGAAGTTTAAAGTCAAATTATACATTTGCAAACACCACCTATGGCTACTGGTGAATACAAAAACTATGCTCTTTACATTCGTTGTAATTATGTAAATAGCCCCGATCAATAATGCAGTTTTGTAAACATTTACCGGCTCGAATTGTTTTCGCCCTTTGAAGTTGGCAAAAAGGAACTTGAGAATAAGTTGACGTCTTTTTCAAAATTTCCCAGTTGACAACATGTCAGTTCCGATTATTTGAGCGGTGTGCATTGCACCTTATTTACCTTCTGAAGAATATGTTCCTAAAGTTCTCGAAGTTTATAGAGGGATAATACCTCTTTTTACATTTCGAGAAGGAAATTCTCTCTACTCACGTCTTTCCACCTCAGTTCATTATAGCACACAAAGGGCGTCAGGATGAAATAATAAGCTAAGAGTCATGAAGATATTAATGTTTCGAACGTACTTGATAACTCGTTTCAAATCCGAGAACGAAATCAATGTCACCGCTTTAGCAGCTGAATTACCTTGTTCAATTGGCGCTCTTAAATCCTTATAAACGACATAATAAAACAAGATGTGTTTCCTCAAGCGAGAGGAGTAAGCACCCTTTTGCTTTTTTCTTCCCTTTCTAAATCTTATTGCGGTGAATGTATTCATATTTAGCGGAAATGAAACATTTTTATTGCCGTTAACCTTAGTTACAAGTTGTATATAAAAAGAAAGATTGATCACTTGGTCTTGAACTTCTAACAATTAATATAAAGTAGAACTTGAAATAGATGAAAGGGCGTCTGGGAATTAAACTTTCGACAAACAAACACGAGAAGCCAAAAATACCTCTTAATAATGTTTTTAAATCATTTTCACTTAAATTCCACCTTGGGTATTCCTCGCTTTTTCCGCGGTCGGCAGATCTTGAAAATAAAGACAAATCAACAGAAATACCAGATAGTTCTTAATTTTAAGGTTTTTGTTTTTATTTCTCAAAATTCGCTTGATTGCTTTCATTTAAAGGCACGTTGGACCGAGCAATCGTGAATACTCTCTAACCAAAACAAAGTAGATCATAGAGAACGCCCACACAAAACTGAAACATTACAGCGGCGATTTTCTAACGTATAAAAGGTACATGATAGTGCAAGTTCCAAGCCCGTGCAAAAGAAATACATCAAAATAGTTCCGCTTTGAAGAATTGAAAAAGATGTCGGTCATGCTCGTCTTCCTCTTCGCCATGATGATTTTCCCTTCGCTGGCCTTGGATGAGACAAACGGAAAGGAACATAAAGACGATGCTGAGTTTCAAACCTTTCATCGCCGACCCAAACCATCCTGCATATGTGGTGTAACCTCAGTGAAATGCTGCCGGAGGAAAAGAATGTTTTCAAAGGTTAGTTTCGGATCCCAGAATGATATTGTGATGGTAGCGTGAGGACTTATATCCTTATGAGGTTTCTTAATTATTTTATTATTTTCTTCGTAAATTGCCCTTTATGCCAAAGTAAATACGAAAGAAACCCTCCTAAAACTAGATGTATAGCTTCCATATCCCATATAACTTCTATTTTCCTCCCGTTACTCAATTTTTTTGCGAAGAGATTTTATTTAAAGAGATATTCGAAAAGCTAACTTCTGTTCTCCGACTTACTATAGATATTAAAGGCAGACAATTAATTTGCTGGTCAGTCAAAATCGGGGATTAAATTCCAAGCAACCACTTCAAATGCTGAGTTGCAGTGTTCTTCTTAACCACAAGGCTTTTTCTTACCTTGAAAAAATAATTCGCTTACCGAGTTGCCATGCATTTGTTATATAACAATAATGTGATCAGCAGACTGTGAGAGTTTAATGCGATAAATTATTTGAAACCCCAATATTTCAAGATTTAAGGGTTGCCGAGACACAGATTTCTTTTTTAAATTTTCTCGTCTCTTTAAATGGCCAGTTTATCACTTGAAAAATATTACAATCAAGCTTACATGTCCGTCTCCCTCTTAATTTGACTGAAACGTTCACAGATAATACTCTCAGACTCAATGAAAATGTCGATCCCAGAGATACAGCAATATGTGTTCATTCTCTGTGCCGTGGAGATTTCCCAAAAAAATATGACAACTTGTAATGATCACGAGCTTCATCTCTGTTCCATACCTTTACCGAAATATCTTTCTAAATGTGGGAGCTATTGGAGAGTCTTGATGATTCCGAAACTTTAATTCCACTTGAGAAATTCTGCGAGATCTTCCATCGTCGGATTAAATTTTCCAAGATTATTTGCCTATTCCTAGCCTGTTCCTTACCCAGATGAAATCATAATAGTTTTGGCCTTGCAGATCGAGTGAAAACGTTACACGAAGTTTCCAAATTTGTCAGAAAATGGATCAAAAATGTGACTATGGCTCTGGTGAAGGAAGCTAATGGTATAGATCGGGAATGGAAAGTTATGGAAGTAACATTTTGCTTGCACAATAACAATGAAATTCCCAAAAACGTATTGGCACAACTGTTCATGAGCTTCTAGATTGATATTCTTAGGCACGTCCTCTCTTTTCACTTGACTGAAAAATAATTTGATAAATAAGTATTTCATCATTTTGTTTTCTTTTTATAGATGGGGTATAGTGAGCTTAATGCTTATGCCAAGAATGGAGGACAACTTCGGGAATAAAGAGTACAACTCATGATGCGGACGTCAAAGATGGCTCTTGATGTCACTGTTTTCACACCAATTTGGAAAATGAGTTATTTCAGGAGAGCATAAAATTAAAAATAGCTACGGCATGCTTACAATTAATTTTCAGCTATTTTTGTTAATCGGCGGAAAAATAAAGGTTTTAAAGGAATAGTTTTCGTGCGAGTTCGCTGAATGCACGCGGGCCTAATAGCACAGATATGATATACACTTTGATCAAAATAAAATACTGTTTGGCAATTTTATTTATTCTTTTAGCTTTAGCTTCACCATTAAAATAATACTGACAACATCACAGGTTTGTGACTGATGATGATCATTAACTGGCGTGGTACGTATCTATGAAACCACCGTTTACCTTTTATTTGCAATTTTACCTCGGGGTACAGGTAAAAAAAAGTCAGGTTATTGCTCATTTGTTGCCTAAGAAAGACTAAGCGCTATTCGTTTGACCCTTTGACTCCCATAATTGGCTGAATTTCTCTTTAAAAATGTCTCTTTAAAAAAATCAATGAAGTAACGAGCGCACAAGAGATGGGAATAAAGAAAATAACAACAAGAGGATTATTTATTGGTTGATCGAATATCAAATTATCAAAACCAATCCCATACAAATCTTATGACGGATAGCAAGGAGAAAGCCTGATGAAATCTTGGAAGTAAAAGGGTTGAATAATTGACAGAAAATGATCCCTCCTGATAAATTTGCAGCAGGAAAAGGAAAACTTTTCACCTATGAAAAAAAACAATCAGAGCTATGTTGGATTCTGGTAAACAATGCTACTTATATCACTGGCAAAGAATAACAATACCCCCCAACCTCTCTAAAAGTCTCATCAAACCTCTATTTGCACCTCAAGAAACCAAAGCCGCCACTCGTAATTGAGAAATCATGGCCGCCATTTTTATTGTTTTGATACCCAATATGGCTGCTGTGACGTCATGTGATAACAACACATAACGACGTCCACAATGTCTCACCAAATGGGATGTAAATATTCGTGTGCGTATGGCAATGGTGTCGATGTGCGTTCAGCTAAGTAGACTTGAGAAGCATTGAGCTTTCAAAAAAAAACTCTTATACGATAGAAAGGTACTCAGAGATGGAAAACATTTTCTAGATATAACAACAGATTAGCCTTTACCAACTGCGGGAAAACATATGGCAGCTAAGGGGAATTTCCCATTATGTCTGGCTTATAAAAAGATCTTGAATAGTCCAAGTTACGAAGTCAGTAGGTGCTTCCATAGCAATCCCCTTGCAATCCAAAACCTGAAGCGTGCCAATTCAGCGGATCCTAATAGAAAATGTACGCCTCTTCTTGTCACTGACCTCCCACCACGACAAAGCCTCTGGTGCATATTGTTACCTCAAAAGACACTGACGTAGTTTAAGAGCTAGATGTAATCTATATGCCACCATTTTGTTGTGATTTTCATCCCGGTTTATATTTTTTCTTCACCTGTTCAAGGGTATTGCATTCTTACTATCAATACGAGCTTGAACGATCTTTATGTTATTGAGGCTGGTGACGTACAAAAATAAATGACGTAGACAGATCTTTGGCACGTATTGTGTTCTTCGCTACAGGTTTTTATGAAAGTTTCCACTCACTGTGATTATTTGGAGTATCCTATGATTTCGATTGAAATATCTCTATTAAAATTTCCTTTTTTAAATTCTGTTTGAAAAACTTTCGGTTTCCAGAGGTTACTAATCAGGAGTTTTCCACCTCACATGCATTCCACGGCAAACATTTAAAATAGAAAAATTTATTTGGCTTCTCGATTTTTTTTTGTATGGTAATGATGTTCATAATATTTGAAATGGAAAGGGCAAGAGCAATTTTATTATCTTTTTAAATAGTTTTTACGTGCGGAAGTTTGTGTTTATTTCACTCGGTTTTCATTATGCTTGTCTGTAAATCACTGTTGCTTTGACAGAAGAGGTAATTATTGCGCTGTAGAAGAGATTCTATCATTTGATGAATGAGTCATTTTATTCATCCCAGAGAACATAGCGACATATTGTTCCTTAAAATAAAGTAAGGTCTGATACAAGATACACTGAATTTAGCGTTTTTTAATTCTTCCCAAGCAATAGTCAATCGGAAATTTGCAACAACCACAATCCATGTTTGAAATCAAATGTAATAAAATACACCTTCGGGCTCCTTCATCAGTAGATTAGCAACCACGCTCTCTATAATTTTTTTTTTCATTTGTGTCAAGTGTTTTCGTAAGTTCGTTTACAAATAATATTCAGAAATATTAACGAGAGGTATTTCCTCAGTTCTTTGAGAGATGCGAAACTGGGCCAGTTTCGGTTAATCTTTGTGAGCCGATATGTTGGAGACAGCATCAGCATTGACCCAGATTTCACTGCCACGACAACCTTTAGACTTTGTACACAATAAAAAAGGGCATTCAGTGCCTATCCGGTTTTCCACCAACGCAGTCCTGACCGGATTTACTTTCTCTGCTCCTTTCCGCTCAAGGGTTCAGTCAACGATACTTCATGGAGAAAACTGTGTCTTTTTATCCAGTCGAACTTTCATTAACGGCCATCCCTTTTGATTCTCCAGGTATTCAGTCCACTCCTTTGCTCCTCGTTTAACTTCTTTGCAACTTCCCCCTTGCCACAACTGCAAAGGCCACTGAATAGCGTCCCGACCGACTTCTAAAGTATCCTCTGGGTACCCTTTTTTCTTAGTGGTAAGCAGAGAGAAACTTTGTTTGGGATGTGTTTCTCTAGCTGTTAGAATGTTTCCCCTGATTACTACATGCCTATCAAAAAAGGTTTTAAAAAAAAGAAAGAATAGAAGAAAGGAGAACGAAAGAAGGAACGAACAAAAGAATGGACTTGGCAAAGTGATCTTCGCTTGAAAATCAAGGACTATGACCGAATTTAACTACTGCATATGACAGAATGTACTGATCGGGATATTTCAATCTTCACAATCGCTTTCGACGGTATGTTTACACCTTTTGGGAAAATTGTGGATGAACTTAATCAGAAATTGTACAACTGGCAACCTGAAATGTTCCTCCCTCAAAAAGGGTTTGGCTGTTTACATCCCTTGTTCCGAGAAGCTAATTCAAACTTGAAAATGAAAGGAGAATTTGCCGCCTGAAACTATTCATTGAAAAATGATTGGTTATGTCGTTCTAAATAGCTTCATTAAACGAAAAAAAATACAAAATTAGCCCCTAACCTCTTGGATTTATCGTTAGTCGCCCTTTCGTAAAATTCCTGCCAGGCCACCCTTTGGTATGAGTAATTGATGTATTTTTAGTAGGTTTTACTCTTGTCCTGGTCGTCTATATTTTGAAAAGCTAGTTTTATTATCCCTTGAGGAGCACAGTTTCGCTTTCTTTTTCTTTACTTCTTGCAATGTTTTTGGTATTTTCCTGTTTTTAGGAATGTTTGAAAAAAAAAATTGGGAAAAAAAACCTGAGAGTTGTACCTCAGGATACAAAGAAGTGGTTTATGAGGACCATAGGGAAACATATGTGACAAATTTCCGATATAACTCGGTCGCCTTGAACATTTTCATGTCCAGAATTTAAAAGTCAGAGAAAGCGTTACAAAACTAAGCCACCCACAAGAATCTTGTAGACATTGGTTGAATTAGAATCGTGACAGAACATTGAAAATGTCAAGCATTACCGCTGAGAATATGGTGACCAGTTCTGCTTCCTTTTTATACATTTCTCTGTTTATTGACCTATGGTTTTGATTCAGCCCTCATTTAAATAACACGCCATCAGTATCAACTAAAAGATAAAATTTCTTTGCATCGGCGGAAAATAAAGTACATCCATAGCAACTTAAAGCAAGCCTTTAAGTTCACGCGCCTTAGCTTCTTGTAACATTGTCTCGTAGAAGATATTCGCAAGATCAAACTTTTTCATCGCCTCCGTCCTTAATGGCTCTGCTTCTTTTGTCTCCGTTTTCTACATTCGCCCATTCTTTTATTCCTTATAACAGCCTGTTGTTTTGTTTCCATGCTTCGAATCTCTTCCAAACCTGTGAAGGGTAAATAGGAGTTTCATTTTTTTTTTAAATTCATTGTCAACGTAGCGTAAAATGCAGCTCTGTTTTTTTTGCGAAAGAGTCTTTCTTTTGTACTCGATCGTCGGTAATTTAATCTAACGCTCGGCCTTATCCTTTGTGCTTAACAGTTTCTTCACATGCAGAGTTCACCGTCATTATCATGCGGGAGTTCCAAATGCTTTAATCCAGGGTGCACCGGGCCATTATAGGTCACTGTTTTCCAACTTCGTTTTGCTTTGTTTATTCATATGTTTGACATCAACTTCATATTTAAGTGTTTAAATACAATCCATGGAATGACGAAAATATAACTTCTCTTCGACTTTTGAATGTCTTCAAGAATATCTTAAGTTTTTCTGTAATTTTTCATTGCAACAACAGAGTAAATTGGTTCTCTTTGTACTCAGTGGCAAGGAAGTTGAAAATACGAATCTAGTTCATAAATTGAGCTATGAATAATTTTAAATCGCCTCTTTAATAGGCGTTAATTCAAGGACGATCGCTCGATGATGAAAAGCTTTGACAGAAAAATATATTATCGTGTGTTCGATCGATTCATGATGTATCTTAAACGAGTAAAAGTTACTAGATTTTTAGCATAGCGTGAAAGTTCAGCTACGGCGTAGTTTATGAACAGAACTTAATGTTCAGATGGCAGACAAAACGCAGATGTATTAGAATAAGATAAATGAGAAATATTTGAACGATAAAAGTATTAAGAGAAGTAGGGAGGTGCTGTTTTTTCAAGTTTAAAACATCGAAGAAAATGGGGGAAGGAATGCGACAAAAACATAGATTTAACGAAGGCGAAGTGTCGATGTGAATGTGGTTCTCATATTTTTACACAAGAAAATCATTTTTAGTCCAAGACTAGTCTTACATTTTATTTTTGACAAAGGCATTAAATGTAACGGTTTCTAACTTGAATAACTTAAATTCATTTTTAGCGTCTATCAGGTATGGACAAAATAATAGATTCGTTAGATTACAGAGGACGGAAAATTCTGAAAAAAAAAGTAGATTAGAGAGAAAGCTGACAAAACATGTTGTGCAAAAGTCTTTCTGCGTTGTGAAAGAAAAGAAAACAACAACAAAAAAAAAACCCTTAAAACAACAGTGTAAACAACAAGAAAGCCATGCAAGGGCTAATATCAAGTGGCCGACTTGAAATGATTACTTTAAAAGCTTTCCTTCAATATTATCTAATTGAAATATGCAGATCTTACCCCTCGTTCCTTGCAACACTTGAACGATGTTAGTCCACAAAAGCAAGCTAAAGTGGATTGACCCGAAAGACTTTTCTGTTTGTGACTGCCATCTCCACTTCCTAGGAACTCGTCATTCCCAGCTATTTCAAAAGCTATTGAAGGAGATGAGATTAGGAAAAGGTACGCTAAGAGGACAAATTTTGTCGAAAACATCTCAAAGTTTTCTTCCTGAAGGAAATATTTCTAGAGGAAAGTTCGATAGATATTGAATCGAAAAGACCTGAGTGGTTTGTTGGTTGATCCAAAATTTTGTCCTTTTCCTTTCGTTTATATGCTTTTTGAAACTGCAGGTGCGTTCCTCTTTAAAAGGCATGGGCGGAATTTGGCTTTGATATATTTTTTCGTTTGTTTGGGAAATCTCTTACATTCCTCATAAAAACGAGTGTCTCTAAGTGTGGCCACGATACGAAACGATCTAAACTTCATCAATTGTCATTAGCAGCAGCGTTATATTATCTACCCACTACCCACTACCCCTTCCGAAGCACTTTACAGCTTTTGTACGCTGATTCAAAAGGTCAAGGAATGAATAATTACTTCCTATTGGACTGATCAAAGGACTACTGAAACAGATGAAGCATTGCATTGGGTTTCTATCTGTTGCAAAACCAAAAAAAAAAAATGTTGTAAATAAACCACACACTACATCACTGTTTTTATTGACACTTCCTTAACTGAAGATGAAGGCAGATTGCAGCTGATGGGAATGTTGTGTTGAAAATGCACAAGTCAATATTATTAGTTTTGATGAACTGAAGTTACACAATTCATCAAAAAAAAAAAAAAGAAATTTATACTAGCTTAAAAGGCAGATTTTATAGTTTTACTTCATTCTGGAGCGTCACACGTCGACAGAGAAATATTCAAGAGGCATTTGAGGAAAATGTTGTTTACTATGTTTTTGCACACAAAAGAACTGCAGATGTAATAGTCCGTAAGTATTTTGGAAAGGAAGCATCGTTTGATGATAGAGCAGTAAAAAAGCGGACATTACCAAATAAGCTTTTGTTTCGTTCCCAATTAGAGGAGTGCATTTTCAAAAAGTTTGGCCTTTGATTTCATCCAGTTTAGCGTTTTCTTCTCAAATGTTTGGCATCACTTAAAATTTTGAATTTCAAGAGCTCATTTAGTGAAATGTTCGGCGAAGTGATCGTTAATAAATAGCATTTAGGTTGTCGAAACGAAACGGCAGAATGTTTTATCCTTAGGGGGAGTGTGTTTTTCGTTTTAAACGGGATACAGAACCTCGTGATGTCAATACTGAGTATCAAAGGTTTATGAAAACAGGAAATATTAGCTTTCCAATACTATCATTTTCTTTTCAGCACTAAGGCAGGAGGTAAGTATCTACAAATATAACATAGTAAGCGGGAGGTCGACACGACTTGACAAACTTGAATCAAATCGTCTTCTTGCCTTCGATGCGCAACACTGAAACATGAAACCAATAATCGTCCTTATAAGCCAAAAAGAGGTAGAAGCTTTTTTCATCTTAATTCAATTTTTTCTGTATCTTAAACTAGATGCATTTCGGAACGAGAAATTGAAAATTCTGAGCTAGAGTAAATGGCTGTGTTGTTTTCGACGTCACTGTTGTTTTTCAATATAAATGATGTTAATGTTACTTGTGCTTGCCTGACGATCACTTAAAATCTTAGGGCTGTTCTTCAATGGATTATACAGAAAAAAAAGTGTCTGCCCTAATCAATGAAAGGATACGAGTATGATTGTATGATTATAAACATAACAAATATGCGCTTCAAAATATTTTGTAAACTTATATCCCTAACCTTGTGTCGTGGGGAAGAGTGGGCAGTCCAAAACGAGATTCAATTGTATTTGAACCGAGAAAACAAAGTTTTGAACATTTGATCTGTGAGTATTCCAAAAGATGAAAGTCAAGAGCAAGAACGTTAAACCATTGCATTCCCACTTTATCATTTTTAGGCGAAATTTAAATGATAGATTGTCAAATAATGAAATTGGTTGGTTGCGTTTCTTGATAATGCGAAATTAGGTGAGTGAAAACAAAATCGTGTGATTGGGCGATCAGGATACAATCGACCTAAAACTGATGCTGTGCCGTACAGAAAGAGATTTTTTTTCTGACCAACACTCTCTTTCAATAATAATAATATTCATAGAAGAATACCAAGCGTCTGATAAAATTTTGTTCGGTCTTGTTAACGATTTTTTAAAAAAAGACTTGATCAATGGAGTAACGACCGATTATCTTAAGCCCAGGCAGCGTACACAGCATCTAAAACACTTCTAGAAAATGAAACACAATTGCTTCTTAAGTTGCTCACATATATTCATATTATGAGAAGGTGGTCGAACACAATCATTCCTTTTTTTAAGTAGTATATACTTAAGCAACCCTATCAAGTTCGTCCATGCTATCGAAGGACTAAGTAAAAATTATGACGCTAACCGCGTTTTGAGATGCTATAGTGAAACCCAAAATTCCGAATTGCCTTCAAACGTGCTTGAAATTCGACTTTGCATGCCGCTATTTTTAATATTTCCAAGCAATCTAGCCGCTTTCCTGTGATTTAACAAAGTCTCAACTTTTCGATTCCTTTTCAACCTCTCGATGTTCTGTTTTGGCGACAAGGAGCAGCTGTGTGAACCATGGGTCATGGTTCTCGTAAATAGAGGTTAAATCTTGTACGTCATACTACCATGGCAAGCGTGACCACATCACTGAGTTCTTTTTTATAATGCGGTGTCCTACTCGAACAAAATATTATAAGGCTCTAAGCTTTTTTCTCTTCAGAATCTCACATTTTATGTAGTAAGTATTAAATTTTTATAGATACGTTCCACTTTCGGAGATGGAAATTTTTTGGTTTTTAATAAAAGAGATGCACGAGCGAGAATGGGTAAGGAGACTCGGAAAACGACACCTTTTGCCTCGCGATGGTTTATAAAAGGCGATCGTTCTGATGTCGACGAGTTTTTTTGTCGGAAGAAACTGTGGCGCTGCGTCCGTGGGAGAGTGTAATAGGGTAATTAAGTGTTGTCAAGTGAGTTGATAACGTAAATTGGCCACCTTAAAGAGTTTCAAAGCTGACATTTCGCTGACTGCAAATTATTCAATCTCACTTTGTGCAAAGTAAGGAAAATAATAATAAAAAAAGACCAAAGCAAAAATAAAACGAGTAATAGTAAATAAATGAACAAACTGAAAACTTATATTTGAATCTTTGAATTTTGCCCATCTATTAACTATGGCCCTAAAACGTGCCACGAGGGAGTGAATAGAATATGTGATTTTTATTTTTCTTAGAAATTACATCGCTGTTTGCTATGTTAAGCTAACCGGCTCTTTCCACGCTGATCAAGGCTGAGTAACTCTTTGGTTTGAAGATTTCTACAGGTCATGTTTATCCTCTCGGATGTATACGTCCCTTGCGTTGATGCTTTTCTTCTAAAATGAATTGAAATAGTTAAATGATAATATGAAAATAACTTGACCATTTAAGACCAAGTTTTAGTTTCATTTTCATAGAAAATGAACCAAAAGAAAATGACGAGGAGAAAACCAAAACACGGACAAGGCACTTTACGATCGTCTCTGCAACTTTGCTCACAGAATTCACATATTCCTTCATCTTTCCCTTTCTTTCTTTCGCCTGCGGAAAATTCAATGTCATGACCTAGTGGAGTTTTGATCTACCGTGTAGCAAGAAGGTTTGGCAAGAGCTGAATTTTTTGGATTGGCGCCATTTTGAGTATTGGGAGCATTTCTGCATGTCTGACATTTCTGTTGAGGACTTCTTTGCAAGTTTCATCGAGTTATTAGATAATCTTAAGTCCTGTTGCAATGTCTCCTTTGTGAAAATAGCATGATGGAATTTCGAATACGAACAGGAAGGCAAGAAGGTAATGTTTCTTTTTATATCAGAGTGCGAAGAATTACGTTTTCGAACAGTTAGACCTAACAATTCGAATCCGTTCCGAGATTAAAAAAAAAAAAGACAACAACAACAACGTTTGGGGTACTTTGTGCTTTAAGCAAGATGTAATGAGAAGGTACTTTGACGTGCATTAATTCGCCAGTTACCTGTAAATGTGACCTTCTTCTCGCAACGCGACATTTTTTCCATCCATGGATGCCGCAAGCGCGAGGAAACAGTAAGGGAACCTTCTCCGATATTTCATTGCCTGTAATACTTGATGTTACGGCTATTATAGCCAATAAAACCAGCAACCTTGCCATGTCCGTTTTGGTGAAGCTGTAATAAATTGACCGTTGATTTTGGTAAGTGATATTACCTCTCGCTTTATATCGCTTTTATCTGAAATTAGATGCTTGCTTATCGTGGATGTTATCCAAAGAGAGTGATCCATTTTGCTATCTTCGGAACTACGATCGATTTCTTAATTAGCACGATAACGTATGTTTGTGGTATCAGATGATACATTATGCGATACACATTGAGCATTCGTCATGAAAAACCTAACAAGAATTGAGTTAAGTTATCGTTCATCGCTCACAGACCAAAGTGGAACATTCGCGAACATTTTGCGGAGGAAAGGAACTGAAGCCTTTGCACCGTGAAAGAGGTTTTTTTCTTTACTTTTTTAATTCATTCAAGTCATCCTCTCGAAAGATTTCGCTTTTATTTCATTTTTTACTACTTTGGAGCTTTCCTATGATTTAAAACATTTCAAAAATTATTGTATTTTTTTGATCTTGCCAAAAAGGTTTTATTCGAAGATTCTCAGCTCACTTCTAAGAATAGCTAAACAAGAAATGATTTTCTTTTCATGATAATGTTTATGCTTTCATCAAAAATTTTCGTTAAGTTTAAACTTTATCTACCGTGATATTACGAGCATTTCATTGGCTATATTTGTTTTTGTATCTATTTTTATCTTTAGGAATCGCCAGTTCCTTCTAAGAAACAATCTGTGTAAAATCCTCGAGATCTCGTGTGACAAACCATCTGGTCAACTTATCTAGATATCTTCCGGCCCCTATTTCTCTGGGCGGCGGTAAATCATTTATGCTCGGAGGTAGGAGTGGCAATTTTTTGATAATTTCAATCACAGAGGATAATTTCTAGTTAGTCTTTATAATACGACTTCAATAAAAGCTAAAAACTTTCGAAGAATTCAGAATTACTGTTTGTGCGTCTGTGTGTTTGGAACGAATCAAAACATTTTGATATAAACTAAGGATGGAGTATCAGGTCGCACAGTCTTTTTTGGCCGATTAAGACCACAGCAAAGTCGCTTATAATTGATTTTTTTAATAATCAGGTGGATAACCAGATTTTCGGTTAGCTGCATTAGTTTACGTATTCCTGTCAAACGATTTAGCAATACTCGTGACAGTGTGCGGTAAAAATTCCGTGCGCTTGCAGGGATGTTACTAATGCAAAGATACTAAGAAGTTCAGGATTTGATTGTAATTTGCTTAAATATTGGTCATTTTATATTCTCATTCCTTACTCCCAATTCTTCCCTTTTCATTTCCTATTCCTCGTACCCCATTCCTCCCTTCCATTTCCAATTCCTATTCCCCATTCCCCACCCCCATTCCTCATTTTCCTGCTCGCAGGTTATTTGTTTATGCGCTTTATTTAGCAATAATTAACCCCTCTTATGGAAACTCCAAATTCGCGACGCGAACGCTTTTTGGGAGATACTTTAGTACGAAGGGAGGATAAAAGGGATTGACAGGGACATGTCGCTGATTCTTTTTCTTACTTCAGGCGGGATCAGAAGTCATTTTGAGCCAAGAAAAAAATAATCCAATTCTACCATGCTTGATTTCGCATTAGGCCTACCAGAGGAATTTGGATCCTTTTTTTTTCCTTCCGTACAAGGCTACGAGAAACATGGGAGGAAGGGCTCCTTATGGAGGTTCAGTTTCCCACAACAACCGTTAGAATATCCTCCACAATTCAATTCAATTCAATTCATATACTGCGAAGCTGGAATCACGCATCGGTTATTTATACGAGTGCGCATGTACGGAATACGTGTTACTTCTGTGCAAGTCATAAGGTTAAATTAGCTGCTTCTTGTATGTGACTTTTCTTTCTTCGCTTTCGCTTGGAGAGCGAATCGATTGGATGAAAAGAAAGACAAAAAGAGAGGTACGAAGAAAGATGGAAAATCAGCTTCCCCTGTCCAAATTTCTTTGAAAACTGAATAGATATTACATGTGAACGTACATTTTGCCATAGATGGCCAAATCATGAAGAGACATTTCAAATTTGGCAAGTCAGCCACTTATTGATTCCCAAATATTCTTTATCCAGTACCTCGCAGAAATAAACCAATTGTTAAGAATTTTCCTTTGGTCTCTAGACTAAACAATGTTAGTAACCGATGATTGCTTTCACACGAGTCACCGACCTGTGAAATATGATATCTATATATATGTATATATGAAAAGTGTCTCTCAGTTGCCCATAATTAAACTGAATAAAAATTAAATTCTTTGTTCTTTATAACGTCCTGATGGTAGTTCTGTCAGTCAGTATTGAGAGGTCAATTGTTCTAAAAAAACCACCTGATTCAAGGATGGATCAGTAAAATACGATTATCACCAAATACACCTGATGGGTAAGAAAAAACAGAAAAGTGATTTATAGTCTCACGTCACTTTTTTTATCAAAATGGAGAAAATAATTCACTTCTCCTGCAAAAGTATTATGCTAGACGCGTCATAGGGACGCCAAATTATATATATGCGGTCACAAATGCTAAAGTGAAGATTAATTTGCCAAAAAAGTAATTATTTTTGCCATCTGGCGTTGAATGGATTTATAGTTAAATATTGTCAGAAAACTGAAAAATACTTAGTAATAACACCAATTGAAATCCTTTTTTACGCAAAGCAAATAATCATGCCAAAGAAAAATGCGCAAGATGAAAAGTAAGCGTAAAGTCATAGAGCTCTGTCAAAGACCATTATTTTGCCCCAAGACAAATGCCTTTTTTAGATTATTCTCCAGATTTCGTTGTCTGCTCCTAACAGTAACTTTGAAGAAAAATAAAGTCATAAAACTGATTTTTGAGAACTCCTGCCGAGATTTTGCGAATATGGTCGAGAACAATAGTAAATGAAAAGTTACTTTGTTGACTGTAAATACTGCGAGGATTTTAGCTTGGTGGATGCACTTTAAGATAAACCAAATTTACGAATTGACGGTAATGGTAAGCCGAATTTTGTAAAAAGTAAATGAATGAAATACCGCTAATGGAGTTCTTAAGAGTAAAGGTCAGTCATTTCAACGCTGCTGTATTTTTTCCAACCCCTTTGTAGGATCACTACGGGAAGACGCGATCCAGCAAGAAAGCCTTGAGGGGTTACGAAGCACCCACGCTACAACTGATGAGGAAAGCTTTATGTCTACAAGGAAGACCGCCTCGTTGTTCCATTTGCATGGGGCCATAAACATAATACGTAGGAAGATAAGTGAGGGTCATTTTACAATTCAACGATTTCACTCATGAATTGAAATAAAAAATGGCATGTGCGGATGACCTCAATATAGCGTTAGATAATAAAGAAAAGAACATCCGGCAAGATCCGTTGCTTTGTAATGATTATTACTTCTCTGTTTTAATGATTAAAATGGAAATAAGAGCATGAAATAGGGGGTGGCACTTTATCGCCTTACATCAGTGTGTTGGCGTCCGTTAGTTCAATTCCCATAGGGTAAACAAACTGGTTCACCTTTCCAACTGCCTGATATGAAAGCCACCTTCCACAAATGATTTGCATGCGTATGACATTGTATTCTGTAAGTATATAAAGATGAATATCTGTATCCGTTAAATTCAAGTGAAATCAGCTTCCGTGACTTGTCATGAATCTAATGGTGCATTCCCGCAATCAGGCGACAGGAAAACGGCGTGTGTTTTAATAAGCGTTTGATGTATATCAAACTGAATTATCTCTATTGTGTCATTGCAAGGAAGTCCAACCAATGAGGCTTGAAGGAAGAAATTTGTCATATGAAATTTTAAGTTGCTTTCACCATGTTTTTTCATCCGCCCCCATTTAGTAATCAAAGAGTACACTATGCGTAAGGTGTTGATTAAATGTAGCGTACTGGAAGCGAAGACGGGAACAAAGGTTTAAGGGAAAATAAATATAAATGAAGAGTACTTACTGATTTTCGCCCAGCATTTTATTGTTTTACAATAGGTTACTCATTTTGGTTTGCATATGAAAGTTGTTCAATCAGTAATTATGTCTTAAATTTATATGGAAATTTTGACTGCTAAACAGCTGCTTGAAGCAGTGGATATGCTATGTCAAGCTTTACTGATTTTGAACTGGTCAGGTATGGCTGAAACATCGTTTATGAAATAAAGTCCAGTATTTTCTTTTTACGATTCATATAATTTGCCAAACTTAACAGTACGAATATCCCAGGAGCAAAGCTTGGACCTCCGCAGCGGGACTTCTGATAAGCAAGCGTTTCTATTATGTTAATTAATGATTTAGATCGTAATTGAAATCATTTAAACAAAGTATTTTGGAGACTAAAAGATTTACGCCGCCCACAGTGAATCACATAAATTTTGCTAGGAGTACTCTAGAATTGTCTCCTAACGAAAAAAGGAGGATAAAAAGACCATTTTCTGAAGGAAACCTTCATTCTCATCGTGAGGATTCTACCGTATTCACAGTTGATTAAGAAACCTCTGGTTTGCTTACCATAATTTTCTGAGGATACCAATCATACCAAATATGAAAGGAAAGTGTTTGTTTACCCTCGCTTGGGTGGCTTTAGTCTCAATAGCCCTGTCAGTGATGGTGGATGTCGAAGGAAAACACCAGGAAAGGATGAACATTAACGAAGGAAAGGTGCAAAGGGCTGAGGAAACTAAACGAAGTAAAACTGAACACAGCTTGTTTCCACGCGTCTGTGGATACCACTCGTGGGTTGTGTGTGGCAGAAGAAGACGATCGAGTTCAGGCAAGGTAAATTTTAACGCAACACTAGTGTAGTCTGGGAAAACTATCACACGGATTAAACTGTTTATCAAAACCGAAACTGCTATCTGGCATCGCCTTTTGTGGCTGTCGGGTTGGGTGTTTTATTTATCGTATTTTTCATGGCGCAACTTTATGTCCACTGTGAAAATGTTCTGTTTTTTGTTCTTTTCAGCGCTTTTTTAGAGCAAACTTCTCGTAAGCGCGTTTGTCTCCAACATTTTAATATTCGTTAGTGATTGAGAACTATAATTATTATTGGTGTTACTATTATCATTTTTACCATTGTCATAATTTCCATTATCGTTAAAATCAATGCTATAGCTGTTTATATTACTGTTATAATTATTATTATTATTATTATTATTATTGTTATTAGTTTCATTATTATTGCTATCACTAATATCAAAAGTTTTACTACTGTGGTGGTATTTTTAGCCTTCATATCCTTCCAATGAACTTCAATTTCAATTCCATTCATCCATGCTTATTTGACGGGTGTCTGTTACAATTTTTCGTTATTACCAAATTTTACGTCATGCAGTATGAAGTTGAAAATGGTTGACTTAATTTTCTCCGTTAGTTAAAGGTTTTGCCTAATTCATTATTAATTAGCAGACTTTTGTTTCTTCTGCAGAAACGGGGTAAAGAAGCAAGCTTTAACTTGCAAGATGTATTCGAGGATTTTTGACAACTTTGACAAAATCTGGACGATGGATCAATCGGAGAAAGATTAGGGTCGAGTTATCAGAACAGACGAAATTCGTTTCAAAACAAAATTAAAAGTTAAAGTAACGCCTGAACTATTGCGAACGGAATTGGTTCTGTTACCGAAGTTAAGTCAAATAAATTCCTTAAGCTTTCTTCGAACGTCTCATGGACGACAATGCTATTTTTCTTTACGTCCACACATCTTAAAAAAGATTGTTATCGACGAGACAAAAAGAGAAACAAATCTGATGCATAATACCCACCCCACCCACGGCAAAACTGAATCAGAGCTCCAAAAGCCTCGGTTGAAAAAAAAAAAAAAAAAGAAAAAAAAAAAGAAGAAACGCAGAGGAGACAGAAACCCCAGACTCAAGCTTTCGAATTAAAACAAAGAATACGAGAGGCATGGACACCACCACTAACATATCAACAGTTCCCATGCTTCTTAATGCAGTTCGTTTTCTGATTACTAATAGAGCTCAAAAAGTCGAGCATGGGAAAAAAATGAAGAGGTCAATAAAAACAGCCTCAAATTTAGGTTCAATATGAAGAATAGCGGAACAGAACTCTAGTTCTGGCATGAAATGATCGTCTGTCGGGATGTCTGTTTAGTTCATAACCGACTGGATAACACATTGAGAAACGATTACACTGTTATTTGCAACAAGAAATACTCAATCAACACCGTTTGAGTTCTGTTTGTTGCATAAGCTTCAAAAAGCTTAAACGAGGAAGTGCAAATTAATCTAGAAAAACGTGTGAACTAAAAGATTTCTTAATCATGTTGCAAATTCTGTCCGCTTTGAAGTACTCTTAGCGGGCTTTGTTCGAGTCATTTATTGAAGAGCGGCTTGGTGTATTTCTTTTGGATTCATGCACCTTGAAAGGTACAACTCGAATCATGCACCTTAAAAGGTACAGCTCGAATATGTTGCCAGACAAGGTGGACACCTCCGCTGTTGGACTTTTGATGCGAAAGCATGCTAATTTGAGTCATAACTCAAAGAATTTCAACATGTTTTTAGACATTAGAAGATATATTCAGTTCTTATTGAGAACACACAAATTTAGCCTCGAGTTCCCTAAAACTGTCCGTTTTTTTGTCCGTTGCGGCTTAAAAAACTAACGATTTCTTAAGTAATCGCAAGGAAGATGAGAGGCAAATATTATCTTTTACTCTCCATTGTAGTTTTATTTTTTTTTTCCAACTTGTCAGTGACGGCGGATGGTAATGAAAAACACAAAGAGGAGGCCATGGGGCAAAACCTTGCCGCTGTTCAATGGGGCAGGTCGAATTAACACGGCGTTGTAACGTAGGGCATACACGAGAGGATTACATTTGGGCTTCCGCGCGCCAATTTCCCGCGCAAAATGTCCAAGGATAAGACAAGCGCTGTCTCACATAATAAGCGGAAGGAACTTAAGAGGCTGTCCGCGTAAGAAAGGATAAGGCAAATTTCGGCCCTGCACCGATTTCTCTAAGTTTTTCACTGGAAATTACAATATTATCCCATGTACAAATATCACATTTATTTTGATCAATTTCATTCTTTTTATTTTTTACGAGACAATTTTAAAGGTCACCCCAAAACTGCTCAATTTGTCTTCTGTGTCCCCTATAATTAAGCTATAAATATCGAGCGCTGCCAAATCCTTATTTCCCAATCTAGAAAGCTGATTATTTTACATATTTAAGAATGACTTTATTTCAATACTTCAAAGGTGAAACAAGTCTATTGCAGCTTAAAAGTACTTAGATAGAGCAAGTTAAACATAGAATTTTCATAAATATCCGACGTCTTGATCGAAACCAATGATAACGCATTCCGACCAGCAGACAGGTTTGTAAAGCTTAACAGCCCTAAAAGGCTTAAAGGTGCAGGAACAATTATATGACGGAGTATCAAGATCGATGTTAATCATCATTTTGGCCTTTTTTTAACGAAATGAAAATAATTTTTAATTCCTATATGCAAATCAACAGCAGCCGATCGTGCTTATACGATGCACGTCACAAACAGTTTCCGTAACAACAATTAGCCATTCAAAGAAGTGTTTTTAAGAATGTGGAAACTCAATTGTTGTATCTTTTCTTGAATGCACTACGTAAAATTTCAAGAGCCATTTTCTTTTAACACAATGCGCTAACGGAATCCAGTTCGTTTTGATAAATAAAGTTGTTCATTTCGCTCAAGTGTTTTTATCTCGATAAAACACGGTCCGACAGTTTATTAATATCGGGACCGAGAATGAGAGGTTGGTTTGTACATCAGAAATAAGTATCATATCATGTTTACGCCGTTGTATTTGAGATATAGGTGTGCTGAAGAACAAGCAAGGAGGGAGAGCTTTCTTGCGGTTAATAAATTATGCAAATTAGCTTCAGAAAGTTATGTAATATGTAGTTTAGGACACATTTTTTTTTGGCGTTTTCTTGATGACCAAGAGTTGTGTGTGTGTGTGTGTGGTTTTTTTTTAAATTTTTTTTTTTTTTAGGAATTTTTTCCGCATTTTCAAGACAAAAATTTTGTATCATATTTTTATGACCATTTTCATTTTCTATGAGGCGCTAAAAAAGAGCCGTGTGTTTCTGTTTCACCTAATTAAATTACTGATTAATTTTGATAAAGAAATTCGACGGCAGCTACATTTCCTTTTAATACAGGTACATCTCTTCAAAAACACACGAACTGTTTTTTGCTTAAAGCTTATTAAAGTGAAGACTTTTTAACTTTTCTGTGTGGCATTTCTATTTTTTGTGAAAGAATATTTGGCAAACTTGTTTATTTCTTCCTAGTTCAATTAAAATCTGTCGGGAACAAAACGATCTGTCGGCAACATTTTCAGACAAATCCGAGACAGTGTTTCTTGGGACGTTTACTTTGTTAGCACTAAAAATGCCTGCTGTCTCCCCAAATTATTCTCTTTACGAAATACTGCAAAGTCGGTTCTAGTGGGGAGGAAGTAGAGCATGCTTTGTTCTCCGAGTGTAACGCAGATATATCCGCCCATTTGGCGAGCTGCTACTTGTCAAAATACAGCGAGGTTACAGAAGCCAAGTTAATCATGGCGAGAGCGGGAATTCAGCATTTGCCGAGAAGTGAGCTCGAGGGAATGACCATCTGCCCGAGGCACAGACACTTACTAGGAAGATTCTAACGACTGCTTAAAGAAATCTTGCGCTTTTTTGGAATACCATTTAATTCAAGAGACAGGAAAAAAGACCTGATTGAGCAACTGATGTCCTTTATACAAGAATGTCAATGCTTTAATGAAGTGTGACACACGGGCCGCGGTTGGGATGACTGTCAGCATGGAGCCCTGGCAAACCAGTGATAGGGCATTTAGAGTGAATTTGTTGAAGAGCAATGTGCACCGCCTCTAAGTACCCTGATGTACAGTTCTATATCGATGAATGAAAGTGCTTAAAGTATTAACATGTAATTAAACCCGTGAAAACTATTTTAAAATTGGCGCCTGTTATTTTGTAGCCATGCCTTTAATGTCAAAACAAAAAAATCATAAGTCTACCGTGACCGTGAATCATGTTGACCCTCACTCTATAGCATGTACGAGCATTTACAAAAGAGATTTTCTCTATTGGCTCCTCGAAATTTTCTCAATGATTTATGCCTTTAACTTAAATTACTAAATTCGCTTACCTACTTTTGGAAACGTTTATTAAATTAAATATACCAATTTCTATCGGTTGCATAATTTCTCAATTTCTTCTGGGAGATTTTCATACTCTCGATGGAAACATCATCATATCATGATATAAATGCCGAACTAAATGTTTCTTTAATTTGAGTTCACCAGCCGTGAGACAATCTTTTAATGCTGGTATTGCGTGACTAGGCTAGTTCACGGCAGTCCACAGTCACGCTTAAAAATCTCCACGGCGTTAATCATGAGAACCAACTAGCTCGCAATCTAAAAAACTTTCACAAATAGTAAGACGAAATTTTTCCCCAAGTACGGGTGAATTATTTTCCTGAAGAAAAACGGCAAAAGAGGTCTGAAAAGATTATGCACAAGATAAAAACACTTGCGCGAAATGAACAACTTGGTTGTCGAAAAAAACTGGATTCCCCTAGCGCATTGTGTTCAAAGGAAATGGCTCTTGAAATTTTACGTAAAGCTGTCAAAATCTACTGCCAATTAACTCTCAGTGAAGGGGTTTCATATGAATACTACAGAGCCTAAGGGAGGAATAAGTTAAATTTTATCGGGACAACAACCAAAATCCCCCACTACCACACCCTCCCTGGCGATAAATAATGGTACCTTAAATGGGTTGCTCGCGTAAAGAAAATACTCATTGGCCACAAATTTACTGATGCATGAACCATAACTGTCTTTTCCCTAGTTTATGAAAGAAATCACTTTAAAAGTGTTGCCATTTGTGGGTACATTGCACTGCTGAGAGCCAACAAAATTGCTAAGATAATTAGTAATTTCAAATTGGATCTAGTAGATTCTTTTTTTAAAACATGGCTGTGGCTGAAAAGGACTGGAAACAATCAAATTTAAGAGTTAGATGGAGTTTGTACTCCACAAAGACTACTAAATTGCGAGGTTTAGACTCCAACGCCGATTATATGGCTAACGTTGGAAGGCAACTATTTTCATCCGCTGGGTGCCACAATATCCGAATTTTTGGGTCCTTCGATCTCTCATGGCTCTTAGTTGCCTGAAGAGTGATAATCCGCTCATGTGGTATTAACTTTATAAACAACGGCTGACACAGAAAGTGATTGAAGCAATACCCTTTTATTTGAAATAGCTTTACAGAGCTATACCTTAATTCTCAGGGTCAAACAATATAATGAGAAACGACCTCTTTGCGATCACTGGATCGTAGTCCCATAGTTGGTAGCCATGTAGCTGCGGAACTGATAGTTGCCCATATTACAAGCTCGAACATTATTTATCGGTGCTCCAGCATTATCCCAATTAATCGCGAACGTTTGACCAGGCTTGTGAGACCATCGACCACGACGGTTCAGAACATACCAGTGGAAGTCAACATCTGTGGAACAAGGAAATACAGCAGGTTCTTCAAAATATTGCACAACCCTCATTAATTTTATCTCCTGGCTGAGGGTGGATTGGAGGAGACGACTGGTCCCCTCTATCCCCTGACAACAATGACATTCCCCTAAGTCCTCTTAGCTTCAGTTCCCTTCCCTATAAATAAAGTCTGATCCCTAATGGAAAAGCAAATAAGAGCATGCTACTATCACCGCAAGTGAACTTCAAACACAAAATGTTTTTCAGGGAATAATTATATTTTAACAGTTTACGTCGTGTATTGACTCCCAAGTTAAATGTACTATTGATTGCTATGGAAAATATACCTTTAATGGTCTATGGATAATCGGTGCGGTTGAAGTTATGGAAACCTACTATTTTATGATGCTGCGTTGTGATTGGTTGCTTTTCTTCAGGTGTGATTCTCGAACCTTATTGCTTCTGTTCTCATGTTGGCTAGTTGATTTACAATGCATTTGAGAACTTTTTTTGTGGGAGAAAAAACAAAAATTCAAAATTTCTAAATTTGTACCCGAGTCGCTTCTCATCTCAGTATTTCTCCAGAAATTAACTTCATTTCCTTTATTTGAAGGTAAAGATGCGATAAAAGGTGTATGTATAGCCCAATAATTAACAGATAGAGACTCAGCCTTGACTGTGCTCTGTTCTGTTGTAAAGCACTCAAGAAGCGGCTAGAGGACGAAAGCATTGTAGAGAGAAACACGAGACGTAGTCGGGTGTTTCCCCACTTCTTGAGTGTCAACAGTGTTGTCAGCATGCCCTGTACTCTCACAAAGCACGCTACAATCAGCCAATCAGAATCCTTGTTGGAATAGATCGAATAATCTGATTGGTCGAACAAGATTAACGCTGTCAAACCATCAAAGTTCACAATCTGTGAACAATTCGCAATTGTGGCTCATAAAAACATTCAATTTTTTTTTCTACATGACAAAAGAAAACTCACTGCTAAAAGGCGTGTGTTTTATGAATGAACGGCAGCCGGATTTTACAAAGACATTTCTTGGAATGCCAGTGCCCTAATACTTGGCTGCTGTGACTGATGCGGTCTTCAACTCAACATATCGGAAAGGATATCAGAGCAAGCTGTTAGTTGTTCACCCGAAGGGCGGCCGACGTAATTTCTGAGGCTTACCTCACTGAGATGACCCGAGATCGCCATGATGAGCTAGCCGCGATGGACCTCAGCGTGACCGCAGTCGCTTCGACAATGTCATGATTAGTATGAATTTTTAACAGTTATGCCAGTTTGGTTATATTTTTCATCATTCCTGCTTTGTTCTGTTTTGTTTTTGAGCACGAACTATACATACTATACAGGTGTTAGCTGTATTTCATTTTTATTACCTTTCGTAAGCTTCCAATCTAACTGAGCGTGAAAACCTTCAAGACTCGGAGTGTCCATTTCGTTTACTCTTTGAGGATTTTCGTCTATACTCACGTTATAATAACGAAAATTACGACGCTTTGCAAGTTCAAAAACGTTTTTTTAAATTGACGAAAAAAAGCTGGAGAGAAGTCCATGGAAGATTGGGCATAAAACAAATTGCAGATGGCGTGACAGCTTTAGCTCAGCTCTATGCTTTGTACTCCGATAGAGTACACCCTTTCACAATGACAGCGCGCGTTATATCCGAACTTTATTATAAAGCAATTCCAGTCATAGGAAGTGTCATGCTTAATCCGAGATCTTATGGTCCCTTTGTAAAAAAGAAAAAACATTTACAGAAGCAACGGTTTGATTTGTACTTACTGGGTTCGACAACAAGAGCCACCACAAAGTCCAGCGATTTATCCGGCACTTGCGGGTCGGCAATGACTCGCAATCCATCATTCACTGCTGCTGTTTCCACCAGAGCGCCAGTTATCCCTGCATACATCGCCCCCGAACCTCTTCCAGGCTGTGCAAAGGTGTGCGTCATTTTATTGTTGGCATAGTTGTAACAGTTGTTAAAAAGCACAATAGGGAAAAGGTTCCAAATAAAAGGATTGTAGTCAAGGACCAAACGCTTCTTTCTAATGAACGGCCCTTTTTTTCTTTTATCGCCAATTTTGGCTGCACCGCCCCCGCCTCCATCAATACCGCCCCCACCGCCCCCACCGTCTCCACCGTCCCCACCGCCATTAAACGGTTCTACCTGGTCAACTTCTCTCTTCATCCTATTGATATAAGCAGCTGGTAAAAGGTTGTCTGGTATACTGTTTAGCAAAACCAATTGAAGTTTTTTACTTTCAGCACCGACTGCTAACTCCCCAAAGCCTATTACGAGTCCTTTGTACCCGAGCCTCGGAGGTATACTGCTTAGAGTAAGAGTAGCTTGTCGGTTCCTCGCATCCGTCAGATTGCTCTTTATATCTGCCATGAGTTGGTGATTGTCTGGGACATGCCACCAAACGTTTGGTCGACCAGAAAAAGAGAGTAGAGTTACCAGTAGTCCATCTGGAAAGGCAACAAAAATATGTTCGATTATTACCTCTCGTGTTCTTACCACGACACGAAGAAATGGAATTTATTTTCCTTTAGTCGTATCTATAATGGACGTAGTCATATCTGATAATGTTGTGAAAAAGAGAGGAAAACAAAAAGCAGGACTTGAGAGTTGGTAAGAGTAATTTCCCAAGATTTGGAGAGTGCTATGAATGACTATTATCCTTTTTGTTCGATACCGAGAAGGAATTATATACATATATGTATGTAACTAACTGCAGACAGTACTGTTTCGGCCTTCTGGGCCTCATCAGTGCAGTACTGATGCTAAGATGGAGGTGAGGCCATATAGCCACCCCAAGTGATCTCACACATGTGGGATCATCTAAGCCATGCCAGAGTGCTCAAACTAGAAAAACTAGTGAGCATGCATAATGCTAGCAGCAATGACTCATCCTAGTAGAATGCTCAATTTGGACATGAAAGCAAAGCTTTGTATGCCAAAGAGCTATATCTAACTATATCTATATATCTATATATCTAACTATATCTAGCTATATCTAGCTATATCTAGCTATATCTAGCTATATCTATCTAATACATATATGTATGTATATATATATATATATATATAAATTAATGTGGGGGTAGAGTCTACCTTGGCATAAAGTGCTCAATGCTGTGGTAGCAGAGCTAAGTATACATAAGTTAAAGAATTAAAGATGACGCATCGATTCTCTGTGACTCTGAGTTTCGTGCCTAAGCGACGAGCGCTTAGGCACGAAACTCAGAGTCACAGAGAATCGATGCGTCCTGGAGCACTTTATGCCAAGGTAGACTCTACTCCCACTTCATTTTATATATATATATATATATATATATATATATATATATATGAAATATATAATGATGATAATATATATCAATACATATATATATCAATAATATTAATGATAATATATATCGATAACATTGATAAAAATGATATTTTGGATAACAACAAAAATAATGGTTACAATCCTGTCTGCTATAATTTTATAATAACTCCAATAATAATGATGATAATAATAATAATAATGATAATAATAATAATAATAATAATAATAATAATAATTATGACAATACAACGAGAAAGGATACCAACCTGACACTGCGCAAATAACGAAGAAAAGCAGCAAAATTGAGCAGAACTTATTATCACGGGCCATCGCGTCTTGATGAGCCCACGACGGCAACAGTCTGTCCTTCACAAAGGGAAATAATTCTGCAAGGACAAAAATTTTGTTTTACGTAATCTACCACTTAGTGGAAAGTACTTATATTGGCGAGAAGCTTTTATGCACTGGAAAACAACGCCTGTCATGCTAAACTTGGAGTAACGATTTCACTCAAAACTTATAAACTGAGTTCAACGTACTGAAAATTTTCAAAATGTTTAAATCAGTTCTTTTTTCCATAGCCTTCTCATTTTCGTTTTGAACATTCGTAACTAATTTTCTGTTCCGGGGAAAAATACCTGACGAGTCCACTGGCCAAATCGGTCGAGAAAAGTTAGCTAATTTGCAAGCAATAATCGTATTCAAGAGAAGATTTACTTTATATTTACAGCGTGCTTACGTCTAAGATTCCAGAAATAAAATTTCTTCAGTAGTCAGGAAGGCAGAAAGAAAAGCATAGAGAACAATGCTAGAGAGATGAGATACACACAAAAACAAAACCAAAAAAAAACAAAAACAAAATAAACACAAAACATAATAGCTTAACAAGTTCTAGTCACTCTCTCACACGCGGACTAGAATAAACAGTGGATCGCTGTAGTCTCCTCTTACCTTATTTAAGAAGCCCTCTGCTGGTGAGAGATCCTCAAATGACTTCTTCTTTCGAGCGAGTGGTTTTATTGCCAACACCCATTTATAATTTATATTCAAAAAGCCATTTCAAGATTCCGAAAACACGCATGGCTTCCAATTTTAAGTTCCAGTAATGGACAAGCAAACAAACTCCCTCTTTTGGCAGTGATACAAGAATAATGAATAAAGAATGAATATTTAATTAAAGCATAAAAAAGGAAAAAAATACGAAGGTTTATGTAGTCTCATAGAGGAAATCAGAAACGAGGAGATAAAAATTCAATACTATATTTCTCTTTACGACTCTTTTTTCTCTTCCCCCTATATTTCTTAAATAATGAATAAAAAGCTCTGTGATTTCGCTTGAGAAAATCGCGAGAAAAAAAAAAGCTGAAAGCTTTTTCCTACGAAGCCTTTTGTTTGTCAACAATTGAACTTAGACTGTGATTAGGCTGGTTGTTAATCAAATAAAGAAAATGACATAGTTGGTGGTATAATGTAAAGAAAAAGATATTTTGAGCTCATGTAAAATAATTATCTATATGTGTTGTTTTGAGTCAAGGTTGAGAGGATACTTTCACTTGGTTCCCTCGATTGAAAGTATGCTTGGTCTTATGTCCAAAATCGACAAAATATCGCTCCTTTAAACGAGAAATAAGGAAAGGGAAAGAGGGAAGAAAAGCGTTTTTTCTCGTTTAAATCTACAAAAGGTGAATCAGTTGGTTTCTCTCATTAGCTCTCCTTTTACCGCAGTTTTCTCAATATCATAAACTAAATAACGAATCTTGAAGTTTTAACTCTTTCACCGGATGACTCTAAAAAATATCAATCAACAGTCCTTAGAGTGGTTTGTTTGTTTGTTTGTTTTGCTCTCGATGTGATGAAGTCATAGGTAATATTTTGATTTTTCGCATTTTTCCGATTGAGTTGACGGTTAACAACATTATTTTCAAAAGCTTTAACTGCTCGTCAAAAGAATACGCATAAACGAGATTAAACAGGGCTGTACCCGATTAAGAGAACAAGATTCCTTAGTATAACGAAATGCATTTACTCACTCCATTAGGAGTGAGTAAATGCTTGATGAATAAATACTTAATGAAACATAACGGTTTAATGGCTTTAAGTAGCAAAAAGAGATATGGCAAATATTCCAAACTCAGTTTTTTAACTACCTGGGCTACCTTATACGGCTAAATAGAATGTCAACATTGGGGAGTGCAGCAATCGTAGTCGAACAAAGCCCCGCGATAATGGAAAGCAAAGCGGAATCCAAAGAGTAACAGCGAAAAAAAAAAAATCATAAAATCAAAAAGGAAAAATTATTGAATAAAATGAAGGTGAACACTGCTAAGATAATTTCTAATGGAAGTTTGCCCTTTTCAACATTCCAAAATTTCGTAAATCGTGAAAGGGACAAATTTAGTTCAGTGAAATATTCATCATGGGCACCTGCTGAGTCACTATTTGCAGTCGCTAGTAGTAAGAATATCTATGACTGTTTGTTTGCTTTAACTTTTTAAAAAGGAAGTGATATCATAGTGAATACCTTGCTGTAATCGTAGAGGAAAGGTGGCTCGTTGGAGGATATTAAGGTGACGAAGGGTTAAGTATGCAATTCAAAATGTGTGAGGGGCTTCGTGAACTGAGGGTCAAGAAGACAAAATTGATCCAAAAGGAGAGTAAAACATTTTTCTTAACCTTTTGTTCAATGTATTCTAAGCATGAGCTGCCTTATACATTTGTTTGGGTGAAGGTGGGAGGGAAAAGAGGATGGCTCATGAATTAGGCCCATTGGATACCCTTTTCATGGCAAAATCAGAGTGCGAACATCTAAGGGAAAAAAAACCCTCCGTTTCAGTCTAATGGGACCTATTCGAGCCAATGGCATAGCTATTCCCACGTTATCTCTTGGTTTTGTGTTTTGTGTACATCGTCTTGAATCTAGATGCAGTGCGCGACAGCAGTGTCAAATGTTTTGGAACAGTAAGCCTTTTGAACCAGGATCTATCGCAAAGCTTTTCAACTGAATCTGAAAAAAATGGATCACAGATGATGACATCAAAACAAAAAAAAAACAAAAAACGGAAAAAAAAAACAAACAAACAAACAAACAAGGGCAAGAGGCAGAACAAGAACCGTTTTGAACACACATTGCATTAGAATGATGTACAGTGGATATACGGCACCCTTAATACAAAGGACTGATGAGGTATTAGGACTTTAAACTATAGTTCAAACAGATATAAGCACATAAAAACCATTGTTGTTGGCAAAGGGAGCTAAATTTGAATTTTTTTGGCATCTGCATCAGTGAATGCAGATGCAAATGTTTAATCCCAATCAAGACTTGCCTCTCGTTACCAAATTGTGATCCCGAAAAAGGAGACTGTTCCGTAGGTAAGTCCACCCTAAAGCGAAAAAAGGAAATATTACGGTCACCTAAAGGTTTCGAAATGGGTTCAAACGCGATGTGTTATGGCTATCATGAAAGCGCAATCAAAAAGGGCAGCTAAGTATTTCTGAAGAAAGAGAGGGTATTCCTACGAAGCGTTAATCACGTTAGCCTAGAGATATTCATTGAGAGATTCATTAAGATATTCAGAGAGAGAAATGGAGAGAGAGAATCGAGCCTCAAATACAATTGCAATGATTCCTTGTAAGAGAAGATGGATTTTATTTTTGGGAAAATATCGTAAAACGTTGGTCATTTCCTAAACTGAACGTTTCCGTCGACTTCAATAATAAAATGGATGCATAGGCGAATGAAGACAAATTCAAGTAAAAAGGTAATGAAGAAATGAATAAATGAAACGAAAGAATGATTACGATATCAATGGTACTATTTTGATGGTGTAATCGCAGAAAATACTCTGTACTTTTAAATTTCTTTTTTCAGTCCACAACTAATATACCACCAAGGTGAATACAATTTCCTCTCTTGTTTTGAAATTTTAAGTCGACAGCTTCTGTCAGTCACATCAAAGCTCTTCGTCGATGTCATATGACTTTGCTTCATCGTGTAGTCGAATCTCGCTCTATTTAAGGACAAAACATAAAATATGTATTATGTCTACTCCTCATTGTAACAGGGTTATTTACGATTTATAACATTTATAATTTACAAAAAGATGGGAATTTCAAAGTCTCGTTTGGATTACGCTGAAAATGTATACTTGCAATAAAACTGATGGTACTTAAAACCAATATTTGTTCCTAGACGCCAAGCTTTAGGTAAATTTTTAACTTAACCCTAATCCTAAGCGAAATAATTTAAAGGATACAAAGACAGCAGCTTTCATTTATCAGTTTTCCAAATGTTGTATGGGAAAAACTGTTTGAACTTACAATCCGCGTCTAATGTTTTACCTTTTGCGCGATTGGTCTAACCGTGTCATGTGACCGAATATACCCCAATTAAAACTGGGAAATATCCTTTTATATTCCCCAGCAAATGGTATTCCCTAACTTTCAAACCTTACGTGAATGACCTAAACCTTCGTTTAAAATTTAATTCAAAATAAGAGTTTTTTTTTTTGGTTGTTGTTGTTTTGGTTGCAGAAGAAAGGACATTGTTCTTAAAGTCTTCGCACAGAACACTGAAAAATAAAATTCTCACACACCAAAGAGTAGGCTGTTTGTAAAAATTTTGTCCCGCGCGTTGCAAATATATATCAAGGATGATAATCATCTAGATTTGTCTTTGGACACCATCTGACCTCAACGTTCACAAACTGCTCGCTTCTCGGAACATGTAATTTTCCGCGGACAAATATCTAAGCATATTTTCGCGCCAAACAGTGGCCATGATTTATATTTTTTCGGTGTGGCCCAACGGATAAAACGTTTCGTTAAAGTCTACTGAGAAGAATTGAGATCATCTCACTTTTTCCCTTTTTTTCATGGAAAACTATGACCTATTGAGACAATTACATACATACATCTTAGTCTATTTCCGGCTGTTCTCTTAATTACACTGACTGAGTTATTGCCGGTTGTACAATGCGTCATACAAACCCATAACAATTAAAACATCCGTTTCCGCAGTTTAATACGCGCAAAAAACGTCTTATAAAATCGATGGGCCTACAAAACCTAATTAAGGACTTCAGCGAGCCACAGGAAAGTCACGTTCATAGCTGTATATCATTTTACATATGTCCGTTTATCACTTCAGTGCTTACCTTTTGACAGAGAAGGCAACTAAGCGACTTCTTCTCTTATTGGGGTTAGCCCATTTTTAAAAACCGATTGTAAGACTATTGGAAACTTGTTTCTTTCTTCTTGTAGGCGCAAATACTAATACTTCTCTATCATGCTCAAATTATTCGATAACTTTTATCTTTCATTTATTTGTGCAAGACCTATTTCATTATTAAAATATATTTTGAGTTCAAAGAATGAATAGAAGCGCAGATGATTTATATCCGAACGTTCTTGGTGTATACAAAACATAAAAACCGAACAAAAAATTTACCTTTGAGGGGTCCAATGAATAACTCCGTCTTCTCCTACACCTACCAAACCAGCAAGGAGGGCGGTCGCCTCTATTCTTTCTTCTTTTGTCGATGTTGCTTCTCTCGTCGGCTATCATAGAATTTCCTCGGCTCTCTAAACTCCAGCTCATCTTCCAAATCAACGCACATAGAAAACACAGAACGGCAAGACGCATAATTGAACACAACTACAAATATTGACTCTGGCCGACAGAATGACCTATGATCCTGCGAAGGTTCTGTAACTCTCATAAACCATTGAATAACAGCTCTTATATACCTTAAATTACAACATTAATCAACGCACGGTGAATTAAAAGCATTTTGAAAGCGGCGAATACCAGCGGGAATTGGCTCGTTTAGGAGAAGACGCGTTTAATTTATTATTTTCGTGGGTACAGTGAGAGCTATACCAGAGAAGTACCACCTGTTCCCTTTGATAAATCGTACCTCCAAAGTGTTAAACACTCTCGTACCGACAATGAGAGTAATTTACTTCGGCAAGCAGTGCTCTTTAATTAAAAGAACTCTGTTTCTCCCGCCAGATCACGTACAAAAGGGAGAACTTTTGCCAGACCAAATTTAGACTTTACTTGTAATAATTGTTGATTAATAAAGGGAACTTTTAAGTATCTACATACACTGATTTGAAAATAGTTCAGGTCAACAAGATATTTACTTTTTATTTGGATAACCATTCCTTTGTTTAATTTCAACTGCTTCCTATTCATTTTGAACTCCTCTAAATCGTTTTTTTATCGTCTGGGATGTTAATTCATAGGTTGCTGGTAAACAGATGAAATTTAACCTGGTTAATGAAGGACTCTATGGTGAAGCAACCAAAAAAACAAAAAAAAAAACTGACATGTATGTTGTAGAGTAAAGCACTTGTTACTATGAAAATTTTACTGAGGACAAATAACCCTAAATACTTGTTCTTTATCGAAAAGCGACGCCCGTGAAGGCGAATAGGCGAACACCAAAATTTGCGAAAGAAAAGCCACAAGGAATTTCAAGGTCTATTGCAGAGATTTTGCCGCGGTAATTATCAAATCTTGTCTTTGTTTTCAAGACTGAGTGGTGATCAAGAAAAAATTTCAAACAAATCATAGTCGTACGAGACGAGATGTTTGTCTCCCTCATGGCCATTCAGAGCAATTACAGCATGTCAATCAGTTCTCCTGTTTAAAGCCGAAAGTGAGAGGAACCGGTTGTCATTTAGACAACCTCAGTAGAATCTGCCTAATCTCACTCCTTTCCTCTGGGTAAACGAGGCAATGAATAAACTTAATGGTGAATACACATACTGTTCATTGTTGTCATCTCGCAAATCTCTTCATTTCTAGTTAATTTTTATGGCATATTTTTATCCTTTAAGCGCACTGGCCAAAGAAATTTGCTCTACTCACGTATCCGGTTCTTGACGTAATGGCGCTCGATGAATGCGAGCAGTGGTTAACGAAAACATCAATTAAAATTTATTTATCTCAATAACTTGAAAGGTCAATCAGGAAAAGCACGCACTCTGATTGTATCTTATAAAAACTGATAATACAAAAATAATTCAACTATATCTCGCAAGGGTATCACTCTACAGTGATTCAACTTGGAAACTAGTGGCTCTCGACCCTGACAATAACACAGGACTTTGTTGTTGGCTGATTACTCCCAATCCAATTTCCTTTCTTGTTTGCATTTATTGAAATGGACGTTGAAGGTATGGAACCCATTTAAATAAATATTTATTTTTAGCAGAATTACTGACAAACCATTCCGTGAGAAACCAGGTATATATAAAGACTTGAATCAACGCCAAAATTATATGAAAATAGATATCGTCGAAAAAGAGAATATTTCGATATGTTTAGCGCTTTTCATTTCGAGATCCAAGCGTGGTCGCAGTCATTCGAATGTTGTAATGAACATCTTATGCTATGGTAGATTGGAGGAAATTATCCCATTTAATTCAAGACACGATGGACAGATTCTGCGAAAGTAAGTGGGACACGATGGTTGGCCGCTTGGGGGTACTTGATGGGGCGGTGTTGCCTCCCCCCTCCCCCCCCCCCTCCCAGCCGATATTCTCTCTTTAGGGCTCTGGAACTAGTCATGTGATTAATAAGAGGGTTACTGACTGATAAGTAGACCTCGATGGGGTTAACCAGTAGCCGTTTAACAGCGACAAAATTTAGTCGTTTGGCATAAAAATTAACAAAGTTGTAGTCGTAAAAAAATTAATGATAAAAATAATTCCCTTAACTGTAATGGAAAGAAATTAAGATAAGCAAACTTTTAAACGTTAGCCGTAAAAGTCATCACACCAATGAAACCCTCTGATAATCTTGAATAGCTTCTCTTCTATTGGATTACTATTATCATTTGCTTTGCGTCGTGACTTAGAGGTGGGCCGGTGATAAGAACTCAATTGTAGCTGATTTATCGAGACTCAGAACGTAAGTTCATTTTTTTAAAGCGATAACTTTTATTGTGTTCACATGAATTTTACTACCATAAGTTAATTTGAAGATCTTTTAGTTTTTTAATACTTTGCTTTCTTTCATTAGTTGTTAGTTCTGAAGACCATCGATACTTGATATTTTCCAAAATGTTGTTAAACAATATGAAGACTTAGACTTGACATCCAGTAAACGAATATAGTAGATAGTGAAACGGCAATCTGGAATGAGAAGGAGAAACAAAAGGGAAAATTCTGCGTATAAATAAGATTTCAGTGTTCAGGAGGAGGGGTGGGGAAAGTATGTTGAAAGGCTAGAGGGGTTGCTTGTGTAATGAACTACAGTTTTAAAAGGAACACAGCTTGCGAGGACAAGTTCTACATCTATAATTGCATTTGGGAAGCCGGGTGGTGCCCAAACGCCACTGCTCTGCAGAAATTAAATATACAAAAACGCGACAGCGGCATGACTGATGAATGGAATGATTGTTAACGTTGTGTCTATCATTTCCTTAAATGAAATTTTATTCTTATAGTAAGCACAGCGAGACTATGGCGAAACGTTCGGCATAAGGTTATCTCCTGATGGCTGATTTTCAACGCCATTTTGGAACAAAGAAATCCTATACCTGCTAGTCAGCAATATAATGATAAGGAAAAATCAAAAATAAGAAAAAACAACAGCAAAAATATGTACATAAAGAAGGAAAGAAACCATTGCAACAATAGAAAAAAGAAACACTGGGGACTCCTTCATGGCACTTCCTGCCTAGAAAAACAATATTGTAGGGTAGCTTTCTTGTTGATCGGTAATAATATGAATTTTTGCTTACCTGTTTTAGAGGTTTCTTTAAATTACGATTGGAAGTCGTCTTTCCAATGTTTTAACGTCCTTGCTTCTGCTGGTGGTATGTCGATATCCTCTTGGCTGGTGATTTGGAAATCTTGCAGATCCTCTTTGAAATGTGGTCGAGCCTGCAAAAATTCAGATAAGCGTCACTACATTTATGTCTACGAGTAAATATAAATCCCGATAAAAGATAAAATAATAATGTCTACAAGAAATCTTGACTGGAAAGAGAGGAGACTTCTACCACATTCTTAAATTCCTGCGGACTGGCAACATGAACATCTTGCTTGAAAGCTGCTGAATCAGCCACTATTGCTGGGATAAAGACTTTGAAAATAGATAATAGAAGAAGATTCGACTTTACTAAATAGTCATCGATATCTATTCGTGTGTATGGAGTAATATTCGTATGCAACTGATAGACAGTTTGAGCTGTTGAGACGTAAATCAGTCAGGAAAGAGGCCGATCAATGTCAGTCGGCTGCTGATGTAAGAAATTACCTCGTCATTAAAGTTTTGTGTCCAATTACACTCAGTCAATTTTTAAAAATCTATTTGAGTTAACTGATCGATTTTCTTCCTTTACCCCAGCCTAATTCTTTAATTTTGGTTGGTTAAACCTCATTCAAATTCCTTTGTAATTTGCATCTATTCGAGACCGTTGAAGTTAAGTTTGAAATCTTTTGAAAAATGAACCTTCGATTTTAATCGAAAAGCCATTCTTTGAGTAAACCAAGTTTAAATGAAAATCGTATTCATCTCGGTATGATATATGATACGATATATGTCTGACCGATATCTTACAACCAACCTTTAGCAACCATCCCAGTGATTGCTTACGCCAAAAAAACGGTACTCTTTCCGCCTGGCTGATTTCAGTTCAATGCAATTAACTGTTTTGTTTGAGTAATGCAAATAAAAATCCCGCCCATGAGGCGCCAGTTACCACTCAGGAACCTTTCTTTCACCAACTGTTTGGTTGTTTGATCGTTATCTTATCCAAGCTTTAGGCCTAAGATTCCTTTTTTTCTCTCAGTAAATGGATTATTTTTAATTTTCAGAAAACACTTGTAAGATAGCTTGCAACTACCTAAATTAAAACAGAGCTTCTAGTCGCTGAATGGACTGCAATATCCTTCAATAATAGTTTCATAAAAATCGCTCCTACTTGTTTGTTATGTAAATATCGCCCTCACTTCTCTTGATGTGTCAAGCGTAAGCGAGAGTAGAACATTACCAGTGCGATACTTAATGGAGACAGACAGGTTGTAATTTCGAAATCATAAATGTGTAATAAATATTCGTTTTATTTTTGTCGGAATTTTTCTCAGCTTCTTGGTCTGTCACGTTGTTATTAGATAATTGAGAAAAGGAGATATTGATAAAAATAATGGAAGGCTGAGAACTGCTGAACAAAACGCTGGGTGGGAGGGATTTTCAAATCAGCCGCTGAACGTTGCAAATGATGATTAATAATTTGTGCGTTTGGATTAGAATATCAACCATTAGCATATCTTGCCTCTCGTGAAAGTTTTAATCTCAGCCGAATAAACAATGCCGGGTAAACATTTGTGACTTAGCTGCAAGATCAATAGATCTTATAATTAGCGACTTAATGAGTTCGGTTGCAAGTGAAAGGATTCAAACTTGTGGTACATGACAGGCGACCGAAGTCAATCGTATTGAAGAAAGACCAAGTGAAACAGTGTCTGCCGATCCTACAAAAACATCTCCTCTCATTAGCATACTGAAAGGATTATCGTACCATCTGTTATACTTTCCACCTTAACTTAGTCAGTGGTTTGAAAAGGATAATAACACCCCCTTAATCTAGCCAGAATAGATCAAGTCAACATTCACTTTTGAAATCATCCAATTTATCAAGACGCTGTTTCGTTGATCTGCCTGTAACGAAATTTCGTTCAAAAGTCAATAGAACGCGACAAAAACTGACAAGCAACGGTAAACAGGAGCTTGGAATTCCAATGGTTGGACGCTAAAGTTCAAAACGGATCTTTTCAATCCATAGCCAAACTTTTTACCCCTTCGCCCTCATCGTGTAGTTTTCCTGAATTAACTTTTGTTACTGTTTTAAAGAATCAAGTGTGAAGTCTTTTTTTTCCCACCGAAATGAAATGATGGCGATGAAAGGAAATTTGTCGTTGAAACTGTTGCTTGGTGATGTTCGGTGGCCCTAGTCAATTCGTTCAATCACCTTGATCACCTTAAAACATTACTAACGGCTAATTCGCGTTAAAGTTTTAAATTGCTCCCAAAAGCATGTCTTAATAGCTTACCCTTTTCATTCCTCTTTTACGGCCGCGGCTATTAGAACATTTCCCGCTGTGGCAAACTCTCCATCCGCGCGCCTGTTTCTTCGTGGCCGCGTACTCGTCAATGGCGGCATCAATTTGATGAAAACTGTCTTTTTGTGTCGCTTTAGCAGTGACTGCCGCAACAATTATCAAAAAAAGAAACATGGTTGAAAAGGAGAATCTTTTGGTTTGTTTAGCGTTTTTCATTTTGATTTCAGGCCTGATCTTAGTAAGTCTTCACCACTGTAACCGTTAAAGTCGTTGAAGTTCCAAGCTGAGATCTTTTTTTGACTTTGTTGAAACTTGACAATGCTCGACCCGAAACGTATGAGTGCTTAAGCAGTTGTTATCGGTTTATATCGTTTCTCGCGTTTTATTGACTCAAAGTGCCGCATATATTAAAATCAATTTACCACGCAGAGAATATTTCCTTTCAAAATGTGCGTAATTGATTGGGTTAAATAGCTTTCTCTATGGTAACTGAACATCTGTATTCGAATAAACCATAATAGCCTCTTTCCTTAGCGGCGTCGTTAAACAAATCTTGTTTAATTAGCACGTTCGGCTAATCGTTGCTTAAATAATCTATTTCTGAACAATCGTTTTGAATTTTGATAAATATTATGTTCCCAGCATGAGTCAATTCCATCAACTGACACGGCTGTCAAATTTCAGTGGCCTCAGTTGTCATGAATTTTCAGAAGAGAATAAAATGACGCTGACGCGTATGGTTTTTTTTTTTGTTTGCTTCGAGATTTTTTTTACTTTCCTCATCGTTTATACCGCTGTCGAGGGTAAACATTCTTTTTGATAAATGTTACTTTAATTTCCTCTTCTTTACATCTTCCATAAACAGTCTTTTCTAAAATTATCGTAACTCAGTAAATTAACCAGCGTAAATGAAGCCATGCAGTTTTCACGATGTTAATGAGGCGAGAAATTACAATGAAACAGCTGTAAAAGAAACTCAATGAAACGAATAAGTGGGGTGTTTAAGATGGCTGAGATGTACAACCTTGTAATCAATATGTTTCCGAATATTTCAAGCCGATATTTCCAGCTTTTTTGCCTCTGTTGTACTAAAGAAAAAATTGAATTTATGGGTTAATTTTTCAGACCTTGTTAACTCCAAGAGCCTTCGCCTCTCCCCCCGGACACCACCAAAGGGTAACACAGGAGAAAAAAATCGAAATTTTCATAATTCTTCGCTGTTAGTTTTGTACATTGGATCCGATATCTCTGATTAGATCTAATCAGAGACAAAACTCATCTGATTTAACCCTTAAGTCCCAAGATCTGATTGCTAATTCTCTTTGTAAATAAGTTATGAGAATTTGGTTTTAGATCGAGATAACAACTTCTACCTGATAAGTTTGAATATTCACATGAACTGTTTCGTTGATAATGTTTAGATATTATAGGGAGAAGTGACACATTAATCACTTCTGGGAATTAAAGGGGTAAAGCTTGCTAAAAATTCATATTTGTTTACCCTTATTCCGGAAAAGTCCTGATTTGCGATTACTTTTGACTCACTTTTCCAGTTTAAGTTGCCTAGTTTGTTTTGTAAGGGAAAACCCTTTCGCCAAAATCTAGAAGACACCTAACCGGCGAAAATAACGCGTCAAATAAAAAGGCCAGGTTACTAAGTGAAAGAGCTTTGCCATAATGGGCTAGCAATATGGAAGCTGCTGCTGATTTCCAAGTGAAATAAGTAACAGTAAGTTATCAAAAATTCAAAGTTACTCTTGATTAATTAGTCCTGTATATGTCTCAGATGTAAAAGTTTTTGGATACAGTACTCAGCATCTGCGCGGAATGATCTGAATTCCCAGAATTCCTGTTGCCTCTTTAATAAAATGAACATCGACCCATTTAACTAACAACCTTCGAGAAATTTTCCATATGAGAGCGACTATTAGGAATGACTTTTCAAATAGTATAGTGTTTGTTTCGACCTTCAAAATTGCCTTCTTTTGACACTTTCCGCCATTGGTTTGCTCGTGATTTCTATGGCTTGTCTGAAGAATAAAGCTTTTATTGTACCGGCGGAAGCGCAAACTACGCAAATACGTAATTAAAAACTTGCATGAATGAAAAGATGACGCTACTGACTATTTGTGACTTGCATAAACGCATGTTGTTGTGTGCCTTACTCCCAGCTAATAACAGCTGACCCATCAGTTTGAATTATTTTTTCCTCAAGAAGGAAATACAGGGAGGTAGCGAACATCTATAAAAAATGATGTTTACATAACCAGCGTCGATTATAAATGGTAGTGAATGCTCCTTGCAAAAGATTGATTGCGCCTGTGGTTGAAAAGATTAGTCCCTATGTTAGATTGAAGATGTAAATAGTCTGTGCGATAAAAACAAAAAAAGAAGCCAAAAACAACAGACTTCGATAGCAGATAAACTTGGAATTCATCCGTAAAACATTGCCCAGAATCAAAAGGAAATCAATCTTTCACAATGTCCATTAATTGAATATTCCGACAACTCTCTGTCTTAATGGTTTTTAACGATGAAAAATTGCCTTTTCTTCTTTGAACTGTTATTTTTTATGAAGAAAGGATTCCTAATTGTTTCCTATGCCTGTCGATTCTAAAATAAACCAAGCTAAAATTAAATTGAAATAGTGGTTTCAAAATAATACACCTTATGACATCTGCAATGTTTTTAATAATGGCATTGAATACATATCTGCGAGAATAAACGTACGCGCCTTTAAAGAATATAAAAAGTTAGAAAAACGAAAACAAGTGCATTAAAAGCAAGAATGTGGGGGAAAAAAGTAAACACAGATAAAGCCAAAAAGTGGCAGATAAAAGAGCCTAACTGCTTCAATTCATGAAATTTCCTTACCATATAGTCTGATGTAGAAAAACCTGTGACATTCTCAACTTCTGCCATGTATAGATACATACTGGCGTCTAACTTAAAAACAAATATAAAATTTACCTGCGGATCAAACTCTATTTGATAAAAGATGTTGATAGCTTTATTTATCTTTATTACCAGGACGATTATCCGTCGGCTTTGGTTAAACCATAGTTTTAAATTTCGCGGCACTTATTTACTCGGTCATTGTCGTGGAGATACTTAGTTTTTATCGTCCCAACGATCAGTCTGGCGCCTCCTTTTTGCGGCGCGAGAGACTGGAAACATGTGACCAGCTACAAGAGGCTATAAAGTGTACATGGAAAATAGCATGATTTGAGCATTTCAACACAAAATGAGAAGAACTGTATAAATTTTTTCTCTAAAATATGTTATCGAAAATTCTCTAGACTGGCTTGCATTACAATCTCTCCTTTCTGCTATTTTTTTTTCTTTCTTATTTTGTTTCTTATTTATTTCTATTTGTTATTGTTGTTGTTTTTTGCTTGTCTCTAAGCATTATCCTTGGATCCCTATAGGAAGTTATTTTATGTTTGGCATCCCCAGAGCTGACAATAATTTTGAAAGCACAAAAATTCTGGGTCGATTAGTTGCAAACTCCAATCTACCGATGAGCATTGTAGGGAAAAGAAGTAACCAACAACAACAACAAAAACCACAAATCCAAACAACTCAAGAATAGCATCAGCAACGAAATCACAAAAATTAATGACAATAGTCATGTATTGCAAGCGTAACGCTCTTTGCTCTTTCCTTATGTATCTTGTAGATGTATCCCAGCCACAAGTTCGGTTATGATTACTGTTTCTTAGATCACCAATTTAAAGAATTATGACGGTTATAGCTAAAAAAATTTTGTTGTTTCCTGTATTTAAATAAAAGAACAGGGTGTGGTTGATCCTGACTTTTAACTTAGTTGATAATTAAGAATTTGTTCATGCTTAGCGTGCGTATATCGAGTTATAGATGCAAGCGGGAAGTTTGGAGAGCACAAAAAACTCGTAAGAGTAGCCCGAGGCGCAGCCGACAGCAACTATAGCTTTTTGATTGCTCTGTAAACTTCCCAAGTGCATCCATAACTCGATATACGCACAGCTAAAAGCATGAGAAGCCTTTTATTATGATAGAGTGCAAAATTCCCACATCCTGAAAAAAGTAAACAAACGTCCCTATTGGCTGGTCAAAAACACGACACATTTCATACTTTGGTTTAACCGGTAACTGTGAATGAAAAGCTAAAAATTTACGGGGAAAATGGGGAAAATCAAAGCCAAATTTGTGTCAGTAAAAATGTTTTAAAAGTCAAAGACCCGAAGTTATCGAGGGTTTTGATTGTCCAAAATAATGTTTACGCTGCCGTGCACGGTGCAATTGCTGGTTTCTTCCATATTTCAAAGAGAAGGAAAACTGCACTGCAGCTTAACAGAACGGAAACTCTGAAGCCAGGTGAAAAAAAATGCTCACGTCATCTTGTTTACGTACGGGCGTGCGTAAATAAAGATTTTGTTCATAGCGGATCAAAAGGACTTATATAGGGCAAGCACGCGCGCTATGTTATTTAAGAATTTTTTCATGCTTAGCGTGCGTATATCGAGTTATGAATGCACACGGGAAGTTTGGAGAGCACGAAAAATGCGTGAGAGCAACTCTAGCTTTTTGAGTGCTCTCTAAACTTCCTAAGTGCATCCATAACTCGATATACGCACAGCAAAAAGCATGAGCAAATTCTATATAACAGAGCGACAACATGGATCTGCGCGAAGAAGCCTTTTATTGTGCCGGATAGAGTGCAAAATTCTCACAACGCACAAAAAAAGTAAACAAACGTCCCTATTGGCTGGTCAAAAACATGCCACACTTTATACTTTGGTTTGAGCGAGGACATTTGATCCAGTTAACCGATAACTGTGGATGAAAAGCTCAACATTTATGGGGGAAATGGAGAAAATCAAAGCTAAATGAACTCAAGTGTCACTAAAAAAATGTTTTAAAAGTCAAAAACCCGAAATTATCAAGGGTTTTGATTGTTCAAAACAATGTTTGCGCTGCCGTGCACGGCGCAATTGGAGAAGACAGACTGCAGGAAACTTGCAGAAAAATGCTCTCGTCATCTTCTTTACGTACGCCCGTGCGTAAATAAAGATTTTGTTCATAGCGGCTCGATAGGACTTATATAGAACAAGCACGCGCGCTATGTTATAAAACCTCTTATATCCTATGGATTAATTTTTTTTTCTTTTAATGGACGGAATGGTTATTATAAATGCATGGTTATTTATGCTCAACTATTTGGATACATGCCTTTGTATTGTGGTGATCAATTACGTTGTGGTAGTGGTACAGAAGGCCGCGGGAGAATTACCACATTTTGTCCCGAGTATAGGGCCTGTTTACATGGAGGTGGGGGATCCCAGGTAGGTGAGGTAACTCGCCTTGGTGGGGTGATCTGTCTGTCCATATAATTTCTTATTTTTTCTTGATCACGTTCACGATAAGAAGGATGACCCGCGTCTCAAGGTGGGGTAACCCGCCTACCCTTGGGTCGCGTTGAGTTGCGGCAAAAAGCTCAAATGCTCAAAAGCGAAACATGTATGTTTTAAAACTTTGTATATTTCCCAGCCGTTTCGTGGCAGAAATCACCAGAAACAACAACAGACACACAATAAGTGTAAAATGTTCACATTTCGGAATGTTTAGCGTTGTAAATCGACTATATTTCAAACTATTTCGTATAGCGTATTAAGTCTATGCTTTCTTGCGTAACCTAACATCGCGTAACACAACGCGTGACGCTTTCCTGGATAAATACATATCTTTCCAAGAATAAATCCTCCGTCTTTCTCGAGACGTGAGCTTGGGACGCCTATGCTAGAACTCCCTAATTTCAAGCGTAACAACAACCTCAAGAAACCTCACCCCAGCACCCCGGGGTCGTAAGATTGTATGTAAACGCGTTTTATTTTTCGACCACGGCTAGGCGGGTTACCTCACCTACCTGGGGTCCCCCACTTCCATGTACACAGACCCATAGGCGAAAATCGGATGGTCAAATGTTTGAGAATAGATGCTAAGCATTACGTACATGCTATTTTTAGACTCACTGCATACCCGCTCGTTTGTGCAGCCGACTGGTAAACTCGAGAGCATTTCATTACTTGGTCTTATCCCGTGCTGCAATATGAGGTATTGCGACTCACCTCCTAATTAGTAGTGATTTTTTTGAAACGTACACAACTATTTCCAAAATAACAAGTGTAAACGTTGATAAAAAAATGTTATATATATCTATTTCTTCTTTGATATCGCTGTAGGTGGTGAAGTAACAACTGCGTGGGGACTTGAATTGGGATTCAATTTGAATTTGAAGTTGACGTTTTTTTAATTACTATTCACTTTTCTTTGTTGACTTATTTACTCATTCATAGTATTTATATATTTTTGCGGATATATGAACCATGAAATATTTATGATAGGAATCACAAAGGTTACGCGAAAGGAATTTTGCATAGTGCCAGGTAAAAAGAACAGCCAAAAACAGAGTTCGGAGGAGATCCATGGAAGACACCTTATACTTTCCAGCAGGAGCAAAGATGGCGCCCCATGCTACCCAGCGGCGCCCTATACTTCCAAGCAAGAGCGACGAGGCCCAATCTTATTTAGTCTCTCCCTTTACCGGCAGGAGATTTGTTGAATGTAGCAGACGATATGATTTACGATGATGAAGCATGAATGGACTCATGATGGAAAAAAAAAAACAAAAAAACTCTGCCCTGCCGCTGTGTTGGTACGCGAGATTTATAGCGCATTGGTGAGCCAGTTTTCTCAGTCCAAGCCTTATCGTTACCGACCTCGACATCTTTAGGAAATCAGACACTAATTACTTTAAATTTATTTCGCAAGTTAGGATGATTATGAGTAATTCAAGTCAACAGAATAATTTTATGCGCTCCTGACGTCACCCGTGTGTTTATTCAGTTTTAGACAACGGACAATAAAGAATAGAATCATGCGTTGCCACTGAGTAAAAGAAAGAAAATACACTTACACGGAGAAAGAAAGAAAAAAAAGGAGTTGTAGGCTATGTATCACGCATCAGACTTCATATAGTTTTTTTTTTCTTAAAGTAATGAGAATAGCTTCTTGTAAATGTTATCCTAAACTGACAATCGTGGAAGGCGCTATTTTGAATAATTTGCGCCAGAAAACCAAATACATAACAAACACTATCTAACTTCTTACCTTTTTATACTTAAATGTTCTCTTTGAGTTTGATCTTCTCCTTCTAGGGCATCTTGCAAACAGACATATGGGTCTCACATCTCGAGGAGAATTTTGATTTAGACTGCAACTAGTTCCCGAGAAAACAGGGCCTAGAAAATATGAAACTAAAACTATGAAAACTAAGCAAGCGGTGAGTCTCGTGTTATGTTGTTTCATTGCTAAGGTATTTTAACTGTTTGGAACTCAAGTTCGGGTAAGTTTGAGTTCCACGTGTCGCTACTTGGCAGAGTGTGTGTTCTGTTGCGTTTGATCTATGTAATGCTGAAGTCTCTTCGTGCTGAAAGCGTTGTTTATAAGAACTGGCCTAATGCATTTATTCAATAAGCCAAGCCATTAATCGCACGATGGTGCGGGGAAGTTAATGTAGGGTTTTGAAAACTAAAAGAAAATCAATCAGTAGTGGTTAAACCTTCCTGTTTGTAAATTATATATTATAGCTCACCCCTCGTGACGTCACCAGCCGCACAGACTAATCTGAAATGGCTTTTTGATATGAAGGAAAAAGTCGCAATAATTCATAGCTTCGTGAAGAGGTCAGGGCCAGATTGAATTTATCGATTCCAGATTTATTTGATTCGAACGTATATATCGCTAGAAGTTTGAAGCTTTCCTGAGTGTGATGGGGATAAACGTCCACTCTCGCGATTAGACAAATTTGATTATTTAGATATAACTAATATACCGCCCAGCTACAATGAGCAGATAATTGCACTTGTACTTCAAAGGTTTTCTTTGATAGGACGCGTTTCCCTAATTAACAACTCAATTTGTGGTTGATAAGACGAGCCGGCTGCAAATCACCATCGCGAGGGAGTGTTTTTTCGTTTGGTCGAAGAGAAAGCCATTTTTGTTCTTAAGGGAAAAACAGTTTTCAGCACGTGGTAGGCTTTAATTTTCTGTGAAGGTGAAAATCAAGAACAATGATAATGACGCTTCAGTAAGATTCTTTTGGAAAATATTAGGAGTCTTTCATTGGTCGATGGATTAAAAAGCTTATCGGCTTCTTTAGCTTTGTGCGTGTTTCGTTGACGTTCAAGCGTGGGATGATCTATCAATGGGGTAATAATTCTATCTTAGGAGTCAAGGTCTTAAGCATATGCAATTCATTGTCATGGAGAATGCATATTAGACCGGTAAAATGAAGCAAGCCTTTTTCTTTAGCTTGTAAATCGTCTTAAATTCGGAAGATGATATTATCTTCCGAGTGGATCTTCTGTTTTTTCTATATTACAAAGAACTACCTCCTCCTCAATGCCAAATCTTCTGTAGAAGTTACATTTAAATTTTTTTAACATTTTTAGACGTTTCTTTTTCAATTTTACTAGCTATAGGTTGTATCATTATGTGGCATGAATCTCATTGTTGCACCTGCCGCTATCAAATGCAGTGACGCGCTGTGTTGAACAATTGTGTTCACATCTTAATTAAATCGTTTTGTAAAACAACAATAGGAAATTAGTGATTGGAAAGAAGGAAATAATATATTTCATTTATCTTTCCTTCTATCTTTCCGTGCTTCAAATGTCAGTTCAAAGGGTCACAAGGCAGTCTCACCATCCAGTTATTTCATAAGAATGGCTATATTGAGATGCAAGGTAAAGACATTGTAAATTCAAAGAAATGAGAGTTCTAAATTTTCGCTGTCAACTTTTAATTGTCTTTTATAGAAATGCTGAATTTCATGTTAGCGCGCAAATTACTCTCAGAAAAGTTTCCCTTCATAGTGGAAACAAAATGATAAATCGATTGATTTGAAGTCGAAAAGAAGTTCAGAGCAGCATCTCGCAAAAACGCAACAACTCGGCTGGACTTCGAGTCTTTTCATTGTCTTGTGAGTATGACATGACATTTTTTCAACCAAATGATAACTTTTGAAAGCTTTGCTTTATAAAAAAAACCATCCACTCCTCGAAGAAATAAAAGTAAAAAACACCCAAGAATACTCAGAGTACAGTAAAAATACTTTCTTGAACAATGCTCTATAATTAAATATTCAATGAGCGAAATCTTTCAATGCTAAGCTCGGAGAAAAAAAACTTCTAGCCTTATTTCTATGCCGCACCTGCAAGTTTTTGATGAAAGTGAAGCAGAGAACTACAGTACTAGTGGCCATTGTAAGTTATGGCAGAGTCTCAGTTTGATTATCGATAAAAAGTTCTGATTTAAGACGTAAACTGATTTCCTGTAGCCACAAGTTTATACATTAAGCAGAAGAACCATTTACGATGGTGATGCTTTTTTTTTTCTTCTTAAAAAGAATTATTCTTGTAAAACTTCCATTGCTTTGATGGCAATGAAAGTTTCCGCAAATAAATCAAACATTACACATTTTAAATTCAATTAGGCTTTGATGCAATTTTTATCAATAGTAAGAAATTATCCTAATTCATTTTCGTCCTTCTTTGTTCAATTCCTCTTTGTTCTGAATCACTGTTTGAAGGAAACCGCAAATTTTTACACCAAGACGTTTGCCTAAGTAGTATCTGATTGCACAGAGTATAAACAAACTCATGTTCCCCTTCTCTTTTGACTTATAAATCTTTGAAAATCTCGCCAAGTTGTAACATTGTACGAAAACCTGCAAGGTTTGTACAGGTGTGCACCTAAGATTATCTTATTTGAACGTTTCGCACTCTTTAAGCCAGGAAAGCAGAGTGAAGTAAGAAGTAAAACTTGAATTGTCAATGTGAATAAAAGACAACATTACAATGAAAACAAAAAGAACAGAGAAAACATGAAAACAATGAAATGAATAACATTGGTACGGTGTTAGGAGAACAACATTTCGAAGTCCTCTTCAGCTGTTTCTTACGTCACATTGCACACGTACCGCATGGCTTTTAAAGTAAAAGGTAAACTCATGGACTGGCTAAGTAGTTTCAGAGAAAAAAAAAAGCTGAAATTGCTGATAAATTTCTTTTTGTCACCAAATGAAGTAAAAAGACGGCGCTATGGTGCAGCGCTTTTAGCTCAAGTTATAAAATTAAGTTGAATTCAAGGGCATGCGGAGTATAACTAACATGATGATAAGCTTAATAACTACGAGTAGTTATATTTATCTTTGTTCATAGTTATAATTACCTTTGTTCTTTAGCGTTTCGTTTATATACACCGCGTGCTGTTTTGTAGGGAGTTCAGTTTGCCATGAAAATTTGATGAGGATTAATCAATCTATTTCATAAATAGACATGATCAAATCATAAACCCAACCCTTCCCTTTCAAAACGAAAAAAAAAATTTTTTAAGAAATGCTGTGGATCCTTTTTAATACAAGTTCAAGTTCGGTCATCCAGGATCGCGAAAAAACTTTACCTTTCTTAAAAAGTCTCTGTTAGATTTCATCGGTTTACATACATTTTTGTAATGTAAATCAATTTGTAAGAACAAACCGCCATTAACTTCACTTCCATATGTAAAGGAGAGAAATTTTCTTTTTTAATAAAAATTTCTTGATACTTTCGGAGTATATTTTCAGCAATCAAAAGTTAAATTCCCCCGTTGATATGCCAGTGCGGCAGTCATTCAAAGTTCCAGCTTCTTGTCCGGTGTTAAAATTTTTGAAACCAAACTGCTTCAGAGGACGCTAATGTAATATGTCTGAAAAGACCATAGACTGAGCTTTAAATTCTTTATCATCATTAGACACTCCGTTGATTTTCAAAAAATTGTATTCTGCCCGACTTTTCTTTATTGCCCTTAACACTACTGGATGACATTATTCTAGTCTCCGTAATTTAAATTTGACCTGTATTGTTTCCTTGTTTCACGATCGCTAGAATCTGAGGAATGAAAAAACGATTCTTGCTAAGTTGACCGACAATAAACAGAAGTTCAAGGTTTGGCCGAGTAGACCTCGTAAAACTTTCCTAACTTTTCCAAAAGAACTTTCAAAACACACGTCTCGTGTTCTTTGTTCCATTTTATTTTCACTCACATTCTTTGCTTACTCCTGGTGCAACATACCGAAATGCTGATGGAATATCCAACAAAAAATAGGAAAAAAAAGTTCGAATCACAAAGCCTTTGCAATTGTATATTTTTCATCGCCATTTCGAGTATGGTCCAAAAAATATCTTCACTTATCACACCGGAAGTGTGCATAGTCCCCCAAATATTTCTGTATGTTCTATTCCATGACAGTCCAGCGTCTCTAATGCAGTATTTTCCACCGTGTTCTGTACTTAATTCCGTAATTTACCATTAGTCTTCTGCAGAATCGATAACGAAGTAAATCCAAAGCATTAGGTTGATCATAAGAAATGTCAATGGAAACAGTATTCTACTGCGGCTGTCAATCCTTTGTACATTGATGTCTTGCTCCCCAAATGACTTAATTTTCTCCCGCAAAGAAGACAGTTGACGCTGCAAGTATTTCGTCTTGAGATCTCCGCCTTCTCCATCACCTGTGTCACTCTAGTGGATAGAGTGTCATGTCAGGAAATTAACAATGGATGGAAAGCAGATAAACCATGCAAATAAGCATATAAGTGTAGACCTGAATACGAATCCATTTTAAAAAATGTGTTTGCAGAAGACAGAGAGAGAGCAGAACAAAACGAAGATGAATGTAGAACGAAAGGGTAACATCCAAATCAGAGGTGCTATTCGAATGAGGTTCATAGAATCTATTTTATTTACCGATACGACAATTTAAATTGAGTGGGCGTAAGGACTCGTTGTTTGTATCTTGATTCGCCTTACGGGCTCGTCAAAATACGGCACCACCCGTAAAAACACTCAGAGATACTACACACCAGAACGTCTAATAAGATATATATTTATATATTCTCCTCTATGCCACGGAATTTGCAAGATGCGTTGTTTTCCCCTTAAGTAATCGATTTATATAAGTTAAAAAAGACGGACACACAAACTAAGAATAATAAAAGTGATGATGATAACGGCAACTATCATGATGATGAAAATGGAATCATTATGACAAACCCCTTTTTCGACGTCAACATTCCTAAGTTTCCTGTTCAGTTTATCTTTCTTTCTCGTCTCCAAGCTATCATGGAAGTTGATGATGGCAAATTCAACCAGGGCGCCAAATACATACACTAGACACAGCATCAGTATCCAATCACTGTACTTTGTGTAAGTTACTCGAGGCAGAGAATTCTGAACTGCTGCGGTAAGAGTTATCATGGTAAGGACCTAGAAAAGACGTGGAATTGTTTAATAATGGTATAACAAGGACATCCTCTGTTAAAAGGGATATATCTTGAAAGCAAACTATGCTTTTTCTGTTTTGATTTTACTAATGAACAAGTCCATCGTAAACGAACTGTTAAAACCGAAAATGCAACGCAGTCAGTAAAAAAAGAGAGGGCAAAGTTTTGATTTTTGGACGCGGGTGTCCTAACCTTTCAATTCGAAATTAAAAACATTTCCATTGGCTTAATTTCCATTTCCACAGGCTTAATGTTGATGAACTTTGGATACATGATTTTTACCTTATCTTACAACAATCGACGTAAATACAAACACATTTTCTAACACAAATACTACATGAATTTTATAGGTGCATTATTCCTGCTCGTTTATGCATCAAAGCGCATAATCCGTCGACCAGGGTTTCAAATGACGTGAAAACAATTTTTTCCACGTCTGTGACAACCTATACGCTTTCTTTAATAATCATTTCTTCGATGTGCTGATGAACTTACAGTTCTGTTATTGTCATTACTTTTAGTCATGTCTCACCGTTGTGATACAGAGCGCAACTCTTGCTGGCGCTGCCTTGTAGTTTATCCAAAACGATATCCAGGACAAGGCCACAATTATAATAGATGGGATGTACGTCTCCGTTATAAACAAACTTAGTCTCCTCTTAAAAGTAAACGTCAAACTAAGTCTTGAATAGTTCCCTGAAAGTAAAATCGTGGGTGAGCATCAATGCAATAGGGTCTGATAACTGAGTTTGTTTTTAGGTCTTGAGATTTAATTATAAATGCATAGAAGGCAACCACTTTAGGTTATCAGTTAGTGTTTTGACAAGGAGATTTATTTACCATTATCCCTACTTACAGCCTCATGTGATCATTGTTTTAAAGCGGTATTTCAGGGTACAGATAGAAATTGGTCCATTTGATCTGTTTTAATAAGCCAAAATGAAGAGTAATAACTCCAAGGGGGGATTGTTTGTCACTGGGTAGAGTTGGATTACGTTCGCAATTGATTTCCAGGAAAGTATATATTTTTTTTCCAAATAGGATGATGATACACGAAATGCGTAGAATTTTTGTTTGTTTGTTTTGCTCTAAGTCCTTGTTGTTGGTCCTACCTGTGGAGTACACATCTGTTGTCTCCGAACTTTGGATTTTCACTAAATCCATCTGTGGGAGGGAGATATCAGGAGCTTGTTCTATTGAATGCTCGTGACCCCTTTTCCACGTGTATATGGCATCAGCCTCTGAGTAAGAATCTGAGGGTAAATGCAAGATTGTTTACAGTTGTGCATCATGAAATATGAAAGGGAATTTTACACTAAACAAGTAAGCGAAGAGAAAGTCAAGCCCCACCTTCCAGGTCCTGTTGACACTTTTTCAAAGAAAAATATAATATTAACAATAATACGATTATTACTATCAACAGACGCGTTAATGTGGCCCTCCAAAGATGAACGAAAAGAAACCGTCTAAAAAAAAAGTGTAGGTTTATTTACTTCGCTTCTCTTATAACATAAGATTATAAAATAACAGCTATTTATTCTTCTTACAGCTTACGATGTTCAGTTCACACTTTTGACTGTCCATGGGGTATTTGCGTAGCTTCATTCGACAAACACCAGTGACTGAAATCCTGCAACAGAGTACTCTCTGTTATTTTCGAATCAAAAGTCTTTTGCTAGTATACCCTAAAATCATTGATAAACTTATCGATGAATTGCCACTCGGAATTGTAATGACGATTCTAACCACGATGAAAAAGAATTCCATTAGAGTACCATGCAGCTTGGTCTTACCTTATACTAAAGAATACTGTTCCATTGGGCCAAAATATCAACACATAATTTTTCTTAGTGATCTCGTGGAAATTTGACCTCTTTTCACTATTAAAATAAGTGTCTGGGATCCAAATTTTGTCCAGTAGGTCTCCTTGAGCCACAATCTGAGAGGTGCCATTGAATCTGAGCCGAGGATCCTCCCATGTTTGACGAAAATACATTGTCATTCTATAATCCTTTTTAGTAGAATTGGAGAAACAAAACACAATCAGCTAAGTGAAGAACAGAGCAACAAGAAAACAAACAAAAAAGGCAAACAAAAAAACGCATTTTGAAGTATACATGTAGGGCTTCCATTTATCTCAACGCTGATCACTGAATCTGAAAATTTTCCTTTAAACAGACAAATACATTAATTCAGTTTGGCTTTTTTTGCATTAACAATATGAAATTAAACGTAATCTTTTTATTATTGAACTCTAGTTAAATAAACTGGTTTTTATCTTGTTGAAGGACTCAAAATATCTGCTCCCTCACTATATAAGCCTCCTTAATTTTGCTTATTAGGTGCTGAAGAAGATTGGATTGCATTTTGCCCTTGTCTTTTATCAGAATCGGTATCTTTTTTTAACTAAAAGCCTTATTAATCAGAACTAAAATATCTTACCATATTGGTCACCGAAATGTCACCAATATCAACAATGTATAAGTCAACGTAGACGGTTACTGGCCTTCCTAATGAAATAAAGATGAAAAGGAAAAAAAATGGCATGCGTGCTTTTTCCTTAATGTCATTTTCTGCCGCTATTTTTATCACTTTGCTCCTTTTAAAAGAGTATAAACCTATGGGCTAATTTTTTTTTTGTTGTCGTCTGGAGGTAAGGCTTCCTCCTATAGGGGGATATCCTTTTTAAACAAATTTTTATGATAATCAAAAAGAAAACGAAATGTTATCTAAGTCGTGTCCTCCAAAAGATGCGCAGTCGCTCTATAATTTTTCCTCATGGTGTCCTTGGCAATTAAATTTATTATCTTTATTCCAAACAACTGGGGTGAGAAAGAAAATCAAACTCAGATAACTGCAGTTCTCCTTTCAAAATCTTACCTCCAAACTTTGGTCTCAGTCTCTTGTCATGGCTATTTAACAGTAAATTCAAAGTATTGGTGGCGTTCGCTGTTCTTTCTGTCTCTAGGTCATGACTGGGACGAATTCAAGAAAAGTTACGACATCACGAAGGAAATAATGCAAAGGAATTAATGAAAGCTAATACTGAAAATATCGCTATGAGAAGACACCATCAGAGTGGTAATAAACAAGAACGGTTGTTTGTCTTTCAGGGATGGCCACCATACAGAATGAATCTGAATTTTAAGCAGAATGATACTCATTATCCATAGTTTTTTTGGTATGAATTGCAAGCCAATTAGCGAGACATAACTTTCTATTTTTGCCAAAACAATCGCTTGACAAAAATTGAATGCTTCCAAGTTTTGAAGCCGAAAATACCTACAGTGTTGAGAATAAGTCCAAAAAAAAATTGATCATTGAGCTCACCAACAGATCATTATCTCGCCGAAACTGATGAATATATATAAGTGCGGTTTTTTTTTTCATAAGCCTTTCTGCTTCTGAAAATAGATTGCAAAATCACCACATTGCTGTACCATTTTCCTTGACAAAAAAAGAAGAACGGTTCGTAAGAAAATGTGGCCATTTATCTAAGTAGTATACGAACAGTCCGGTCAGATTAATGGAGATTAAGGCTTACAGAAATCAATATCCATCGTTTGCTGACCTCGCCATTTTGTCACGCCTGGTCTACGACTCAGAAATGAAGATGCTCGAGAATGGAGTGGAAAATTAGATAAAATTAATTACAATCCATGTTAATGATACAGAGTGATTTATTACCACGTTTCCTCTGAGTTTATCAGTGATATACTCAGTAGGATTACCCTGATCCCAAAATTATTTTACGATTGATGGACAGAGATCAAAGCTTATGGGATGATTTGGTATTGGCCATGAGTACATAGGAAAAGTCATCTAACAACGGAACGTCATAGAGGTAAAGCGTTAGTGGGTCTTCTCGATGACCGTGCAATACTCACTTTGTGAGCTAAACATATGTATTTCAAAAACACCCTTAAAAGACTTACTCTTCATGATTTTGTTCCGCAAATGTCGCCGGGTCAAAAATTAAGATTATGACTAAAAACTCCAGCCAGAAGATTTGACCAAACATGAAGGAACAGTTACTACAACCGATTAAGGCGCTGTTAATCCGTCTGAAGGGTGAAGCGGAACACCTGTTATGAAAATCACAAGAGTTAAGAGTTCATAAATTTTATAAAATGAGTAACATTCATTGGTAATCAGACGTGACCTGTTTTGAAATAGTTAATATGTATTAATCATTTATAATACGCTCCAGGTTGGGGATAAGCAAAATAGCGAAAAAAAGTATGGTAATGACAACAAAGAAATAAAAATTAAACCAAAAGCCGACACCTTTTTTTATACCTATGGGTTTAGAGTTTACTTCTTTTTATGAAAAATTTATTATTATTGGCGATGTCTCAGTTCTCAGACATTATTTATACATGAAAATAAAACATGCTTTTTTTCTCAAAGAAATATGATGATGAGAATTTTTTTTTCAGGCCAAGTTGCGGAAATATGCGAACCTTTTCCAATAAATGGATAAATGACGTGTGCGTTTTCCAATAAGAAATTTCTTCCAGGTAAATTACATAATGTTTTCAACTAGAAAATAGTTGATGGACAAATATTGACCAAAAAAACGGGAAGGGCTGATAGATAGACGGACAATATTGATCAAATTTCCATACCGTTGATCTAAATTTGAAAGCTGTTTAAAGAAAGTTAAAAAAAAGTCATTTATTGAAGAGGAAAATTAAAAAGGATTCATACCATAAGATTAAGAAAAAAATTGATATTATAAATCAACCATAGAAAAAATATATCATCCACAAATCTTTGAATTCTTGAAACGAAAGATTCAAAGCCTGCCATTTATTTAAAATTTGCAAATTATATCTAAAAGAATCTAATTAACTGATAACTCCGTAGTCAATTACGAGCATAAGTTTAAAGTAAATGGAATTCAGATTTGATAGGACCAATTTCCACTTTAGTACGCGTTTTCCTGGTTAAAATGAATGGACTATATTTAGTCGTTTGGAAAGTTACTTGTTGGCGATAAGGATGACTTGTATCATGCATGGAGGTTACGATTGATGGTAATGGGCTTTTTTGAAACGAAAGATAATTTAAAATTTGCAAATTATATCGGAGATAAATATTCCACAAATCATAGATATTCAATAGCTTGTTTGCTTAACTTTTTATTTGGTCGTAATGAACCATAGATAAGATTTCCGGTTATTCTGGCTGTTGTCTCCTCACTTTAGCAACAGATAGTTTTAAATTGACCCCGAATAATTGGGCACAGAGCAGTTTTCAATTAACGAAAAAGCCACACCAAAGTAATTACAAGTACAAAGGCTAACATCGCTCATCATTGATCAAAGAGAACTTAAGTAAAAACGGCAGAAAGGAAGCTAGAAATAGTCAAACTATGCTAGTAAAAGAAAAGGTGCAACATTCTCTCCACGTTACCGAGAAATTTTGTTACCGAATTTACTTTGTTATTTATCTTGTCCCCCCTTCTTCCCTTTTTTTGTTTTACATTTTACACGTTGCACAAGACATACATCTCAACGAAACCAAAAGAAACCTGAACTAAAAGGAAGGTTAGTTGCAATTTAAAATTACGAACCATTTTCACATTAATATTTATAAGTGAAGTTTGTTTCCTTCACAGAACAGGTATTCGCCGTTGGAGGTTATTTGTTCCAACAAATAAAATAAATCACAGCTAGATTTTTAAAACAAACTCTGCAAATAGACCATAAAAGTCCAAAAAATGACATCTCGAGCTTGACAAATCAAGCACTCGGTGATTCATATGAAGATGGATATTTTTGTCAGTCGTTAGCGAATTCCAGTTCAAAGCTTGCTTTAATTGAAAGTTGATAAGCTATCAGATACATAATGATAGAAATGCGTTGCCATTCGCATTTTGACTTACGAGGTTTTGGATTAAAATCAATACAACCTGAAAATTAGTCCATGAAATTACTAATGCAGAGCCAGGAACCTATCGATGTTAAAAAAAAAGGAAAAAAAGAAAAACGGCACTTTTCCGATCTGTTCATTAAAGGAAGGAATGGAAGTGAAGTCGTGGACTTCAGAATTTAAGCGTAAATTTAGATCGAGTGACGCTGGTAACGATGGAATTAGGTGGCCTGTAATAATTTCTTTGCACCTTAAGCGTTTCCAGTTAGTAGAATTCGGATGGCATTCAAAGGAAAAAACGAATAGTTTAGGAATTGAACTTTTTACGCTTAAAGAACACCTCACCTTGTGCCGAGTCCTCACTTCTGCCACCACCGTTGAGAATTTTAAGATATCATTCCGGATTCACGAACACAAGTCTAGAATTTTCCCTCTTCCCTTAAATATCGTATGCAAGTAATTGATCCGTTTAAGGTGTTGCAGCATTGTTTCCTGTAGGCTCTGATTTCGGTCTTATTGATATGGATCATGTCAAATGCCTTGTTTTGATTTTCATGGCGAACCTGTTTTTGTTATCCTGCTGAGATTTTAGTGAATGTCTCAATTCATTTGTCATAAATTAGACTGGAAGTATTAGCCACTAATGAATTTTTCCCCCTCTCTAACGGGCAGACCAAAACAGAATATATGAAGAAAAACGCACTTTGGTGTCTGAAAATGTCGCTAGAAATCCCCAAAACCAAATATAATATTTGAATACTTAATGATTGGCTGATTCCTAAAGCCACAACTTCACAAATCGGTGTCAAAAGTTTTTTTAGTTTGGGCACTTTTGTATGGAAAATCTTTCCGCCGCAATTGAATGCTTGGGCATTCGAAATTATCGCAAAAGATCCCTCTATTGTCGTTAGCGCAAAACGAACAAACTCGGTAAGTGCATTGATGAGTTACGTTAACTCATGGAAGCTAGAGAAGGTTCGGCATTCTCATTACGTCACAAAAATTTAAAAATATTTGTGTATTCGAGTACAAGAAAATTCCTTTTTAACAACCAGGTACAGCACTTCTAAACGAAGACAGGCATGTCCTTTTACACATGGAAAAACACATACTAGTCCTGTATCAATTAGTTTTTGATATCGCCATCTGCTGGACTTCTTCTGAGGTAATATTTGGGCGCCAACATAACTTTTTAACGAAAGCTTTTGCTCAGATCGGACATCATCTCGTGGAACGCACACGGATAAGTTTTCACTTCAAAAAGGATAAGTAATGCAACGATTACTGGTATTTGTCTCTCTTACGGCTTTAGATCTCGTGTACGGTAAAGGTAAGTGGCTCTGAAATAACCTGTTTCCTTATTTTTTTCTTTTCAGGACGTGTTGGTAAGTCTAGGTATCTCTTTCTCACGCGCTGCGCTTTTTTTCGAGAGATTTAGGATCGAAGAGGAAGCTAACTAGTTATAATCCAATAGTTGAACGTGTCTTTTGATTTTGCCTTAGTTGTAATAATTCATATAGAGTTTAGTCGATGATAATTGTTATTCCACCGTTTGTTAAAGCTATTACTATCACTGTCATCCTCAAACTAAGTTTTCATCGCCATAAAACATTTTATCTCAGTGCAATATTGGTATGCCAGTCTAAGAACTTGAATCATTGCTTCGATAACGATGATGATATCATTAAGCAAACAAGCTACCTATTATAGCTAAGTTCAGGTAAAAAAAGAGAAATTATACATCATGTGGATCAGTATCTGAGGAATCATCTACCGGTAGCTAATAGTTGTGCGATTAGGTAGGTAGTGCACGGTAGAAATGGAACAGGTACCAGCCTTAAGACGTATTTGTTTAGCTTTCAACCACCGACTTAAACCATCAAGGAAACCCTTGAACCAGTACAACACCGGTACCAATAAGATTCTTTGATCAGGGTAAATGTTTGGAAATAATTTTTCCCCCTCCTATTACGAGGCAGACTTTCACGTGTAACGCTTTCAAACAGAAAAGGAAAGAAAAAGAAAAACGTTCTTGGGATAGAGTCCACTATCGAACCTAGAATTTGCATGTTTTCGGGTATACAAATTAGGCTGGTACAAGGAACCAGAACAAGAAATTAATACGCCTCATCTTTACAACAGAGAAAGGCTCGAAAATGAACGTTAATTAGCGATCGTAACTATATCCGAAATTCTAAAACGGTGCAGGTAGAATTTAGGACAAAAGAACTAATTCTGTTTGCTGCTCTTTGCAGATGATGGATGTGTTACCTTAACCGATGGAGACAAATCTTTCAATGGGGAAATCGAGTATGTCCCCATGAAATGGTTTGAAACGCCCTCGGTTGTTTCTTTAAGTCCAGGTATTACAAATGTTTATCTAAATAAGCCACTTCTGTTAATTGGGACGTTTTTGAAACACTAACATTCCTGTTAGAATATAGCATATTTTTATCTTCTATAAAAACAGTCCTCCAACAATGCCCAAAGTGTGATTAGTCTGTTGGGAAGATCTTTCAAACGTCTGTTGTCCGTGTTTGTCCGTGACAGAGAATCACCCCTCGACGACCTGATCGATCTGAAGTCAGGATCGTTTACCAGAAAAATTTCCGCTTGAGAAACCGAGGTGAAACATCGAGCCGTCTTCATTCCCATTGCCCTGTCTTTGAGGTGAATAATGAAGTGCTATCCTCCTCCCCCTCCCCCTCCCCCTAAAGCAACAAATCTGATCTACCGATGAGTTAGTATATAAAAATGACTATTTCCTTCCTTTTTCATTTTTTTTTCATGAGAAGCATGTACAGGTGAAACAGCACTTGGGTTGGAAAGTGGTCTCGTTACATTCCAGCAAATGACGGCATCCTCCACCTTCAAGAAAAATCACGGTCCATCTAACGGAAGACTCAATCACGCGGCTGCAAATGGAAAAACAGGCGCCTGGTCAGCTGGGGCTAATGATACAAATCAGTGGCTTCAAGTGGATTTTGGAAGAAATGTCAGAATTACAAAGCTCGCTACTCAAGGGCGTCAAGACTACGATCAGTGGGTGAAGACATTTACTCTTTCATACACTCTTGATGGCAACCCTTCTTTTCAGATTTACCAGGAGAATGGGGCTGAAAAGGTCTGGTGAAGTATATCTTGCCTGATAAACATTCCAGTCAAACATAATTTCTCATACTTTTCAAGTATTCAAAGTTTTATAAAAGAAATACAATTAACTTGAGAATTTGCTGCGAAAATTTAATTTGAGTTGTAAAAAAACAAACTTCGCTATTGAAACAAACAAAGACATTAAAATCAAAATTTTGGATTGAACAGAGAATTGCTCATGTTTTAACGAGAAATGTAACTAACTAAAAGTCGAGAGTCAGTTCTTAACAAAAATGTCATGACTGTTTCTGCAAAGGTAAAGACAATTTTTCTCCTCGTTTGCCATCCTGTTCAGGTTTTTAACGCAAACAAGGACAGGGACACCATCGTGAATCATGTACTAATTCAGCCAATCATAGCCCGGTCCGTCCAAATAAACCCAAAATCATGGAATGGTCATATCTCCATGAGAGCAGAGTTTTACGGATGCATCCTTTCAGGTAATGTCTGAGGTAATTGGTTTGATCGACAAGAAATACTAACGTAGCAGTTTCTCTTTTTCGTGTTGGATTAGGAGTGTAGAGCTCATCTTTTTTTGATCGTGGCGTTGATGTGTTGGTCTCATTCGATATAATAGATCTTTTGATCATTTATTAATTAAAACAATGGTTTAATATTCTATAGGACTCTGCCCTTCTTTTATTCAGATTAACCTTTCTGAACTACTGAGACAATAACTATTTTGTGAAGTTGCAAACAAAGGCTATTTATACAGCTACCCAATTTTAAAGAGGGAAGAACATCTGAGAGAATTGCATCGACTTTGTTAAGAAAGAGTTCTTAAGATCAACTGATTTTCCGTTGGTTGTGCAATAGACCGATACCAAGTGTTGGGCCGAGTAGTGCACATGGATTTCGTAAAAGAGCAACTAAAAACAAAGAAAAAGGTCAACTTTGGAGACTCCCAGGAACAAACTAATGGAATCGAGCTTGCAGTCATGGCAGATACCATTTATGTGAAGGTGCGTTTGACAGTTTTGTACTTAAGTCTAGCCAACGCCACAATGGGCGCCTAGAGAGCTTATCGTTTATTTTTTTCGTGTTCTAGTCGGAGGGCTTTTTGAACATAGCGGGATTATTAAAGAGGTGCTTCATTAAAATTAGCTGAGGGCTGTAATAAATATTATGCATATAGTATTTTCCTCATTTTGAAAACCGACGATTTTGAACTTGGAGATAGTGAAATTATGAAAACATGAAGTTAGAAATCAGGGAGACCTATTAAGTTAGTTACAAAAGTGCGAAAAACCTCTTTGGTAAACAGTTATTTCAAAATTACATGATACACGAGGAACTGACCTGACAAATAGGAACGCATGAATTAATACTTATCAATAGTATGTTAATAGATACGATGTGTAATTATTCTAAATTTCAATCTTTGATCAATGATTTGTTACACAGGGAGACATTAAAATGCGTGGCACCAAGAAATTGACAATGTTCAGCCGTAAGCTTTCATTTTTGAAAGGAAGTAAACTGGATCTCAGAGCTCCAGATCTGCTACAAACCTTTGATAAACTTGAACCTGGCGCTGATGGAAAGGATGGCAACCATGGTGTAAATGGGACCATAGGTAAAAAGATGGCTTTAAGTGCAGCCCGTAATCTCTGTTCTAATAATGTATGACGTAAGGGAGTTTCAGTACCAAGGACGCTATGGCAACGTAATATGTCAGAAATGTGCTAGAAACCTCTTGAGTGTGAAAATAGTGACAATGGCAATGATCTTCACATTTAGAGTGATGAATATGATGAATATTTTGAAGGTCCCACCTTACGTCTCTTTTTTAGAATCCCAGCTGCCGTAAGTTCTGCTTTCTTAAAGATATTTTTCCCTTATAATCAGTGGAGATATCAGCCCATACTGTCGTAGGATACATCAACATCATAACTAACGGCGGTAATGGAAACAAAGGCCAAAATGGCGCGGATGGGAGGAAAGGGGCTGACAGCATGACAAAGGTATAAAAATTAGGAAACACCCACTTTTATGCCAGTGGCATATGTATTTAAATTTATATGCGTTTGTTTGTCTGTTTGTCTGAATATCTCTCTATTTGTTACCAAGTAATCCCATATACCCGATTATAATCAGAACCACCAAGGTTTCACTGTATCAATAACGAAATCTCGCTCAAAAATTTTATTGGCAAAATGGATGGACGATTATCATTCAGAAAAGAAAACAAATATGATAAAAATTACCTTTGACTTCCGGTGATATAGCCACATCTTTGTATGTTTATCTGTATGTGACACTAAAGAGTCTATAGATTCATACAATGGTAAGGTAATTACAAGTGAGCTTTTTCCAATTACAACAGGAGCTGGATAAAACACAGTCAGACTGTAATGCCCATACTAAGAGGAATGACAAGGGCAAAGTCACTGGGTGTACGGAAAATATCAAAGGGACACCAGGTGCCAAAGGAGGAAATGGAGGAGATGGGGGATACTCTGGAAAGTCAGGTTAGTGATCAGCAATCATAAATAAAAAATGGCTCGCGTGTGTTTAATTACTTCACTTGTACCATTAAAGACTGATTGCTAAACATATCGTACGTCTCAAAACTGCAACAGGGCACTGCAAAATTCCATCATCTCTCTTGACACACAATTCCCTAAAAGCCTAAAACTCTCAGCATAAGTTTCAAAACCTCGATTTTAATAGGAAAATTATTCTCGGAGCAAAAGGTTGCCGAAACCGTTCCCATTTTTGATAGATCAGAAATTAAATATTCCTGACTTCGCCGGTCACTTTGAATAACTTCTTTTCACCTTCCAGTTAGTTGTTTGTGATTTTTTATTGTTGTTGTTGCTTTTTGTTTTTGCTCTCTTTGTTTGCTTGTTCTTTTTATTATTTTCTTCGTACAGTATGGTTATGTCACTGTTTTTGTTTTGTTTTGTTTTGTTTTGTTCGTTTGTTTTGTTATTAATTCACTCCATTTCATTTTTTAATAATAACTTGCAAGATTTTAAAGTAAAGAATATTGGCACAGAAAGAGTGGTTGAATTTTGTTTCAAAAATGTGTATTTGAGTGGATGATATCGAAATTAATTATAACACGTTTATTTGTGCTGCCAAAGTTATGATTTGTCTAAAAACAGGTAATGGAGGAAACGCTGGTCGTCAAACATTCTATTTAACTAGATTGCTCGGGAATATAGAGTTAAAGACGTGTCGCGGAACAGGAGGACAAGCGGCTAAAAATGGTGTCGGGGGAGAAGGTGACGTTTCGCATCCTCTTCTGCATTTTTAAAGCTCCTTTGCACATTCACAAGTGGCATATCGAAATTCTGCATTCACTTATCGCCTTCTAGATCTTCTTTAGAGCTACTGCGGCCAATTCCCAACTATATGCATAATTTTTTTGCGATGTGGAGAGATCCCTAGAAACTACGTCCCTTCCGCCAAAATTAAGTTACATATTTCAAAAACCTAAAACTGCATGTTGCCTTAGTTTGGTTAAAACACCATCACACGATCTGCAGATGAAAATTACTAAGATGCGTTTGAAGATGCTAATGATGATAGTGCTGATAACGGATAATGGCAATAATGATGCATTGCTACATGAAAAAATTAATAAATAAGATGCAAATGTAAAGGTTTTTTGGGAGGGTCAAATCTGGACTTCATCTTCGTTTTGAATTGAACATCATCAATCACCCTTCTTTAAACTGACAGGAGGCCAAGGTGGACTCGGAGGTCGTGGAATCAAATGCAAATACCGCCGGAGAAGCAAGCTAGTCGGACTAGCATGCAAGGCTGATGGTCAAACTGAGGCTTCTCGAGGACCAACTGGAAATAAAGGTCGCAGTGGGCAAAGTTGAGTGTTGCACTTTGGTTGCAATTTCTAGCAATATGGTATAATGATTTCTTTAGGGCAGAACGGCTTATTTATTCTTCTCGCGTAACCTTTCTTAACACCTTTATCGTTTGACCCAGCAAGTATCCTCCAACACTTTTGAAAAGGATGATATAAAATGATCCCAAAATGGATCTCATTTGATCCAAAAGTTGCATACCTTTGTGCTACATTTCCCTCTTTTGTTTATCCTTTTTTCAGGTTCATGAATAAGCCATAAAATACATTGTATTTTGTTTTATTGTCTCAGCCCCTGTAAGCGCTGGTTCAACTGGTCAGATAGCAGACACCTTACTGCAAAAGTTAAACCTCGATCGCAGCCAGAAAGATAAATATCCAGTGGTACTGATGAAGGTGATGACAAGATACGCTGAAGACCTTGTTTGGCTCAACAACACCAGAAATGCGCAAGCAGTTTTTGAGTTTATAGCTGATTTAGCGACTGGAAGAGATGGGGACCTAGAAAAATGTAAGATGGATTGGCACATCTACTGACTTTTGAGTTTTCGGATCTTGCATTACCAAAAAATTACAGCCCTGACTACAAATTAAGGTGACTCAATATGTTGGATTGATACTATCGGAATTCAACAATAAACACTTAACACATGATACAGCTAAAACCACGGTTGTTTTGATATAAAGAGGATGTAATTCTGTCATGTTAACCCTATATGTCAAAAAAAAGACTGAAAAACAGCGATCAAGAATTGTCGAGAAATAATCGGACGATTTTCTTGCAATAGTCAACAAGACAAAGAAAGAAAGTGTAGAGGCTTCGATTTATCAAAACGTTAGTGTTTAACATGACGAAGCAATTTAAAGCCACCGTAAACTACAGATAGGTTTCATTTTTAACAAAAATACAAAATAAAGCTTGGAAATGATGGGCCAATCGGAAAAATGCTGTTTTAAAAATGTATTCCGGCACAATTATTGCTAGCCCGTGTCTTACATGTTACTTCTGTTTACCCTTGATGGGAAGCGCTGGTTCCTTTTAGATTCTAAAAAGCTAATAACGTTGTCGCTCAAAGCTAATCAGAAGAAGATTTGCAACTTTAAAACAACAATGAATGGATCGAAAGTCAAAAAGGAAGATGTCGCACCGTCCAACAACTTCTTTGAACTACTGGCTAAAGTAAAACAGCTGATTAAAAATCCAGTCTAGCGGCGAAATTTAATGAAAATGCATTTCATTTTTTTTTCAGTTGCAAAGCGAAGGGTGGGTTTCCTAAACAAGAAAGGATTTGATAGATTTGGAAACAATAAACTATTTGCACCTCTGATGAAATGGGAAACGTTTAAAGAACAACTTGTGCAGATAAAAGATAATGCGCAATCATATGAAAATGCCTACAATGAGATACGGGCATCTATCGAACGACAGGAAGGTATTAAGCAAGTGCTGCAAGCCCTTCCTTTACCAGCCAAGATTCAAGTCCATAAAGAAAAAGAAAGACTTGTGGAGGCAAGAAGGATAGCATTGAGCGAGAAAAGAGCCTATGCGCAGGTGCGTACCGCCCGGCTATTCATTTAAGGACCCACTCAGTCAGATAGTTTGTCCGTCAGTCAGTCAGTGAGTCCTTCGACTAATCAGCCACTCAGTCAGATAATTTGTCCGTCAGACAGTTAGTCAGTCCTTCGACTAGTCAGCCACTCAGTAAGATAGTTTATTTGTATAATAATATGATAGTGAGTCAGTTCTTCATCACACATTCACCCATATATTCACGTGGTTACTGAAAAGTACGCTTTGGCGTTTAAGAGCGCTTGTCTGTAAAAATTAAACATATCGCGGCAAGGGTGGAAAATTCGATTTCTTTCTTATTTTAATGTTAGATAGGCTAGGCTATAACTAAAATCACTGCATACTTTTTTTGGCGAAATATCTTTTTATTTCAGGAAAAAAAATACAAATAACGAAATTCCGTTAAAATCGTCATTTTTGGCAGCAAATTATTGCACGAGTTTGAGGGCTTCGCGTGCAAAAACGAATCACTATCTCGTCTTTTAAACACTCAAATCTTCTTTATCGATCTCATAAGACCTCACAAAATGATTTTTGTAAACATTGCGCTCTTCTTTGACCTTTCGAGGTCAGCATTCCAGCCGCGAGTCACACATATATTTTAATATGTTTCAACCCATATGAGGCCGGAAAATGTACATGGGTACACATTTCCAAATGCTCTAACCTCATTTGCTGTAGAAGAAACATCAAAAGACCATTTCACTGTGGTTATCTTGTCGCTCGTCGTATTTATAACGTCCGATGAAACTGCCTGTCAATCTGCGAACTGTAACCAACCTTCGTTGTAAAACGTTTGACATCTTTCTGCACTATGGCATCTTATCCAGCGGTTCAGTTGACTGTGAGTATTGTTCGGTTTGTGGTGCAGCAGATTGATCGATGCTTTGAAAAGTGGCACTACACATGTGTTGCAGTCAACGTTGTGTTGTTTACGGAGAGTCGTCACGCAATGCAAGTCATACAATGGAAAGTTATATTTTAGGGGGTAGGGGAAGGGGAAAGTAAAAAGACGTCACTCTGCTGCTCAGATTTTTTGTTCTTGTGAACATCGAAATCTCTTATATGTAAGTCGCGGAGATCGGGCCTTTGGATAATACTCGTTGAAAAGCTAAATTTAGTACCTGCTAAAAGTAGTGAGCCTAAGTAAACAAAACCTCGTTTATGGTAATTACACGATGCCTATTGTTTGCTTAGAGGCGGGGCTTCGGACTTTGTTTTTCACAAATATACTTACTTACACGTTCAACTTAGTTACATAAGAAATAGAAGGTTGTTGTTCGTTCAAGTCGCTTATTGGCGGAGTTTGTTGTTACAATACTAGAGATCGAAAGTGTGAAACGGAAATTGTTCCTTTAATTTCATGCACCAAGAATATCGCAAGTCATAAGTCGGCTTTCAAATTTACCGGTCCTGAAGATGAGATCGACCTTATTTTGTGCCAAGCGCACATATGTCGGCCTCTCTGTAGTTTAAGGTTTTAAACGGTAGTTGGGACTGTTAACAGTGGTTAATTGTAACACTCCCTTTTGCAAGCCCCACCCATTGGCCACAGAACATAGCACCCCTGCCTCACATAAGCCACACATCCCCACCACTGCGTTATGTAGCATGTCGCAGTAAAAATGTACAAAGTTAAAGTTCCTTTGTCACCGGTATTGCGTGACAACCCAAATACTCAAAGGACGTACATGTTTGTAGTCAACTCAGTTTAGCATTGAATTAGACTGTCAGACGTTATCTTTTAGCAATACTCGCAGTCAACTGAACCATTGAATAAGATGCCACAGTGAAGAAAGATATCGAACGTTTGACAACAAGATGGTGTTCGACAGAGTTGGTGGTTTCTTCGGACGTTGTCATTTATACAAACCTAAATACGACGAACGACAAGATAATTACACAAAAATGGTATCTAGATCGGTCTTCTGCAGTAAATGAAGTTAGAGCATTTGGAAATATGTTTGTATGTACATTTTTCGGCCTCATATTGGTTAAAACAAATTAAAATATGTGTGACTCGCGACTGGAATGTTGACCGCAAAAGGTCAAATAACTGCATTTTAACAGACTTTGAAAAGCTTTTGTATCGCTCTCAATCATTTGCCCAAACAAATTTTTACAATTATATTGAGAACATCTTTTCGAAATTCAACCACTAAGAGCTTAATCCATTTGAAGGTTTAGCACATGGTGAAAATTAATTTCATTCACGAAGTATTTTTACTGAAGAGAAATGAAATTTTAAACGCAAAGAAGATCGCAGTGTTTACAAAAATCGTTTTGTGAGGTCTTATGAGCTTGAAAAAGATTTGAGTGTTAAAAAGACGAGATAGTGATTCGTATTTGAACACGAAGCCCTCAAACTTGTGCAATGATTTGCTGCTAAAAATGACGATTTTAACGGAATTTTGTTATTTGTATTTTTCTCTGAAATAAAAAGATATTATGCCAAAAAAGTATCCAGTGATTTTAGTTATAGTCTAGCCTATCTAATATTAAAATAAGAAAGAAATCGAATTTTTCACCCTTGCAGCGAAATTTAGAATTTGTCTGATTTTTACAGACAAGCGCTCTTAATCCCTAACCTAGCCCTCAAAGTTTTTAATGTCAACGATGAGTGCAAAATGGATAAATAATAAACCGCATGTTTGTTTTTCATCCTTTTGGGACAGGCCATTACTGAATTGGAAGCAAGCATGAAAAGCTCACTTGAAGAAATACTCGTCCAACTTCCAGACGTACATCGGGCAGCGCAGTTCAACAAAAAAGACCTGTTTATTGTTCTCCAAGCTTTAGTAGGATTTGCCACTGGTACTGCAGGGAGAGATCCATTGGCATTACTTGGGACTGCTTTAACAATTGTCGGACATTTTGCCACAAAGTGCAATACTGGATCGCTTCAAGACAATAAGGACAAACTCGAAAAATGGCTGATGTTTGGTAAGGAATACGCTGCCCTAGACGACTCTAGTGATCTGGATTTTGACAAAATGGATGTGGGATCTGTACCGGAAATCATGAAGGTATAAGCCCTCTATAGATCTAGATTTCAGCACTTTTAAAGGAAATTTTGCGACCGCCTGACATGAGTTTATTAGAATCTTAAAACGCGGCTAGTATCATTATTTCATTGAGACACTGATGGTGGAGATGAAATGTTCACGGTTTCTCTCCTTTTAGCTGATAAAATTCAAAGGAAATTTTGACAAAAAATGTTCTCAACTTTCTTTAAGACTAACCTTGAAATGAACAAGGAAGCGCTTACTGCGGACCTGGTTTGTATGATAGAGGAGAGGTCACTTCCACGAAACCTTGCAAAATTCAGGGAACAGATAGAACGATTTTTCATGGCTGGGGGAGCGAGGATTGATCTCATAGCCAAGGTTATTGATCTGGACAATGCAGTTGGTGGATACAACTTCGATATCCCTAATTTAGAGCAAACATCGAATGAAATAGAGAGCTTGCGAAACTCTGGAGGTAAGGATCGATGGTTGATTACACGCTACGTATGTGCAACATGCAGAGTGAAGCAGCAGTCGTTGATATGGAGGCAGACCAATCCAGAACACAACTGAGTATATAAGATATACTCCTGTCCAAATCTAACATATGATATGTTTTTATTACCAAAATCATAAGTGTAAGATAAATCCAGCTCGCAGGCCAGAAATTCTAAATTTTGACAGAGTATTTCCTGTTTTATTGAGTGTTGAGTATTACTTCTTTGCCTTCTGGTCTGGGTGCTTTTTCATCGTGGGGTTACCCCCTCGTTTGCCTGTACTCCACTACGTGGAGAGAAGTAATTGGAGACAGAAGAGTCTTGCTCAAGAACACAGCACAAAGACCCAGTTAGGGCTTGTAACTAGGAGACAATAGGGAGCTTACAAGTCATTCAGCCACCAGCTTTCAAGCAGAGCAATGACCATAGAGCAAGGGGTGGGATGATGTTTTCTCTGGAGAGTGGTAGTTTATCGGTTAACGGACGGGACTCCAGGTCTAGCTAGGATGACTTGATGTTATTATTATGAGTGTAAAAGATCGCACATTTAAGAAACGTTGTATTTGGTTCCTTGTTAACTTTGGTTTGCAGACTTAGACTCTCCAATCGCTGAGAACATACAACAGATGTTCCTCGATGATTTACTTACTTCTTATCAGCAGATGGAGACAAGTTTTACTCAGAATCTCTATCAGTTTTACAAAGGCTTTGAGTTCCGCTCACTTTGGAAAGTTGGTGATACCTTAGTCGACTTTCAGCGACGTGCAAGCGAAGCTGCTCGGGGGAATGAACAACTTCGAGGTGTACTGGAACTGACTAATGCTTTACAAGAAATCGATTCTATTGAAAGTAAAGGGCGAAAATGCTTCACCAGATTCAAATATTCAACAAATACACACAAATGGTCTTTTAACAGTGTTGAACATGCTACGGTTAGTATTTTCATGGACGGATATGACTTATTTCGAGATCCAGTCATAGAGGTGTTGCCTTACGAAATTTTGGCGGAAGAAGGGTCGCAGTACAAAGTGGGAAGATTGGGTTCAGGGTTCAGGTTTTCCTGCATTTTGATTGGCTATATTTCCCATAGCATGGTATTTATGGAAATTTTTGGAAGATAATAGTCCACTATGTATGGACAATATATCACTGTAGTTTTTCATATTTGAAGATCTAAAACTTGTGAAACAACTCATACTACAGTTTCAGAGAGGTATTTTCATCGTGATTAATGCTCACTTGCACTCCTTTCGAAGTTGATTACTTTTAAAAGATGAAGAGCCACTCAAACATTGTTTTCATAGAGCAGGTCGTCAGTTCAACTCTTGAAAATTCTTCGAGATTAAGAATACCTGAAATGTTAGGTCTTCTTGTTGTTAGGTCTTCTGTTGTCCCTCGTTACTTTGTGAGTTTGAGGATGACTTAGAAAAAGGTTGTTTTCCCTTTTTCTCTATCTTTATGCACTAGCTTTTTGATGATTTGCACAGAGGCAAAGCGACGTTCACCATAGAGGTTTCTGACAATTGCAAGTCATGCTACAATGTTCGTCTTTTGAAGGTAGGAAATATGTCCTCTACTGCTAATGAGCCATACATCGATACCGTATGGCTATAACACTTAAAAGACGACTATGGCTACGAACATAACACATATTTGCTTTAGTTTACTAGTTTTGGTCTTTATTTACTTGGCCTTGTTGCTCTGCACGCTCTCTAACCTTCATGGCCATCGTGCTACTCGCTTGATTTTAATTGTTTTCTTTTTCGTTTTTTTGTTTGTGTTTTTTTTCTACTACTCGATATTTCTACTGCGCTGCGTCTTTTGATGAATAGTGTAATGAACTCAGCGCTTGTAAATACTAGTTCTCAGTATACTCTCAGTTGTAACTTTATGAAATTTTCAGATCGTATGATTCGCGTTGATATTCAGCAGAAGGTTTCTGATCCTTAGCTAGATTTAAGGGAGGCCATTTCGCTTCAGTCGCATTGAGATGCGTTAGATCTGAGTCATTATTTACTGTAGTTTTACCGTAAATACTACAAGGCACGTTGTTTTGGATTTCCTTTTAGTTCAAGCCACCAAGCAGCGCTACATCACATCGCATTCGACATGATATCCTCATCACTATCATGTTGTTATCATGACAGCTACTATCAAAATCATTAAAGTAAAGTTTTGCGTTTGTGTCTTCTTGCCTTCTGCATGCGTGACTTATTAGTGATTTCTTCTGTTATGACCTTTCCATCCTGACTGAGAAACAAAAATTGGTCTAATTTCCACTGTGGCTTGGTAGTGACACATTTGATCTCTCTGCGTGGTTTTAAATCGATGATTAATCAGTCAACAGCTTGATCTTTATTTTTCATAGATGTATGTTGAACTCTATGGAAAAGAAACTCAAAGAGAAAACAACTTTCCAGCAACTGTTTATCTAAGACTGCGACATATGAGTGCCTCGTTTTTTCGAGATGGATATGGAAAAATGAGAGAATTCCGACAACAAAACATGGACGTTTGGAGAAAGTTTGAAGTTTGATGTTCGCTTTCAAGCAATGTGCTGCCATTACCTTAGTGATTCCCCGTGTCAGGACGTGCTGCTTGGAGCAGAAGAGTGTCAGAGTCCATTTGGATCTTACGAGCTGACTATACCTGTAGATGAAGACGTGGATTGTCGACCGGACGGTTCACAGTTAACAAACAAGAATTGCAAAGACTTTGACGTGAGTTTATTTATCATTGACATTGTGCATAGGGGATACCCTACGAATCTTTCAGTGCTAATCTTACGCTCACCGCCTATTGCAAAAAGTACTGAGCAGTTTTTGACAAGTTGAGAACATTCGTTTATACCCCAAGTCGGATAGACAAACCACTAAAACAGAAGTCGTTAGATGAAATAGTCATCCAAAGAGTCGAACTTTCCGAATATAACTGATTATACCTCATAATCTACGTCCTTGACTGAAGCCATTATGTCGGTGTAATCGCACGTGACCCAACATAAAAGCCAGAACACTTTTTCTCAGCCTACTGAAATGACCACCCAAGCAACTGATGCAATATTTTGTTCGTAAAGGGAAAACTACTCTTTGTAGTAACAATGACCTTTATGGCAACTCATTAAATGCATTTTTATCATGAAGAGAACTTATAATAGAGGGCTTAATTTGTATACTAAAGAGCCTTGTCTTAAAAAGTCAGCTATTAGTTTTAGCAAATATTTTCTGCAAAAGCGATATTTTTTGTACATGTTTTATTCTTAGTGGAAACAAATCTTACATGAGCATCCAAATTCTCGTCTTTCTTTATTTGTTTCCCTGATTTATACTGCTCTCCTATTTGTAGTTAATATACTTATGATGGGCTTTTTTTCACAGAAGAGCGTCTACACAAATATGAACGTGTGGACACATTATTTATACTGGTCTGACAGATACCCAACCGGACCGAATGATGAGAAATGCGCTGGTCACTCAAGAGCCAAGTCTAAAATCTCGGTGTCTGAGCCTTCCCCAGCTTTAGAGCTCAAGGCATCAAACGTCACAGGAAAATAGAAGATACATACAATTAAACGTTTCTGATATCTAAGACGAGAAAAAAAAAGTGATGCAAAACAGATAATGCCGAATTGGTGTCAAAAAGGATAAATGGTTTCAAACTGTTTATTGTGAGATTGAATGAATTTTATAATGATAAAATACAAACTAATGAAATAAAAAACACGTTCCTCATACTGCTTTGGGATCGGTCATTATTTGTCGCACTCGGAAAGGAAGAGGAGTTACCCGGGGGGAGGGGTGAGGAGTCGGAGGCGTTTAGTTCTGTCACGAGAAAATTAAGTTGATCTCCCTATAAAGCTCTGCAGTATTCTTAGGATCCCCTGGTCATTGGCAAGTAATTGCCATTCAGTCCCCCTCCTTTTTTATTCCGATGTTGGCGACTGATGCCCTATTTGTGACGAAATTCATTCATAATGGATATTAATTGCTGTCGTAATTTTTGATGAAATAAATTGCAGTTCGCCTGCATAGGTCATTGCTTTACTTAAGAATACTTTCTCTGGATCTTCCTGCTACAGAAACGAGATTGAACTTTAGAAGGTATGTGAATTGTTTCGCAGTCTATCTTTACAAGCAATAAACTCTCTTGCAGACGAGAAAGAAGCAAACACGAAAACCAGTTGTCTTAATTGTGTATTGCATTCAGCATTGTTTTCCTTTTTTAAGCCAATATAGACGAGTCTGATCAACACGTTGCGCTTGAACTATTTGAGGATCCAACTGCCCCTATAGGGGACGCCAGAGGGATAACCAATGAGCGGAACCGTCTGTGTTACACGCTTGTAGTTCCATATAACATAACACTCGAACTGGGTGTGTATATACACTAGCTAATCACAGTTTATGTTTAATGTTTTAGCTCACTCCTCTTCGTCCCATTTTCTGATCTATTTTGACGAGTCACCACGTTATTCAAAGTGAAATCATTATTAGGCGAGAGTAAGATACAATAATTAAAGGACTATTAAAATTTGAAATTCAGCCCCCTGAGTTTTTTCTTTTATTTTCAGCTCCTATTTTAAAACTAATTTTCTTGTTGTAACCGATCAAACATTTTCACAAGAGAATCCTACCGCTAAAAATGTCATTCTTAGCGCAATGCGGGTGTGGGAACAAAGCTCGTGCTTAAATTTTGTGAGAAGAACAACTGAAAAGGACTACATTGAGTTTTTCAAAAGAGGCGGGCGAGTATTTTTTACTGTCGTCGTCTATTTTTATTTTCAAAGGATGTACACGAGGTACCTCACAATACTTATAGGAGGGAAAAGAGAGGGCAATCTTTTGGATCTAAAGGAGAAATTTTGATAGACACCAAGAGTGTGTAATGCTCCGTATTGATTGCAATTCCAAATTAATCTTGCAGAAAGGATCGTAATTTTTTTTCTGTCATTGCACTCGTTTTCGTATTGCGAAGATGTTGATCATGTGTTGGACGTCAAGGTGGAAAGCTTCAGATAATACTGGCCAGCGGTTGCTGGTATCAAGGAACAGTTGTTCGTGAAATGGGTGAGTGACATCTATCATGGATAAAAAAGGTTACATGCCAAGCTGCATTGTTTCAAAGGTCGGTGATTGTAAGAATCATTATGATTTACAATGATCGTGTAATAATTACTAGGACTTACTAAGCGAACAAGTCTGAAAAAGAGCCTTCAATGAAACCCCCCATCACATTAGTGGCAGTGATAATTTTCGTGCATTTCTTTAGGTGATAATGTGTGTGCACAATCTTTTCTGTCGCACTTGACTGCTTAGGCGTTCGAAATTCTCGTAAATGATCCTTCGATTGTCCTTAGTACAAAACGAACAAACGCGCTAGGTGCATTGATGAGTTACGTCAGCTCATGGAAGTTAGAGAAATTGCGGTATTCTCATCGCGTCAAAAATTTAAAAAGTATTTGTGTTTTTGAGTACAAGAAAAATTGTCTTTAACAACCAGGTACAGCACTTCTAAACGAAGACAGGCATGTCCTTCTACACATGGAAAAACACATACTAGTCCTGTATCAATTAGTTTTTGATATCGCCATCTGTTGGACTTTTTCTAAAGTAATATTTGGGCGCCAGCATAACTTTTTAACTAAAGTTTTTGCTCAGATCGGATATCATTCGTAGGAACGCACACGGATAAGTTTTCACTTCAAAAAGGATAAGTAATGCAACGATTACTGGTATTTGTCTCTCTTACGGCTTTAGATCTCGTGTACGGTAAAGGTAAGTGGCTCTGAAATAACCTGTCTCCTTATTTTTTTCTTTTCAGGACGTGTTGGTAAATCTAGGTATCTCTTTCTCACGCGTTGCGCTTTTTCTCGAGAGATTCAGGATCGAAGAGGAAGCTTACTAGCTATAACCTTTGGAAATTGAAAAGAAAAATAAACAAACAAACAAACAAAACTAGAGCCTTCCAATAGTTGGACATGTCTTTTGATTTTGCCTTGGATGTAATAATTCATATGGAGTTTAGTCGATAAAAATTGTTATTGCAATGTTTGTTGAAGCTATTACCATCATTGTCAACCTCAAACTAAGTTTTTTTATCGCCATTAAAACATTTTATATCAGTGTAAATTTGGTATGCCAGTCTAAGAACTTAAAGCATTACTTCGATAACTAAGGTAATATCATTAAGCAAACAAGCTACTTATTATAGCTAAGTTCAGGTAAAAAAAGAGAAATTATTCATAATGTGGACCCGTATCTGACGAATCATTCACCGACGGCTGATATTTATACGATTCGGTAGGCGGTGCACGGTAGAATTGGAAAAGGTACCAGTTTTATGACGTGCTTGTTTAGCTTTCAACCACCGACTTGAACCATCAAGGAAACCCTTGAACTATTGATGATATACCAGTACAACACCGGTCCAATAAGATTCTGTGATCAGGGTAAATCTTTGGAAATAATTTTTTTCCACCTCATGTTATGAGGCAGACTTTCGCGTGTAATGCTTTCAAATAGAATAGTAAAGAAAAAGAAAAACGTTCCTGGGATAGAGTCCACCACCGAACCCAGAATTTGCATGTTTTCGGGTATACAAATTAGGCTGCTACAAGGAACCAGAACAAGAAATTAACACGCCTTATCTTTAAAACAAAAAAAGGCTCTGACTACAAATAAATCCCACATACTTAAACGGTGCAGGTAGAATTTAAGACAAAAAAGCTAATTCTGTTTGCTGCTCTTTGCAGAGGATGGATGTGTTACCTTAACCGATGGAGACAAATCTTTCAATGGGGATATCGAATATGTCCCCATGAAATGGTTTGAAACGCCCTCGGTTGTTTCTTTAAGTCCAGGTATTACAAATGTTTAGCCAACTACGCCAATTCTATATAATGGGACGTTTTCAAAACGTTAACATTCAACTTGGAGTGTAGCATATCTTTATCTTCTATAACAATAGTCCTCCAACAATATCCAAAGTGTGACTAGTCTGTTGGGAAAATCCTTCAAACAGCTGTTGTCCGTGACAGAGAATCACCCTTCAACAACCTGATCGATCTGAAGTCAGTATCGTTTACCAGAAAAATTTCTGCTTGAGAAACCGGGGTGAAACATTGAGCCGTCTTGATTTTTATTGCCTTGTCTTTGAGGTACATAATGTTGTGCTATTCCCCCTCCCCCTCCCCCTTAAACAACAAATCTGATCTAGCGATCAGTCAGTATATAAAGATGACTTTTCCCTTTCCTTTTTTGCTATTGTTTTTGTTTTGTTTTGTTTTTTTATGAGAAGCATGTACAGGTGAAACAGCACTTGGGTTGGAAAGTGGTCTCGTTACATTCCAGCAAATGACAGCATCCTCCACCTTCAAGAAAAATCACGGTCCATCTAACGGAAGACTCAACCACGCAGCTGCAAATGGAAAAACAGGCGCCTGGTCAGCTGGGGCTAATGATGCAAACCAATGGCTTCAAGTGGATTTTGGAAGAAATGTCAGAATTACAAAGCTCGCTACTCAAGGGCGTCAAGACTACGATCAGTGGGTGAAGACATTTACTCTCTCATACAGTGTTGATGGCAACCCTTCTTTTCAGATTTACCAGGAGAATGGGGCTGAAAAGGTCTGGTGAAGTACATTTTGCTTGATGAACATTTCAGTCAAACATAATTTCTAAAATTTTTGAGCATTAAAAGTCTTTTAAAAGAAATACAATCAAGTTGAGAATTTACAGCAAAAATTTAATTTGAATTTTAAAAAAACAAACTACGGAATTGAGATTAAAAAAAAAAAACATTTAAATCAAAATTCTGATTGAAAAAAAAAATGCTCGTGTTTTCACGAGAACTGTAATTGACTAAAAGTTGAGAGCCAGTTCTTAACAAAAATGTCATGACTGCTTCTGCAGAGGTACAGACAATTTTTCTCCTCGTTTGCCACCTTTTCTCAGGTTTTTAATGGAAACGCAGACAAGGACACCATCGTGAATCATGTACTAATTCAGCCAATCATAGCCCGGTCCGTTCAAATAAAACCAAAATCATGGAATGGTCATATCTCCATGAGAGCAGAGTTTTACGGGTGCATCCTTTCAGGTAATGTCTGAAGTAGTTTGTTTGATCGACAAGATTCACCTAAAACCCAGCTAGTAAACGCACGTTTGACTTACTCGCATAAGGTAACAGTTTCTCTTTTTCGTGGCGGATTATAGTAGTGTATAGCGCGTCTTTTTTGATCGTGGCGTTGATGTGTTGGTCTCAATCAATAGAATAGATTGTGTTGGCCATTTATAAAAACAATGGTTTTGTATTTTATGGGAGACCTTTTTTTTAATTCAGCTTAGCTTTTGTGAACTACTGATGTACTAATGTTTTGTGAAGTTGCAAACAAAGCCTATTTATACAGCCACTCAATTTTAAAGAGGGAAGAACCTCTAGAAAGATTTGCATCGACTTTGTAAAGAAAGAGTTCTTAGGATCAACTGTTCAGTTCCCGTTGTTGGTTGTGCAATAGACCGATATCAAGTGTTGGGCCGAGTGGTGCACGTGGATTTCGTAAAAGAGCAACTAGAAACAAAGAAAAAGGTAAACTTTGGAGACTCCCAGGAACAGACTAATGGAATCGAGCTGGCAGTCATGGCGGATACCATTCATGTGAAGGTGTGTTTGAAAATTTTGTACCTAAGTCTAGTCAACGCTACAATAGGCTCCTGAGGGGCTTATCAGTTATTTTTTGCGTCTTCTAGTTAGCGGGCTTTTTTTAGAACCTGGTCCTAAAAGCTCTTAAATTACAGTTCGAGGCGGCGCAAAACGACCTTCAAACGTTGAGATAACCTGTCATCAAAATCTGCCATTTCCCACATTTTTTCCAACAAATTTTAAGAAAAAGGGTAGATCTTTGTTATTTATTTAAAGAGATTTTAGGAAATCTTTACGACAGAACCGGAGTCGAAGTCATAAAAACACCTTCGATACGCCAAGTATGGGCGGACTTGGGCGGCTTCATCGATTTTTTGCCAAGCAAAAACAACTGGAACTTTTTAATACCCATTTCGTGGTTAGGACCCTAAAATTAGCCTTCATGCCAAATTTCAGCCAACTCGGTAAGGTAAAGTGGTCGCGATTTTTTTAAAAGTTCGAAAGTTACAGACTATTGCTCTCAATACCTATCAATGTGTTGATTGATTTGATGTGCAGTTATTCTACATTTTAATCTGTGATCGATGATTTGTTACACAGGGAGACATTAAAATGCGTGGCACCAAGAAACTGACAATGTTCAGCCGTAAGCTTTCATTTGTGAAAGGAAGTAGGCTAGATCTCAGAGCTCCAGATCGGCCACAAAACTTTAAAAACCTTGAACCTGGCGCTGATGGAAAGGATGGCAACCATGGTGTAAACGGGACCATAGGTAAAAAGATGGCTTTAAGAGCAGCTCGAAATCTCTGTTCGTATAATGAGTGTCATGCAGAGGTTTCAGTACCAAGGACGCTAGGGCAACTTGATGAACTTGAGAATTTCACAACAGAGCTAAATTACAACAAGACTCAGTTATGAAAAGTGACATTTGTTCCAGTAACCATTACTAATCTTGACAAAGATGTCGACGATTTCATTTATTATTAACTTATTCTTGGTATTTTAAAGTAATATTTTTTTACTCGGTAAACATTTTTCTTTTGATAAAAGCTAGGTTTAATTAACGATCTTGCGTATATTTTTTAAAAATATTTCTGTAAACATTTTTAATAGAAAGGTTGAATTAGTGATTTTGTAAATTTTTTTTTAGAAAATTTAACCTACGTTAACAAATAAAGTATGTATGTATGTATGCATGTATGTATATGTCAGAAATGTGCTAAAAAAAACTCGTTTGTGTGGAAATAGTAACAATGGCAATGATCTTGATATTGATGGTGATGAATCTCTTTTTTAGAATCTCAGCTGTCGTAAGTTCTGCTTTTTAAAGATATTTCTTCCTTATTATCAGTGGAGATATCAGCCCATACTGTGGTAGGACACATCAACATCATAACTAACGGCGGTAATGGAAACAAAGGCCAAAATGGCGCGGATGGGAGGAAAGGGGCTGACAGCATGGCAAAGGTATAAAAATTATTATATGTTTGTTTGTCACTATTTTGTCCGATGTTTTCGTTATTTGTTACGAATGAATGCCTTCTACCCGATTATAAACAGAGCCACCAAGATTTCACTATATCAATGACGAAATCTCGCCCAAAAATTTCATTAGCAAAATGGATGGACGATTATCACTCAGAAAAGAAAATAGATATAATAAAAATGACCTTTGACTCCCGATGATATAGCCACATCTTTGTATGTTTATCCGTTAGTGACACTTAAGAGTCTTTAGATTCATACAATGGCGAGGTAATTACATGGAAGCTTTTTCCAATTACAACAGGTGTTGGATAAAACTCAGTCAGATTGTAATGCGCGAGCTAAGAGGAATGACAAGGGTAAAGTCACCGGGTGTACAGAACATATCACAGGGACACCAGGTGCCAAAGGAGGAAATGGAGGAGATGGGGGATACGCTGGAAAGTCGGGTTTGTGATGAGTTACCATAGATAAAAAAAATGCCCCGCGTGTGTCATTAAAGACTGATTGCTAAACATATCGTACGTCTCAAAACTGTAACAGGGCACTCCAAAATTCCATCATCTCTCTCGACACATAATTCCCTACAAGCCTAAAACTCTCAGCATAAGTTTTAAAACCTCGATTTTTATAGCGAAATGATTATCGGAGCACAAAGTTTCAACAATAAAATATTCCTGACTTTGCCGGGCGTCGGTTTATCTCTTTGGATAACTTCTTTTCACCGTCCAGTTATTTGTTTGTGATTTATTGTTGTTTTTATTGTTGTTGCTTTTTGTTTTGTTTTGTTTGTTTTTTTTGGCTCATTCTTTTTTTTTGTTATATTTTCTTTATAAATTATCGTTACGTCACTGTTTACGTTTTGTTATTTTGTTTGTTTAGTAATTCACTCAATTTTGTTTTTAATAATAATGATAATAATAGTACAGTAAATGGTTTGAACGCGGGAGTAACATGTAATAGTGTAGTTTGATCGTCCGGGTGAGTGTAGTCCTGAGAAGGACTGTTGTCGGTGATATATGGTGACTGACGTTTCGACAACCTGAGCGGAAGTCATCATTAGAGTCAAGTGAAAAGCTGGTGTCAGTCGAATGTACTTAGTCCGGTTTGTATTAACTGATAGGTCAGTTTTCCCGGGATGTTATTGGCTGTAAGACTCAAGTGGCTTAGGTCAGTCGTGATTGGTCGGTTTCGATCCGTTAGTGAAATTAGGTCGTTTTTCTTGGTTCGTTTGTAATGTTAATGTCGTGAATGAGTCGTTTGTATGGTGCCGGTAGTGGTTGACACCTGTTGAGACGAGTCTGTTCCAGGTTAATAAACCAGATTTTTAGGGTCAGTCGTTGAAAGTAGTTGGTGCTGTAGGTTACGCATTGCGTAGAGTCCCAGTCAATAGTATGGTTGGTAAGTCGGTGATGTTCAGCAATGTGGTTGTTGACATCGCCTTTCCTCAGTCCGATGTAGGAGGCGTGGAAGTTGGAGCAATTGATCTTATATACTGTTCCCTGTCTGTTCCTCGGTTCGTCTTTGTCTTTGACGTTAGTCAGTAACTGACTTAGTGTGGTAATAGGTTTGTGAGCGACGCGGATATTGAAACCTGAAGCATCATATCCGCGTCGCTCACAAACCTATTTCCAGGTTGTCGAAACGTCAGTCACCATTACCGACAACAGTCCTTCTCAGGACTACACTCACCCGAACGATCAAACTACACTATTACAATAATAGTAACAATAACTTGCAAGATTCTAAAGTAAAGAATATTGGCATGGAAAGAATGGTTGAATTTTGTTTAAAAAATGTGCTTTTAGTGGAATGATATCGAAATTAATTATATGGAGAATAATACATGGGCGCGCTTGGATATGGAATTTCTCTTCGAGTGTTTAACTCTCAAGATGAAAACATGCGTTGAATCACTACAAAAACAAACAATGGGCCTGGTTTTCAATTTACAAAATTCTCAGTTTTTGTCCAGGTCCTTACCGAAAGAAGAAATCTTTCAGGTACACGGCCAAAATCGAGTTGCACCAAATCTCAAGTGGTCGATTTTCGTTCTCAGCCACAAGATATGCCATTACCAAAGCCATTGAATAAGTAACTTTCGGTTCTTCGTCTGGTATTTTGGTTTTCTTCCCCTTCTAGTTTGAACGTCACTGTCTGTAAGCGATACGGATTTTTCAATGTAATAGCAGCCATAATCCGAAAAAATTCCGACAAACGACCTTGGATTGAGAATGATGTGGGCTTTGCCGTTCGTTCATCAACCTAACCGAGTGGCACGAAATTCGAGTGACGTGTCAGCAGCTGATTGGCGATATCAAACACTCGTGAAAACATATAGTATTTTTTCACGTGCCTTGTTACGGCTTTCCTCGGGGCCAGAAATCCTTGTATAACACCGTAGTTTATTGGATAAAACACGTTTATTTGTGATGCCGAAGCTCTGATTTGTCTAACAACAGGTAATGGAGGAAATGCTGGTTGTCAAACAATCTATTTAACAAGATTGCTCGGGAATATAGAGTTAAAGACGTGTCGTGGAACAGGAGGACAAGCGGCTAAAAATGGAGTGGGTGGAGAAGGTGAAGTTTCGCATCCTCTTTTGCATTTTGCAAACTCCTTTGCACATTCACAAGCGGTATATGAAGATACTAACGATGATAGTGCTGATAACGGATGATGGTGATAATGTTAATTGCTACATGAAAAAATGAATAAATTAGATGAAAATGGAAAGGTTTTTTGTGAGGGTCAAATCTGGACTTCATCTTCGTCTTGAATTGAACATCATCATCACCCTCCTTTTAACTGACAGGAGGCCAAGGTGGACTCGGAGGTCGTGGAATCAAATGCAAATACAGCCGGAGATGCAAAATAGTCGGACTAGCATGCAAGGCTGATGGTCAAACTGAGGCTTCTCGAGGACCAACTGGAAATAAAGGTCGCCACGGGCAAAGTTGAGTGTTGCACCTTGGTTGCAATTTTTAGTAATACGGCATAATCATTTTTTTTAAAGAGTAACGGCGTATTTATTCTTTCGCGTAACCTTTCCTGTGTGCCCGAAGATTTTTTATTTGCTGGATCATTGCGTCATTCTTTGGAGTAAATCTGGTTATTTTTATGTCGCAAAACGTGAAAGTGCTAAAACATATTTTCACCTTTATCGTTTGACCTAACAGTATTTGCTGGATCATTGCGTCATTCTTTGGAGTAAATCTGGTTATTTTTATGTCGCAAAACGTGAAAGTGCTAAAACATATTTTCACCTTTATCGTTTGACCTAACAGTATCCTCCAACACTTTTGAAAAGGATGATATAAAATGATTCCAAAATGGATCACATTTGATCCAAAAGTTGGATACCTTCGTCCTAGATTTCCCTCTTTTCTTTATTTTTATTTTCTTTCAGGTTCATGAATACGCCATAAAATACATTGTATCTTGTTTTATTGTTTCAGCCCCTGTAAGCGCTGGTTCAAATGGTAAGGTAGCAGACTCCTTCCTGCAAAAGTTAAATCTCGATCGCAGCCAGAAAGATAAATATCCAGTGGTATTGATAAAGGTGATGACAAGATACGCTGAAGACCTTGTCTGGGTCAACAACACCAGAAATGCGCAAGCAGTTTTTGAGTTTATAGCTGATTTAGCAATTGGAAGAGATGACGACCTAAGAAAATGTAAGATGGGTCGGCACATCTACTGACTTTTGAGTTTTCGGATCTCGCATTACCAAAAAATTGCAACCCTGATTACAAATTAAGATGATTCAATATGTTGGATCGATACTATCGGAATTCAGGAATAAACACTTAACATATGATACATTTCCAACCATAGTTGTTTTGATATAAAGAGGATGTAATTTTGTCATGTTAACCCCATATGTCAAAAAAAGAAAAGAATATAAAAAAGCAATCAAAAATTGTCTAGTAATTAAGTCGTCGAACAATTTTCTTACAATGGTTAACGCGACAAAGGAAGAAAGAGTGGAGGCTTCAATTTATCAAAACGTTGGCGTTTAAAATGACGAAACAATTTAGAGCCACTGTAAAGTAGAGCTAGGTTTGATTTTCAACAAAAATATAAATTCAAGGTTGAAAATAATGGGCAAATCAAAAAATTACTGTTTTAAAATGTATTACTGCACAATTTTTGATAGCCTGTGTCCTACATGTAACTTATGCTTACTCTTGCTGAAAAACGCTGGTTCCTCTCAGGTTCAAAAAAGCTAATGATGTTGCTCAAAGCTAATTAGAAGAAGGTTTGCAACTTCAAAACAACAAAGAATGGATCAAAAGTAAAAAAGGAAGACACTGCACCAACAACTTCTTTGAACTACTTCCTGAGGCAAAACAGCTGATTAAAAAAATCGAGTTTAGCAGAGAAATTGAAGGAAAATGCATATTATTTTTTTTTTTCAGTTGCAAAGCGAAGGCTGGGTTTCCTAAACAAGAAGGGATTTGATAGATTTGGAAACAATAAACTATTTGCACCTCTGATGAAATGGGAAACGTTTAAAGAACAACTTGTGCAGATAAAAGATAATGCACAATCATATGAAAATGCCTATAATGGGATACGGGCATCTGTCGAACGACAGGAAGGTATTAAGCAAGTGCTGCAAGCCCTTCCTTTACCAGCCAAGAATCAGGTCCATAAAGAAAAAGAAAGACTTGTGGAGGCAAGAAGGATAGCATTGAGCGAAAAGAGAGCCTACGGGCAGGTACGTACCGCCCGGCTATTCATTTAAGGACCCACTCAGTCAGATAGTTTGTCCGTCAGCTACAGCCAGTCAGTCTTTCGACTAGTCAGTCACTCAGTAAGTCACCCAGTTACTTATTCACTCGGTCGCTCAAAAACAGATGTGCAAAGTTAATCATGCTTTCACCTATACATTCACGTACTCACTGAAAAACACGTTTAGATGTTCAGTCCTTAACCTAGCCCTCAAAGTTGTTAATGTCATCGATGAGTGAAAAAGATGGATGAATACTAAAACGCATGAATGAAAGGATGAGCGAATTTTGGTTAAAATATAAGCATCATTTTAGACGTTTGTTTTTCATCCTTTTGGGACAGGCCATTACTGAATTGGAAGCAAGCATGAAAAGCTCACTTGAAGAAATACTCGTTCAGCTTCCAGACGTACATCAGACAGCACAGTTCAACAAAATCGACCTGTTTGTTGTTCTGCAAGCTTTAGTAGGATTTGTCACTGGTACTACAGAGAGAGATTCATTAGCATTACTTGGGACTGCTTTAAAAGTTATTGGACATTTTGCTTCAAAGTGCAAAACTGGATCGCTTCAAGACAATAAGGACAAACTCGAAAAATGGCTGATGTTTGGTAAGGAATACGCTGCCTTAAACGACTCTAGTGATCTGGATTTTGACAAAATAGATGTGGGATCTGTACCGGAAGTCATGAAGGTATAAGCCCTCTGTAAAGCTAGATTTCAGCACTTTTAAAGACAATTTTCGACCGGTTGCCATGGGTTTTCTCTAGAATCCCAAAACGCGGTTAGTGTCATTATCTCATTGAAACATGGATAGTGAGCATGAAATGTTCACTTTTTCTCTTCTTTTAGCTGATAAAATTCAAAGGAAATTTTGACAACAAATTTTCTCAACTTTCTTTAAGACTAACCTTGAAATGAACAAGGAAGCACTCACTACGGACCTGGTTTGTATGATAGAGGAGAGGTCACTTCCACGAAACCTTGCAAAGTTCAGGGAACAGATAGAACGATTTTTCATGGCTGGGGGAGCTAGAATTGATCTCATAGCCAAGGTTATTGATCTGGACAATGCAATTGGTGGATACAACTTCGATATCCCTAATTTAGAGCAAACATCGAATAAAATAGAGAGCCTGCGAAACTCTGGAGGTAAGCATCGATGGTTGAGTACACGCATACGTACGTGCAACATGCAAAGTGAAGCAGTAGTTGTAGATGAAGACATAGAAATGTCCAGAATACAACTGAGGATATAAGATATTCTCCTGTCCAAATCTGACATGTGACATGTTTTTATTACCAAATCAAAAGTGACAGAGTATTTCCTGTTTTAGTGACTGCAGAGTATTACTTCATTGCCTTCTGGACTGGTTGCTTTTTCATCGTGGGATTACCCCCTCGTTTGCCTGTACTCCCCAACGTGAGAGAGGTAATGGGGGACTGAAGTGTCTTGCTCAACACAACACAACACAATGAATCAGTCAGGGCTTGTAACTGGGAGCTAATGGGGAGCTCACAAATCATTTAGCCACTAGCTCTCAAGCAGTGAAATGATTATAAAGCAAGGGGTGGGATAATGTTTTTTCGGTTAACGGACGAGACTCCGGGTCGAGCTAGAATGACTTAACGTTATTATCATAGCTGTCAAAGATTGCATATTTAACAAACAAGGAATGTTTCCTCTCTGTTTTCATTTGGTTCCTTGTTAACTTTGATTTGCAGACTTAGACTCTCCAATCGCTGAGAACATACAACAGATGTTCCTCGATGATTTACTTACTTCTTATCAGCAGATGGAGACAAGTTTCACTCAGAATCTCTATCAGTTTTACAAAGGCTTTGAGTTCCGCTCACTTTGGAAAGTTGGTGATACCTTAGTCGACTTTCAGCGACGAGCAAGCGAAGCTGCTCGAGGAAATGAACAACTCCGAGGTGTACTGGAACTGGCTAATGCTTTACAGGAAATCGATTCTATAGAAAGCAAAGGGCGAAAATGTTTCACCAGATTCAAATATTCAACAAATACACACAAATGGTCTTTTAACAGTGTTGAACATGCTACGGTCAGTAGTATAATAATAGGCGTATTTGACTTATAAAAGATCCAGTAGTCATAAAGGTGCTGCCTTATGAAATTTTTGCGGAAAAAAAGTCGCAGCGCACAGTGGGAAGATTGGGTTTAGGGTTTAGGTTTTCCTGCACCATGATTGGCTATATTTCCAATAAAAATAGGAAAATATCGCTCTGAAGAAGGGCTTACGCTCGAAACGTCACCCTCTAAATTCTTCACGGTGACTAAATTACCTATACTTCCTATTGCATGTTATTTATGGAAGTTTTTAGAGGATAATAGTCAAGTATATGAGGACAGTATATCGTTGTAGTTTTTTTTATAGATGAAAATCTCAAACTTGTGAAACAACTCATATTACAATTTCAGAGAGATATTTTCATTATGATTAATGCTCTGTACACTTCTCGAAGTTAATTAATTTTTAAGTATGAAGAGCCACTTAAACATTGTTTTCTGAGAGCGGGTTGTCAGTTCAACACTTGACAGTTCTTTGAGATTAAGAATACCGCAATTGTTAAGTCTTCTTGTTTTAGGTCTTGTTGTTGTTAGGTCTTCTGTTATCCCCTTGTTATTTTTGTGAGTTTGAGAATGACTTGTTATAACAACGTTGTTTTCCTTGTTTCTCTACCTCGTATGCACTAGCTTTTTGATGATTTGCACAGAGGCAAAGCGAAGTTCACCATTAAGGTTTCTGACAATTGCAAGTCATGCTACAATGTTCGTCTTTTAAAGGTAGGAAAAATGTCCTCTACTGCTAAGAGCCATACATCGATGCCGTATGGCTATGACACTTAAAAGACGACTATGGCAACTAACATAACACATATTTGCTTTGGTTTGCTAGTTTTGGTCTTTATTTTCTTAGCCTTGTTGTTCTGCACGCTCTTTAACGTTTTTAAACCATCGGGTATTATCATGCTATTTTCTTATTTGTTTATTTACTTTTTTCAATTGGACACTGCTCATTTTAATTTCAACTCTCATGGTCATCATGCTACCTTGCTTGATTTTCATTGTTTTGTTTTGTTTTTGTGTTTGTTTGTTTTCTTTCTAGTTCTCGATATTACAGCCCATTTTATTTCTACCGCACTGCGTCTTTTAATGAATAGTTTACTCAGCTCAAAGCTTGCTAATATTAGGTTTTGTACACTCTAAGTTGTAATTTGAAATTTTCACACGTTTTACCGTAAATAGTAGAAGGCACGTTGTTTTGGTTTTCCTTTTAGTTCTAGCCATCAAGCAACGCCATATCACATCGCATTGACATGATATCTTCATCACTATCATGCTGTTATCATGACAACTACTATCAAAATCATGAAAGCAAAGTTATGCGTTTATATCCTCTTAACTGCTGCGTGCGTGACCTAGTAGTGATTTCATTTGTTAGCGCCTTTCTATCCTATCAGTGAGAAACACGAATTGTTCTCATTTCCACCGTGGCTTGGTAGTGACGCATTTGATCTCTCTGCGTGGTTTTGGAACGATGATTGATCAGTCAACAACTTTATCTTTATTTTCCATAGATGTATGTTGAACTCTATGGAGATGAAACTCAAAGGGAAAACAACTTTCCAGCAACTGTTTATCTAAGACTGCGACATATGAGTGCCTCGTTTTTTCGAGATGGAAATGGAGAAGTGAGAGAATTCCGACAACAAAACATGGACGTTTGGAGAAAGTTTGAATTTGACCGTTTTGCAATTACAGATACTGCCAAGTGCCAAGCAGAGAAAAAGAATGGCAACAGTAAGTATTCACACATTGATTGACTATCAAAGAATTGTTCCATGCTTAGCGTGTGTATATCGAGTTATGGACGCATGCGGAAAGTTTGGAGAGCACCATAGGAGCGTACCAGTAGCTCGAGACGCCGCCTCGAACAACTCTAGCTTCTTTCCAGTGCCGGGCAGTGATACTCTAAATATCTCGTTTCTTATCGATTGGACGTAAGTAAGTATTCTTTAAAGATAGGCCACTAAATTACTTAGTAAGCCTTTACGGTATCGGTGTGCTTTTTAGAGGATTCTCTATACTGCCTGGAGAAAGACGATGTTCGCTTTCAAGCAATGTGCTGCCATTACCTTAGTGATTCCCCGTGTCAGGACGTGCTGCTTGGAGCAGAAGAGTGTCAGAGTCCATTTGGATCTTACGAGCTGACTATACCTGTAGATGAAGACGTGGATTGTCGACCAGACAGTTCACAGTTAACAAATAAGAACTGCAAAGACTTTGACGTGAGTTTATTTATCATTGATATTGTGCTGGGAGGATACCTTACCAATATTTCAGTGCTAATCTTGTGCTTACCGTCTATTGCAAAAAGTACCGAACAGTTTTTGAAAAGTTGAGAACATTTATTTACGACTTAAGTTTGATAGAAAAACCACTAAAACAGAAGTCGTGAGATGAAATAGTCATTCAAAGGGTCGAACTTTCCGAATATAACTGATTATTTTGTTTCTCAGAGGGCACGGCAACGAATCCTTCAATCTGATTGGCTCTTAGTGCGGTCCGTATTTTCTTATCTCTACCCACGGGCAAATCGGTTGACGAGTGGCCTAAGACCCGTTTGTAATTAATTTTAATCCTAAACAAAAAGTACCTGGAAAGTTAAAACGTGAGGTACTTGGTTACAATTGAATTAATATATGGAAATCACATTCATTTAATATCTGAATTCTCTCAAACAACTTGTTCGTAGTGAAAGGGCGATCGAATTTTTTAAGCTCTACAAAGACACTTTCGGTGAGTCTTTCCAAGTCCGTTCAATTTAGACATTTGTTCCGTAAATTGCACGACAGAAACTGAAGGAATTCAATGAGAAAAAGCCGCATGAAATCCCGTTGTGTCTAGTTGAAGTGTCTCATTCGAATTTAGTTTCAGTGGAGAAAAGATCAGATTTACACACGCCATTGCAGTAAACAAACGAGCAAACTCTCACAACTTCAAAATTTTGAATTTACTTACAATAACTTTCCTTACCATTTACTCACTGAACAGAGGTAAATCTTCGTATATGAAAGTGAGTAATACTTTCCGCAAGATGGTTGACTGCTTTTGAAGAAAACATTATCGTGACACGTATCAAGAAATGGGCCATTGTTGTGGGTTAAATTCGACTTCACAAGTTCAAACAAAAGCCTTTTGTTGTTTGTTGCGCTGAGGAAATTGTGCCGAGACTCGACGAAGATGAATTTCAAATCGTCGCAAAATTGTCGGCGTGTCAAATTAGCGGCACTTGGGGAGAGGGGTTGGAAAAGTTGCTCATAAGCGTGCTGTTCACACAGGGCTACCCAAGGGAGAAAATGCCCTTCACTATGCTTGGTCTCTCAGTATTTTTTTTTTCATCAGCGAACCAGTTGATTATAAATTTATTAACACAATAAGGATGCTTTGTTGTTAACAACATTCACGAACTATACTCGGCAAGAGGACGAGAGGAAAAAAAGCAACAATTCACTATTGTTATTAACCCCAAACAAGATACCTGGAAATGCTGAGTTCTTTATACTGTACTTTGGATCAGTTGATAATAGCGTGCAGCACAACGCCGCAAAACGATGAAGCTTTTATCGATGGTTTCACTTGGTCAAGAGTTTTGTTTCTCTTATCAAAGAAGCGCTAGTCTTAAGCGCTAGTCTTAATACTATCACGCTTTCACTCTCGTAACGTAAAGAAAGAAGAAGAAAATTTTGTGCTGGGGAAAATACCACTTAGGAATTAAAAAACGCTCAACTTAAGTGGTTGGATTTAAAATGATCTTTAAAGGTTAATGTTCTAATTTAGTCGTGCAGTGAAAACACTGGCGGCGCGCGCGGCTTTTAACAAAGAGGTGATAGTTTTAAAACTATCTAGTTTTAGTCGTAACGTAAAACAAAATAGAAGAAAGAATTGGCGTTTGGGAAAATACTTCTTAGGAATTAAGAATAACGCCGAGTTAAATGGCTGGACTAAAAAAATCAGTAATATTTGCGGGCTGTCGTTCTACTTTAGTCTTCCAGTGAAAACTCTGGCGGCGTGCGCGGCATTTAACAAAGAGGTGATAGTTTTAAACTGCTCTGCCTTCCTTTTGGTCGACATGGTGTTGTGCTGAATTTTCAAATTGCGATTCTCTTCCCGAAGACGTCTTATCTCGGCCTCATAAACTTCTATAAGAGATGGCTGTGTCGGTACCAGCGCGCAACTCTGTTCTCGATTGTGATAAAAATGAGTTTGAAAACTCCCACCGCCGACCGACTTAACCTTAAATTTCGACAACATTACTGAGCGAGTATCAGTCCTCATTACACCCGGAGGTTTTTAGTTACCATCATTTTATGCCTTGTGTTCATTTAATGATAACTTAAACAAAGCGATTGCTTTTAATACAATGCAATTGAAGCAATTAGAGAGGCAAGTGCGAACTGAGATCGCTTGAAACTTGACAATGGATCATTTTTATCATGGAGGTGAGAAAATAACCACCTATTGTTTTAATCGTTTCTTATGAAGCGGCCGCGTGTATCATGAGAATTGATCGATATCAAGGAATATTGCTGCTTTTTTGCGCTAAGAGCATATGCCATTAAATAACTAATTCGCCCGCGGTTTAAATACTTTGTAAGCATTTGCGTTGTCATTAGATGGTTTCTTTTTGGGTTTCCTTTCAAAATTCTTCATTGCTGAAACCAGGGTGTCGATATCGATGGGGATAAATGCGAGTAACGAGCATCCTTATGTTCCGACATGTATTCGAGAATAAGCCGTAATGTAATAAAGATCGTCGGTAGAAAATGTCGTTTGAGATCAGGAGAGTGAAAAGACAATAGACTTCTTATCTTGTCTCACAAATCTTGCCGTCTGGAAAATCAGATGCCATCTTCACGGTACATAAAATCTTCAGCGGCGTTCAGTCACTCATCTCTCAAAGGATTCAAGTTCATCTCGGTTTTTGTTTTTTGTTTGTTCTTTTTTCCAGAGGATGAAAAACTTCGTCAATATCAGTGAGCAACAAACACAAACCAAGACCCTGTTCTAAAGCCGCGGTTACAAGTGCAATTTTTTTGCTTGCGATGGTGATGCGATTTTTTCAGTTTAACGGAATGAGTTTAATTCAAACAAGTTTCGTTCGTGACCATTCACACAAATTTCATTTGGTTTCATCACTCTTTGTCAGTCTCTCAGTTGCGACATTCTGTGTCTTGACCAACCCTCCCTGAGTAGCAAGTGAACTTGAACAAAAAGTAACGCCCTACTCCTCCCCAGGGTAAGATTTGACATACACGCGCTTTCGCTAAATATTCAAATTTCGCGCTCGTGCAGTAATCGGCTATATTTGAATTTACCTCGTGAATTTCGCTATTGTAATGGCAGCTAGTTTGAATTTCCCTCGTGAATTAATAAGCCATTGTTTGGCTCTAAAGCTATTGTTTCAAGATATCCTTTTATGGATATTTGAGATACTAAACAAAGGGCATTGTCTTTGAATTTGACCAGCTTTTCTTGATACGCAAGCCATGCCAAACTAGTTCCGTTGTTTTTACAAAAGTGTATATGCGTTTTCTTTCTTACGCGCTCTCTAACTGACAGTTGTCAGATTGTGACAGATACTAGTAACATTTTTTAAACTTTGTTGGAAACCTTTTAAATAACCTTTATCATTACGCAAATGAAAATGTTTCGGTGAAGCTTCTCTCTTTAATTTGCATTACCTCTATTTTAACTACCATTTACTCGCACAAAAATTGTTCAGTTTATGGAAGATCTTGCTGTAATTACAACCCCTAAATCATTCGGGTTCTTTTGGGAAGAATTTCGTTAAGTTTGTTAAAAAAAAGGTTATTCACCAGCCTAGCTCGGTCCGTATTGGGAAAACAGTGCTCACCGTCTTGAGTACCGCCCGATACGGACCTCCAGGCTGGCGAATAACATATATCTATACTTCACGATAAAACCCAGCCTATACTAGTATTGTAGAGGGTAATATGACAGATACGGGCTTGACTGAAGCCTTTATGTTGGTGTAATCGCACGTGACCGAACACAAAAGCCAGAACACTCGTTCTCAGCCTATTGAAATGACCACCCGCACATGTATTTCAATATTTTGTTCGTAGAGGGAAAAATCACTCTGTAATAAGAATGACCTTTATGGAAACGCACTAAATTCATTTTTTATCATGGAGAGAACTTATAATAAAAGGGTTAAGTCATGGACTTTTAGTAGTTTTAGCAAATAGATTATGTAGAAGCTATATTTTTTGTACATGTTTTATTCTTGATGGACACATATCTTACATGAGCATCCAAATTCTCGTCCTTCTTTACTTGTTTCCCCGATTTATACCTCTCTCCTATTTGTAGTTAAAATACTTATTACGGTGTTTTTTTTTTTCACAGAGGAGCGTCTACACAAATATGAACGTATGGACACATTATTTATACTGGTCTGACAGATACCCAACCGGACCGAATGATGAGAAATGCGCTAGTCACTCAAGAGCCAAGTTTAAAATTTCGGTATCTGAGCCTTCCCCACCTTTAGAGCCCGAGGCATTAAACGTCACAGGAAATAGAAGACAGATACTCAATTAAACGTTTCTGATAATTACCAGGAGGAAAAAAGTGATACAACTTCTCTACTGGTATTTGAAAATAAGGGGCATGGAAAACAAGGAATCTTTACCAAGGTTTACAGTGGGTGTCCATCTCACACCTGACCATCTGAGCAAATCAGAATATTTGTCAAATGTCATAATTTGATATATCGAAAAAAATAGTTTACGCCGAGTTGGTGTCAAAAGGAGTAAATGGTTTCACACCGTTTTTTGTGAGATTCAATAAAAATTATAATGATAAAAAACAAACTAATAAAATAAAAAACACGTTTTAACTCCTTTTTCCACAATTACAGCCACTTTTCCATTTCCAGAGGAAGGTAAGTGGTCTCTTACAGACCGGTCATCCAAAAGTTAGCGCTATTGACTTTATATCGAAAGGTGCAGGTCAAAATAATGACAAGGGTCGCTGAATTTTTTCCTCTTGAGTCAGAATTTCTACCCCTCCGTAGAGGAGATATAAAAAAACAAACCAATTGTCAGAGGGTAAAAGTGATTCTTTAGACATGCCTGAAAAAATCCATCCACAATAGGTGAAATATTAATTGCTGTCATAATTTTTGATGAAATAAATTGCAGTTCGCCAGTAATGGTCATTGCTTTACTTAAGAATACCTCTGTATCTTCATACTACAGAAACGAGAATAAGTTGTAGAGGGTATGCGGGTTATTTCGCAGTCTATCTTTATAAGCAGATAAACTCCCTTGCAGATGAGAAGAAGGCAAACACGAAAACCAGTTGCCCTTATTGTTTATTGCATTTAATTGTTTTCCTTTTTTTAAGGCAATACAGACGAGTCTCTTCATGAAGGCGACATCAAGCTGTCGCCTGAGCAACACGTTGCTCTTGAACTTTTTGGTAATCCAACTGTCTCTATAAGAGACGCCAGAGGGATAACCAATGAACGGAAACGTCTGTGGGACACCCTTGTAGTTCCATACAACATAACACTCGAACTGGGTGTGTATATACACTAGCCAATCACAGTTTATGTTTAATTTTTAGCTGACCTCTCTTCGCTCCATTTTCTTGTCTATTTTGATGAGTCATCCACGTTACTCACGGTGAAATCATTATTTGGCGCGATTAAGATACAACAATGAAAAGACTATTAAAATTTAAAATCCAGCCCCTTGAATTTTTTCAGTTATTTTTTGCTCCCATTTTTAAACTCATTTTCTTGTTGTGACTGATTTAACATTTTCAGAAGAGAATCCTACCGCTAAAAATGTCATTCTTAGCGCAATGCGGGAGTGGGAACAAAGCTCGTGCTTGAAGTTTGTGAGAAGAACAACCGAAAAGGACTATATTGAGTTTTTCAAAGGAGGCGGGTGAGTGTTTTTCTATTAAGTCGTCTGTTTTTGTTTTCAAAGGATGTACACGAAGCACCTCGGAATAGTTCTAGGAGGGAATAGAGAAGGCGATCCTTGGGATCTAAAGGAAAAATTTTGGTAGACACCTAGGATGTGTAATACTACATATTGACTGTAATTCAAAATTAATCTTGTTAAAAGAATTCTAAGGTTCTTTTTTTTTTTTTTCGTCATTGCACTTGTTTTTGTTTTGCGAAGATGTTGGTCATATGTTGGACGTCAAGGTGGAAAGCTGCAGATTTCACTGGCCAGCGGTTGCTGGTATCAAGGAACAGTTGTTCATGAAATGGGTGAGTGACATCTATCATGGATAAAAAAAGGTTACATGCCAAGCTGCATTGTTTTTGAATTTTTTTTTTTGTGTGTGTGTAGGACACGCTCTGGGATTCTGGCACGAGCAGAGTCGTCCTGACAGAGATGACCACGTGGAAATTGTTTGGAAAAATATACCAGAGGGTAGGTTCGATCACATCAAATCAATTATTTTCAGTTTCCAGTACTTTTTTATGACTACAAGCATCTTAATTTTTAAGAAGTCAACTGCAATGCATCTTTCCTGTTCTCCTGTTCCCTCCTCCTTCACTTCTTCCTGGTCCTCGCCCCGCCCCCTGTCCTCACTCTCCTCCTCCCCAATTATTTTCGTGTCCTATCACTTTCCTGTGCCCCTTCCCCTTTCCTCCTGCCTTCTCTTTTTCGTCTTTCTCCTTCTTCGCCTACCTTTCCATCTCGTCCTACTCATTTCGCACCCCTTCCTCGCCTAAACGTTTATGTAAGCACTTCCTACACCTTGTAACTGCCCTCTTCGTTCACCTTTCTCCCTTCCATTACTCTTCCTCCTAATTCTCTGCATGCTTTTCCGCCTCCTTCCAGCCTGAAAGAAAATATTTCATCATTACTCACTGTGGTGAAATTTTGCTTTATCTCAGACAAGAAGCACAACTTCAGGAAGTACAACGTATCTAAGATAGACTCGTTGGGGATCCCTTATGACTATCTATCAGTCATGCATTACTCATCAAATGCATTTGGTATCAATGGCTTGACCACTATCATAGCAAGGGATCCGTCCGTCGAACAACTTGGGCAGCGGATTGGTCTTAGTCCGCTGGACGTTCGACAGGCTGACTTGCTATATGATTGCAAAGGTCGGTGATTGTATGCCTTATTGTGGTTTATAATGATCGTGTAATAATTAATAGGACTTAGTAAGTGCACAAGTGTTTGAAGGAGCCTTTATGAAACCCCCATCACATTAGTGGCAGTGATAATTCCGGTGCATTTCTTTAGATGATGATGGAACAAAATACATTGAATGGTCAATCTATTAATCCTTAAGGCTAACAATAAGGAGTTAGGGAGACAGAGCTAAAATATAACTTTCTCAAAGAGGGCAAACATTAAATTTAATTCATCACTTGTACAGAAAGCCGGAATACAAACCTGAACCTATGCATCAGTTGCACAAAAAGTTAATAACTAAGTAAGTGGAAAAACAAAAGAAAAAAAGAAATGGTAAGTTATCACTTATGAAAAGGATTTCTCAGTTTAGTCCTTTAACGATCATTTCGTTATTTTCTCATTTCACGAAAAGGAACAACCACCAGGCCGCCAGCTAATCCAATTCCTTTACCACCCCCTGATGGTAAGCAGAAAAATCTTAATGATGAACTTAGTCAACTTATTCTCTTTTAAGCTGATCTAAAATCCTTCCCTTTTCGGTCAGGGCCCGATGACTGCACATTTGATAACAGTCTTTGCAGATTTACCAATATTGATCGCGATGACTTTGATTGGACAAGGAGAATGGGAAGGACTCCGAGTGGAAGGACTGGGCCTGAAACTGACCATACGACTCTCCGTTTTGGTGAGTTATCGGTTCTGTAGGACGTATGTGTAAATCCACGTTTATTGTCAAAGTCAGTGATTCAATTTTGAAATCATACAAACAGACAAACAAATGATGAAACAAAACAAAAAAGTGACACATCGATTCTGTTTGTTTCTCTCTAGAGGTGTAACCATTTTAATGATAAAAGAAAATACTTGTACCATTTCTGCAGGATTTTTCATGTTCATTGAGGCTTCAAATCCCAGGAAGCTTAATGATACGGCTGTACTCCAAAGCAAAATTTTTTTGCCTTCCGGTGAAAGGTGTTTACAATTTTATTACCACATGTACGGAGAAGACATGGGTGCGATGCACGTTCTGTATTCATCTGATGCTGGAGATAAGAAGATCTGGGAAAAACAAAAAGATCAGGGAAATCAGTGGCATTTGGCTCATGTCCAGCTTTCTTCCGCGAAATCCCCTTACAGGGTGAGATATCTGTCACCTCTAGGTTTACTTTGGAAGGCACGAAGTATTTGTAACGTTAAGTTATGTTATGAGCCTGAAAGGCCCTCTGCCAGGGTTCCTCTAAGTTTCAGGGGCTTAAAGCTACTAGGAGTCCTCTACTTTTTAAAATGGTTTTTTTTTCAATGAAAGTCACCCACAAATCAATGCGGGCACCATCTCAAATAAGCGTAGCATCAAAGAATAAATCAACGTCGCAACGCAGAGGTAGGATACTTACAGTAAAGTGGACTAATCGATTTATCTTTGTTTGAAACATTGAAAGATCCCATTATTTCTTGGATCAAATATTGTTTCACTGAATACTTCGCCCGTAAGGACTAGGTTGAGTTTTAAGTATTAACGTGTACATATTTTTGTTTCCTGGTTAGGTAAAATTCGTTGGTGTTAGAGGAAAAGGCTATCGAGGAGATGCTGCTATTGACGATGTTTTCTTTACGGATGGAAAATGTCCGCGCTAACGAACCTTCTCTCTCGCGTATGTTTTTGTTTGCTTTTTTAGTCCCTTTTAGATATAATTTTTTATTGGGGGCTTTTTTCGCTCAAGTTCGGATTTTTTTTTTGTTGAATCATCAGAGAAGAGTAATAGAAATGACAGAGGATTAGTTATATACACAGGTTATTACTCAGCATTACTGAGCAGTTTGTGGAAAAGTTTCATCCAATAAAATCCGTCCGATTTGATATTTGCCAAGTTCAAAATTTGGTAACAGGGAAAAATTTACATGATATGAATTTTATACTAATCCATACTTCAAAGTTATAAAAGTGAGAAGATCAGTCTGAGGAGAATATTTGTTATAGCTGTATATCATGTCACATAAAACATGTAAATAGTGCTTTTCGGACTATTTACCTCCGAGCAGAATGTGCAAAATTAAGCTTACTTTATTACCTAACGTTGCATTTTTTTTAGTTTAAATATAATTCTTGATTATTTATTTGTTTAGAATGTTTATCTATGCTCTCTCTTTTCAGATTTTCTCTGATGGCTTGACGCCAGATAAAGGGGACTTCAGCTGACTTATTTGTGATTCTACGTAGTTTTTGATTAGCATTATATTGCATTTTAAAAAGTTCAATAAACGTCAGAATTCTGATCAGCTCTTTTGCCTTATGTGAAATAAGTTAATCGCAGGTTCGTAGCATCCGAAATTAATCACAAACTAAGGAATCGATGGATTGTCACTCACTTGTTTTGCATGCTTCAGATTTTTTATGGATTAAAACTGAGCGAACCACGCTTTGCGGGAAATTTTTAGCTGAGGTATTGGTTGACCAAGATAACGATCCTCAGAAGGTGTTTTTGACGGACTGAATTCTTTACCTATCAATTTTTTTCGCTTTTCGTTTCTTCTAAGAAAAATTTCTGCCAAAACTGCAATCTAGCGTCGTAACTGAGCACCACACAAAGGGAACTGAAGTGATTTGCAGAGTTGAATGTCTTCCATATATCAGCTCAAGTTAATCCTCTATTCACACGTACTTCTGAACCAGACGACGATTACAATTCAAGTCGCTAGTTTCTGTGTTTTGGCGTTTAAGAGGAAGTTGTGTCAAAATCTTAGTTACCATTCGTGCAATCTCTAAATTTGTAGAACTGTCCACCCGTTAGAAACCTAGAGAAAATTTCTCTTGATGGAACTTATTGAAAGTACGTGCGTGGTCAAGGTAATTAGAATGTCAATATAAAGAAGTTGAACAATAATTCAAAGAAACTGTGGAACTTCACAGATAAAAGAAAAAGGAGAAGAATAATAATTTCTTATCACTTCAAAAGCACATCTCGATGATCGGCTACGAAGGAGACTAAACAAAATAAATATCGAACGTAGTGTTTCCCAAAGCATTTTATGGCTGGATGAGATAAACTTAAGCTATATTTATGGCCTATTTTTTAACTTTCCATAACTTTTGAATCCGAAAAAAAACTTGGAATCCAGATTTTTCTGTTCATCGTGTCCAAGTACCTTAAAAACCCAAACATTAATCCACATTCTTACATAGCTCGGACAAAACATTAAAGCTTGACAAATGAAACGATAAACATCAATAACACCTGCTTTCTGTTATTTTACGAGCAAAAATCAAAAACGGGCAAATATATCTTCAAGATAAATGATTTTAAAATTTATTGTCTTAATTTTGGGTAAAGGAAAGGGTTTCGTTCGAATTGAACTCATTGAAAGTGTAATTTTCGCCGACTCGAGAAGTAATTTTAAGTACATAAAGTACATGAAATTGAAACAATAGTTAACTTTCAATTCTTTCTTTCCCTCCTTGTGATACCATCAAAATTTAATGGTGCTCCACTAATCTTTGAACAGTTAATTTTAGATAACACAGAATGATGCATCCACTTTATTGGACGGTAAAACTTAAGAGGATAACAATCAAAAATCCAATAAAAGGCTAACAAAAGTTGCTGCATCATCAGGCACGGAAGTCCTAAATTGACTGGGTTTGTTCGGTTTTAGACTTGCAGAAGAATATCGTTAATGGAAGATGTCTTTCCTTGGCTCATACTCATGCTCTGATACTCCTGTCCCAACTTTTTTGAGTATTATCACCGCTATCGTGGACTCCATCCTCACCATTACAGCCGTCACTGGCAACCTCTTGGTACTTCTTGCTTTCCTACTTGATCCAAATCGTAATCTGCGATCCCGCTTTAACTATTTCGTGGCCAATTTGGCTGCTGCGGATTTCATATTAGGATGCTGTGGACTCCCTCTGTCGGTAGAATACCATATTCGAGAGTCACGATCGGCGAACGTTGAAGCTTTCGATAGCAATCTTCCCCGGGATCATGCAAGGAGGATCATCATATTAATTTCGTGTACAGCTTCATTACTGAGCTTAGCAGCTTTGACAATAGATAGATTCACTGCTATAAACGACCCCTTAGGGTACAGGACTAGGATGAATACTAAACAAGCTGTCATCGTTTCTTTTCTCATTTGGTTCATATCAAGTTGGCTTTCATTTCTTTATTTTTACGTGGGCTATTTAAACTGTCGATTTTTTGTCGCTAATCTAGCTGTTATAGCTACTTTTGCTGTGTTGTGCCTGAATTATTTTAAAGTATTGAAACATTTTAAAGTTCAAACTGATACTTGGGATGTTTTGCACGATGGCCAAAACCGCGACAACTTGGCGAAAATGAGAGCGGTTAAACGACAGAAGAAGATTACCCAAACTTTAGTGATCACGTTGGTGCTATTTACTTGCTGTTTTTTTCCAGCACTTATATTCATTTACGTGATCAGCTTTTGTGCAAGTTGTTCATGTATTTTTATACATTGGGCAAGAGATTTAAACGGCATTTTGATTAGAGGAAACTCAAGCCTGAACCCTTATGTCTTTGCTTGGAGACTGAAACGTTATCGAACTGCTATCGCCAGGATTCTAAGATGTGGAAAAACTTTGCAAAACAAAAATTGACTTGGCACACTATAATTGGATTTTTTCACGACTAACCGAGGATTTACAGTATTAAGAACATGGCAGTGAAGCGACTTAGAGGTTCTATAGGTGATTCTTGCGAGATAAAGAAAACAACAACAAAAAAAACTCTTGTCTTCTTAATTCAAAAACAAAAACAATCGAACTTTAATAACTTGGCCGCGCTGAGGCGCACAAAATAAAGCGTGTGCCACAGCTTGAAGCCACGTCGATTTCTCTCCATACCTCACACAATTTTCCCCTTTCTTGAGAGTATTAAACTCTTACTTAGTTCTTCCAAAATACATTTCCCAAAACTTCTGACAATTTCATGTGTTTTATTGACCCGAAAACCAGAAGTTCGTTTAAGGTATAGGGTAAGGTAGACTCAGTCAGTTGCCAGCTGTTAGTTAATTTCAGATGCATTATTTAACCTCTAAACCGGTGGGTGGGATAGGAAAAGATAAGTAATACTTCGTTAAGGAGAAGGTGCACTTAGAGATGCAGTTGTAAACTTCAAGATATAGTTTGCTTGTGTCAACCATGTCGAGACATATTTGCCGTTCAAGCTCTTATGAAGAATCTCTTCCAGTCTCCCCTTTTCATGAAATAGGGAAGGCATAAATTTTCCCTTTAATAGTTCAAGTCTTTTTGACGGCGTTTTCGAAAGATGCCATTCTCATCAAAGTGACCAACGGCGTGATGTCTTTGAAACAATTGGATGCAGAAAGACACGTACCGTTGAAAAAGGGTGTGTGTTAGAGGTGAACAAAATTCCTTACACGCAGAGCCTGAATTCTTTTGGCAAGCAAAGCGAAGCTTTTTGCTACATTATTGAGTAGTCATCATGTTTAATATGTAAGTTTTTATCTGCAACAAGCAAACAAACAAGCTTTTCACCTTTCGTGTTGCACATCGAAGTAAAAGGGTAGCTGACGAAGCATAACCGCAGGGTATAATTTACCTTAGAAGCCGAGCAAAAGCTGTGGCGGGATGGATGAAGGTAGTTTGGGATTGTGACACACGCATCAATTTATATCTAAGGAATCGCTCGTTTGGATTGAATAAACGTTAGATTCATTAAAAAGAAATGTAGTGACATCGAGATTTCTACTTTTATATTCTTTGTACCAAATTTTTAAACTGTGAGTAGAAATTTTATAACTCAACTAACAGAATTTTTACCGTTGTATTACATTTAATGACTGAAATTTGTGAAACGATAAAAATAGATATAAATCTAATCTAAAAATATTGTAAGGGTTTCCACATATTGGTGTTGGAAAATGAATGGAAATAATATATTACTATAAGCCACAAGTTGATCATCTTCTCTTCCTTTTGGTTGCTCATTTTACAGGTAAAATTTCGATCTCCTTTTCTTATTGCGGTCGTGAATTTGACATGGAGACAAATATTTCTTCGTAAACTACAATTTGCGGTTAAATTTTGAATTATTTCCATTATGTTGCGGAGAGCTGTTACAATTACGAATGTGACGCTTGCGACGAAAGACGAAACTTCGAGGGGTGTCGCTAAGGCGTGTTTGCTGAGTGTCGCTGATGTCGGGACTATTTTACAGGTCGTGGTAAAACCACGAAAACCAAGATGACGGTTAACGGTGTTTATTCAGATCACGAAGACAAAGACGAAGACGATCACAAAGACGATCACGATCGTAAACTGAAATTACAATAATATTATAACGAATGCATGAATCTACTTGAATTGGTGCGAAAGGCATGAAAGAAACGCTTTACGTGCCTATGTTGATAACGCGATTAAAATAACAACAATTAACGTAAATTAACAGAAACAAATCATAAAGGCTAAATTAAAACTACTCGAGATTCAAAGATCGGCTACACGATGAACACTTGCGGCTGATTAACAGCCCAAAGACTAAAATGTGGGCGTTGCTGTCTGAGCGTCTAGTTCTTTCAAATTACTCTTCTGATTTCAAGATAATTAGTTGTACTATTGTACAACACAGTACAAATGTGCGCTATCGCCCAAGGTGAAAAACTAAACTTAGACACATTGAAATAAAACTAGCAAAATTACTTACATATCGGTCCCGCTTGTGCCAAAGGTTTAGAATGAAAGAACGAAGGTACTGCTATTCAAGGCGAAATCTTGCGAAACTCTGGCTTAAAGGGACGCTAACTTAGCTTTTATATGCGCGTGGTGACGCTAAAAGATCCGATTACAAACCAATAGGAAAAAGATAAACATTGTAACTACGATCGTAATTAGGCACACAAAGTATTTGATAATTGATCTAATCAAAAAACTGTTCTTTTGTTCGATATCCTTAACAACGAATAAAACGACCTTACCTCAAAGCAATTGATTCCGTACAGGCATTTCCTTGAAATAACCCTTCTCATATTTTTAACTTCTTTGATATTCTCGTTCTTAGGTTAACTCTATGTGGAATTCCCGATCAAGGAAATATTTATTAAATTTCAATTTAGCACGTTCGACACCTCAGTCTTTAAAGGTGTAAACAACCAGTACTTTTCATCCTCCGCACTGAATTTACAAACAGGTAACTTATACAAATAGCACTTAGCTCTTTCAGAGGCGGTACCTTGGGTTATATTAAATTTATTCATTCTGTTTTATTCTATTTTGATCTGTCTACTGGGTAATACCTGAGAAATAGCCTGTGAGTGTTCCTCACAACTAAGTAATTGCATTTACACAATAAACCAGTATGCATCCATATATGAGTCACTTCCGATGCGATGGCCAGTTTGACCGGTTCAACGATGTTTCAACTCTTTGAAATTCCAGAACATTGCACTTGCGATGTATGGAGCATAGTTCCATAAACGGCGAGAAATCCCGTATGCTACCCTATGTTTTTTGCATCTCGTAGTAAACATTGTAGCTCCAAAAAACCTTCTCTAAGTGTCCTCATTGCCGTGATATTTGTAGGTCCCAGATACTGCAAATCCTAAGTTATTCATAGAAGTACCCAAGTCTGATAAAGTGAATCCATGTTTTTGCAGAGTTTTTCCACATCTTAGAATTTTAACGAAAGCGGCACGGTAACGTTTCAGTCTCCAGGCAAAGACGAAAGGGTTCATACTTGAGTTTGCACGAATTAAAATGCCGTTTAAATCCCTTACCCAGTGAATGAAAATACAAGAACACCTTGCACAAAAGCTGACTATGTAAATGAAAATCAGTGCTGGGGAAAAGCAGCAAATAAACAGCGATAACATGATCACAAAAGTTTTGGTAATTTTCATCTGCCATTTGAGAGCTCTCCTTTTTGCCCAGTTGTCTTGGCCTTGGCCATCGTACAAGGCATTTCGATTAGCAGCTTGAGCGTTAAAATGTCTTAAGACTTTGAAATAATTGAGGTACAGCACGGCGAAAGTAGCTACAACAGCTAAGTTAGCGATGAAAAACCGACTGTTCATATAGCCCTTGTAAATATACAGAAACGGAATTCCACTGGAAATAAACCATATAAGAAATGACACAACAAAGGCCTGTTTAGTAGTCATCCTGGTCCTGTACCCAAGCGGATCTTTGATGGCAATAAATCTGTCCATAGTCAAGGCAGTAAAGCTCAATATAGAGGCTGTACACGAGATTAAAATGATAATCATCCTAACATGATCTCGAGGGTGATCAAGTTGGAAGACTTCATCAGTCAGCGACTCTCGAATGTGGAATTCTACAGACATGGGGAGTCCCAAGCATCCCATCATCAAATCAGCAGCAGCTAGATTAGCCACGAAATAGTTAAACCGACATCGCAGATTACGATTTGGATCAAGAATAACAGCAAGTAGAACCAACAAGTTACCAACGATGGCTGTAACGGCAAGGATGGAGTCCGCGGTGGCAGTGATAATGCTCAAATATGACGGGGCAGCCACATCAGAGCACGAGTTTGAACCAGTTAAAGACATCTTCCTCTTATGAACTTTTTGAACTTCCTTACTGATGATACAACTGTTATTTTTCAACTTTATTTCAATTAAAGATGCTTATTCTTCAGTTTTGAAGGCCAATAGCCTGTATGCATCTGTTTGATCTGGAATCAATATTTCAAAGAAGAGTGCATCAATAATAAAACAATTTTATGGCACTTTTATGGATAAAAAGATAGCGAAATTTAATTCCTCCTCTTACTTTCTTTGAAAAAAATTGGTTTAAGGATTTTAAGAAAATGTAACAATCAGGTTTTCAAACTCAACATGATAATCTGAGTTATCCGACAAAAATGGAAAAAACTTCATCCAGTGATGATCTTGAAAGAAGTAGGTTTGCGTGCTCTTTGCTCCTAAACAACTCTTAACAGTTATAATCTAATGCTTTTTCAATTCAAGAAGTTGAAAAAATGACTGATTTGTCGCTCATATGTACATATGCGCAATAGTTAGATATATGGAATAGTTGGACTATGAACTAACCATAACGAGTAAGTGAAAAGTTTCGTATCCTCACCGAAGTAAGATGGCGTAATGTAGATCAATACGTTGTAGTTGAAGTTGTGAGAATAGGAGAATCCCTTGCAATGAAAATGTTCATGTAAATCTGATCGCTTTCAAACATTATCTATGCAAATTAATTTTTCATAGTATTTCTTCTTATTTCATTACCTGCAAGAACAAAGGGAAGTTTCTTATTTACCTTTTTAAGGGCCAAAGAAAGCGTCCAATTTATTTATTACGAGGCTCAGGACATGCAAAGTTACGGAGTGAGACATGAATAAAAGGGCCATGGGCATCTGTTTACGAGGAAATTTCACTTAAGAGCTTAAATAACTTTAAAAAAGATAATAATAATTATATTGGCTCGAATAATTTCAATTAAGAACATTTCAGTGATACCTGTCCGCCAATTTGAAAGACTGAGTGATTTACAGACTCTTTCGTCTCGAGCCCAGTTTTTTTCTTTGTCCAACGCTCGTGACGAAATAAAAGCATCCGTTGATTTTTGATGATCGAGCTCAATAATAACGTTTCTTATTTTCTATTCTGCACACGGCTCGTTCAAAATGGCTAATCCTCGGTTTTATCATTATGGAGGAAGCTTGTCACACATAAACTTAGTGCAGACCGATAGCTCACCATCAGAGTTTAATGAAACTAGATCACTGGTGGATTTTAAAGTTAAGATCTCGGTTTGATTTCTACATCTGTCAGTGACTTATTAGCTTACTATTTGACTTTTGACTGACAGACAGACAGCCTGATAGAGTGACTGAATAACTGGCTGACTGGCCAACTGGCTAACAGGCACACTGATTGATTGACCGGTGTCTCAAATGGAATACTAGAGTCTAAAATCCGAAATTAGTGTCTAAATCCAGACAATGGTGTCCATACTAAGATACTAGTGTCTAAAACCAGACAGTGGTGTCCACACTAAGATACTAGTGTCTAAAATTCGACAATATTGTCAAAACGTCGGTCACCAGTGTCCAACATCTGACTCCAGTGTCCAAAATCGGACGTAAGTGTCCAAAAATCACACTTTTCTCCAAAATCGAACGCTATTGTATGAAAGCAGATCGTGTCATCTATGAATCAAACACGGGAGTCAAAAAACCGGACAGTGCCTAGAATTGGGAACAAGTGGTGTCTAAAGTCGAATACTAGCGTCTTAAATCGGAAAATAACGTATGAAGTCGGGAGATGAGTGCTCGCCGAATGGGGATTGAGACTCAGGGCTCGGGATTCGGTGTTCGGGATTCCTGGTTTGATACACGGAACTCGAATCGAGAACATATAGATTTTTTTTATCGCTAGTCTCTAAACGTCATGAGGTCGAATGATTTCGAGTCACCTTTAATGTGGCAAGATAGCTAGCTGTTATTAGTGCGCTCTTTGGTTTTCAATGTTTTCAGGAGAGACCAGTATTAGGCAGTTCTGTTTGCCTAATAGTGCACCAATTAAGCAATGTTAGAAGGTTTTGGCAAAATTGAAACCGTAAATTCAAACCTCAGGGTTTTTGCCAAACTTAAAACAAGCAGCTGTCTGGCTTATTTTTAAGGAGAAATTTTAAGCCTAAGCTCTAACTGAACGTTGACGCAAAATCTTCATTTGCGTTAAAAATTAAAGAAACAGTTACTCTGTGGACGGTGCATGATCTATCTAGTTATACTAACACTAAGCACCATACCGTCAAGAATACATGATAGAAAAGTGTAAGTCGAGTAACCCCAAACTTTGATAGAGATAGTCTGTTGCGCAGGCGTAATTTTGGCGAACGATTGGTCACTATTTTCTTAGTGAAAATGATGACCACTATCTCTTATTTTAACGGCAGCGGAGGGCTGGGGAGATAAATAAATTTTTCCAAGGGGCCGAGCGACGGCCAAAAACAAGGAGAGGGGTTGGGTTGAGTAGTGAATATAGCAAACAAGTAACATATTTAAATAGTTAACCTTGGAATGGATAGAGGAGTTTTTGTATATTCTCTCAGGAGGATTCTAATTTATCACCGGAAATGTACGATAGCTATTGATTGCAGTCATGATATGTCGTAATTCTGAGTTAGATATGGTGTTAACAGCGAGGTTGCTCCATCAAAAGCAGTGTAGAATAGCTGCGAAAATAAACAGATTCATGAATTACAGGGCATTTAAAAGTCTTATTGAAGTTTTTAAGTGTCATTCCTCGCCTTAATCAAGGAAATGTGATAATCATCAATGGTGTTTTTCTCCCAGTTGTTTTCGCTGGTCAAACTGGACAGTTTCATGCTTCAGAGAGCCGGTCATTTGGTGAGCACCAGGTTGAATGGCGTGCACCTCATTTGTCCCCTTGAAGCAACACCGACCGACCTCTTGTAGAATGAGAATTGCCCCATGGCGAAATTGCTCGTTAAAGATAAAATAAATCAGCGGATTAACGCCAGTGTTGGCGAACGTTAAAAGCCATGCTGCGAAAAGGAGATTAAAACTGCTGCAGATACTGATTGAGCCTGTAAAACAAGCTATCAGTGAAAGTATTAATGGAAAACGAAAAACGATCAAGGCAACTACTATAGCGACGAGCATAGCCAGAACCTTGTGAGTTACTCGTTCGCGTCTTTCCTGATGCGAGGGTAGCTGGTTTCCGGGGGATATCCCTTGTTTGATTTTGAATCCAATGGCGATATACATAATGATGATTGTAAGAATTGGTATCGCTATTATGAAAAAATAACAAAACAAAAAATAGTTGATGACGAATATGACAAGAGAAAAATCGAAGGTGCAAAAAAAAATTCCGGATCGAATCTCAGTCAATCTTGACATGGCGAGCAAAGGGGCTGCAAGCAGGAGGGCAAAGGTCCACACGGCAGCCATTATACGACGAGCAGTGTGCAGTGTGATTATCTTCCTCAATGGGAAAAAAACAAGGAAAAACCGATCCAGTGTAATGAAAAAAAGACTTCCAGTAGAGACCAACATTGGCATTTGACCGATAAAGAACGAAAATCGGCACAAAATGTTTCCTGCCATTCCATCGATAAGCCATTGCATGTCACACGCTGTCATGGTTATGTACTGAGGAACGACATACAAAACTAGCAAAATATCTGAAAAAGCCATGTTCAGAATAAAATAATTATTCGGTGTTCGCATCCGTTTGTTCACGTTTCTACGCACGACCAAGATCAGCAAAAGGTTGCTAGCCAGACTTACAATTAATATGAGGATCAGTGTAGCAATTTTAACAGGTTTTGTGGCTGGGTTGGCATCTTGCCAAGGTGGCGCAACATTTGTACTGCTGTTGACTGCGTAATCCTGCTCTTTGCTGTTTTTAGGAAAAGGCATTTTCGTCCGATATCATCTAAACTAAAACGCCTATATAGAGTGTTTCTCCACGTTTATGCCTTTAACCTAAATCTCCCACGAAAAAACAAGTGAAGTACTGAAGTGAGGGAATCGTTGTTTGCAAGAAAAGATAACGTCTCATGCAGTGCCTCACAAAGTCTTGACGAGAGCACTTAAGAGCAGCCCCTTTTATTTCATATTTAAATTTTTGTATTTAATTACCAGTCATTCACATAGATCATTAAAACCCATTTTCAGGCGATGAAGCCTTACACCTTTTCGCTATCTCATTTGGAGAGGTGATTTTATAGATCTGAGAGTTTTTCAGAGTGCTTAGGGCTTTCAAACAAGGCAATTAATGGATGGAAATATCAAAATAAACTCTACCACGTTCGTTAGTGATTTTTCAGAGGAAAGCTTAACTTTTAATTAAAGATTGCTCTATAATTTGCCTGCAGATATCTATTTAACAAGCTGCGCAGCTTACCGAGCACAAAAAATTTTAAATAAAATGTAAAAAAAGAGAAGAGACGTACATTATTTATTGGGAAAGTAATTTACAAATTGCTGCTAATCAATCAAACATCAGATAACGTATCAGTATTTCTCAACTTTCTGTCTCACTTCTGTTCCTAAAAACTAGGGAATATGGCATTAACCAGTGCATAAAATTTATGTCTCCTTTAAGCGCCGAGATAAATTTAGACAAGTTTTTCGTGTGTCGCTGTTGGTGATGAAATGAAAACATCTCTATGTGTCAATATCTCTTTCTATTACTAGTCAGTAATACATTACCAATACCTCTTTTTTGATGCAAATTACGTTGCTAAAGAGGGCAATAATTATTTTCTTATTTAAATTTCGTGCTCTGGAAAAAAAATATATAATTATCACGTAAAAGATCTCTTGACACGATTTTCCCACTCCCATGTTTGAATTTTAGGTTAAATTTCTCTATGAATTTAAGAGAGATGTACAGAAGAGAAGAAAGCTAAGAGTAATGTAATTTCTATGATGATCCCTCGAGTAGTCATTCTGCAACGAAACACGTCTTGTCTTGTTCGTGCAAAAAGCATTTTTTTTCCTCTTTGCTTTTATTGTTTGTTCTTTTGAAAATTATGACAACGTCAGACCCCTCAGTTTCATCGTAGAATCATTGTTATAAGAAACTTCTAGTTCTTGATTTAAAGGTAAATACTGACTCACGCACTCGTGAGACCTGGCCAAATGCAGCACAGAAAAACATATTTACATTTATTCCAATCCCAGCAAGTTTCCTTCTTTGCTATTAAAATGCATGGAGGGAGTTTATATAAAACTGGGTTCAATCTAATAAACCTATCCAAAACTGTAACCAAAAATTGGGGTATAATTTGCAGATTTCTGTCATCAGTGAGAACTCTAGAACAGATTTTAATCAATACTGCCCAAAACTTCATTTGCAGTGGGACTAAGTACTTGTCTTCCAGATAAAAATTATGTAACGTTGTTTCCTCCTTTTTTTTCTTTCATCTCTCTTTTAATGATCATGTTTTCTCTAGAAACTGGTGGCAATATCAGCGGTAGAAATATCCCATACCCCGCGTAACATAACCAGTAATTCTTGCTAAACGCCTCTTTCCTTACGAATGCCTTGCCCTAATAAGTTTTCTTTCCTCCAGTGATCACCTCAGTCATTTCAGGAGGGTCTAAATGGGGTTAATCGACTAAGGCAAAGGGCGAAAAATATAACTGACAAAACAAAAAAAAAGTACCGTTTATACTTACCAAGAACCGACGTGGTGCGACATCATCAATATTTTTATTCAGATAGAAGAAGCAGTCTAGCTTAGGAGGTAGCCTCTTTAAATTTTAGATTCGGTTAATTACGGAATTTTCTCTCATTAAACTTGCTTAATGGCCGAAGCTCATTTCCTAAACAGCGTCCGATGCTCGAGCACACAATTTATCGCCGGAACGAATATAAATAATTAACTTGCATTTTTAATAATTGACTGAGACTTAACAACTACCGACGAATTTAACCTCGCGACTACCAACAGAGTAATTCAATTCTTACTGACAACCGAGATGAGGATCTCTCTGTTCAGCTGCAACTTAAAGAATTTGCTCTCAATTCGATTTTATCATTATCGCTGGTTTTTTTTCGATAAATATAGAGCTGATGTCACATAGCGGTTGGCCTAAACACGTAGCTTACACCATAACGTATCATCCTGAATAACTATTTGTAGTATTTGTTTACGAAAGTATATGTACACGTGATACATATCACGGTGTTGTGGAAGGTTAATCTCGTTCCCAGATTCTACGCTTGGCTGTCGAAGGTCTGGGTTCGAGACTAGTGGAGGGTATTTGAACGACTTCGCAGTAAAAAAACAGCTCAGTTACTGTTCTGATGATGTGATTTTCGTTTCACCCTTCAAACCCCAAAATTGATCAAGTTAAAAATTTATGCTGATAGTATTACTACATTAACTAACAAAACGTTGTTGGAAATAGGCCCATTATTTGTGCCATGTATAAGCGTCTACATGGCAACATTTCTGAACGACAACAGTCATAACAGATACTAATCTCGCGGGGCTACTCTAACTCTTCACCCTGAGCAGGAGCTCATGAGCTCCTGCCTTGAGCTGCAAGAAGAAATCTTACACCTTTATTCATTACAAACTCTTAAGAGAATTCTGAAGAGGACCGCGATTTTCCATAATACAATGCAACAGCCCTTGTTTCACTTTTTCTTGTAACCTGGATTGCGTTTAAGTAATTAAAATTTGATGATTGAGTCTTAGCTGCATACATTTTCGCCTCTTAAAAGAAACTTGAAAACAAATCAACAGACCGTGCAATCACCTACTTACTTTTTTTGTTTTTCTTCGATCGAAAACACTTCACTTAGATCGTGAGAATATTTTGAAGTAACAAGACATAGAGGTTGTAACAAACTTGATAGCATTTTCGTGCCGTAAAAGACACTCAACAAGTCGTTCTCCAAAAATACTCGGTTGCCTTGTTGTGAATTTCTCTTCAAAGCTCAAAATGTGCTGTTATAAAACCTCGAGTTGGGGCAACATATTGGGGTAACATATTTTACTATTTTAATTTCATTCTTATTATTCAACTTCATCAGCAGTAGTATAAGAAAGTGTTTTTCAAGTTTGTTATTATTTTGATTGAGTTTGTTATTTCTGTTGCCGTGAAAATTAACATCGCGCGGGCACAAAACAAAGTCATCTTTCCTTATACAACAATTCTTCGGCGTAAATAGTACCTTACGATATCCTTAGCACACACTTAGCAAACCTTTAGGTTGTGGAGTGTGAGGTATGACTGCACTTTTTGCCCCCTTCCGGTGTTTTGGTTCGTAACGTTATACCGCCCAATATTACACCCTTCTCTGAACAATCTCGTTTTGCTGGTGTAAAAGAAGTCTGTAGGAGAAGGGAGTGTATACTCTGATTCACCGACTTAAAAATAATGGGAAAACTTTAGATTCTCCTACTGAAAAATGCCAGCAATCTTCGGATGATGCTACGTTTCCAAGATTCAGAACTGGTTTTCCGATCGATTGAACATTATTTTTTTTGCGGTAACTGTTAAACTTTAACTTTGACCACCAAGCTTGATTATTATGAATTTAAAAAATTCCTCAAGTGTTCATAACAAGAGCATTACAGAAGGGTTCATATTGCCACCTCGAGATAACAAACTACAATCTTGGCCGATGGGCTTTTCTGAAAGGGTGTAAATTGATTTTACCTAGATCAATCAACCAATAGAAACTAACGATGTTTTTTTTTTTTTTTTTTAATATCAACCCAACCCTTGAAAAATAGGCTTGTTTATAATATACTTCGTTTAAAACTACTTGAGCTGGTGCGGATATTTGCGCTACGAAAAACATACTCGGAACCAAAGTGCTTTAATGGAAAACATAAGTGCAACTATTTGACCGACAAACAAATGGAAAAAAAACACGTAGCTGAAATCATTACTCCCCTAAAAAGTTTCTTCAAAAACTCATGTTTAATTGACTTAGTTCTTCAAAAGGCCAGGTGTTAAAAGTAATAGATATTTTCCTTCGTTCTTGATCAATTTCTAACCATCATCGAGCAACGAAAGTACAAAATGGATTTGTTTACTTTCTTTTTCAGTTGCAAATATTGCCTCTTCATATCAAACAATAAAAAGTTGAGGAATCTTGTAATTTAACGGCGTTAACCCTCAAGTGTTTTATTTGCTGCAGTATCTCAGGCCTCAATTAATTCCTCAACATGACACTTGTTTCTTGACGTCATTTTGTCCATAGCTGTAACGGTACTCTGCTATTTAGATTTTTTAACGTTTAAATAGACTTTAAACCATGAAACAATCTTTGAAAGCAGTAGACTCGGAACAGGTTTTTTAGCATTTAGATTGATGTTGCCGTTTGATGCGCTTATAAACCGCGAGGTAGATAAGTTGTAGTGATATAGGACTACGGTGGCATTAGTGAGCAGTTGACATGCAAACGGTGTCTTTAAGTATATTGGCCTGGGTCAGGAGAGACGCCAATTTGTCGCAGTCCACGCCTATATAAGACGTTGCTCCATTTGAAAAATAGCAAGCCTGTGAAGTTTGATCAATTCCATGTCTTCAGCAGCTGACACAAACTGAGTTCTCTTGAGTGAATAGGTACGAACACCTCTTCTTGCTTCCATTTAACACACATTACGCTAGTTAATCGTGTATATTTCGCGCAACAAATTGTGGCGATTGCATTAATTCAATAGGTGCCTGTTGCGTAATTTGTTAAAAGTATGTCTAGGTGCCCTGTGAATAGCTCTAAAGGGTAGATTGTAAACTTAAAACTGAAATAGTTTGTTCGTCTGGTTCCTTCTTTTTTTTTATTGTTTGTTTCGTTTTGTTCGTCCCTCAAAAATTTATGAACTTTCTATCGCTAATTTCCTTGTTCCTAGAAAATTCAATGACCTTTCGTTTTCGCAAAAATCTCACAAAATATGTTCGTCAACAGATGGCATTTAAAAGAATTGGGTTGAGTTCGGAAACAAAAGTTTTACCATGAATTTAAAAGAAAATAATTAGTTTAAATACAAACAGACTTCTAAATACTTAATAAAAGCGCGCTGAGTCAGGGAAAAAGTACCAGGACTTGGATACGTTTTTCCTAGGAAGTTTGGAGTAAAAATGTAGAAATGAATGCAAGTATGGATGCTTTTATTCTTCTCAGCCGAGACGAAGTTAATAGACTTATCCAAAATTTTCATTTGATATTCTTCATTCTTATAGCCCCTTCAATTCAGAAAATCTGAGATTGATTTTCCAAACCGATAAAAAGATATTCCTTGCTGGCTATTCCGGAGAATTTGATGTCAGATTGCAACGATTTCCCTAGCTGACATTGGTCTCATTTGTCATTACTGAGTGCTGATTATTTAGGACACTTTAGAGTGAAATGGTCAATGGAGACTGTGCATATTCCTTGACCGATATAAGAATTGACTGATCTGGTGAAATGAATATGTTCACCATACATTTATTCCCGTTCTCAGCTGACTTTCAATCGATAAAATTTCTCAGGTCTACTTCCTGTAGGACGCCTCAATATTGATCAAGAGTTTCAAGTTCACCACTTCTATCATCATTTTCATTTTTGCATTTTCTTCAAAGTTTTGGAACTTTCAAACGCACTTGCGCACGATGATAAAAATTGCCCTTAATTCATAACGTTGAGAAAATATCGGGACCCAAACTAATCATTAATGTTACTAATCACTTCACTTGCGCCTCCGCCAATGTCATCAGTTGCATAACTTGCACTAATTGCAAAAAAGTTATACGTTAGTGTTCCCTTCCTTTTCTGCATATAAACACACTCGCAAACCACAATTCCTCCATTCGCTCTGATCGACGAAGGCCTAACGCTCGAAACGTCAGGTTTGAAACTTTTTTAAGGGTGGCTTATGTACAGTTGATAATACCAAATTACCCTGTTATACTCCCCCACTGACGCAGCGCCACAGTTTTATTTTAGAAATTTACCCCCTTTATTCATTTGTATTTTCCTTGTAGATTTGCAGGACTGGAACAGTTTTTTTAGAAATTTACTCCCTTTATTCATTCGTCTTTTCCTTGTAGATTTGCAGGACTGGAACAAGATGTCTCGTTTGATCCTGTATCTCTTGCTGGGGCTTTGCGTCATGGCGTTCAGAGCTGAGGTACGCGCTCAAGAGGAGGACGCGGACGAGGAGGACGAGGAAGGCGAGGAGGACGAGGAGGAAGAGGACGAGGAGGAAGAGGACGAGGACGAAGAGGACGAGGAGGACGAGGAGGACGAGGACGAGGAAGACGAGGAGGACGAGGACGAGGACGATGAGGACGAGGACGATGAGGACGAGGACGAGGAGGACGAGGATGACGAGGATGACGAGGAGGACGAGGATGACGAGGACGAAGACGAAGACGAGGATGACGAAGAAGAGGAGGAAGAGGAGGAAGAGGAGGAGGAAGAGGAGGAAGAGGAGGAAGAGGAGGAGGAAGAGGAGGAGGAGGAGGAGGAAGAGGAGGAGGAAGAGGAGGAGGAAGAGGAGGAGGAAGAGGAGGAGGAAGAGGAGGAGGAAGAGGAGGAGGAAGGGGATGGTGGTGTGAGTATCACCATCAATGGTGATGGCAACACAGTTATCACCGTCGGAGATGTGAATATCGCTATCCCATCAGATGGTGGTGCCTGTGTTTCTGCTGACATGATGGTGCCAAAGAAGGATTCTGACGGTCGAGTAAAAGACGTCAGGGTCAAAGATCTTTCCAACGGGGACTTAATCCGAGGAATTCAAATCACAGATTCCATGCACGAGGCTTCATGGTGCAAGGTGGAAGCAGTCTTCCCTTCAGCAGGCGGCCAGAACAAGACCACTCACGATGGGTTCACTGAAGACCACATGGTCCTAGGGATTTATAATGTCCACCCGTACGGCAAGAGGGGAGACGTTAAGAACGGCCCAGTGTACACACTTGCCACTGACTGCGATGCAATGGTGAACAACTATGGTAAGGCCTTTACCCCCATCAGCACCGCTTTCTGCCCGCGCTCTGTACTGAGCTTGAGCGAATATTTTACCTTGATGCAAGCTATACGAGGTGTCTTCAATCGTACAGGCTACTTCTGGTTTGACACCTCCGCATACCATGACAACAAGACTGCAAAGGTGCCCAGCTGGCTAGAGCAGCTTCCCCAAATTTGCCAACAGCTGCTGCAGTGCACACGAAAAGGCGAGTGCCAGGAGTTTGAAACTGTTATGGAAGAGTTCGTGCACAGTCATGTCAATAGGAGATATGCGACCATAGTTGAGAGAGAGTTCCCCAACTTGGGAGGCGATGTGAGTAAGCAGCAGGCGGGCACAATCACGGAGGCAGTACGTTCGCAAAATGGAGGAAGCCACTTGATTGTCTTTGCTACTCTGGGCAGCGTCATGGTGCTGCTTATGATCTTCGCTGTTGGCGTTTTGATCTACCGCACACGTGTGATGAAGAAAAAAGCTGAAAAGGAGCCGCCATTTGAGTCAGGCCAAAATCATCCTCAAGCCTAAGGAGCAAGAAGGCGCGATGGAAGGGTTGCAAAAGCGTAAAGTGATTCCCGCGTTTTGGCTTTTAAAAGAAATAATTTAGGTACAAGAAGATTAATACATGCTTGAAAGGGAACAGTAATCCAATTTGCTTCGGGCTAAAAATCGAAACTAGTCTTAAGCGAGCAGCGAGTATTTACCAACATCATGTAAAACTTTAAAGGGCGTCTAAATTCTGTCCTCAAAAACTGTAAACCCGTTTTTAGTCGAAATAAAAATTAAAGGAGCCTGAATGGGGTGATGTCTCTGAAATTTTTATAGCTGGGATACAATTTTATTATAACCTGAACTACAATCTTGGTCTACCTTCTATCAAAGAAAATAAGGAGCTGTCGTTTCTTGCGTAACAGTTTTGATCAATCTGCTTGCACTCTTTCATTTTTGCCGCGCAAAAAAAAAAAAAAAAGAAAAAAACAAGGAGTGATCCATCATTTCAAATGCATGTTAGAATTTTATAAATCATATTGCCAAATAGAAACGCATTTGTCAATTGCTCTCGTCGTCTCTAACTATTTCCCCACGCCTTTCAAGATGAACACATAAACTGATATTCCATTGTTCCAAATAGAACACCCATCATGTTATTACATTCTGATTGGTTCTCGGCGGTGAGATTTATTCAATAAAAATGAAATACTAAAATAAGTCAATCGGTTAGATTTCAGATTTCAGCGGCATGCTTCATTTACAGATCAGTCTTTTTCTCTTTCTAAACCCACTATTTTGACAACTAAATTCAGTGATTCCAATAATGAAATGACAAATAAACTTCTTCTCGAGCAGTTTTAGTTTGAGATAACTCTCCTTATTTCAAATTATTAGAAAGGACTTTTCAATTTTTTTTTTTTTTTTCATTTTCTACCTCACACAATGTGAAAAATTGGCGAAAAGTAAAATGGATCTAGTCTTTTTTGACTCATTACCGGATGAAACTAAATTTTAATTTCATGACGCTGTTGGGAAATTACTCTGCTTTCAATTCAAATATACTCGAACACATTGTAAGATGCTGTGTTGTAGCTGTGTTATTCAGGTTTGGAAATTTCTTATCTTTGGACTCGAAACTCTACTGTGAGCCAAGTGCTCGGTCAAAGGGGTCTGAGTTAAAACTTACACGTCGACGGTGATCAAAGGAGATTGGGGCGAGAATCTGTCCGTCGTCGCAAGATGGCGGTCATGAAAGGGTTTCTTGTTTTCATACTAGTCTTCCTACCAGCTTGTTTCAACAAGCCGTTCAACACTAGCAGAACCCTCGACCCTGAAAAAGCAAACGAGATAAAGAAGGAAAAACTTTTTCTGGAAGATCACTTAAAAGGCGTGAAACTTGAACGAGATGGCCATGTTAACAAAGATTACCATCACGAAGCTTTCCTCGGGAAAATGGTAGAGAATGGCACTTTGTTGTTCGACAATATGGATGGTTACAGGCGGCTTATCGACCTCTTCCATCAAGTGGACAAGGACGGGGATCATTTGATTAGCAGGCCTGAAATGATAGAGTGGATTCACGGGAAAATCAAAGAGCACGTTCAAGAAGCTCGCGAAAACAATAGGCGAAAGTTTAAGGAAGCGGACAAAAACGGCGACAGCGTCGTTACATGGAATGAATTTCAAGAGAAGCTTAAAGAACTTAATGCCACTCGGAAGATCGAGGTTGAAAAAGAATTAGGTGAGTCATAGCAGAAAAAAGATTCGATCTTCAAAAATCATGGATATGAAATATAGAAGGCAATCGAAATTGGTGAAATGCACGGTATTTATATCTATGTACAATCTACAGCTTTACAGCTGTTAAGCTAAACACACAATTGCTCATACAATGTTTAAAAAGGCTACTGATGCAACACTTCCAGAAAAAAAGCTAACCAGTCATAAAGAAAAAAAAAAAATACCCCCATTCCCCTCCCTACCCCTGTATCTTTGTCACAACAGTGTCTTCCAAAAAAGATAAATAAATTAAAAAAAAAGAAAAGGAAAAAAAAGTAATGTTAATGAAGGGGGAAAAGGCTAAGATTTACAGAAGTAAACAAAAATTGATTTATATTTTATGAAAATATTTTTCTCAAGTTGACTTCAGACCCTAAGAAATTTACATTAGCTCTTTACAATATACATTGTACACCCTTACATTAGCATTTATATTCTCCATGCTGTTCTCTATACATTCCCTATAACATTAACACAAATAATTTGTTTAACACTTCATAGCATCCTAAAATGGTGATAATTTCCTTAATTCTCATGACCCTTGTTGGATTCAAAAGTGATATTATATGGAGAAATTGGATGCTGTATTTTCTCTTAGGAGTGAGAGGGTTTATAACTTGCTACATGACTGTGAAACAGAGGTTATCAAATTGTTAAATTACGCTGCTAACTAAAGACGGCAAAATTTTTTCCAGGTACTGCAAGGACAAAGATTTCCAGTGTACCTAACCTATATTTTACCACAACTGGCAGTACTATTGCAATCTGATTGGCCAATTTGCCAATTTGCAAATTTTGATAAGAGTACAGACAACGCTGTTCATATGTGTTGTGCAATGGTCATTCACCGAAAGAATCATTTTATTTGATGTAGATTTTGTGGTAGTTTGTTGAAGACTCACTTGCTGTCCACAACATTTTGACCACTGTGATAGTGAATATCATTGTCAATAAGAGTACAGACCCTGTCAAACCATTGTCTATTTGTAAATTCTCTTCTGTTTGATCTACACATATTAGATGATGTTGGTGAACCCCAGGACCCAATAGTTGAGTACCATGACAAATTCAGAAGAGGGGACTTGAACATGGATGACAAGCTGGATGAAACAGAGTTCCTTTACTTTGAGCACCCTGAACACAATCCACAGAGTATAAAAGATTTGGTAGAAGACATGATACAAAATTTTGACAAAAACCAAGACAAGGTATCATTTAATTTTATTTATTTCCTTTTTTTAATTTCCCTTTTCTTTCAACGAGCCTCTCTCAATGAATGCATTATGCCAGTATCATTTACACATAATATTGTGGTTTTGGCAGTTCATTCTTAAATTTAAGAACAAGAAAAAGCAAATAACTGTAATGATTGTATTAATTACGAGTTTTATATTGTTAAACTTTAGGTATTTGTTCCAAAATTTAAAAGCGAAAAAAACCCACTTATTGGCAAGTCTTACCTTGCATAATATTGAATTTATGGAAATCAATTTTAATGATGAAGAATAATTGAGCAAATGAATATAAAAACAAAATATGGCAGGGGTGAAATTCATTGTTGAGGATCTTGTTGGAGAGAAAAATCTAATTCTTGTGAGTGGTTTAACATGAAATGTTTTTTGCATTTGGCTGTTCAACCAATTGCCACAATTTAGCAGGAGTTAGCAGGAAACTGGGCCATGCATTGGGTCATAATATTCAGCTGTAATAATTGCAGGATCAACAACAAAAAGGGATTCTCTCATTCTTATCTAGGTATAAAGTAATTCATCTATTGGTATGATTCAGCCATAACTGAAATTAAAGTATGATACATTTTTGTCACAAAGTAGTTGCTTTTACTCAGAGTTCTCTAACAGGACAAAGCATATCAAGTTGAATCTTGCATTTCTTGCATGTGTTTCGTCCAGGTCCTGACCAAAGAGGAATTTGCACAACTGCCACCAGGAGAGGTGGATACACAGCAAGATGCTGACCTTGATGAGGACTACCGTAAGGAGTAAGTACAACACTACTTTTTGTATCTTATGGTTCTTTAAAGCATGTGGTGCAGGTGTCTAACTAAGATGAGTTTGTGTTATAAGCTTGCCCTATCTAGCCAGCCATGTTTGATTTAGAGTTAGAGTGGACATTGAGGGGAGGGGACAGAAAGACAAAATTACCCTCCCCCTCCCCTTTCTTTCCCATTAACAGTTGCTCACCCTCTTGGTACTCATTTCTTTCTCTCCCCAGTCTTCTCCTGCTGTGAAAAGCAAAGATATCAGCTGTAATTTTCACCTAGAAATCACTGAACCAAAAATTACCCCTTCATTTCCCAAGATGTGTCCTGGATCTCTGAATAGGCATGGGACTCTTTTAATATCTCAGTGCCTTTTTTTCACTCGGGTGGGGTGTAATTTATTGCATGTACCATGGGTGGTACTCTTGGTGGGTGAAACTCACCTCAGAGTACTACCAGTCAAACTGGTTTTTATGTTAGGCAAACTTTGAAATGATCCAGCAATTAACCATTTGACCTGAAAGACAGTCAGAATTATTAGCATCTAATTTCTCCTTACAATATCACCCCTGAATCAAACGTCAAGGTCTCGAGAATAAAGGAAATGATCACCAACTAAAGAAACTCTTGATCATTGAACTAATTCTCCTTATCAGCACCTCAGGAGCTGTATAGAGAACAGTATTGGGAATATGGATACTGATTTTAGAGTGTAGAGGGTTGAATCAGCGCATGTACCTAGGGTTGAGTAAGACCAGCCAGACCCTGTTTTACTTCATGTTGGATAAACGTTGAAATGATTCCGCAATTTAGTAATACTAGGCTTGCGAGAGCATGCTTTGGCTACAAAATATCTAGCGCCTCTTTAGTATTCGTTTCTTAACCTTATCTTTCATTTGTCCGTTTACTTCAGACGCGAAGATGAATTCGTTGCTATGGATGAAGATGGAGACGGTGTAGTTACCGTAGATGAACTGACCAAATACCTGGATCCCACTCACAAACAGCGGGCCATCAACGAAGGCAATTATTTGGTGTCAATGGCAGACAGAAATCGCGACGATCAGCTATCAGAGAAGGAAATACTTATGAATTACCAACTTTTCACTGGGAGTACAATGGCTAATTACGCTGGCTATTTACACGATGAGTTTTAAGAGTATTCCTTTTGATTCTTTGCCTGATTTAACCTGGCGTAAGAAGCGAAAGAACTGGGGGAGAAAAGACATGCATTCTCAGTTGAATGTTAAAAAGAGAACAAGACAAAACAGACTTACATTTTTTAACTTTTATAGATCTATTTAGTATATTAGGGATAGAAATTATTTCATCAGATAAAGTATATTTGTGGTGTCGTTGGAAATTTGCCCGATGACCGCGTCGACAGAGTTTTACAATCGGAATTCTTTATTCGTTTGCTTTTTTTTTTCTTTTTTTCTCTTCTTCTCTCTGTTTATTGTCATAAGAAGTTTGTAGGCATTACCAAGTTTGAAGAAGAAAGCCAAGGGGGAATAATTCAGGTAGTTTTAGTCAACCGGTGTCATGGAAGGGATGACCTGTTAAGACTGGTTTTCGCTAACGTCGGAGTCGTTACAGCACTTTTCGATAGAGTTTCGTCACACCAAAAGCAAAGCAATCGCAGTCAAAGCCAAGAAAATGTCACCAAGAACCAATTAGAACTCGAAGTAAAAACAAGCAAACTGTGTGAAGCGCGGGAAAACGCCAATGACCAAGTCGCGTTTGTTTTTAATTTTGAAGCTTATTGGTCGAAAGGATGGCGCGGGCGCTACGGACCAATCACAGAGCAAAGAGAAGGAAAACTTAAACAACCACGGATTACTTTCGACATTCAATATTGAAAATTAGAGAAATACGGGATTCGGGGTGCGTGATTTAGCAAACGGGATGCGTGATTTGGGATTCAGGATGACAGAAGTAGTCAGAATTTCTCTTCCAAATCGTCGCTATTGAAAACCAGCCTTTGACGTCGAGGAGCTGACCAATAATTAACTTTGGAAAACTTTAAAACGTGTCATTTTACGTGGAACGTGTGATACACTGTAGCTGTAGCTGTCGAACGTCCTATGCAGGATTCGTGTTTGTTCCTTTATTAATTCCAATTTTTTAATCACTCAACCCTTGACCTCCATACATCAATTTCCATACCGTTCTCCATCTTTCCTGTAATACTTACAAGGGGAATTTGTTTTACAATCAAGGGCTTATTGTATTCGCAATCGTTTCCTTCATTCTCCTGACCTTCGTGTTTGATTCAGGGGCGATTCTGTTGGGAGAAGTTAGATGGTTATCACTCTTAGGGGTTAAAGGTTTAAGACAAGAGATAAAAAAGGTCGTTTAATACTGGCGAAAGGTGTGGGGAGTGATTTCGTTAATCAGTTTCTCACTGGGTGTTGAGCCTGTGGTGTTTGGTGAAACAGGAAGACGCCTGAGCCGCCATACCATAGGAGGGGAAGATAAAGGCCTCAGTACTCGGTTAAGGTAAAAGATTGAAAAAATTGTGGGCATAGTTAGCTAACACATGACACAGTAATGTTAACTTCAAGAAAGTTGACAAATTTATAGAGCTAATAAACATAGATATTTTTTTTATTCCTTTGCCTTGAGGGTTTTTTACTAAAATGACAATTGATAGGGTCAGCTCATTCATTTTAATTCCAATGTCTGAGCAGAGAATGAAGTGGGTGATAGAAGAAAAAGCATACAGATTTGATTTTTGTTTAAGTTCTTGCCTGTTGAATACGGGGAAGAAATAATTTGAAAGAGTCTGTCTGAAGGCACACCAGCAATTAAACTCACCCCTTAAAAAGATTTTAATTTCCAAGGTCAAATTAAACTCCAAAAGCATTTGCAAAATCTAGTACTCTCAAATATGTCAGTGGTATAGGCTTATTAATTGTGAGTTGACATAAGGTTAGCCATATATATTTGTCCTTGGATCTGGAAGATAACCCTTTAACTCTCACGAGTGACCAAGAAAGAATTTCTCCTTAAAATATCAATACAAATATCAACCAGACAAGTGATGAGAATAAAGAAAACTATCAATTTTTTACCTCCACTTCCCTCCATTCCTTACCTCAGATTTGTGTCATGTCTTCAGTTTACCCCAATGAGCAGGGAAGGGGAAGCAAGAGATGGAAGTTGAAAGAGTCTTGTAAAGGAGAGAGATTGATTGACACAGCGTTTAGGAGGCACAACAGTTTAACCCTAACATCAGTGTTCATATTCTCTATACTACATTCTATACAATTCTTAAGGTGTTAACAGGGAGAATTTGTTTATCAATCAAGAGAATACTTAGTTGGTGCTCATTTCCCTTGTTCTCACAACCTTACTGTGTGATGCAGGGGTTATACTGTTGGGAGAACTTAGATCCTAAAGGGTTTAGCAAAAGCACTCACAGTGAAGGATAATATGAGCTACAACTGGAAAACCGGATTGCCATGCCCCACGCAGGTTATACAGATCAGTGACCTATGAATAGATATCGATTACGTCTCCCGATATAAAAAAAAGTCTGTGCGCCGGTCAGTTTCCGAGTCAGCTTGAACAGACCTCTCCGACTAACAAAACATTTTTTCTTAAATTCAATCAATTTTTTCTATGTGCCAAGCTAATTAATTTCGATGAATGTTTAGGGAGCCTCTTTGGTTGGTGATGTTGGTTGGTGTTAATGTGTGATTTATGGGTAATATTCAATGACAAATTAGATGCAAGTCACTCTTAAGGGTTAAACCCGGCGGGTTTCCTACACAGCTGTTGAAGGCATGGTTTCCCTTTGAATCAACCTCTTGCAACTTAAGATTTTAACAAAAGCTGGAATCGTTCCAGTCGCCATGCAGAGACGAAAGGATTCATGCTTGAGTTCGACCTGACTAAGTTGGAATTAATATCTCTGGCCAAGTGAATGAAAGCATAGGTGCAATTTACGCAGAAACTAATCACGTAGACGCAGAAATTAATCACGTAGACGAGAATCAGGATGGGAAGGAAACAGCAAATATAAAGAGCCAAAATGATCAATAATGTTTTGGTAAATCTCCCTTGCCATTCAATCGCCCGTATCTTGGCCATGTTGTTAGCGTTGTTTCCGCCCTCATGCAGAGCGCCACAGTTTTGTACTCGACATTTAAAAAGTTTGGAGACCTTGGCGTTTGTGACACACAACGCGATTAAAGTTGTTACTACAGCTGTATTCACAAATACAAAGAAATATTTCAAGTAGCCGATCTGAAAGTAAACAAATGGAAGGCCACAAGGGACAACTCAAATAACTGGTGAAAACATGGCAGCTTGTTTCTTGTTTATCTCCGTTCTGTAGTTTAACGGCTCCTTTATGGCGATGAATCGATCTCTGGTCAATGCAGCCAAGCTCAGTAGCGATGCTGAGCACAAGAGGAAGTAGGCTACGCGTCTAGCATGGTCTCGCTGCAGAGGTGTCGATGCAATTGAAAGATGAGACCTCGACTCACGAATGTGAAATTCCAATGACAGTGGAAGAGCATATACGCAAACTATTAACTCTGCAGCAGCCAAATTTGCCACCAAGAAGTTAACTCGCGATCGTAGAGTACGATTTGGATCGAAGATGACGGCGAGAATCACAAAAAAGTTGCCGGTGACGGCGGTTACGGTGAGGAAGGAGCAAGTAGTCGCGGTAGTGATGCTCAAAGTAATCGGGGCAGTCACATTCGAACACGGGTATGCACCGATTAAAGCTATTTCATGGCTCGCACTAACCAAATCTCTAGAGGCGAAAGCAACTGCTATAAGAGAGCCAAGCCTCTAAATGTGGTTAAATATACTGAAAACTAGATTTTCCGTGATCCAATCGAGTTTTAGTTTGATAAATTAGAAGTTATTATTGAAAAGGGACGGAATGGTTAATTGGAAAATGAGGGGGCTGAGACTGTAAAGAGAAAGAGTTGAAAATGGCAGGTTTTCCAGGGAAACAAATAGATTTCCCTTCAGTGAAAAAAAAAAAAAATTAAGCGAGAGTTTGAGAGTATTTCATCTGATCCAAGTAGTTCGTGACCAAAGTTTCTTTTGTTTACAATATAGGCTTGCCCCACTGATTGAGCAGAGAATGAATTTAATCGCGCAGAAAATTATCTCAACCACCTGCCGAAAAACAAGAGATTAAGAATATTTAACCCTTTAACTCCCAAGATCTCATTAGTAATTCTCCTTACTGTCTCCCATACAGTCCTTGTAATGTTAATTTAGAGAATTTGGGATTGGATCAACTTATAATCTCCTTACTGATATTTTTCTTTATTCTCATCACTCGTCAGTTTAATATTGTATTGATATTGTTTGGAGAAATTCTGTCTTGGTCACTCATCGGATTTAAAGGGTTAACAAGAAGCCGAACTAATCAGCTTTTATTTCTGTTCTTTTTTTCTTAAACGATGCCAAAGGGTTTTTTTTCCTTTTACGACATTTCCTTATTTTCATGCGTGCAGGTGTTGTCACACGAACTCTTGACGAGGTCAAAGGTTTGATTAGCTTTAGTCAGTATTCCCCCAACCTTCCTAGTGTCAATATAAGGCTATGTAAATACCGAAAATGTTCTCCATTGCTTTCATGAAAGATTCCTCAAGAAAAAAAAATTAAAAAAAAAAAGGACCAGAGGCAAACTTTACAATCATATTAGCGCACTCTCGACCAAGCACATCTATCGACCGATTTTTAACACATAACATGCGAATGGTTTAACACAAACTGACAACATGTGTAAAATTCAAGTTATTATACTCAAACACTCAATGTAACATGCAGTATCAAAGTTTTGCCAGATTGAAAATTTGTGACTTGGAGGCTCCTATGCATATATAATTATATAATTATATATAATATCTACTGTATAAATGTAAATTATATATATTTATATATATAATTTAACAAACTGATCAGGCAACTGTTTGACTACAAATATATAAAGCTGAAAAACAGCTGGTGTGAAGAGAAGTTTAATGCTACAAAGAACAATAACAGTTCCTCAAGTTCTTTAGCATGTTTCAATTTAGATCCTGATAACCCATCTCTTCCCATTTAGGCTTCATAAGAGTATTTTGAGTATATGTATATGCTGTCTGCAATGCAACAAACAGAATGGTGAATTTTTTTTTTCTGAATAACATTCCCACTGCTTTATCAGAGAAGACGAGTTGTTTCCAGTAATGATTATCAAGGCCAGATGCATCCCACAGTATATGAGATTAAACTCAGGACTGTGGGAAACTTTGGGTTGCCAGATCAATTCTCCTGCCATATTCAGTTATAATTTTTGGCTACAATGTATGAAATTTTGATCAACTTACAACTCGCCAAAATCCATATCATTGTATAAAGTAAGGAAGTCACATAAGCAGACATTTATCACTTGGTAGTACATTTTAATAATTTATTACAAAGCTAGCTCTACCAGAATGTAATCTAGGATTCACTTTTGCTTCTTTTTTCCTCCTTCTTTTTTCGTGTCTGCTTTCTCTGGGCGTGGCTTCTGCCAGTCCAGTGGATTTCTTCTGTACATAGGCCATGGAGGCAACACCAGCTGAAACATATCACACAGTACATACAGTCAGTAGTGCAGGCATCTTGCAAGGGAGCATGGGTTTGCTGTATGGGTCAGGGTTGATGGATAACACTTGTAAATTCAAGAGCTGTGCTTTTTGGTGTCTGCAACAACTGCATCTTTGCTCCCTTCCATCCCCAGACTGATGTACCATTTTTTTTTAAAGTCCCAGTTTTTCCTCTCTGTTACTTACTAAAACCACTTTTTGTTCCTCTGCCACAGTAATTTATTTCTGACTAACACTACATAAATTTAGATCCCCCAGCGGGGAATTTGGGAAGATTTCAGTGAAGAATCTCGTAAATCCTCTTGAAAGGTTTTAATTGCACATGATGATCATGAAAGGTGTTAAAAATTGTAAATGTTGTTTGCATGTACAGCTGAGCTAAAGGAGGAAAAACTAATTGCTTACATCCACTCAAGTTAAGCATTAAAGGACCTTGAGGAAATTTTTCAGCACTTACCAAACAGCTGACTATAAATCCAGCTGCTAGAATGATTATAGTTGCACCAAACTGTTGTATGTAATATCCCCAAGCAAAGCCTACCACCTGTTAAAAAGAGAATAACAGAACATGTTCAATTTAATAAATATACAGACAGAATGGTAAAGTAAACAGAAAGGAATGCCACATTTGGCTTAAGAAAAAAGGTACAAGAAGAGCATTGACTAGTTTTCTCACAAAATGATGATATAAGAGGCTTGAAAGGCACCTAAGACTGTCACAGGCAGGCCAATCCACGAGAGTTAAGGACCCTCCAGAGTTTGCCTTGATCCCAACTTAGCTAAGTTGGTGGTAGCACCCATATAAACCACAGATCAAAGGAATTATCAATGAATTTCAGTTAAGAAAATTTCACTGATACAAATTCAAACACTGATGCTCTACAATGTACTGGGAGAAAAGTACTACATCACTGCATCTACATTTTATTTCATTCAGATATTCCAATCAAGACACACTGAAAATTCAATTGTCTACTTTTCATTTCACAAGGACTCACAAACAGACCATGTCTAGTTAAGCTTTCCCTCTTGGTCATCGACATACAGTTTACATATACACTCTACCTGAAACTTTCTGAATCTACTGCCAAGTTCCATTGCTCTAACTTGTAAAGAAATCTTTCTGGTTTTTGGATGGATTCATTTCCATTCAAAAACTTTCTTTCAGCTTAAAACATTGACGTATACTCTTGACTCAGACGACAACAATCAAATTTTAAGATTCATTAGGTGACAGGGATCTAAGTACTCAGTGATTTAATTCTTGGTGCACATTCCCTTTTTTAGGGCAGTTTTTGATTAGGCCATGTGAAACCAAATGCAAAGTAATCATAACGGAAAGTCAGAACAAAGGAATTTATGTTTAAGAGCCAATGAGAACTCAAAGTAAAACTGACCAAACTGCCCCTAAAGCCCAGGAACAAGTATAATGATTGGTTTTGGTTTCGCATGTGATTGGTTAAGGTCAGGTGGCACAAGTTTTATAAACCAATCAAAGAGTAAAGTTAAAAGCACAAACAAAACAATCCCCGATTACTTTCAAGACTAAATTAAAACCTGCTCTATCAACCAAAAAAAAAAGAAGTTTTTATCATTCTTCTCATCAAGGTACATGAAGGTTAAAACGAGTGGCTCTGGGGAAGGGAAAGGGGTGAAATCTGCACTTCCCCTGAAATTTGACCATCTCGGGATCGATGCAATACCACATGGTACATATCATAATCCAACATATACCAACCGTATTATCAAACAATACATGTAATTTGACATGTGACTTACACCAAAGAATAGGATTATGATATGGAATAGTCGCTCTGCTAGTTTCTGTCCTTCATAGTCCTGTAGCAACAGAGAAATAATGTTGGTTCGTTGAATAAATATGTACTGACAATTCACATTTCAGATCGCTAAAGAGAAAACATAGTGTGAGGGCGATTCAAATATAAACAAACCATATGTGTTGGGATGCTTTTGAAGAAATTTTTTAGCTTCATCGTATTGAAAAAGTGTGATTTTGCTGCTGCCAATGTTAAACCCAGTAGAATAAAAACACGTCTTTTCTTAAGGAGCGAACATACAGTAGTTATGCTCAGCGGGCTAAATGAAACTTATGCGCAGTAAAGAGAGTAGAAAGCCTGGTTACTGAGTTTATTATGGCGGGTTTCTTCGAATTATTAGACCACTTCTTGCGCGAGTGCGATGTTTGAAATTTCTCGACGTTTCGATGTAAATCATGCACTAAGCTGTTTGTATACAAGTCGAGATGAACTTTTCAGAACTGTTTAAGCAGACAAATCAGCTGAGCAGATTTTCACCAAATGGCAAATACTTGGTAAGTTCTAGGGAGAGAACATCTTTCGATCTTGTTCACGCTGCACTAACAAACTTTTTCTTCGTTACCAGGGTAGTTGTGTCCAGTATCGATTGCTTGTCAGAGATGTCAAAACCCTCCAGATTCTCCAACTCTACACTTGTTTAGATGTTGTACAACATGTAGAGGTAAAGTTCGAATTCATTAGAGCTGAGGCGCAAAGTATGTAAATTACATGATTCGTCACTTTCGTGACTACAATTTAATGTACTGAGAATCATTTATATATGATAGAAGAACTGCAGGTGTAGTTGATACATCAACACGTACTATCAAATCCTGGTGGTGTATTTTGAAAGTGCAGCATCATTACCCCAGCAATCATATGATCTTGGCATTTACTCAATAGTTCTTCTCACTATATTCCATATATTCCATAGATTCCCTACAATGTTATTTCAAAGAATTTGGTGTTGGATCAAATATTAATCCCTAACTGAAATATCTCTTTATTCTCATCACTTGTCTACTTGATATTGTATTGATATTATATAGAAAAATTACATGTATGTCTTGGTCACTCCTGGATTGAAAGATTGGATAGCTTTTGACAAACTACTTTTATTTTTATTTTCCTTGTAGTGGTCTTCTGATTCCCTGTACATACTTTGTGGCATGTTAAAGAGAGGAATAGTTCAAGTATGTTTCTATGTTGTTCGAGTTAGGAATAAGTACAGTCTCTGATTTGATGGACTGGGATGAGATAAATGTAGGAGAAGAGTAGATCCAACCTTTGAGTTGTTGTTTTTAGTTAATGATCGATTAACGTTTATATATGTTTTGTGAAATTATGTTAAAGCATAAAAAATAAAAAAAATTGTTGAAAAAAGAGGAAACACCTCAAAAGAAGAAAAAGATGCTACATTTACTCAACCACCTCAAAAACATGCTGGGGCAATCTGTAACAAATTAATGCAGGACTTAAAGCTCTGAGCTTGCCAAAAAATGGAATTATGGAAGCTCTGAATTAGAAAGTTATTGCAGCACATACTAGTCAAAGAATGTTGGACCTGATTTAACAGTTGACATTTTTGTTTCTTTGTGGAAATATCCATTCATTCTTTACTTTTTTCACAGTAATTGTCATCGATAACAAGTTTTTTAATTTAAACATGCCATCAGGTGTGGTCTTTAGAGAAACCAGATTGGACTTGTAAGATTGATGAGGGATTAGCAGGATTGACTGCCGTTAGATGGAGTCCTGATGGAAGACACATTCTGTCCACCGCAGATTTTCAGGTGTGTGGATCTTACAGGGGAAATTTTTTGCCACTGATCAGTGATGATTTAAAGAAACATATGTCTTCATGATTGTCAGGCATGAACTAGTTATGTGATCTTTTTCACAAAGAAGATCAGTTTACAGAGTACCGTACTACGAATTTGGATCTGAGTGGAGGTTTGTAGCTTGTTAGTAGCCTCTCAAAAATGAGGCATAACAGGGGCTCTGAGCTGAATTTTTTTATCAAACTCACCATAGTAAATTTAAAGTAGTGTGGCAGAAAAAGAATAGAATGGAAAAAATTTGAAATTCATAGAATATTGCAAAATCTTCTGTATCAGTATTTTTACCATTCATGAACACTTAGCAAAAAGAGTACCAAGAATACTAGTGATACAGCAAACTACTCAGCATTGAACACAGGTCACCAAAATAATGACTCTCACCGCAAATGTGGTTGCCAAATTTGTTTTTCTACCTGTGATGGCAAGATCTCAGCATGCTTGTTACTGGCTTGACTCTTGTTACTTACAGGAGCTGCTTTACTGCCTAATGTTGTGGGCTATTTTATTTTATTCTTTTCTTTTTAGCTGAGAATTTCTGTCTGGTCTCTGGTTAGCAAATCTGTCAGTTACATCAAGTATCCAAAACACGCACATGCAGGTAATTGTTAATGTATAATTTATCTGCGCAATGATGACTTTTTACTGAAAGTAACCGAATTATCATCATATGTGCTGTAAGTTGTTGATAAAAATAATGGTGTGGTCCCCTACTGTAATTACTCTAGGTTTTGGAGTACCACATGTACAGTAGAATGTCTCAAAAATGTTTTCAAGTGTATTAATTTTGAAAGTGTGATAGCATACCTTTATTTTCTTGATTAAACAGATTTTAGGTTGAAATATGTAGTTCAATCTCTTAATAATTTTGGAAATGTTGGTTGGAACAAAGGGAAATGCCAGTCAAATTAGTCAAAGATTGTTTTTACCAACCATGCAATTAATTTAATCTGAAACTTACCTTAATTCTGAATAAATGTATCTTTATTCTCAGGGCTTGACTTTACTAAAGATGGTAAATATATGGCATTAGCTGAAAGAAGAAACTGCAAAGATTGTATAAGTATATTTGCTTGCTCTTCATGGCAGCTAGTGAAGGTACATATACATGAATGGCAAAATTACTAATTAAAAAGATGATTCGCATAACTGTAATTGACCATGTCAGTGTGTAGTTTTTGAAACAGTTTTCAGAAGCTATCAGGATACAATTATTATACGCTTGAATATTAACTTAACCAAGAATACTACAGTTTACTGTAATAAATACCATTGATGTGAAAATTCTAAGCTAAGTTTTTAGGAGATGAACATTAATATTTTCCTCATTTTCATTGTTTATATCTATGCTGAATGTTAATAAACTTCAATATTTCAGCATTTTGAGGTGGAAACAAATGATTTGGCTGACTTGGCTTGGTCGCCTGATGGTAGAGTTCTTTGCATATGGGACTCTCTCTTAAGAGTAAGTACTGTCAGTAATACTCATTCTACTCTTAGGAACTTAAATCAAGAGTTCACTTATGGTAAAACAGTGACAAATGCAATGCATATAATTTAACAGTTGTTGCATGAATTTTTTAGGCATAGGGTGTGTGTATATACACATAGAGTGTGTTTGGGGGGGGATCTGGGGGGAGAGCCCTTTGGCCTCCTCATCACTTAGTTCAATGTTTGTCTTTTAAGTTTGGTTTTCTTCCATTATACCTACCCATCTGTTTCCTGTCTCTCTTACCCTCCCCCCACTATTCTCCTTGATTGTGGTGTACCCCCTCCCCTCCTGGTCCCCCTTCCCCCCCCCCCTCCTGCCCCTAGTCACAATGGCAAGGTCAGATTTCGTTTGATAATTGGATATGTTTGATGTGATCAACTTGATTAGAAATGTTTTTACACAATTTTCTTTACTTTCAGTATGAATTATTGGTTTATTCAATGGATGGCCGTTGCCTATCAAAATACAGTGCATACGAGTTTGCTCTTGGAATCAAGTCTGTATGCTGGTCTCCATCCAGTCAGTTTCTAGCAATTGGCAGCTTTGATGAGAAGGTATTTTTGGAACAGTTAAATTATATTTTACGTCATAACAAAGCTAGGTGCACATCAATGTCTTGTGGCGTAACACACTTTCACTTACCACTACTCATGAAACAGACATGTGCAGAGTGAAATTTACTTCTGGTCAGCTGTCCTTGACGTCAGCAATCCAGTTACGGTACTCGTTCTTTAAGCCAAAGTTACGGCATGTAAACAGCCTTTATCTGTACCATAAAATAAGTTGCAATCATCGCCCGTTAAAAGCTTTAATACTCTTATATAAAGCTATATGCTGTTTTTATGTTACATGGAAAAATGTTGCCAAATTTTGTACTTCAACTATTGCCTATGGGAAAGGTAGGTTTGCAGTAATACGCTGTGCATTGCTTAAATGGGCCTTGGTTTTCTGCTTCAACTTTGGTAAAAGTAGAACTGTGAATGTAGGCAACCCACTACATAGGTGACACGCGTGCAATATGATGAAAATCTATCGATTTCCAGCCTGTTAGGTATTTGTAAAGGTACATCACTGTAAAATTGAAGAATTGTGATGTAACGTAATTGAATCACTTTTTTAAGGACAACACGGTTACTCCACACAGCAGTTATAAAAGCCTTTAAAAAAAACTTTGCTGCTCTGTTGCAGTGTCGCGTGTTGAACCACGTCACGTGGAAAATTGTCGCAGAACACAACCATAGTCACACGGTGGATTCTCCGTCAGTGGTAATGAAGCTTCTTGTTACGATGAACTAGATAAGGACTACATGCACAATTCCTCTAGAGTTGCCTTAATCTTTCCATGACGTCAAATTAAGTGTTCGCTTAAAGAGCATGAACTATAAAGAATGGAGTTTACAATCCTTATATAGGGTTTCCTTGAGGCTTGGAGCAGGAGGGCACCCGGGAATGCATTGCGCAAACTCGTTTTCTTCGAAAAATGGCTCTACTTCCTTGGTTGCTGGAGTGTTAAGCCTTGGGAAGTTGAGTGAATATCCAGAATGGATGCCAACTACGCTGCTCACTCAAAAAATAAGTGGTTTTGACAGCGTTATGTAATATAGAGCGTATCTTTTTTTTTTTTTTTTTTTTTTTTTTTTTTCGTGGCGATCAAAATTTTATCCTGGACTGATCATCTCATGATTTTAGGTTGTAGGATGGTAACTTTGAAAAAACTTGGAGCTCTGATTGGTCATCTTATAAAAAGTTTATATTAATTTGTTTCCTGAATTTCTTAGATTGTTTACAGAGAAGTGGAGCTGAAGCCACCTTTGCTAAAAGGAGAGATCATGCCGCCTGGCGGGTTTACGGTGCAGAGTAAATGTGAGTTATTAATATTTTTACAGTGCGATTGCTGTTACAAGGATCACCGAGACGTCACAATGTGTTTAGAGCCACGCTGTCGCTCCTACCACATTTTGACGCCATCTATGATCTACAGTACCGCTCTCGTGTACTGCAGCATCCCCATGCGTCTCCGGTGGGTGTAGTTACGCAAATGCAATGGTTTACACGTGAATGTGGGTATTTTAAGTCTTCTTCGTCGTTCGCTTCACGCATATGCAGGTACTCTTTCACACCACTGCGATCGCTAAGAAATTTGTACTTCGCCGGACTTAACGATTCTTGAATGCGTTCTTGCGACGGGAAAAATACGAAGTTGATCATTCAGGTATAATTCGCCCTAATAATCTGCTATTCATTTAATTAGTTAAAGTGGATTGTATTTTATCGCGTGAGTAATTCTCTTCACTTATGTGAATGCTCAAGTCAAGCCTCTGTATCTCTAAACAGACGCGCGGAAACATGGAATCTATTTCTTAATTATTTCTTTGCAGATGAGGTTCAGCCAGGCCCAGTCCAGGTTCCGACGCTTAAACCTGACCCAGAAAAGGCAAACCCCAAACTTGGTGTTGGACATGTGGCCTTTAGTCAAGACAACAGATATTTAGCAACTAAGAATGGTTAGTGGCAGTCACTAAGGTTTTACTTCTTTGGTAAATAACGTATAATTTTTACCAGTACCTGTCCGTGCGAATAGAAAAAAACAAGAAACTGCTCATAGCGCGGAAAAACGCAAGTGACCAAAGCAATCACAACAGCCAATCAGAGCCAGGAAAATATCAGCAGGAGCCAATGTGAACTTGAATTAAAAACAAGCAGCCTGAAGCGCGGGAAAACGTTAGTGACCAAGCCGCCAGTTTTCTGAAGAAATCACAACGCAAAATCAAAGCAATCCTGGATTGCTTACGACTTTTCCAATTAAAGATTGCTTTCAAACCGCATTTGCTCTAACTAACATGTCTTTCTTTCTTTCGTTTTTATTGTACATAGACAACATGCCTAATGCTCTTTGGTTATGGGATGTGTCCAAGTTATGTCTTACAGCATTGCTACTGCAGACCAGTTCCGTGAGAGGTCAGTTGATACACCTTAGTTAATGGTTTAATTAGTAATACGCGCGGATATTGTGCGAGCTGCTTCGTATTTTTCTGAGCTCCGTAGGGAAGAGTAAACACACAAGCAGCTTACAAAATAGCCACGGGTATATATGTTCAAGCAATCGAATAAGAGATTTATTATTCCATTATTATTTCATTTTTTCTTCTTTTGTCTTAGCTTTCCAGTGGGATCCAAAACAACCCCGGCTAGCCGTCTGTACCGGAAATAACAAGCTGTACATGTGGTCGCCTGCAGGCTGCGTGTCGGTAGTCGTACCTACAGAAGGTTTGTTGTTCCTCATTTGGTTCCTAGTTTTGTTATGACCATGATTAAGCGCTTTTCGTGAAACCGAAACAAAAGCTATCACAACTGCCAACTTGAAGAACGGAAAGACTTTCAACGGCGAATGAGAACTTACGGTGAAAACAACCAAATTACTTAAAGCGCGGGAAAACGCGCGCGACTAAGTCGTGAGTGGTTTCAGTGGCATCTGATTGGTTGAGAACGTGGCACGAGTTTTCTGGATCAATCATAGAGCGAAAAAGCACAACCAATGCAATCCTGAATTACTTTCGGCTCTCAATTGAAAATTGCCTCGTGTTGAATGGTGTGTTTGGACGTTGAAAATTGCTACCAATTGACTGGGATAGAACAAGAATAAACCAAAAAGAAATTAGGACATTTAAAGAAAGAAACTGTTTAAAAAGATTGGAAATGGAAAGCTTGGAAAAAAATTTTACTGAATTTTAATTTTTGTCAGAAGGACACTTGTACGATCAATTAAGTTTGTGTAGCTCGTAAAGTTTAACATACGTAAACTATGGCATGTTTGTGTTCAGCTTACTCGTTATGCGGAAACGATGTTTACATTATTACTTTTGTTTATCTGGTATTGGTCTTTGAAAGGTTTCTCCAGAAAGATATGTATACCACAAGAGAATCGTTGCTAAATCAGTCTGCACACCCAATTCCCAGTGCGATTTCATAGTCCTGATTTCATGTGTTTCCTTCTGGCTTCATTTCAGCCACTTTCCAGATCACATCCTTACAGTTTCATCCTGATGGCAACATTCTCCTACTGCTGGGAAAAGATCACATGTGCTTGTGTTTTCTGACAGACCCAAGGACATAATGGTGAATTCAAAAGATATTCTTATTAAATTCGTAAGGCGAAAGCCAGGGTCATAGAATTGGCTGATTGTATAACGCCAGATCCCGATTTCTCGCTTTTAGTAAGTTGTTACTCTTTCGTTGAAATGATTTCTTTAGATATCACGTTATCATAACTGGTAACTATTGGAGACATTCTTAACTATGTAACTTATTTCTGTTGAAACTTACGCTGTTAATCCCTTTATGACGCTTCTAGTTAAATTACAGCGCGTGGTTACTCTTACCACTTCCTTTGTCATGTCTGTGGTGTAGTTTAAACCAATTCCTGTGTTACCAATTCCTGTGTTACTTTGGTTGTTTTTCATTATTTGAGCGCACTTTGCGTTATACGTAGATGTACTTGATTCTTGATATTCCTGGGTGTATAAACTATACGTTTTGTACAGGATGTTTAAAACGCAAGATACTAGATATCGTTTTTGTCGAGTTTCTGTTCTTAAGATTTTTCTGCTGGAGGAATGACATGTAAATAGCAGGCGTAATATAATTCCAGTGGCTTTGGGACGGCGTTTGGAAATAGAGGAGCAGGCCCTCAATATTATTTGCGCCGCAGGACTCGCCTATTGTTGTGGCTATTTTGGAGTTCCAGTTACATGAGGAAAGGAGACAAAATGACTTTTACTGGGAAAAATAAATTTTATTTACGTTTACTTGATTAATAGAAAATCAATATCATTCATGAAAGTAAAACGACAAATTTCTTTAGGCTTTCGTGATTTAGCCCCATTGCAATTGATGATTAATTTTTGAAACAAAAAGAGCATACAACTTTTTCTCATAGTGCACTTTATACTTGCAGCACTTTTCTTAGATACTTCCTGTCAGATAATTAAATTTTACTACACGAAGAGCGGGTTTGGGTCGGGCCACGAAGTGAACGCGACTCGATCCAAGCCTCCTTCGTTTCCGCTCCTATCGCAGTGTTTACTATTTCGCTCCGATTTACTAACTGAATGCGTGGAGTATATCCGCGATCTTCAAAACTCCGGAAACTAAACGTTGAAATCTGATATCTCGTGATCTTTTCTACAAATAATAAAACCAAAAGATTATTTCTTTGGTGCGCTATGTGATGACTAAACAAATTATGCCATTTTGAAAAGTTGTCCATTTGTTAAAAATATTTAGCTCAGATATTTTAGGTATACTCTACTGCTAATAACGCTATATTGGTGCGACTGGCGTTAACAGTTTCAACTGATAATTAACTGCGGCGACTTTAGATCTTTTTCAATTCACTCGGCTTGTCTCTCTATTCCGTAAATGATTGTGAGTTTCTTTTCTTCTTTCCGAAGAAGTCTTTCATTAGAAAAAGCTGTAAGGTGTATGGTTTCTCTAGGATCAATAAAGAGACGCATGTCACTGTTATGGTAATCATGATATTTCCGTTGCGAAAACTGACAAACTTGAAAGTTTCACAGACGAACTATTTGCAGTTTGTCTGTTTATTCGTATGTTTTGATATATCAATTTATTTTGGTTGTGTCAAGTACCGTTACAGCATACACTTTATTTATTTATTTTTTTTTTCACGACGTGGATGACAGATCTTACCTGAAATAGTGAAACCTAAACTAGAGCTCACGTCGAAATCTGCCTAAATATTCCTTTAAGGAAAGGATCAACTCCACCGTCTGAAAAAGAAGGACGAGGTGAATTAAGTCTAATTCCATGTGGTTGTTCAGAAACGTCTTTCTGCATTCTGTTTCAGACGGCGGGTTTCGACTACATGTAAAGCTCTTCCCTCGGGTGGAGTGTTGTAGATAGCTCCCTTGAGGTCATTTATTCTGTCAGTTTAATTTATTTCGTGAAATTTTTTCCTTGTTGGCAATGTTTTGGGAAGTGTTAATTATCCCCTAGCAAAGCTGCAGACTGAGGGAGCGATTTTTTTGCAAACGACTGTAGCAAGTGAAGACCTAGTATTTTTTTCTTGAAACGAATACCCGAAATTAGTTAAGAACAGTTAGCTGTACTGTTTTCGCGTTGGCTTCGAATTAAATTTATCCCGTTATGTAGAAAAATTTTCAATTGAGTGTCCAAAGTGATCTGGGATTGCTTTGTTTTTGCTTTACTTCGCGCTTTGATTGGTCCAGAAAACTCATGCCATTCTCTCAACCAATCAGATGCAATACTCAAACCAATCACGACTTGGTCGCCCACGTTTTCCCGCGCTTTAGGCCTATTGGTCGGTTTTACTCTGAATTCTCATTAGGTTAATGGTATGTGCCTTCTGATTGGCCGTTGTTATAACTTTGATTTTGGTTTTACGACACTCAATTGAAAAGTGCCATAAGAATTTCTGTTAAGTGATTACTTACTTGGAATATTGACAGTACTCCGCTTCCTATCCTCCTCAACGAGGTCCACTTTGCTTGCCTCGTCCATTGTTTCCGGTGCTTTTCCTACAGCTGGTGAATGACTATATTCTGTAAAATAATAAACACGCAAATGAGTTAATACTTTAGATTAATAAATAAGGAAGAAAGGACATAATAAAAAATACAGCAATTTATACATTTATGTTTGAAACTTGAATTTTTTTTCACCGATCTCCTTCCACGAGATTAGTTAAATACGGTGCAATAAGCCATAATGTAATCGTTCAGTAGACGTGTGAGATAAAGTCTGCAACGAGCAGTAAGTGTCATGGCCTACCCAGAAACAATCTTTTATCACTAAGGTGTAAAAATGCTTTAGCCACGTGATCGTATCTTCGTCGCTTAGCTCGTCAGTAGTCTCCTGACTGGGAGCAAACTGCGTGTCAATGAGCCTTTTTGGGTTCTGCACCCACTCGGCCGACTTCACAGTTATTCTAAGTCTGTGTCTAAGTGAACCTTCCTTTCTCGTATCGCTATCTATTCCTAAATCTTCACCTCACCTGACAATTGGAGTGAATGTTTATACACAGGCATATCATCAAGTTTCCCCACATTCTGTACCATGTTCTTTAGTTTCTCCTCGATGCCTTGGATGCCGTTCTTGAACGTCAAAATGAACGGTGCAATCACCTTACGTATGGTGTTCGGGTTGTGTTTCACGAGGCCTTCCCTTGAGAAACATAGAATTTTAAGACTGAGTTATTCTGGAGATTTCGTTATTGAAGCAAATCATGAAAATTGTGCAAAGTGCTTCTTGTTGCCGCAGAATTTCTTTAAGCACTATATAGTTCTTGTTAAGTCATCTGCATCAACAAAAACAATTTGGTCTTCGAAGACTTTTGCCCGAAAAGGTCTCCTTATTGATTAACCAGGCCGTGTGGCTTAGTGGTTTTGATGTTAGGCTTGTATTCATGTGGTCCTGGGTTCAAGCTCTCCACCCTGCAACTCATTGGGATTTTTCCCGGTTTCCCCGAGTTCAACGCCTTGACTGTGCTTTATATTTTAAAACACTATTTTTTTTTCAGTCACCCATTTATTGATTTATTCGCATTGGCCCTGAAAAGCCCATGAAGTGGTCAATTAAGTTCACATATATACCCACAAACCTACAAACAGCACATCAGGTTTTGGGGGAATTTGCTAAGGTAAAGGTTGGGATTTTCTTCTAAATTGACAAGGGAACACCCATGAAGGAATTCTTGTTAAGTGATTGCGAATCTTTAACTATTAAACTAATAAGGCAACGTTGGAAAAATGCGAATCGTACATAATATTCTGTGATTCCTGGAAAATTCCTTACCTAAATCCTACAACCTCGGCCTTGACAAATTTTGGATCATCCTTGAACACACGCTTGAACTGTCAAACAAAATTTGTTGTTTAGTAAATTTTTTCAGTTCAACGTACAAAAATACATACTCTATTGGTTTACAAAGGATGAAAAGTTTACACAATTATCAGAATGAAATAAAAATAGACAGTTTTTCGTGTACTTTTTAACTAATACTCGTTGCACCAGTTTGTTAGGCATTTTCGCGATTTAAATGTTTTGTTATGATTTCTTAACCACATACCGCTTGCTCGATATTTCCTGTTAATATTTTTGACTCTGCGCTGTTGGCATCTTCAAACTGGTCCAGCCAGCTTTGTTTCAGCTTGATTGTTCCCGTGTAGACGACAGCTAAAATTTAAAGTATTTGAATAAAAAAAAATTATGATTTTCAAGTTAAGACATGGCCTAGGGTAAAACACAACTCTTCTTGTCAAGAGTTCACTATAATTATCTAAACCAGAGGAATATATGATGGTATGAAAATTTCAGCAACTTACTTCCTTCCTTGAGCTTTCCCGGAGCCACTGCCACGATAGTTTTTGGAGTTGGTTTTGACAAAATATCCTGTTGCTGATGCAAGTAAATCAGTCGACTCCCGTGGGTACCCTGTGGCGTTTCATTGTGTTGAGGATGAACCACACTCGGTACCGGTTGAGTAGCTATTGCAGGCGAACCGGAGGATGGTTTGGGTTCAGATTGGGTCAAAGCTTGAGGAGGAGCTTCAGAAATTGCGATCGAAGGTAAGATATCTGCAGCATGCGCAGAATCGGGCTCAACTGTAGAAGCAGATACTGTAGCATGCGTAGAGTCTGCTTTCTCATGTGGGTGCTCTTCGCCTGACGCATGCGTGTTTAAAGAATTGTCTTCCTGGGCTGTCTCTATGGGAAGTGGTTGCACAGGGGATTCTTGGAGAGATGGTTCTCTGTGTATCTCCTGCACATAATTACCAGACGACTCGAGTGGGGTAGTTACCACTTCAGCTGCCGTTACTTCAGTCGCAGGGGATTCTGAAGCTGTCAAGTGAAAGGTTTCTGTGATTATTGGTTGCTGATGTTCCTCTGCCTCTGCTTCACCACCAGAAGCGATGTCGCTGCGAGGAATGTCAAAAAGATCTAAACAAAGAAGAATTATCATCAGAACCGTTTTCAGTTAAGCATGGAAAGAAATCCGGAATTGAATTGGATTTGCTTTTCTTCGCTCTGTGATTGGTCCGGAAAAATCACGCAAATCTCTCAACCAATCGGATGCAAAACTAAAACCAATCATTCGCTTTGACGAAAGGCTAACGCTCGAAACGTCTGCTTTGAAACTCTTCACGGAGGCCAGTTTACGTTATCAACTAATTCGACAAAACCAAATTACACCGTTAACCCTTTCACCCTTAAGAGTGACTAGCATCTAATTTCTCCTTGCAATATCTCCCCTGAATCACACATAAAGGTTACAAGAATAAAGGAAATGATTACCAACTAAAAAATGCCTTTGATTTTTAAACAAATTCTCCTTGTCAACACCTTAAGAAATGTATGACGAACAGTATGGAGAATATGCAAATTCATATTAGGGTGCAAAGGGTTAATACCAATCACCACATAGCCTCCCGTGTTTTCCCGCACTTTAGAAGGTTTGTTTGTTTTTACTTTGGGCTTTCGTTGATTGTTCAGGATATTTTCTTCTCTTCTCTGAGATTGACTGTTGTAATTACTTTGGTTTTGGTTTTGCGACACTCATTCGAAAAGCGCTGTACATCCCAACCGAGCTATTGCGTATGTGGAATACTGTAACTGAAAAGTATGCACCTTCTTCTGTCATAGGCCGAACACTTTCAATGTGAAAGAAGTTTCCACGCTTTGTGGGTTCCATTGCTCCGGCTGTGGAAGGAAAAGAGAATTACAACGTCATAAAATCTCACTTACTGATTTTTCGCAATATAAATGAAAAATTAAACAATGCTATAAATCTGGTCATAGACATAAGTACGCTTATGCTAGTCAAAGCTAGGCCTTTACCTCTGTGGATATGATAGGAATAATTTTGCTTATTGATTTGAGAGAACTTTTCCCTCCTTTGTCGGTTGCCTCTAAGTCATCGCACGAAATAAATGTCTGCACGAATTGTATGATAAATGATTCGAGACTGTTTCCTTCACTGGCAGTCCTTGAGGACAAACTTTTACAAGTGTCGTTTAGAGATCAGAGAGCTCCAACTTACCAGTCGTGAATATTGCACTTTTCCAGAATCCTCCACATTTCTGAGCATGATCTCCAGTACAGTGAGTATTACATTCTTCGTCTGAAACCTTTGTGTACTTCCCGTACGAATCGCCACACCTGCACAAATACCCATACTGCACTCCAGCATAAGCGTGACCTGCTGTCCGGCATGCACTACGACATGAGTCTGGAGTCAGTTTGGGAACTGAGACTATGGAGGGAAGATCTCGGTCGGGAGCCTTGTCCTCGTAACAGCCGACATATCCTAGCAATTGGAAATGGTTACATTTTCTGTTAGCTGTTAAAAATTTTGAAACTGAAATCCTTGAGTCTACAGATTCATGCTGATTAAACGAATTCTATGGAACGAATGAGGAAAATAAAAAACTGAAGTCGCCTCATGCGACGGGCAGAAAATAACGTTTTGTTCTTAAAAATTAACAGCCCAGCTTACTTTAAACAAACATCAGATTGCATGTTGCTTAAATAGTGAAACTATGCGATCAATAACTCACTTCAATTTCCATCTCCACTTAAATTAGAAAACTGCAAAACCATTTCTATATCTTTGAGATCGAAAAGCTCTCTAATTTGTAGATGTTGCTGTTATACTGAAAGAAGATTGGCTGACAAAATATACTATCTCGACCAGATTACCATACTGTGACCGTCTGATATGATTTACTTTGAACTTAATGTACTTTTTGAGGTAAAACTTGAAGGAAGACTGTTGATCCTACCGTCTTCTCTAATCTCTCTTTCATGAATCGTTAAAGTTGGTTCGTCGTCGTCATCGTCCTCGCCTCCGAAGCTGGAATCCATCTCACCTTCGTCTTCGATTTGTGAGTAAACGGCAGGTCTTTCTATGATAGGTTCTCGAGCTTCTCTAATCTGCCTTGTGTACACAACCCTTGGTTCTGAGAAGTCTCTAAAGTTATGATTTTCCAGTTCTCGTGTTACAGGTTTTTCTTGGGTTTCGGGACTTGAAAGGGACTGGGTCTCGCTAGGAAGGGATGTCACCGACGTTTCTGTGACGTCATCGGAAACTGCGTCTTGATCGCGGTAAAACCGCGCCACGAGGCTATCGCCAATAAGAGCGTCATTTTCACCGAGACTGTGGTCTGAAACCAGAAACGCATTTTCTTGAGATGACCTCTTTGTGCGGTAATACGCGTCTGGAAGTAAGGCTTCTGTTAGCGACCGCGTAACTTTTTCATCTGGTTGTTCTGAAACCTTATCTTCGATTTCTTGCCAATCATCAGCGGATCCTGAAGATGAGGCTGGATTGTCCTCCTGTTCAGAGTCGCCTCTTTTATCCTGATTCTCATTAGCAGCAATTAAATCATCTGCAGGCGCGTCGCTCTCTATTTCTCGTCTAAAAAGTCTCTCGCCAGTCTGCTGCTCGGTTTCCTTTTTGTCATCATTTTGTACTCTCTGCTCCGCACCACTGCCAACTTCATTTGCTTTTTGCTTTAACTCTCTCTGGGCTGTTTCACTCAGCAGCCTTAAAGCTTTCTCCGGGTTTTCACCGCTACCAGAGTCTGCCTCCTCCTGAAAAAACTGTGGCAGTTTATTATCAACTGTACTTTCAGGCGCAAGCCACAGACCTGAACCAGAGGATCTGACTTCTTCCGCTGAATTGTCATCTTCATCAGGACTTAGAGAACTGATCGCTCGTAACGTAGCTATAAGATTATCCAGCGAGTTTGAACCAGCGCTTCGTTTATCGTTCCGCTTTTTCTCTAACAGTGGTCCCATCCACAACCCTGCCCCGGAAGAACCCGATCCTGGCAGAGAACCGGAGCCGGGAGTATCGCCGCGGAGTATGGAACTTCCGTCTTGGCTTCTTTTTCTAATTCGGAGACGAAATCTCTCGGGTCGTTTTGCCGTGATGTCCCTATCCTCGCGGGATGAACGAGACGATCTAGCTTCCATTTTTGTTTTATAACTGTCCTCAGTCTCTTGTACAGGTGTGTTCGGGGCAAAGAATCGTCTTTTACGTCGAATTTCACTTTCTAAGTCGTCTTGTGATCTTCGCACTCTGTGGAAAGTCTCTTCGTTGTTGTCAATCTCTCCCTCTCCTTTTCTTTTGACTCGTAAAAGTTCCCGATCAACCGGAAGACCTTGAATTGATTATAACACGGAGAGAAAGTGGTTAGGTTTTTATCTAGAGGCGCAGAAAACTGTTTATCTAAAAATAAACTGACTCATTTGAGGCCTGATAAGATTGGCGTTCAAGATTCTTTTCCCCGATGAAAACATAGACTCTTCAATTTGCTTCTATACATTTTGTTCCTCACATCAAACTTTGCTGCTTTTTCGCGGATCATTGATGTTATTCTCAGTCTCCAGTTGCATATGTTAAGCATGAAATTAAAAACGGTATCGCCTGGACACAAATGTTCAGTAAGCTAAAGGAAACGCGATAGTAAACGTCTTGACGGTAGCGGAGTAGTGAAAAAACGAGGGAGGTTTGGGTATTAATTAAACGTCTCGTAAATGTAACTGGAAGGTCTGGGTAAGTGACTAAACGCGACATTTACCATTTCGCACGGATTTTTTCAGCGTTTTACTCGCTCTTTACGAAACTTACCTCGTATGAAATTGGCCGTAATTAGCAATATCAAGGCTATGGTAATCTTCATGATCGAAGTCCTTCGTATTTGCCAACTCGGGTTTCCTGAGGCAGATATATCACAAATTGTTGAGTTAGAGGTGTGAAGTATTCTTTTAAGATTCTTAAATTTTTTATTGATTGGATTTTTTTTCGCTGTTGTGGAAGATTATTTTATTACTGTTTTCTTTTCAAAATTTCCAAATAGACAACCGTGTATAAGATTGACCAACGTAGTTGCCGAAGCTTATCTAAGTTTATGTTAGCGTGAAGCAGCTATGAGTAAAACAGCTCCTTCTTAATTGTTCAGTGTAATATGCTAGTTGAGTAACCCCAAACATTTCGTCTGGCTTCCATGGAACTTCACCGGCATTTATATATTTACTTCTGAGGGGAGACGGAGACACTTTGAGAGTAAATTGTCTCTTCCGAGAACGTAACGCAATGACAAGGCCTGCACTCGAACTTCATAGTCGCTGCGCTTCCCAAAGGTAAACAAAGACGTGTGTAAGTAGCTATATATTGGCAATTTTTTTTTAACTCTGTTTTTATACTGCGTAACTGATGTCTATACCGTTGAAAAAAGATTTCACTAAAGCATTTTTAGGATGTTCAGACGTTTAAAAATTATTCGATTCCAGATCAGTGCAAACGTTGCAAACGCACATGGAAAACGTATGGGAAACCTGTTAGTTTTATACCTTGTGTGTCTTGTTTAAAGGAGTTAAACCACAAATCGATTTTACGCGATATGCATGTAAAGAAACAATGTTGTTACAGATCACGGGAAACTTGTTTTCCTTGGCACTTAAAGAGATCTTTGGGGCTTGGATTTTGAGTCTTCTTAACTAAGACAGCCATCGATTAAATTCTGGGAATAACTGAGATTTCTTGAAAGGGACCAGTCTCTCTTCTGTTTAAGGGTGTGATGAAAAAATTCTCATCGGAAATTTGTTTTTCTCCTTCTTTAGATTTTAGCTCTTTTTAGCACTATAAAGCAATGGTTTTGGTATATGTCGTTGCTGACGACTGCAGTAACTTACTCCAAACGAGACTAACTCACCAAAACGTGATTTACGTTCCAAAATAAAACAATACAACGTTTATTTTGTATCGTATCAAATATTGATGTTTAATCCTTCATTAGAAGGCTACTCTGGACATACTCGCGAAGTTGGTAAGAAATCTTGCTGCAAATCACTTGTCGCAAATAAAAAAGATTGTAGGAAAAAAAAACAGAAATCACCAGATGTTTATTTAGCGTCAGTCTGCAGTACCAGCAAAATGGAGATCATTGGATGAAAAGACCTGTAGCTGATTTCTAAATTTAAAAATACTGACAAATTTGAACTTTCGTCGATTCCGGCTTGAATTCTTTTTTGCTAATAAGTATTTCATAGCCAAATCAGTACTCTTTTCGCTTTCAAACTCCCAGCCTCAAACGATTTCAAAATCAAGACACCGAAAAGGATTTCTTTTCCAAGTGCCCTACCATGTTTTGTGTTGACCACCAAACTTTGTATTTGATCAATCTTCCCATTTCTTGGATAGGTCGAAGCTTAAGCATCACACTCTTCTCCCCTTGCCAAAATTATCAGGAAAATAGAAATTCAACCTGTCTAAAATAATTTGCCTTTTCCTTTCCCAAGTTTGTAAATGTCAAAGTTGTAAAATCGAATCCATAACTTACCTTTCAAAGTTAGTGTTCTTTCCACCAAATACAATTCATTTCCAATCTAATTCTATGATCCCTTCGCTGAATCGTCGCTCCTCTGTTCTAAACTAGAATATAATTTCGTCTTCTTTTCAATATTCCCTTCTTTTTTAGTTTATCCTGCTTTCTTTCCCGTAATGATCGCCAGATGTTGGCGAATAGTGAGCCTTTCAACTAGCAGTTCACAACCAATGAATAACTTATGAGTGGAGGGTGACTTTTTGGTACCTGTTCTCAAAACCAAGAATGCGTTTACTCCCATTTCTCTGTGGTTGTTATTTCAAGGAATATCCGTCATATTTCCACCTTCTTTCACGGTATTTTGGCCTGATGTTTGCGACATAACCCAAATAAGCAAAGGAAATTTGACCCAGTTTTTTTCTCCAGAGCGAGGGGAGGGGAGGAGGAAGAGGAGTCGAATTTCTGATTTCTGACAAGTTGCTGATCTGTTAAAAATGAGTCTTTTGCTTAAAATTTTGCGGTTTCCAACTTTATGGGTTATTTCTTTCTTCGCCAGAGCTGAAGATGGAGAACTTCCAGTCCTGATGCCTTTTTTTTTTTTTAAAAAAGATAATTTTTTTTGTATTACACATAACTATTGACACCGCAAATGGAGGTATTGTTAATGAGTGAACTTTTCTTTCATGTGGTGTAGCCTCCTCTTCACCCATACTCACCTTATTCCCCACACGCATGGGCAACGAGTTTCTTCTAGATCAGATGCAGCAATATGAAATAAATAAAATGTGATTGCAATACTCTATAGATGCTTTATCAAAACTTTTTCCTAATAGCAAAGAAAAAAACTTCGCTGTTTGCCGCACTCCTCACTATGGACAACCAAATAAATAGAGGAGGAATGGGTTCGTCTTTGGGCGATGGAACTTTGTGGCTGGATTTGTGAGGAGGAAGGCTTCGAACTTAATAGAAACCCTTCTACGTTGAAAGGCTTGGTCTAAGAGTAGGCCCTCAGCATTAGTGCTGCCGGACGAACGTTTCTACGCCTGTGGACAGATCTGAGAAGAGTCGTGGAGAGGTCTGCCGGGAGTCTGGCACTAATTATCAGTACCAGACCTCTTGCAGATCTCTCAACGGGTCGCGTCATAGAATTTCTCCTTACAATATCAATACAATATCAAGCAAACAAGTGATGAGAATTAAGAAAAATATCAATTAGGGGATTATAAGTTGATCCAATCCCAAATTCTCCAAACTAACATCACAAGAACTGTATGGCAGATAGTAAGGAGAATTACTAGGAAATGTTGGGAGTTAAAGGGTTTAACATGTTCGCGGGCGAAGAAACACTCTTACTGAAGAGCCAATAATAAGGGCCTGCTCAAATCGAACGTCATGGTGGCACCTGGCGTGTCATGGAACAAAACAGTTATTAAATCAACATGTCTGCGATGTCTTCGGCTTTCTTAGATGTGATGTGATCATGTTTTGTAAGCAAATGGTAAATTGATGAGTTCCCAGTAATTGGATCCTTTTGTTTACGCCAAGATTTCTGGGATCGCCACAGGGCGAACACTGTAAGTTGCCAGAAGGAAATATAAAGCGAAAAGTTGTTTCGTCGTCCAGTTTCTTTTCCTTCTTTTGTAGTAACTACATTTTTATCGGCTTTGCGGGAGATGTTTACGCGTTGCGCTGAGTCGTAGTGCTTTAATGTTAACGTGAAGACCTTTATCACTAATGCTTGTTATAAATTGAAGACAGGAAAAGTCCTGTCATCTTTGTCTGCCTTCCGTCATTGTATATACCCAGGAGACAATTACCGTTAAAGTAACATGAAATCAAGAGATTTCCTATCATAGAAGCGTTTTTTTTCCTGTTTGCCAAAAACCACCCTATTTCCGACACTAGAAAACCTTAGCAAAAATAAAATAAGCTTTTACTTGTATTAAAGTTTTGCTATGGGCGGGCAGCTTTCCTCAGATGAATTTGAGAAGACAGACTTGTTGCTGCATGTTGAGCAACTTAATGTCGATTGTTTTTCTCTTTCTGGACCAAAACAAAAAAAACAAAAAACAAAAAAAAAACCAACAAGGTCAAACTGCACTTTGATGTTTTGCAGAGGAGGGCTCAGAAATGTTCAAAGTTTAAAACGCACGTGTGCAGCCACTAGTCGTTGAGAATGTTTCAAGTAATGCAATATATTTATCTCCGTTGTCGTTTAGCGCCCGATCCAAACTTGAGATAAAAAAAGCGAAGGAATTACCTGTTCTAGAGGATAGTTAACAATTTTCTTTTGGTATTCCCGTTCTCAGAATAGGCTGAATCTGGTCCTATGACGTTCTTGTTTTGCAAAAGACGGCGAGAATGGGTAAAAGATTTTCATACGCGCAGAGCTAATGTTCTAAATTAAATCTTTTGTCTCGACATGTCCCCGTTGGCGTCGCCGACGACGAGGTTTGCAACAGTCTCAGTAGAGGTCGGTTTATTGCTTCAGCTCACCTTGGATGGGATCCATTTTTTCCAAGAGCACAAAAATGATACAATCCGCCTTTTTAACTCTAAAGCTGGAAAGTTTTACCAACATCTATTTCATCAGAAACAGAAAACACCAAAATAAAAACGTCAAATAAAATTGTCTCCCGTTTCGACTCTGGTCCTAGGTGAGGGGTCACTTGATTGTGTCCGACAGACATTCTGACAGCTCGCATGCGTGTTGGCAGATATTGTTACGTAATCATTCATATGACACAAGGTTTATAAAGCTGAATTTATTTTGAAGTGAGACAGAAGTCGATTCGATTCGAAGATCAAGGAAACCATGAATACTGTAACTGTTTTGGTTGTGGCTATTTCTCTTTTCATGATCGCCAATGCGGCTCATAAAGGACATGGAAAATGTCTACCTGGTGATAAACACAAGGAATCCCCATCTGCAGAAAAAAGCATGGCGGCTTGTAAATCTTACAAAGATGCATCATGCTGCACCAGTGATTTCACCAAACAGCTTGCCACCTCTCCGATCAAGAAAGTCGGAAAGTTTTCGTGGACACCGTGCAACAACACTTTGAGCCCCAAATGTGAAGCTTTCATGGTGATGGTGGAATGTTTTTACCGCTGCTCACACAACACGTACTTCTGGAAGAATCCCGATTATCCGTCTGCAATCATGAAGGCCCCTGTGTGCGCAAGTTTCTGCAATGGCTGGTTCGACGCTTGCAAAGACGACCTAACCTGTGCTAAAAATTGGATCGCAGACTTTAACAAGACTGAGACGGGTGTGAACACTTGTAAAAAGCCGTGCAAGAACTTTAGCGATTACTTCACCAATGGCAAGGACCTTTGCGAGAGCATGTGGGGAACCAGCTTTGTCTACAAGGAAACCGATTGCCTGCAGATGAATTTCACGAGCCCAAACCCGAATGACGACCTAGTCAAAAGGCTGTCTGAAAAGCCTGAGAGTGGTGCGCTGTTTTTCACTGTTAGTTTGGCAGCTCTTTGGATTCCTTTGCTGTTCACTATTGCCTTCATTTACTAACTGAGAAATGACTTTGAAAATTCCTTGCTTGCGTAACACTTCGCCTTAAGTCGATGAGTCCAAATTTACAGAATTTGTGTAGATAGACTCAGGATTATGCTTGCCTCGTTCACTAGTTGAAAAAATCATTTTGACATTGCCTTAGTTGTATAGCATTTCGCTTAGAGTCTTAGGTTCCGAGCTTTCTCAGATTTTTTAGACAAAAGGGAGGTTAAATCAGAGAAATTAGGTATTGCTGACCTTTGCACGGCACTTTTCAGTTTGTGATTTTAAAAAGTAGTTTGTTTGCGTTTGTGTGCGCACCGTTTCATGCCCTTTCCTATTCTGTACACTTTTTCATTAAAATTGTTTGCACGACCGTATTTTCTGTTGTGATTTGTGGAAGTCGAAAATTTTTTGGTAGCTGGAAGAGTTTGATGAAAGTCAGATTTTTGTCTAACACGGGACAAATCTGAAATTTTTCGAGGTTACGCAACCGTAATCTTCATTTCTGTTAGCCCAAATGTTTCATGTAGAATTCTATTTGTTGAATAAAATTTGAAACAAAATATGTTTTTTTATTCAGTTAGGTGTATAACCTTTTCAAGAGCGGAACGAAACATTTCTCATAAAAGCATTCATGAGACAATCATATGTCTCTAATATATCAAGCAGAGCGGAAGTAGCTGCAGAGCGGAAGCAGCTTGAGCCCGAAGCCGGAAAGGAAGTTTTGTTGGTCGGTGACCAGGTCATTGTAGGCCTGTTTCTCGATGATGGGACAGGCAGCCACCCAAGAGGCTTGAGACGACGTTACGTAATCTCTTTTGATACATTTCAGCTCTTTTGTCGTGTTTATTCGCTGTTGTGTTACAAATGTTAAACTCGGCTCAATCCAAGTGATCGTAGGAAATGTTTCATAGATTCATTTAGTTAACTTTGATCTTCCACTTCCACTTAAGTTACATTCAGATGAATAAAGTTCTCTCTCTCCTCTTGTTTCATGTGTTTCATTGAGCGATTTTTCGATTTCTTGGGACAATTTGTTCTGCTCTCTTCATTAACACCTCTCCTGTATTTGGTAGAGCGTTCGTGTGGAGATAGAGCCAACAAACGTAACACGGTCTGAAACGAGCAGCATTCAGTCTGCCTCTCTCGGTGACAATATACGTCGAACACAAAGTCGCCAATCAAATATCTTAAAATCAGTCTGTTAATGCGTTTGATAAACACGCCGTAACAGAGGGTAGGCATGCCAGGGCCTTGTTCACTCGTTTAAGTTTCGTTTCGTGAACGTAGCTATATATGTTTATGCGTCGCGTCTTTCCACCATGCGTAAACGCCATTATCGAAAACGTAAAGGAACACTTTCGTAGACGCCCCCAGGAGTGGATATAAGTAAACACATAGCAATAACGTCTATGATCTTTTAGCTCGTAGACAGAAAACTTTGTGTCCACTTACGAACGTCTGCCTCTGGACATGGTTGACACTATGGGATATTGACAAGCGTGACATGGTCAAGGGAAGCTGTCACGTTCAGCGCGGCATGTTTCTTATCAAAGTTAGGGAGGGTGGTGCTTTTGTTGCAGTTGTTTTTCGTAAGGGAAATAAATGCCCTGGAGACTGCCGGGCCTCTCCAAAACACAACGTACAGACGAGGATGGTATCGAGACAGGCACCAATATTAATAAAGTCAAAAGATGAAGTGTCGATGTCTGGCTTAATTTCAGAGATCTTTGAAAAATCCAAAAGTTCATGCGCAAACACAGAGGGTAGCCGCTTATGGAAATTGCGAAGTCAAAATGAGAACGATTTTAGACAACTAAAACTTTCAACAAATTTTTGTATCGCTGAAACTTTCAGCAAATTTACCTATTTGCTCAGTTATCAGTTAATTCAATATTAGAGTTTACTTACACAAGAATTGTTTAGTTAGCTGTAAATTGTATCTATCAATACACTGTTATGTGTGTTAATCAGTTGGCACTGTGGCGGAACTAACAAGAGAAAGCGTAAATAACGATTTTTACATCCGGCCGGGCATGTTTGAGTAAGAGTTAAAATGCACGGTGCGTGGAGGGGGTGAGGAAGTCGAGAGGAATTTCTATTGCCCCACCCCCTCCCCTTTCTTTCCTTTTGACCGTCGCTCACCCTCTTGGTACAAATTTCACTCTCTCCTCAGCCCTCCGCTGCCGTAAAAGATGGCAGTTATAGTTTTCACTAAGGAAATACAGAGCAATCCCTTGCTTAAACTACGCTTGCTCTTGCAGGCAACAGAATAAAGTTGATGTTAAACTGAAAAATCTCAATATTTTTTTGCAGTTACATTTAGCTCTCAATGTGCGCGTTGAAATGCGATGCGATCTCAGTGCTCAGAAAGTCTAGGTTAAAAGAAAGAGAAAGCCCTCTTCTACAACATGTCTCATTTCCTCAGCTCTTTGGGAGTCTGAACCCCACACTCATGAAATTTAAAAGTATATCACAGTTTCTTTTTCATGTTGCCAATGGAGTTGAAGTCGGTTGTTGTGTGTTACTGAAAATCTTGTTTTATTTTCAATGATTAACATAGTGACTTGAAGAAAAGAATAAATTATTAGTGGTAATCCATTGACAAGCAATTAGTGACTAACATGTGATATTGGGCAGCTACTTGCCTTTTGTAAAACTGGTAGGACACGAGGGTAGAGTCAATGAACCCGCACGTTAACACCCGCAGTAATATGCAAAAATCAAAGAGTACTAAGTCGATAGGGGAAGATTCAAATTATTTAATTCCGGGGCTTTGCTCTAGTTTGCGTTATCCTGACACTTTCCATTTACTTAGTGTGTGTGACAAAATTTAACCAGTGACTCTTTAGTCGCCAGGCAGCGTCGACGACATCGGGGACAATGAAAGAAATATGCAGTTCTGATCAGAAACAAGAGTTCATTAGGGTAATGGAGAGCCAAATCAAAATTATGCTAATAATTAAAAGGAAAAAAGATGGGAAAGGGCATGTGCTAGAGATTCAAAGAATAACAACGATGTCTGATCGAGCATGTCCTGTAAACAGTAAAGCTGACATTTGTAATTTACCTCGATTTATCAATTATGAATGAAACGATTGGCCGATATCAAGATATGATGCAACAATTTTCAGAGAAAAATCATGACTAATGGCAAATCGTCCAGTTGTTTCCATGGTTTTTGCGTCACACTAGAACTCTTTCTATTATTCAATAGCGGTGTTTGTGAGTCGACAATCAATATTCATATTCTCGATTTCACGGTTTTGTGAGTTTGACGGTCAGAGAAATATAAGTTTAAACACGTTTTTCAGCTCCCTCTGAAGAACCATGCACGCTTCTGTGAAATTCTTGATTCATGCCTTTTCACTCCTTTTGATCGCAAACGCGGCAATCGGACATGAAATAGGACAAAGATGTCTGCCCGGTAACAATCACAAGAAATATGCGTCCGCGGAAGAGAACTTAGTGGCTTGTAAAGCATACAAAAATAATTCCTGCTGCACGAGTGACTTCACCAGACAACTGGTCCCTTCTCCAATAAAAAGCATCTACAATTTCTCGTGGACGCCTTGTAACAACACCTTGAGCGCCAGATGTGAAAAGTTTTTGGTTTTGATCGAATGTTTCTACCGGTGCTCACCCGATGCGATCTATTGGGAAAATCCAGATTTTCCTTCAGCAATAAAGAAAGCCCCTATCTGCGCGAGTTTTTGTGATGAGTGGTACGATGCTTGCAGATACGACCTAACCTGTGGGAGAAACTGGCTGACAGACTTCAACTTCAGCGCCGATGGAGTTAACACGTGTAAACAGCCTTGCAGGAACTTCAGCGATTACTTCACCGATGGCAAAGATCTTTGCGAGGGAAAGTGGGGCCAGACTTTTGTCTACAAAGAAAACGATGTCGATTGTTTGAAGATGAATATTACGAGTCCTAACCAGAACGAAGAGGTGGTAAAAAAACGACTGAGTGACAAAGATGCTAAGGGCAGTTCATTGGTCTCTCGTGCAAGTCTAGTTTTGGTTTGGGTTACGTCACTATTCCCAGCTTTGAATAATTTTCACTTTGCTTGAACTGTAACTCGCTTTTAAATGCTGTATTACTTTAATTTGAAACTGTTCAATAGAGTATGGATCAAAACTAGGGGTTTAGGTCTAAGATCAGCAATAAAAGTCACCATAATTGACTTTGGCGCAGTGCTCTTCCATTCTGTGATATTTTACTGAGTGATATGTTCTCGTTCATGGATTTCGGAATTAATTATTTAATTTAAATATCAAACTTTTACCAACACCTGTCCAAGATTTTGTTTCACTTGAAACAGTTTTTATTGTCTCGTTTGGATATCTTTCCTTTTGAACGTACATGTGACAGATTCTTGACTTTTACGACATATCACCATTGTGTAGTCTCCAGAATTTCCTATCATTCGTTGCAACATGCAAATAATCGATCCATGCTATTAATATACTGCATTCAGAACGCTTTAAATAGTTCGATTGTCATGAACCATAAGATTGGTTTGAAAAGATTCACAGATCCTCTCAGATTATCAACCTGACAGTTATTGTACATTTGGAAAGAACCCCTTAAATTCCCAGTTTCAAAGATTTCAGAGAGTTTTCAATTACAAAATAACTCGCCGGGTTGGGCATAACTTCAAAGAATTGTAGAAAGTGAGTCATTACCATTTTTTTTCTTTTTTCTTTTCTATTTTTTTCGGCAAGCTGATGGACTTTGGACTTCAAATTCAGACGAGTTCATGGTTAAGCCCTTAACTGTAACTGTGTTAGCCGTCAACGATATTTCGGGTAACCTTGAGTGACCTTACCTTAAGAGAGTCAATATTTATTTTCACTTTGCAAGAGAATAAGAATTGCTGCGATTCAGTTGTGTGACAAGAGGCGAAAAGGACATGCAGATTAAATAACCACGCTTCATTGAGTTCTCGACATCACAAAAATGGCGCCGTCTCCCTTGACTGCAATATACGATTTTCTCAGCCTTGGTAACGTCTTTCTACTGTTTATTTCGCTTTTAATGTTACATTACGTTATGGTTTTGTTCGAATTCAGGAACATGCCTCCAGGTCCTCGCTTCACGACTATCCCAGTCCTTGGAAACTTGTTGTCGCTTGACCCCTCGGCCGAGACATTGTCAAACATCTTTAAAAGGTAAGTTATTTTTGCTGTATGGCTTCGGGAATCAATCGGTTTTAACCCACATGATCTACAGGCAGATGTCCAACGAGTAACAGGCGTAGAAGTCAGTTCTGGCTAACCTCTCATAAAGAAGAATGCATGATACCAAACTGGAGCAATTTTAATGCAACGATACTCGTGGGCAACTCGAAAATTCTAACATTTATGACCGCTTTTAGTTTTTTTTGGTGGCATAAGCCTTTGCAGAGTCCAGAACGAATCAATCCTTACTTGTGGACTCACATTTAGTGCTACTGGGAGACATGATAATCGAATTGCTCGAACGACCTAAGCAAAAAGGTGAAGATGAGAAATGCATCTTATACATACTAATCAGTATTTCCAATGATGTTACGCAGCGTAAATCATTGTTTAGTATGTGAACATTTAAGGTTCCTAGCTTCAAAGCTAACCTGTTGATTCTGAATTAGCTTAATCCTACTTCCCTTAAAAAAGATATTCCAATCAAACAATTACACCATCTCAGACTCAGACCTGTGTCGACTTGTATTACAACCAAAACCATTTGACACCCAAATAAAAACTTATCGGCCCTAACGGCTTCTTTGTTGAATTTTTAGCCTCACTAAAAACTATGGCCCGATATTCTCCTTGAAAATGGGCAGTTACAAGTTTGTTATGGCGTCCTCTCGCGAAGCTGTTCATGAAATGTTAGTAAAAAAATCTGCTGATTACGCAGGAAGACCGCAAACCTATGCCTTCTATACACAAACCTTAGGTAAGTTAGTAGGCAGTAAAGTTAGCGATATTTTCATTAGTGCGCAAATGGTGTATTTTTGCAGCTTGTTTGATCACGTCACCCAAGAAGCTCTCCCGGAGAGAACACATTGCGTGACGAGAAGTAACAAAGCGTGACGAGACGTGTCGAGACATGTCGAGACGTGCCGAGATCTTACATCTTACATGCGTACAAGTACTAGCCATCCTTTAGGTCTGATTGCCATCGTCAATCAAGAGCCACCAGCATAACGGCAATGTCTCTCGTCTTCGGCTGTTATTATCTATCTGGCCCACATTTTATGTTGGTCGGGCAATTTGAGTCAATAATGGTATATCCCGTCTATTGAGACTACAAAGAAAGACTGTAGGGAGAGACGAGGAGGCGGGTTAGTCAATGGCTGGTATTCGAGTGAGACCTTATATGCACGAGGATTACTCCTGGATGAAAAGACTTGCCTGCAGAGAATGCAGGGATAGGCATCCGGGAGAGGGGCAGCGTGTTCCTTCCTTTTTCTTTTGTCTGTGATGGTTGTAATTAACTAACTGTTCTTCAAGAGATAATGTTGATGTCACAGCTTTTTTAAGTTGGCCTCGAAATGTCTTTGTATCTTTCGAGTGGCCGTTCACGGGTACTTGTCCCAAAGTGGGAGATATTCAATTGCAACATTGATAGGCTTGGTCAGCATTAGATTCCATCCACCAAAACCACCTTGGTCGAGAGGGACTGAGATGGAATGATGGACAACTCATGACTTGTTATACTAAATGAAAATTACGAAGCTACGACAACATGCCGACTTATCCCGATGACCTAAGTGTATCATTTGTTTGGGAAATTGCGTCAAAACTTTTTACTCAAGAAATGGTAAGTATTAATTTATTGTTCGATTGTAGTATTATAAAACATTTTACGCAATTTTACGCAGATATTTCACGTATTTAAAAGGTGCCCAGATGTTACGTAGTTTTGGTGAATGTCATTAGGGAACATCCACCAAAACTTTGACCAAAACCATCAACAATATATTTTTTAAATTTTATCTATAGTCACTGTTAGATGTTAAGGGAGACAAGATTTATGCCACTAATTAGCAGTTAGTGCTCTGGCTAATTATTTTTTATGGTGCACAATTGCTGACCGATCAAACGTTCATAATGATTATCATAACTTTTAACACATAGAATAAAGTGGTTTTGGTGGATGTTTCTCTCCATCCACCAAAACCACCATAGCAATTTCTGCTACTTCCTTACAGAAGACTGATGTGACCTGCTATTTGGAGTACATAACCAAATCTATTTCTTTGTATGTAGAGATATTTTGCAAAGTTCTTGAGTCAGCACCTTTTATTATTGAAACCATAATCATAACATGGTGCACAATATAGAATACAGAAGGTTCTGGTGTGGTAATCATGTAATCTTGAAACAGGAGAGTTTTTAACTGACTTAAACTGATGTAAACAGACGTTTGCAACAAAATTCCAGGTCCAGAAATTTCTTCCACTATTTCCGCTAAAATCATAACCTTTAAGTACAACAAATCAGCACATTAGTAATTGTTATCAGGGGTCTGAAAATCCTATAAATCTTTCACATTTATTTCAAGTAACCTTTAATTTCACATGGATGAATAAGTATATGCTCAAGATGCAGAATGTCTTACATTTTACAAACTATTTCCCTTTTTATGGATAGACAGTGAAAGGCCTTTGCCACATTGGTGAATCAAACCATTGTATACCATGCATTTTGTGATAATTGTTTGTTTTTGCTCACAATATCCAGAAAAATGGAGGGGATAAATTTAAATAGCAAATTCTATTAATGGTTAAAATTAAATAACATTGGAAGATCAAATTAACTTTGTACTGTTTAAAATTCAGTTTTGGTTTCTTGCTTATTCCAGCCTCTTAATACTCAAAAGCATTCCTTGTCATTTTTGTGTTCTTCTGTGTACATAACGTGAAAAATAAACACAGCGAAAGGAAACCACAAAGGATTAAACTTGAAGCTAAAGCAAAGTTTAAGTTGAGCCATAGCTGATCCAAATACTGAGCACTTTGTATTGTAACTCATTTAGCAGTAAAGTTTATCTATATGTCTGCCAGCTTGTCACAAGTTTTACCGCTCTCCTTCAAAATTCTCTATAAATAAATTTTTCTTTGTGGTCCCTAATTGATGATAAGTATATTACAGCTCCTCAATTTTCCTCTCTCAAGACAAGGTTACTCTAAATTTAACAAAGTAATGGCCTTGATAAAACTCAAACTAAAACTCAGCTGGCTGCTACTTGCAACCTTAATTTCTAGATATCAGTATACAATAATCAATATGTTATAAATAAGAACCCTAATGCTTAATTTTGCAGTGATCACCTTCCTCCTTTTCATTTGTAGACCAGACTGGAACCTCTATAGGTGTGTTTGCTTGTTTTGAGTGGGGATGGAAGAAAAGGAGTCATGCCGCATATCTGATTTATTAAATCACATTTGTTCTGTTTATAAATGAGTAGAACTACCTTGTTCTCTGAAAAAAATAAAATTTCTCGCATTTTTATCTGTGCTTTGCAGTCAAACTTCCTTGTGTCTTGGACAAGAAATCTTATTTTCTTGAAAACAAAATCTTTGTTTCCAGCCTTCTGTAATAGGTAAATATAACAGTGTAAGATGAGTGACAGTGTATTTCTCAAGTTATTTTTTGGAATGTGACAAAACAGAAGTGTCATAGCGTGATAAGGAGCAAACATATGATTGCTTGATAGAAAGCAAAAAATGCAGAATTGCATATATTTTCTCCTTTGTCAGCAGCATATGTTAGTGAAAAGTTCTTATAATTGTTAACTTCTAAACCATCTTCAATTTAGCCAAGATTGAACTGTTATCACGTTTGTCATAAAAGTATTCTGAGATCAATGTCATATGACCCATTCAAGTATTTGACCTTTCGAATTAGCAAGCCATAGTTGACAGAAACACAAAGGTTGAGGATAAAAAGAAATTATTATATACAGTACTTCTTCTGCATCTTTTCGTTTCCTTTTCTCTCCAGCTGTTCTATCTATGCCGTGCTGGCAATTGAACACTTTCCTTCCTAAAATTTGAAAGGCACACCAGTAAAAAACGAATTTTTGCTCCTTAAATATCTCATGCATCTTCCCCCAGTATTTTGTGACTTCTGTCCGAGGAAGGAGGTGTAAGCATTAAATTAACCCGAATGATTCCACAATTGTGGTATCATCCAAGCCATGCCAGAGGACTCGAACTAGATAAACTAGTGAGAATGCACAATAGCGATAGCAAAGCTTTGTAATGCTAAAGAGCTATATCAATATATATATATGTGTGTTCCCGAAACCTTTGACAGCTTTAAAGAAAGAAAACTTCGTCGTCAATCCTGTTTCAAATTCCGCAATAAGTTTATGCGCCTCATCAACAGAATTTACGTATCCGAAATTATCTGCATGTCTACCATCAATGGTTCGCGACTTAAAATTCTCGCTATGCTGTTTCTGTTTGTTCCTTAAGAATCATGGGATTTACAGCTTTTGATGTTCGGCTACATCACTCGCGGATTTCCGAGAATCTTCGGCTATGATTTGCAAGTTATTAAATATTCCATCTCAGTCCCTCTCGACCGAGGTGGTTTTGGTGGATGGAATCTAATGCTGACCGGATAGGCCTTGGCTTAGTAACCATGCAGTCATGGGAATCTCACAGAGACACAGCATAGAAACATACGTTTGGCAGAATTGTGGAATGTAGCTGTGATTACTCTTGTATTATGTTATCCTAACAACTGGGTTTCATTTGAATTGTAGGAGGCAAAGATATCATAATGGGTAACTATGGCCCACAATGGAAAAAGCAGCGGAAGCTCTTCACTGCAGCTTTACGACAGTATCTTCTTGATGTCCCGCTCATAGAAAGGCGAGTCGCAACACAGGCTGAGAAACTTGTGCAGTTCATGGAGGAACAAAATGGAAAGCCTTTTAATCCCTCAGATTGTCTGATGCGAAGCGTGGCTAATGTTATATGCGGTATAACGTTCGGTGAGGGTGAAGACACGACCAATCCAGAATTGGACCGACTTTTGAAATTGAATGCGGATTTTATAGCTAACGATGAGGATCTCAGATTAGCCACAATCTTGGAATTCTTCTCATGGGCACGCTATTTTCCACTTAAGGTTTATTACCGTGTTCTGCAGCCCTTGTTTGAGATACACGATATCATCCGTAAGATCTTTAGATTGCGCGCAAAAGAATTTGATCCAACAGAACCTGTAGAAAATTTGATTTCAGGTCTTCTCCGTGCCAAGTACGAAACCGAAAATGAACCAGACGACGAGATGAGAGACGTTCAGCTGTCTGAAGACCATTTTGTCATCACTATCGAAGACATGTTTGTTGGCGGCTACGAAACCACAAGCACCACACTAAAATGGGTTATTGCCCTCTTGGTCAGATATCCGGAGCATCAAAAGGACATTCAGCGCCAGTTGGATGAGGTAATTGGTGCGGAAAAGAGCCCTTCCTTACACGATCGCTCCAGTCTGCCGCTCGTGCTGGCCACAGTCATGGAAACCCTAAGGATTGGAAACTTATTACCCATTGCACTACCTCATGTGACTCTTACCGACACCACATTGTGTGGATACCGTGTACCGAAGGACACCATCGTCTTTGCCAACACGGAGTCTATTCATCTGGATCCAAAATTTTGGGAAGACCCCACCGTGTTCAATCCTTACCGTCACCTGGACAAAGATGGCAAGTTGATCACTAATCAAGGCAACTTCTATCCTTTCGGAGCCGGCCGCCGTGTCTGTGCAGGTGAAGCCCTGGCCAAAGTTGAGCTGTTCATGTTTGTCTCGTGGATGCTCCAAAAGTTTACTTTTATAGCTGATGAGGGACATCCTGTGAACACGAAGGGAGCTTTTGTTCAATTTCCCTCTGCTTACAAGATACGTGCCATTAAGCGACAATGAGAATCTCAGATATCACTTTCTCAGGCTTGTTTATCGGTGATGTCAAATCCGCTATATAAGACTGCTGATTTTATAGAACGAAGAATTTAGTGCCGGAGACGGCACGGTGCTAGTTTGCATCAAAAGCGCCCTTAGAAACTATCTTATTAATAGAAATAGAGTACTTTTAAATTGAGAGTAGTACATAAAACCAAATCAAAGTAATCAGAAGGGTCAGCAAGACCAATCTCAAAACGAGGTAAAGCGAAACAAAAGGATATAAACCAGTTTATATTCTCTCAGGCAAAACTGTCGCAGTCACGTGTGACTTTCGACACTTATTTAAACTTGGCTCCACATTGTTGAATTTTCAAACCTTTTATCCTTTTTTAAATCAAAAATTTAAGGCAATCGGTGTTTTGTAGCAGTATATCTTTTCCTGTTTACATTCTGCACGAATAACCACAACCCAATAAATTTTTTGGTAAATCCTATGTAAAACATTGACCGTACCCTGCGAGGAAGCGTGTTTGGACTTCTTTTACACATGAAGGTCTTTTTACATTTCGTTAATACTATTTACAGCTAATAAATCTCAGCAATTTGGACAAATTTCTTTGATTTCACCGTTGTATAGTAGTTAAAGAACATTACATCATATTCTGAGTCAATTTGCGCAACTTGGGGGATAAAGGTATGCCATGTTATGTTATGTTATGTGGAAGAGCGGTGGTGAAATGGTTACAACGCTGGATTCCCGGTTAGAGACCTAGCCAGGTCAATGTGTTGCGTCCTTTGGCAAAGTAACTTAGTCCCCAGTGCCTCTCCCTACCCAAGATTATTTATGAGTACCGGCGAATTTCCAGGGAAGCATGATGATATGTGGAGGGTAACCTTGCGATGAGGTAGCACCCCATCCAGGGGGGAAAGGTGGGTGGAGTAGTGATACTCCTGGTCGCTTTATGTTAAGGAAACCATAATAAGCTTGGGCTGGGTGGGCCTCTTGTCTTAATTACAGACTTAATCTTTTACCATTTACCATTTGCCTTTGCTTTTCATTGCTACATACTCAAAAACAAGTGACTTCTACCCAGACCTTCCACGGACAACGGTTATGACAGTTACACGAAAGGATCTGGGTACGAGATTACTACAGACCTTCTCGTTTATGCGAAACACTGGTACAAATAGAGAATTAGGTTATGAGACCGTATCACCAACAGGATTCACTAGGTTTTATCAAAAAAGGTTAATGAACTCAAGGTAATTGGTCGCTAAGGAATAATGTTTCATGGGTTTGCGGGCTGCTTATGGGGGTCTGGATGGGGGTGGGTGGGTGTCCTTATATCCGTTGTCGGTTATAGTTTCATTTCTTTTTCGGTAGTTGGTTCAAATTTTCGATATTTGTCGGTAGTCGGTAAATCTCAGCTAATAATTAAAAATGCGTGTTATTTATGTTGTTATTTATTTTATTCAGGTAATTCGTGGGCTCGAGTACCGGACACTGCTCTGGAAATGAGCCCGCGCTCTTACAAGATAAGTTTGATGGCAGGAAATTTTACAATCAACTGAGTCTTATATTTCAAGTTACTACCTCCTAAGCTAGAGTGCTACCTTTTCTGACTAGAAATCAATACACATATCGATAAAGTTAACCCCGTTCAAATCCCCTTTTTTGTTTTTGAAGAACCGGAAGAGGCCAAATGAAATGTCTACTGAGGGAGATTTCTTTGCGCTTGCTTAGTTATTTAGTAAGTAAACACTTTGAAGCTGCGGCTGACAGCAAAATTTCGTTGACCTTTTTTTCTTTTCGGAGCAGCAGTTGAGATCAGTTTTCAATGTCACTACCAGTGGACTCTACCAAACGAGTTTGTTTTCCTTCCATGTGAAGTAATAAGGACGAAAAAGCCAAACTCTTCAGCTGGCTTTTTTCCGCTGGCTTTTTTTCTCGACGGGAATGATCGGAGGCAAATATCGTTAATGTGGGTTGTTGTGTGATAATTTTCCGGTGATTTTGTACCACGCGACGTAAAGTAGCCTATAAGGCCGCGCGAAAATTAATGGGTGGGTTTTTAACCTATATATCCTTGAAATTTCCGAAAATGGAAGGGATATAAAGTTAATTCGTAAGGGGTACAGGTACCTCAGACTCAAAGCCCTATGGGGGCTGAAGTCTATTTGTAAATCGCGTTCTACATACAGGCTGTGCATGAAGTTCATTGGTTATCCATACAGTCACTAATAATTGCTCTTTTCTTTGTTTATTGCCAACTCTGTGACCTAATATCAAAAATTGTTTTTTAATTTAGTGTGAAAAGGAAATCTTGATTGTACTGCTATATGACTGGTCGAAAGAAAAAACACGCCAATCTCTCAACCAATCAGATTTAAAACTGAAACCAATCGCGACTTAATGACTCGCGTTTTTACGCGCAAACGAGGTAGTCTAATTTTTTTTTTCACTTTGAGTTCTCATTGGCTCCTTGTGATGCCTTCCTCCGCTCTGATTGGCTGCCTTTATACCTTCATTTTTAATCTCACGAAGCACGAAGCCCAATCGAAAAGAGCTCTGAGTAAAAAATTGTAACTCGTCTAAAGCACTTAACAAAAATTGCAATTTATAAAAAATATTTCACTTCCGCTGTATGGCGCGTATCTTGTAGGGAGCGGGAAACTGAGTAATACTAAATATGCCCCTCAGCTCGGGAGGATGGCCATCTACTTCAGGAACAAAAGTGAAATTTTGAAGAATCCACGACACAAACAAAAATAGTTTCACTTTAGCAAGCGCTTCCCCGGCGCATACTCGGCGACCAGCTCCGAAAGGAAAGAAGTTACTTTGGTTAGTGATAAGCTGACCGTCTTTGTCGATGTGACGGTATGGATTGAAATCGGTGGGATCTTTCCAACAGCTGGGATTCAGATGAACAGATTCTGTGTCAGCAAAGACAATTGTATCTTTAGGAACGCGGTAGCCGCATAGTGTGGTGTCGGTCATGGTGACATGAGGAAGTAAAAGAGGTCCAACGTTTCCAAGTCGCAGTGTTTCGATGATTGCTGCCTGCACTAGAGGTAAGCTGGCACGATCATTCAAGGAGGGACTCCGTTCACCAAGTACCTCGTCTAACTGGCGTTGAATGTCCTCCTGGTACTTTGGATGGTTAACTAGGTAAGCTATCACCCATTTTAAGGTTGTGCTGGTAGTTTCGTAGCCAGCAGCAAACATGACCTCAACATCGTTCACAAGATAGTCATCAGAAAGAAATGCGGACCTTTCTCCATCGCCTGCCATCTTTGCTTCGTTTCTTGCACAAAGAAGACCCGAGATGAAATCCTGTACGCTCTTTGCTGGGTCGAAATTTTCTTCTCGTTCTCTTAAAAATTTGCGAATGATTCCAAACATTTCGAAGAAGGGCTGTATGAAGCGATCATAAGCCTTGATCGGCAAGTACTTCGTAAAGGGGAAGAAGTCCAACACAGTAACAAGCCTTGCCACATCATCATTTTCCACAATATTCGCGCAAAGATTCAAAAGCTTGTTTAAATCTGGGTGCGTTGTGTCGAAACCTTCACCGAACGTTATCCCGCAAATGACATCAGCAACGCCCCTCATGAGGCAATCTGCGGGATCAAAAGGTTTGCCATCTTGTTCTTGCATAAAATGCACCAATTTCTGAGCTTGAACTGAGACTCGGCTTTCTATGAGGGGAATATCGGAAACATACTGGCGCAATACTGATGTGAATAATTTTCGATGAAATTTCCAAGAAGGACCATAGTTACCGAAAGCGATATCTTTACCGCCTGCAACAGAACAAATGTTACGGACTTAAGTTACAGTGTAATTAAAGAAAATGATTTAGAAAAGAATTCGACAAAGTTCTGCCTCTCTGCCGTAAAAATGTCAAAGGTTGATGAATAATGAATGCGCGTGAAGCAACACATCTAAGGGATGGCTCTCCCTCTTCAGTTTCTTTGCTCTAAAGGAAGTTTACTTAGTGATATTCTTGTACCACTGGCTACAAACAGTAGAAAATCGCGAAAAAACCTTCAAATGAAGGAAGGAAATCAACTACAACCTCAATCTGTGTGTGACAGATGTGACAACAAGTCCCATAATCCAATGCTCGATGCAAACGAAGTATTGGAGGGGTGGGAAGCGACCGTTCTTGCCATTTCTCTCGCGTCCTTCCCTTCCCCTGTCCTTAACTACCCCTTAAACGTTTCATAATAATCATTACTGAGGATTTTTTTCCGACAATCGATTTTAAATTATTCCTTTTTCAGAACCCTATTACGTAATCAATGTGCAAAAGGCCTTACCTAGTGTTCTAGTTTGAACTGAATATGTCTGCGGTCTTCCAGCGTACTCAGTAGATTTCTTTATTAGCATCTCTTTAACAGATTCAGGTGTAGACGCCATAACAAACTTGTAACTACCAAGTTTGAGCGAAAATACAGGACCATAGTTTTGTCTGAGGCTGAAAAAGAACAAAGAGAATCGTTTGTTAAACATGTGCCTCGGTAATGCTATTCATAAAACAATGATCAAAATAGCAGTGCTGATTTCTCTTGACCAAACTCAGCGCTTTGCGTTTTGTTTCAATCGCTAAAAGGAATTCGAGCTTAAAATATTTTTTCACTTTCCAAACCGTTGAAATGGTCAATTGATGGACAGTGGATTCAGTGGTGTGAAAAGACAGGAGTGGTGACCCCAACAACAACGCCAGAAATGTTAATAGGAAATATAAATAGCTCTTGTATTCTTTTATTTTAACGATGGGCGGTTTTGAAGAGAGGATTTCAGTAACGCGATTTGAGCTTTGGAAACTAAAGCTAAATACATTATTCGATAGAAACCTAATAATCGTATCTACTCAAAGTAATTAGTCTGTTTCGTTATCCTATTTTGTCCAATCTTTTATCAACGCCGCTGAATCTTCCACATCCCTATCTAATGTCTTGAAGACATTGTTTTGACGGCAGGATTACTATAATCGATCATTGCGCAACTTTACAAAGCAGTTTGTCGTCATTGTCCATTCAGCAAATGGTGACCCTGCAACCGCCTGTGGACTCCCAATTACTGAGCCTGGAAAAAAAAGTCCTAAAATGCGATACCGAATGAAATCATAGCCACTTAAGAATAATCGCTCTTGATTTATAGAATGGAAAAACAGTCTATGATCATTTATTACCGGTAACTTAAGAGAAAAAATGCAAATTGAAAGCTATTCTCTCAAAAGACTTCTCGCGCAAATCAATTAACCGCACTTTTACAGGAGTCATGCTGTGGAACGCTATTTCTGTACCATGAATTAAAATAAAGCTATATATAACGGTTTATTTAGTGGCGATACAAACTATTATTGACAAATAATTGTCAAAAACAGTGGCAACTAAAAATAACTGAAAAATTACTTCATAATTGCATGGCTAAGTAGCCCACGTATGTAAAACAATGTGGGTAGTTTGAATTGTTCTAAAATTAACATTTTTCTGCTCTGAATTTATCAGAACATTTTAACCGGCTTTTTAGAAAATTGGATTTTTAGAGAGAATTCGTTCGAGGCAAGATGACGAGAGCGGGGCAACACTAGGTGTAGATAGATGAATATTCTTACATCTCAACAGGCTGATAATGTTCCAATCACTAATCATGCGCTTCCGAATAGGTGTGTTAATTGTTTTATGATCTATTTCCATGGAAAATTCATTAAGTGGTTATATGCTTTTAACGTTTTTATGGCTTCATCAAAGAGGAATTTTAGCAATTACGGCCAAATAACCGTAAAGCGTTTCCATGGCAGAAGTTAAGAAGACTGTTTATTCAGTAGTGGAGTTGTTTTGCTCCGAAAGATATATGTTTGGATAGTTTGATAAGTCAAGTGGTCAAACAGAATATTCTACACTGTATACAAATAGCTGATTTGAAATTACATAATATTTATATGGCAGATGGGCGTAAAGAAAATTTTCAATTTTTGAACCAGTGAATTTGGTGAAATGTCATCAAAAAAAGTGTTCTTTCCCACAATGTTAATACCCGATACAATAATCTTTGAGCCAAAAGCAAAACCAAAGATGGCTATATCAAATCGAAAGTTAAATATTTTAAGATACGATTCACTGACCTTCGGAAAGCGTCGGTTAGTTTCTCCGCCTTCGAATCGAGAGAAAACACGTTACCTAAAACAGGAACGGCTGTAAATCGCGGACCCGGTGGCATTCCTCTGAACTCGTACAGCACCATGATGTAATGTGATACCATCAGGGTGAACAACAGCAGAAAAACATTGCCAAGGCTGAGGAAATCGTAAATTGTGGCGAACGCCGTCGACATGTTTACGGGGAAGGTTAGTGGTTAAATTGACTCAATTGAGGACCACACGATCTTAAATCTGACGTCACGAAAATTTAGGACGAGTGCGAGCTTGCGCACAAATGAGAGGTCTGTGTCTTCCGCTATTGCGAAAGAGATGTTAGCATCGCTGCCCCGCTTGATGCAACGTGATAATGAAATCGGACTTTAGGTGGGAACGTTGTGTCAAAAAAACTTAAACCATGAATATCATGTGTAAATACAATCTATCTTGGCGTAAGTATCGTTGAAGTGGTGGATAACTCTACTGCAAAATGGCTCATATATTGACAAGTTCTCAGTGAAATTACTTGTGACGTCATCGTCCTACAACGGTAGCAACCTCATGAATGGGAAATACAGATAATCTCAGGGTAATACGAGAGTTATTGTTATTGTTTTATTTTAGATTTCTAGTCGTTTCTAACGGATCTGCTGAATGACAGCGTAACCTGAAAAATTGTGGCCAAGTGCTTCCTTTGACACCATACAAAACTTGTACACAAGGCGCCTGTTTTTGTGTTGTTGATGTGTGTGGGTTTGTTTGGGTGAAACGGTAAATACACAGGAACTCGAATATCTTTGCAAGGTCGTTTAAGAATGCCGAATGTGTTTGGAATGAAAAAGAGTACATAAGAATTTAAAGCAGTTAACAATTGAACGAAACTCTGTTCGATCTTAAAGCGTGTAAAGTCTAACTCGTTCAGATGAACGAATTGAGAGGTTTTTCTCTTCATGGCGTGCAATGCGTTGGTCGTTATCATAATTATTTCCTGTTGGCAAACTTATGCTCAAATAACTTCCTTTCACTTTGAAACAATGCTGGAACAAGAGCCAAAAATTAAAAAAATTACTGATCGAATCGGCTAAGTCGACGTTGAGACTGTACAAAACACGATGCTTATTGTTGTCTGATGAAATCACGATGTCATTGTTGTCTGATGAAAAAATCTGTTAAATCGACTTTGAAAGTCCCTTTCTCGCTTACTAGTACTTAGCAAGCTTACTCAGGATTTGTAGGTGACGTTTTTCGTTTTTCTTAAAGGGAAAAAATTTATCAACACTTGATAGTTTCCCAAGATTGGCTAATCTGAAGGTAAACGTGCAAGCTTACTCAGGATTTGTACGTGACATTCGGCTAAAATTGCGGAAGCTGTGCGCTGATTTGAGTTAAAAAAAAAAAATAATAATAATAATATGATAGAGTCGCATGTCAACAATTTGTCGTCGCAGATCGGATTGACAGTTCATTTCAATTGTTCGCTGTTTAATTTGGCAAAGAAAGTTTGGCGACTTGACACCAAGAAACTTGCTGGAGTAGAGTTTCGTCTGTAGCTCTCAAGTCTCAAGAGTTCCCTACAGTCAACAATGGGAGAAAAGTTATCACTATTCAGTGGCGGACCAGGCCTTGAGCTGAGTTGGGGGGAGGGGGTGGGGATGGTTTCTTGTCGCTTGCCCTGTCGGTTTTTCTTCCTCCGGCGATTCTTACTCTTTTACCAAAATAAAGTGAGAGAGGGAGCGGCGGGTCCCCCGGACCCCTCCCCTGGATTCGCCACCGCTATACTGCTATTAGTGTTACAATTTTAAATATTTCCTCTTTTTGTTGCGAGAGAACCCCGACATTTCAGGTTTGGCACACTAGACGCAAACTACGACACGAACAATCTATTACGGGAACATTCGTCAAGGAAATGGATCCCAATGTGACATATTAGTATAGAGTCTCAAAGCTGTAGTGTATTGTGTAGAGGTACTCAAAACAATTTACAAAAAGTATTCTCAATGTATTGTTAGAAACTCTGAAAGTCATCGCGTTCTTTCCGTTAGCTTTTGAGCTTTTGATGTTTCTTACTCTGCTTTAAGGAATGGATTCCGTTTATTTTACACACCTATTATTAACCGAGTTCGAGGTCTTGTGTAGTCTGTACTTTTAGGTAGGAACCGATTTCCTTCAAGATGTTACAATCTCTTTATTTCCTATCCTTCGTTTTATGGCCCAGAGCGGAGTTGAGTCAGTAGCCGTTTGCACCCTAATATCTGTGCGCATTTTCTCCCTTCTGTTCTTTACTCATGTCCTATGAGGTTGACAATGAGAATTTGCTTACAGTCAAGAGCTTCTTAAGTTAGTGATCCTTTGCTTGATCTCATGACTATTGTGCTTGATTCAGCTGTGATACTGTAAGGAGATATTAGAGACGAGCCTGTGATAAGTGATAATTTAATTGAGGAGAAAAATAATCCGTAATCACTCTGTGCGGAGCAACATAAGTAAGATTTTCATTTTTCCTCTGCTCTGTGTCTGACGGGTTTGAAAAACGATTTCTAATCACACCTAGCGACTTCAAGCGACTGCCGCACGATGATAGATGAGCAAGTGCATTAAAAACTGATGCACTATCGCTAACACGTTTCAACACGGAAAGTTAAGGACAACTGGCCATGAATGACGAGAACTTCTGGCAGCAAGAATAACCTTAAACTATAATGGAACGTGCAGGAGGTCAGTACAGCTCGTTAAGTTGACCAACCGCTGCGCTCTTAGTAACTGAAGGTTACATCAGAAACACCGTGCTTCTCTCACGTGCGAAATAGTGCGCCGCACGGATGATTACATAACTTTTTTGATGATACAATTAAGAGGCAATGAATTGTCCATTATATTTATTATAACCTCCATTACTTACATTTTTAATACACTGTTTTTTCTATTTACGACTTCCAGTATACAATACATACAAATCGTTGAAAGTTACTCAGTTTACTACCAAGATGAAGGTTTGGATCAGTTTGTTCATTTTCAATTGCTTCGCCGGTGTTAACAAAACAACAGAAAGTGAAAATATCAAACGGGTCACCAGTCAGACACGTGCGTATTACTTTCGTGAACAAAAATCTATTCTCTTATTGGCAGGTGAGGTTGGAAAGCCGAGTAAGTTCTCACGACCAAAACCCAAACCTTACGTCACGCCACACCTGCCGCATAACAGAGCGACGCTTGGTGACGAAGTGCGTTACAACCTACATGACATGAGCTAACAATTGCTGCGATAAAGTAAGATTTTGGGTGACACTCAGACGTTAAACGTCCGCAAATAACAATAAACTTTGGTTACAATTTCCTATTCCCAGAAATTAGCCTTCTCTCTCCGAAATTTCTTTTCCAGTAAAATGTTAAATGGCCGAGTTACGTCTTGTCAAACATAATAACAAAATAATTTGAAAACTGTACAAGTGCAACACGTTTCTTAAAGGAAAAAATCATTAACAATCGATAATTTCCCAAGATTGGCTAGGAAAAGTTTATTTCTTCCTCATAATCTGACGGTTAACGTGTAAGCAACAACACTATCAGCAAAAGAACACACTTCGCTAGTTATCATACTGGTGATGACACGAAGGTTAATCAGTTTTTTTTTTTTAATACCTTGAATAATTTTTAAAAAGAAACACAGCTTTGAAAGGAGGCCCCTCCCTGATCTTTTCAGACTTAAGCTGTGAAACAGTTTCAAGAGAACTTAAACCATACTTCAGATACAAAGCAAAACTGGCGAATCAACAGACACTCGACCAAAAATATACCTATAACAATTTTTCTAGAGATTCTTTATCTTTCAATGACATCCTTGATTAATTTGAAAATAATTTGAAATAATTATTTTAACAGATTACTACAAAAATTTGATCAAACTCAATACAAGCAAAGATTACATGTGATGAGAAGATTAACTACAGAGACATTAGTAATAAAATTAAAGCTAAAAAATTCAAGCCTGTCAGTTTTCTTCAATCACTTCCCAGAGTCCTTCTTCAACCCTTTAACTCTCAAGATCTAATTGTTAATTCTCCCCTCTAGCTGCTACAAATTTCTTTGTAAATTAGTTATGAGAACTTGATGCTAGATCAAGATAGCCGCTTCTACCTGATGAGTTTCAATATTCTCATTACCTGTTTGCTGAATAATGTATGGATATTGTAGGTAGAAGATTTACGTTAATCACTTCTGGAAGTTAAAGGGTTAAAGACGTGATACTAGAGATTTCTGCTTTTAGATTTCTAAAGGATAGCCGAATACCTATAAAACTCCTACTGCTTCTTACAAAGATACAGCACATCTATTATTGGAGTGATTTTCAGCAGAACCATTTCTTTACAGCTTGTTTGAGAACTTATTAGATGAGGGGAAAAACACTTCGAGCCTAATCCTTTTCTAGAGACTAATATTATTTGAAAGGCATCATAATACTGGAAATTGGCCAAACCTTGCGAGATTAATTTCTGATTTCTTGCATATTCTAGCTATTGTCAACAGCCTTTATGACACATTTGACTGTATACGCAAAGGCAGCAAAGCCAATGATAACACAAATGTTCACCAGGGTACTACTGATGAGGCCATTTTGTCCTTCCCGTGTAGCCCCAGTCACCTCTCCCTCTTTGTTACTATTGTTCTGTGATGCAGTTTCATGTCCCTCCCTCATCTCTCCTCTTTCTCTCATTTTTTCTTGGATTTCCTGTGAAGTTGGACAAGAACATCAGATAGAAAACAAACAACAGGTAATCGCATATTGGGGAAAAGCTCCTCATAAATTTTTTTTATTGCAGATAACTCTAAATGAACAGAAATTCAGGGTTGTTTCTTCTCACAGTTTTCTTGCTCATGATGCAGCACCTACTTAGGCCTGCTTGAAAGCAACCAGCCGAAAATTTTGTAAATATATGAGGTTATTAGTTTTTAACCCTTTAACCCTCAAGAGTGACTAGCATCTAATTTCTCCTTACAATATCACTCCTGAATCATGCAGTAAGGTTATGGGAATAAAGAAAATTATCAGCAGCAAAAGAAACTGTTGATTGTTACACAAATTCTCCTTGTCAGCACCTTAGGGAAAGTATGGGGAACAGTAAGGAGAATACCTTTACTGATGTTAGGGTGTGAAGGGTTAAGGAATCTGTTTGTGCTGGACATAATGGTAAGAGAAAAAATCATAGAGATATCAACTATAAGTTGATAAAGATGGGTTAACAATAGCCTGCATGCTAGCCTTCATGATGTATTGGTGTTCCTTTGCCAGCTGGAAAGTATGAAGCTTTGAGTAATGCAAGCCCATGAGAGGTCTGCAAGGGGGGTCTAGCACTGATAATTAAACTCATAATTGGTGCCAGACCCCTGGTGCACATCTCCCTAACTCATCTCAAATCCTCCCTTAGGCAGAGAATGCACCTTCTGCAATGCTAATATTGAAGAGCTTTGGCAAATTTGGGAAACCAAAGAGTTGGCCTGTTGTCTGAGAAAATTGAAGCTAGAGCTAAAAATGTCAGCTTTTCAAAATTTGTTGGGGTGGTTTATCTATCTTTATCAACTTACAGTTGTTTACCTACTTCTTTCTGAGAAACTTGGCAGTGGTTCAATGTAAAATGAATGAGTCATTTTATTGCACTCACCTCTACCATATCGGGGAAAAGTTCACAAAATATTTTGTCTTGTAAGTTAAATGGTCCACTTCTTAAAGCAAGCTGCCTTTTCTGAAATTGAAGTTAAAATTGACATGTGTACATTGTACAGTGTAGATTGTGCACAAGTTTTCAATAGGCACATACAGTACAGTGGATACTGTTATTTCCTGGTTGTACAGTATTTAAGAAATTACTGAGATAAACACATAGCAACTAAACTACCCCCCCCACCAATTTTCATTTTCCCCATATCCTTTAAATACCTGGAATTCCGATGTCTCTATGCTGCCGAGGGTTGGCGATGTTTCCACCTAAGAAACCAAAAACTGTATAATTAAGTAAGTCATCAAAACCTCACAGGACATTTGAAACTGTATTGTTTTCCAGGCCTGATTATAAATAACACTTTTAATATCAGGTTTAGCTGATAACATCACAGTTAAACTGACCAGTCAGTTTACACAAAGTGGACTTAAAATATTCGACTGAAGATAACTCCTCATCAGACAGAAAGATAGACAGGGTTGAACATCTAGCGCCATTTCCAAAAGGCATTCATGTGGTGAACTACTAAATCTATAGGAATAACACTGAAAATCTCTATAATAATGCAATTGCTACTCCAAGACAGTAGCATGCACATCAAATTGGAAACATACCATGAAACTTAGTAAGCCAGTCAGAATGGTTGAGACTGACCAAGCTGGATTCCATGTGTCAGGGTGAAAGTCACTTATTGACAAACATAATCTGAAAATTTGAGGAAAAAATTACAGGTACTTGGAACAAGCCATTGTCATAATGAAAAACAGAGATCAAATGTAAATGTCCAGTGTAATGTACATGTAAAAACAATTTTTGAAATCCAGCCAAGTTATGTTTCACATTCAAGAACATTTCAATAAAACTGTAGGAAAAAATTAGATAACATGCCTGTGTTTAACCTCAAAAGAAACTGTTACTACAAGTATGTGTAGGTCATATTTATTGCAAATTTTCATGAGCAATCTGAGTAATGACCTCGAAAACTTAAGACTAGTTTCTGCTGATATTACACTTCATGCACATCTTAAAAAAACATCTTTCTTGGCCAAACAAATCAAGAAATTGAATTGTTCTGCTTCAGATATTAGTACCTTTTTTCAAAAGAAAAAAAAAAAAAGGAATCAAGAAAAACCCAGCTCACCTTGTGTTCACTTTGAATCGTCCATTTGGTGTGATCATAAATATCCTTGGTGGTTTAAAAGGGAAATCTTTTGGAAAAACTAGCTTGCCATGATAGTAACCACCTAAATAACCAAAATAAAAATAATCACACCATACAGTGTACCTTATATGTTGAATTACGCCATGTTAAGGGTTGGAATCACTTTGTGCACTCATTTATTCACAAAGAGAGAATATAAATGCTAATAACATCATGAAAAAATTACTCAGTTCTGATTGGTCAAGATAAATGCAGTTTTCATGTAATTCAGTGCAGAAGAGGGTTAATTAAGTGTAAAGAAAGTAACAAATCAGACATTCTGATTGGTCAGTAATCAAAGAAACTCATAGACAGCCAATTAAATGCAAGCCTTGGATGTCGCAACAAAATTTGAAAATTTGAAAATTTGTGAGCGAAACAATGGCCAGTGTTTTAGGTAGGTTTTCTTTCGCCACCATGGCTGAAAACAGCTCAAACAACAAAAGCACTGTAAAAAATCACTGCTTTTTGGTTGTCGGTTTGGAAAAAGTGGTGTTTAGAGAAGGGAATTGCCAGGGAAATAGAAAATTATGCACCAACCCAGCTTAACACTTTGCTCCAGCGATCCAATGCCCAAATTAAAAACAAACAGGGTTAAACTGCGGAAATGACGATTCCATTTAATTGAAAGTGATTTGGACACAGACTGAACAATTCCTTAAACTGTTTAGCCTGACTTTGAACTTTTTTGCGCCTTAAAGATGGGAAGATATCATTGTATATTATTGTTTTGATCATACACAGTTGTTTTGACCGAACACATGGTTTGAATAAATTATTTTTGCACTTGATGCACATGCTTTGCTTATGCTTAATTATGATAAGCTATCTTGTATTTTTTCATGTTTATTATTAACACCTAATCACATAATTTTTCTCATGCAATTTGGAATAATGAGCACTTGATAATTTTTCAAAGACCACAAATTGCACTCGCCCTATGGGTTCATGCAATTTTGTTAGTCTTTAAAAAAATTTGCTCGTGCTTATTTATTTATAATTGCACTCGAAATCATGTGATTACCTACACAAAGTGTATGGGTTCACTGGTGTGGAATTTGTGTGAGATTTTCCTTAAACAACTATCATACTCAGGCTAGCTGAACATGAGATTACATTTTTACCACAATTGACAGTAATGTCGCAGTCTGATTGGCCAATTTGCCAGTGTCAAAAAGAGCGCAGACAACATTGCTTCTGTCAACATGTCATGCAATGGTCACACACTGAAAGAATTGTTTTACTTAATGTTGATATTGTGGTAAAAACAAATTGCTTTTCAGCATGGTCAAAATTTGTTGTGGAGTCACGAGGCGTAGCTGAGTGAGTCCACCCAAGTCCACAAAAGCAAGTCCACAACAGTGAGTCCACTGTATTAACTCATTGTTGATAAGAGTGCAGACCATGTTAAACTACGGTTGATTTGTTAAATAACCAACTCATTGCTGCATGCCTGATAGAACAATTGTTATAGAAGGTTCTGTGGCATATAGTTTAAAATTAGCCAAGAAAGTTGTATTCCAACAAGTTCCACTATACCACTGTAAGAAGCACATTACTCATAAATCGTAACTCAGAAATGATGATGCACAGATACGTATGATTGTTATCAAAGACACTGAGTAAGCTTACATTTCACTTCACAACGTAAAAGGAAAAAATATCAGGTGTCTATGATTACACAAGTTACGTTTTGAAGCAAAGGAAAGACTGATCTTAAAACATCTACAGATGACAACCTACATGACTTATATTAATCGAACACGGACTTCTATCTACAACTGATCTTGAAAATTTACGCACATAAAAACCGACAAAGACGAGTTACCTGCGTACGGTGTATTTTCTGGCCCTCTGACCACATAATGCCTATCAAAATAGACCAAAGGACCACGATATGAGAGAAATCAATACATAGGAAATAAATAATTGTATTGATAAATGATAAAAATGATGAAACGTCACGTACCATTCCAAGATATTTGATGACAATGGCAGCGCTGTGATGTAAGGTACAGGATCTTTCAGGATACGTAGATAATCTTGCCGCAGTCTTGAGGCTGCTGTAGTGTGTACGCGTTTCTGGGATGCCATACACAACCGTAAAAACGCCAAAAATTGAGACGGGAAGCTAGTGTTGATGAAAATTAGAGGAGCAACGCAACTGCGAATCTGCACAAATGAATGTTGACGGCTGACCAGTTGCCAAGAACACTGGGTCGGGATAAATTTGCTTAATGACAATACATATTAAGCTTTTTTTTAAGGTGGTAGGAATATTGTAACATTTTATTTGCGTAAATTAAGTTATTTATCATCTTAAATAGAATTAGTATACAAAGAATTTCAAAAGTACTGTCGCAAGTTTTTTTTTTTTTACGAAAACCGCGGTCACACAATTAGCTGCGAGGAAACTGGCGCCGAGGACAAGTCTACTACTCTGCCATGGTGGACTGCTAGAATACATAATTTTTCTAACTTTCCCTTTGCCGGTTTGCAGGGGTAAGTATTTGTGTGTATTTACAAAAAAGGGTTACACGATGAGATGTATTATTCTTCTGTTAAGAAATGGTAGCATCATGCATTGATGCCAGTTTTTGTCTCAAGTGCAAGCTTGTTGTTTTGAATTGCAAGAATGCAAGAATTTTAATAGGAAATGTAGTGATAAACTCCCAATCAACCAAACGTGCATATGGCCCATCTCGGTTGGGTAGAATGAAAACTCAATTTCTTTTCCAATGGTTGTTTTTTCTTGTAGAACTCTTGACGGTCTTACTATTTTCTGTGAAGATTGAACCTAGCGCCTTGAAGTTGCAACGATTAGATAGTTGGGCTTTTTACAACCGGAATTTCCATCGTCATCAGCCATCTTGTCCTTGCTTTGGAGCCGTAAAACTGCAATTTTCTCTTATAAAAGAGAAAGATTTTGCATCTCAACAACGTTTACAGGTAAGTTGGTAAGACATTCACTCTGTACAGGCCTTTAAGTTTGTTTTGATTAAGTACAGTTTATAACGTGCATGTAGTGGTACTTTTCGTTTAAAAGTTGATTTCATTAACACATATGAGTAACCTTTGTTGAGATCTTTAAATGAGATAGAGATAGACATGGAGGAATATTGTAAAAGCATTTTTGTGTTTTCTCATCCTAACACTATGTCTTCATCAGAAATACATTTTGGGACACTTCCTATTACTGTCCATTGTTTCTTTTGTCTCCATATGAATTACAAGATTATAGATTCAACTCCAAAAAAGGCACATGAAACATTTTATCTGGAAGTTGGTATTGCTTGAGATCTCATACCTAGTAAACATATCTGCACTCTCCAGTATTATGGTATAATCTATCCAGCAGAAAAACACCAAAATCCTACAAATTCTACTACTTTATTCAATGACGAGTAATATTCTTAATAAGGAGTGACTCCTAAAGGCAGTACAACACATGCTCAATAAACTTACTTGAGCCCACTACTGTCTGTATATCAGCTCACTATTGAGCCAAACTCACAGTTTCCTCCAATGTTTCTTGAAATTAGCAATCTTCTGCTGTAGCTTTCTCTCACTGTATAGCTTTCTAAACAGTCGATCACCCCTGACAACAACAACTACTACTACTACTACATAACTTAGTCCTTATATACATTCAAAAAAGTGTTCTGGAACATTCCAGAAGCTTACAAAAGACTTATTTTAGTAGTATTACATAATAACTTGATGGAATGTTCCAGAAAGTTCTATGGTATGCATGTCAGCATGACTAAGAAGTCTGGAGATTTCTAGAAGTTTATATTTAAAACAACAATTACTCATAACACCAACATGTCATCTATTAGTAAAAGTTTTAAGATTTGAGACTGAATGTACCTTGGAGCACATGGCAGCATTTTTAGTTTCAGACAGTGATATTTTACCCATGAGTTGAAAGGGGAAGAATCAAAAAAGATACATGACTGTAAATATGTAATAACCATATATGTGCACTGCAGTTAAAGAAATGAATATAGAAGTAATCCTCATAGTTATGAATACTACTGGGCTGGGTTGTTCAAAGCTGGGTTAAGATAACCCAGGATTAGTGTGAAATGTGATTTCAGATCTGATAGCTTTAAAAGAAAATTCAGTAGAATTATTTTTGTCTAGACTATGACTCTTTGATGCTCTAAAAAGAATATAGGACATTATCCCAAAAAGGCTTTTGAATAAAGGAATAAAGAAACCCAGATTAAAATTTAAACTGTGGGTTAGCGCTAATCAGCCTCTGAACAACTGGACCCAGAACTAGTAGTGAAAAATAGGGCCTGAAAAAGATTCAGGCCTGTATGGAATTTGAACCCATGACCTCTGTGATACCGGTGAAGTGCTCTACCAACTGAGCTAGTGAGCCAACTGGGAGCTGGTCATTATGTTGATCCTAAATAAACCCTCCAAGTGATGAATACATGACTGTAAATGTATGAAAATCATCGAATTATAAAGTGAACAGTGTTCTTCTGTTTATATATTCTACAAAAATGAACTGTGCAGTTTTAAAGAAAGTGTATATATATATATATCATATTTGTTAATTTAACTGCAGACTGGTGCTGCACATGTAATTTAAATAAATGTTAATATAGATATTTTAGGAGCCACAAACTCATAAAATATACTAACAGTCATGTATTCATGACTGTCTGACATTCGTGTATATATATATATAATTTCTTTAAGGTAACTAAAAATCAAACTGTAATAGGTAACTAAAAATCAAACCGGTATGAACCTTTTAAACCAACCTAGAAAAAAAATTTGATCATTAATAGATCTATATTTTGTGAATAGAATTTACATTCACTCCTGCAGTAGCAGGTGATAGCCGCTGTTTGACTCCTTTGCAGACATAGATATGAGGCAGTTTGTACTGGGAATGATAGGAAAACCTTGTCTTTTGTCAGGGAAAAATTTTATTTGCCTCGTTCACAACCGACGCTTGAGCAAGCAGTTTCATTACGGAGTCACACCCATTGAAAAGCATTGCCTGGGAAAAGTGGGGTACCCATGATGCTTTGCAGGTGTAATGACCTGGGAATGAGGTTGCAAAAGCTCACCACCAGCTTTGGTCTCTTAAGATCTGAATTGACGAATTCCCAAATGGGAGTTGTAAAATTTTGCTTTGTGTCCATTTAGAGACAATGGAGATACAATTGGAGCAATTAGTGTTGTTTGAAAATGATGAAATGCTTGATTGGGAATTTACTATGTCTACTTAAGCTTTTCGAAAAGTAAGTAGACATTTTATCCGAAACTGACAGCAATAATGGGCTAAAAAGGAATATTTCTGTAATGTTATTTTGCTTTCATGGTGAAATTGATGGTCAAACCTTGTAAATCTGCCGCATTTCAGTCCTAATACAAATTAAAAACCCAACATTTAAAAGGTAATTTAATTTTACATCTGACTGATTTTTAAACAATATAGCCTAATCAAGATAACGCTACTAATTACTTCCATTCTTCTTCAATGAATAGTGCTACATTTCGGTTGTCTGAGCAAGAAACAATACAATAAATGATAAATGTGAAAGATAGCCACAACTTTTATGTCGGTGTTTCGAAACCTTGATTGTTTGTAGCAATACAACTCTATTGAAACTTCAGACTGTATTGTTTTCATTTTTTTCCAAATTCTGCGCTTCCAAATTGGGGGTGCGGCTTAGCTATGAATGTGGCTTATACATGGACATTTACAGTACTTGTGAACATGGTGTACATGGGGGATTACATGATTGACAGTCAGATTGACAGGCCTGCATGACGTTACGCATGCTCTCTTTCTCTTTTCTAGCTTATTTGCATTTTCAGTGCAACATTTTTCAATGGGCGCAATTCTGTAATGACAAGTAACTAAATGAGTAGCATGGAAGTTTGGTAAATTTTCACATTGACATGTATATCAGCATACTGAGTGTTAAAATTTGATAAATGTGGCTTATTTATTTGCTCTGGTGAGGCTTTTACTCTTCTTATATACAGCCCTCTCAAATGTGATGACGTTTTTTAACTGTTTACAGTACTAATTGCAAGCTCCAGTCATCATGGCTGAAAAAGAAGTCAAAACATTCAGCCACAGCCACAACTTAGAACAGTATGTTTTGCTGGCCAAGTCAGCCAGAGGAGCTGGATTAGTAGCCCTTATAAATCAGACATTAGAGGCCCCTGGTGTGTATGTTTTTGGGGAACTCATAGAGATGCCTTCTGTCAAAGCGGTATGTACTGTTATGTCATATTTGTCTTCAGTTATTAAGGTGCTATGATAATTGCAACATAACTAGATCAGACACAAAACTTCCGACTACACTGCTTGTCTCTGGAGTTAGTAGTATGGAAAGCATTGCAACTGAAGTCAAAATATTTTCTCTTTGTGTAATTGGATGCTTTGCATTTAATTTTCTCTTCCAAAAAGTTTGCTTTGGATTCCTTTAAACTCCCAGTTTTGGAAATGGGAAACAAGATTGGATTCTCTTTTCATCCTTGATTTCAATTGCAGCTAGAAAACTCTGAAAATTCATCATACTGGACTCTCTTGAACATATTTGCATTTGGAACTTATAGCGACTATAAAGGTAAGATTAAGATTTCTTGCTTTGTTAACATTTACCAGGCTTCAGTTGATTTGTGAAATGCTAACAGTACATGTGGATTGAAAGGTTTCCTAGTCCTTCCCATGAGGTGTTGTGAACAACTGCCTCCCCTTTGTTGTAAACATAGTTCATGTGCTGTGGCTAACTAAAAGGCTGTGTCTTTGAGCTGAAAAGAAGTGATTAATTAAAAAAATCATTGAGGATTGTTGTCTTTTCTTTTAAGGAGTAGTGCACTGTGATTTTCATGTAAATTCCTTAGTGATTAGAAATTGTTTTCTTTATTTTTTGTTAAGGGTGTGTATTCACTGTTCCATTTCAGAAAAAGCCAGTTTATTGCCAGCTTTAACTGCGACACAGTTAAGGAAGTTACAACATCTAACCATAGTGTCCTTAGCAGCTAAATCAAAGGTACATACAATTAAACCTGTATTAAGTGGCACCGTATCAAGTGATCACACCGCACTAAGCGTTCGGTTGTAAAAGTCCCCAAATTTCTCTCCTTCACTGCTCTATATTCCACCTCCATTAAGGAGTTGTGGTTGCCCCCTGTTTGTATTGCCTTCCACCTGAATTGAACAATAACTTGCATGTAAAACCACTCAAATATAACAAAGAATAATTTCTCATGTCAAATTTATTCCACGTTTACCTCCCAAATTCAGTGTTAGCATTTTTAGTGCAAATGTCCTCAATGCACCTTAGATTATCTTTCTCCTTAGGACTGTTAGGACAAAATGGCATTCTTTATTGCATTTGACCCCTATTCTGGAGAAACCTGTATTAAGTTGTGGACCTGCCATTCCTTGTGGGTAACTGCTTAATCCAGGTTTGACTGTATAATGTAATTTGTATGGTTGTTGATTTAGTCTGCACATCATGAAAAAATTATAAATTTGTCTAGTATGCAAATTATGACCGACATATTGTTGAGATATATCTGCATAACAATATTTAATTTTATGAAGAGTGCCAGATCTAAATTGTGAAATTCCTCTATAAAACTGAAGGGACATTTCAAACAACTTATATCTTATCAGTCGACCATTCATTTCTTTTGACATTTAAGACAGTGAATAAATTTAAACCATAACTGTTTAGAAGTGTGATACTATTTGCCTTGTAAAATTTTCTTTTTTCAAATTTGATTTTGTAGTTCATACCATACAGCTTGTTATTGCAAGAACTGGATATCAAGAATTTAAGAGAACTAGAGGTACATACACATGCCAATGCTACTAAAGAGTCCTTCTTTTAAATTTTTTATATAAACAACTACTTAGCTCAATTTTGCTCTGATTAAAGGGGGTAAGTTTCTAAAGAAACTTTGGTGCTGCATAGGCGGGAGAGTATAGCAGGTAATTTAGTGTTAACAACCGAGTTTAAAACGTAAATTGGCCACTATAAAGAATAAAAAGCTGACATTTCAAGCGTTAGCCCTTTGTCATCTAGTGATTGGAGGAATTGTGGGTTGTGTGTGGGTTTATATGCAGAAAGTGGAGCTACACTATTGGTGGGAGTATGGTGACAAGAAAACAAGAATAAATTTGTTGAATGAAAAGTGCTCGTTAATACTGTGGGGATTAAGACTGCTGATTTTCCAGTGACTTCTGAATTCTCATTTGGTATATTTTTCAACTTTCAGGATGTAATTATTGATGCTATTTATGCTGACATTATCCATGGAAAACTAGACCAGAAAAATAAACAGGTTGGACTTTGAACTTGTGTTGTGTTCACTTCACTGTGGAACCTGCCCTTTAGTACACTTTTTTCCCCAGAAGATGTTTCCATTCAGGGGACACAAATTTTGATCCCAACTGGAAAACAGCTCTGACCTGTAACTTGAAATACAAATGAATTAGTTTTTTTTAATAGGGAACCACTAAGAACCCTTTGAGCCCTGAGATTGACATCTAATTTCTCCTTACAATATCACCTCTGAATCAAACTTTGAAGTTACAAGAATAAAGGAAATGATCACGAACTAAATAAGCTCTTGATTTTTAAACAAACTCTCCATGTCGGCATCTTAAAAATTGTATAGAGAACAGTTTGGAGATTATGCATACTGATATTAGGGTGTAATGGGTTAAGGGGCCTGGAGACACTGTTCCTAGTCTTAATGGTCCCCTTGGGCAGTTCTAATACTTAAGAAATACTACAGAATTTTTGTTTCTTTTATCATGTCAATCTTTAGCTAGAAGTAGATTTTGCCATTGGTAGAGACATCACTCCAGAAACAGTAAATCGTGTCACAGAAGTATTACAAGATTGGTAAGTTTTGTCATGGATCAAAGCAAGTCTATAGAATCATGCTCACATTTAAACTATCCACGGCTACTTGTTTTTCTTAACTTAGAGATGGTAATGGTAATGGTAACTTTATTTATACACGGTAAATCCTTCAGCAAATATTATAAAATGATACAAGATCAACTAAGTATCCCTAACTAAACTAACTAACCTAAACTATATACTAAAAGCTGCTTTACAAGGATGCCGTGTTAAAACTCATTCAAAACTGTGGTGACTTATGTTAAGTTTAAAATCATGTAAAGATGTTGCTGCACGAAAGTCACTTAATAGGCTGTTCCACAACCTGGCTCCGCTGTAAGAGAAACTCTTCTTCAAATAATTGGTGCGGGGCTGCGGAAGAGCCAATTTATTTTCAGTATTCCTTAATCGATATGATGTTTTGTCGTTTCGAAACACAAATCTAGAACTCGGATACTCAGGGGGTCATCCCATGTAAAGGTTTGTACATCACAACAGCAGCTGATTAAAATCTTTGATATTTAAGTTTACGCCAATCCAGTACCCGGAACAATTCATCGATATCAGAGTCATAATTGGCACACGTTAAAATACGGGCTGCACGACTTTGGAGCTTCTGGAGCTTTTCGGAGAGACCACTGCCACAGTTTCCCCAGTCAACACTACAATAATTAAAATATGGCTGAACTAGGCTATCATATACGTAGATTTACAACTACAGTTTAATTTCACTTTTAACGAGTAACTGAACTATATTTCATGAAAAAAAAAAAAAATGATGTGATCACATTACTTAAAGTGAAAAATGACCTTCTAAAATTTCCCTCGCTTCTCGCATTTGGCTCCATAGCTCAGTTGTTAGTAGTGCTCAACTAACATCTTGGAGGCGTGGGTTCGAATCCTGTCACAGCCAGCACTTTTACAGCCTTCTTTTCTGCAATCGCTTAAATTGTACTCTATTTGCAAGGAGTATTCCTTTGCTTGATTGTTTAAAATTTGTTCTCTTTTTTCTTTCTATTGTTTTGAATTTAAAGAAAAGAGAAAGAAATGAGACTAAGTGAGATTCGCGCTCATCACATTTGCAATTAACGTACTGCGGTTATTATATTCAATGGGCCCATTGCTAATCTGCTGGTGTATGGTCTCTAAGCAGGATTTGTGCTTCAGTGTTGGGTGTGTAAAAAAGAGGAACCATTGTCGTGTTCTTAAATTTTCAATCAATAAATCTTTTGGTCTATAATCACGCCAAATCAAGCCACTTTTGCTGACTGTTTTTTCTCTTTATTACAGGTGTGACGGCTGTGAATCAGTTCTTCGTAGCATAGAGAAACAAATAGAGAGGGCAAATACACACAAAGAAAAAAAACAAAAGCAGAAGATTCAAGTGGAAGCAGAGGTAGAGAACAGTCTTTTAACCCATCTTTAGCCACCATACATGGTACACCACCTGCATACCTGCATGCTAGACTCGTTTAGTATAGGTGTGACGGAGGGCTAACGCTCTATCGCTCTGACGAAGAGCCAACACTCGAAACGTCAGCCTTTAAACTCTTTACGGTGGTCAATTTACGTTTTCAACCCAGTTGTTAACACAAAATTACTTGTTATACTCTCCCACCGACGCAGCACCACAGTTTCTTTAAAAAGTTACCACCTTAATTCGTTTAGTATAGGATTAATTCAACGAGAACCTAGGGAAGATTTAATACTCGGAATCGTTACAGTCTGAAGTTTTAGAATAGGTGGATGAGTCTCATTCGTTTAGTTCATTCATTCAGCTATCAGTCAGTCATTCTTTCGTTCGTTCATTCCTCCATTTTTCCATTTTTCTCTCATACTTTCATTTCTTCATTCGTTTTTCCATCCATTTATTCATCACTAAGTTTAACATCAATTTCTCATGACTGCTTTTTATCTCCAGGTCGAAAATCTGAAAAAGGCAATAAAGGCATCTTCACAGTCAGACATGGATAATGGTGGCGTATCAGGAATGCCAGCAAGTTATCACAGTCAGCAATATCAACAGAAAGCTCCAACCACCTCCAAAACTAAAGGGTTGGTCTATCTTATTTCGGTTCTCCTTGATGTCCAAGCGTTGATTTTTTACAATACAAACTTCGATACCTACTTGATTTGACTCAAATGATCAAATTTGAACTTGAAACTTCGCATATTTAGCCCATGGAAAGTTCGCTGGACCATTGAACTTCTTAGCAAGTCCACTCGATCATTGCTCTACTTATTCTCATATGCAGGTCAAGTGGAATTTATGTAGTGAGAAATTACGATCAGAATCCTTCACGGGAAAGAAAGAACCCTCTAAAATGTGCGGCTTCATGGCTCAGTCGGTAATAGCGCCCAACGAGCTTCTGGGAGGCGCGGGTTCAATCCCGTCGAGGCCTGATGTTTTTTTTTTTTCAGGCTTTTCTGCAGTTGCTTAAGTTGCTGCTCACTTATGAGAATTGTTGCTTTACTTGATACTCGAACATGAACCATTGGCACTTTCGGTTTTTCCACCCACTTTTTTTCTGTTACAGATTACGAGGAAGCGGAAAGGTATTCGGTACTCAAGTTCGCAGATGACTGAAAATGACACAATACTGCCACCAGGATGGACTTAGCTTATTCGCATTTTTGTATTATCTCTCAGTTCAAACCTGCTTGGTTACCGTTTATAATCCTCCACTGGTCGGTGTGGGCAATACTGGTGGTTATACCTCGCACATAAGGAAAGAAGGACATCGATCGTAAACGAGAAATTCCGAAGCATGACGAAGATTTCCGAAATGTGTCGTATGATTTTTCCAAATTCTAAATCCTTTGAGTCTGGGCTCGGTTTATGATACAAGGTTTGCATTTGATCTGGTTTTTATTTTCTACTCTCTAAGAAAGTCCTGATGTACACGTGCAATTTTTGTCTCTTAAGTTAACCCTTCATGGATAGTTGCTGTTGCAAAGAAAACGTGGTAGCGACATTCTCCAAGGAAACTTCCTGGATAAGAAGTCCAATTTCTCGACAGGTATTCATTTTGCGGCCATCCACGTCAGTTGTTTCCTTTTTTAGAATACTATGTTCCTCACAAAGCATGACTGAGTATTTAAAGCTGCTTCCATAATTGTTTCTAGGGTAACATATGATAACTGAGTTTCTTGCGGATAGTATAAAGCTGGTGTTCAAATGCCGTGCGTGGTATTGTAAATAAAAGGTGGAGCTTTAATTCACGTTACAGTTGTAGGGAAGAATTTAGTACCTTAGTAATTACTGTACACCTATACTTCAAGAAGAAAATGTCTGTTGTCTCGGGTACGGCTGATAAATGTTCAAATTATGTATGGAAAGTCATGCTCAGGGAAAGGGCATTAAACCATATGAGGCCAAATCAACTGCTGGCCAACACTTTTCGTTTGTTCCTCCAGATTCTCCTACGTGGTACACACTGAAAATTCACTGTTGTTGTTGTTGTTTCAGCTTGGTAAGCTCACTTAGGAGCACCTCGAATTCCATTCTCTAAAGCATTAGTGTGCAAGTAGGCCCTCATTATCAGTTAGTAGTGCCAGGACTCCGCCAAACCTTTCTCCGACTCACCTAAAATCTCCCTGCGGAAGGAGAACCGTGCATCCTGTAGCGTTAGCCAATAACGATGGCCTGCTCGCATGGTACTAGAGCCTTAGACTGTTGTCCATGTTGAATATGCTGACACTTACGCGGGGTTTAGGCCCGTTTGTTTACAGAGCGTAAAACAATGTTGCGCCATTTAGTTTGAGAAAAATTTATATTAATTAAAAAATGAGAGGATCTGAGTAGAGAAAAATTCTGTCTTCATGTGACGTGTATGGAAAAACTGTTGTGATATTAGTAGGCCCCTTAAATATGACCATGAAACAGCTCATTTATGAGACACTACACATGAAGGCCACTTGGCAAGAAGATGAAAATGCTCCTTATTCTCAAATGAATCATAGAGCGATCAGGGATGAGAATGAAACTTGTTTACGAGCCCGAGACATACTGGTTTGACAGAATAGATTGCAATTCCATGAAGAGGATCGTTTCTTTACATGTCTTTGCATAATAAAACCGAACCTGATTGTACGGTTCCTAGATTTTGTGGCCTCGCCTCCTATATAATACGAGGCGACCTAACTGTTTTATTCCGAGTATCTTATAAGCTCGAAATTAGCTTTCGATACACATTTGAGTTCTCTCAATTTGCGATTTCTGGCTTATTGCCGCCAGTGCATTGTGTTTCCGTTCTTGCCGCGACATTGCAAAGGGCGGTAAACGTAAAATAATTTTAATCTCGTCCCTGCGTTATTTTAATTTCGAAAAACCAGAGCTTTCCCATGTTGAAATATCTACTTGGGTTTTTATTTTTGTCACAAGTGTTGGGTTTTTTTTTTCTTATTTTGGACACTAGTGTAATATTTCGGACACGTGCCCGCATTTTGATTTTAGACAACTGTTTTTGTTTGTGACCCCTAATGGCGGATTTTACATTTTGGACCTTAGTAGCTGATTTGTTATTTTGGACACTAGTGGCCGATATTTGATTTAGGACCCTAGTGGCCGATTTTTTATTTTGGACACTAGTGGCCAATATTTGATTTTGGACACTAGTGGCCGATATTTGATTTAGGACCCAAGTGGCCGATTTGTGATTTTGGACTCTAGTGACCGATTTGCGATTTTGGACCCTAGTGGCCGATTTTTGATTTTGGACCCCAGAGACCGATTTGTGATTTTGGACACTGGTGGCCGATTTGTGATTTTGGACAGTAGTGGCGGACTTGCGATTTTGGACCCTAGTGGCCAATTTTTTTATGGCCGATCTTTTATTTTAGGACCCTTGTGGATGATTTTCGATTTTGGACGCTAGTGGCTGATTGGTGAATTTGGACACAACTTACGGATTTGTGATATCGGGCGTCAGGGGCCGATTTGATTGTAGAGCCGGATCGTAGAGCCTAGTTAACGATTTTACGATTTTGGACGAGAGTGCCCGATTTTTTTATTTTGGATACTAGTGGCCGATTTGTAATTTTGGACATTAGTGGCAGATCTGTGACTGTTAGAAAGACAATCAATGGCAGATATACCTATGAAAAAGTCTATTCTTATTGATATTATGACGCAAATGCATGGAAATTGTCACTGCCTTTAGCACAACAAGCTAAGGCAATTGCACTGGGGCTGAAGAGGTGTACTAAACCTACAGGTAATGCAATTGATATGAGACATAATTGGGCAGGCTAAGTAATATTACTATGGTCTGCCAGAGCTTTGATCAAACATGATAAGTAAATAATCAGTCGCTTATTAGATTTCGAACATTTTAATTCTCAGTTTTCATCATAAGTGCATCATAAATAAATTATTCAAGCATTGCTCGAGGACTTTGAATTCTTCTAGGATCCGTGTGTACATAGTAACCATTCACATTTTCAGTCGAAGGCGATTTGAATGTAGAGTTTCGTCTTCCAAGAGAGCACCTTGCTCGCACTGCTATCACACCCAATTCTCAAAGTTCTGTGTCATCTAATACATACACTTTGAATCTCTGACCGTTCAAAGAGTATTCTTTAGACGTGTGCAGCTTTTGATGTAACAGTATTTCCATTAATATGTCCTCAATTTCAAGCTCATCATTGCATTCCTGTGTTGGATTTTCTTGTGATATTGTCATGTCGCCGTAATTATCCTCTTTCCTGGTACCCTCGTGGTGAAGAGAGGTTACTTTTTCTCCGGAATAGGCTTGTAGGCTACGCAATACTTCCTCCAGGTCGTGAAAAGAATCTTGACTGTGTATCATAATAAATTTTTTAACCAGTCAACGTTGTTAAGTTGATTTGTATATGTCCTATTTTGTTGTTGTAAGTTCCTGGCTGGCTAACTCAATAACATCATCCCCTCACGGACCATTTTAAGCTTGCGTGCAGAACAGTGCACCTCACTTGGTGACAAAAATGTTAAGCAACTTATGTGTATAACGCTTATCGGCTTTACGTTTGCGCAAATGAAAAAAAACATTTCTTACTTCATTGTTAGCCTGAGAACTCGTCCTAATTAAGGACGCCATGTCAATTCAACGCTTGACCGCGTCAATTCGTAATCAACAGTTGACAAAGAAAATTTGCATCTATTTTCATATCGTTTTGAAAAGGTAAAAATCACTCAAAATAGCGGGATAAATATATAACAATTGCAAATTCAATTACCTGGTTCTCTTTAATATCTCAAAGGCTCATTACATAAAGCTGTTTATAAGCCATCGTTTACAATGCCTGTCTAAAAAACTACTCTCTAGAGTTGCGTAAGATTTAGTGGAAGCAAACTTCGCTATATTATAATAGTATTAGTGATTGCGAAAAAGGATTTACATCATAATACTTGGTATAGAAGGGAACTCAATAAGTGAAGTGTATGACGCAATTTCAAAATAAATAATTGCTCGAAGTAAGTCGACGTCAGAATAATTTACCTCGAGAAAAAAGGCTTGTGTGAGGAGCTCTGACTTGTGTTAAATGGGATCATACGAAATATATATTTCTGTCCGTTCAATAAAACGTTTTGGTCTGATTCTGGCTCCACTAAACACGGCAATAATTAATCCTTTAAACCCCAACATCAGTATCCATATTTTTCATTTTCATCTCTTTACGCTTCTTTCGGTAATGTCAAGGAGGATTCGTTTCCCAATCAAAGCTTCTTAAGTTGGCGATCACTTCCTTTAATCTCATAATCTTAGTGAATGATTCAGCAGTATTACTGTAAGGCGAAACTACATGCTGGTCACTCTTAGGTTTAAATGGATGAATTACTTCGGTCTGATACCGCTTCAACAGGACGTATATCGTTGGCTAATATATTAAAACATATAACTTGCGTTTAATTACTTATTTGCTATTTACTGATTATTATTTTTTGACGGCAGAATGATAGAAGTTTGATTGCACTTTTTTTTGGTGTCAGAGTGGGTATGTTTCGCCTATTGACGTAGAATCTGTGGTTTAACGTACTCTATCGACACATCCAGTTCGGTTAAAGAGAGACGATTGGAGCAGTCTTCAATTTATCGTCAAAAAGTTATTCCGGGGACCAATCAGAGCGAAGGTTTGCATCATATCACAAGCCAATGAGGACTCTAAGTGAAAAGAAGCAAAGAGCTTGAAGCGCGGGAAAACGCGAGTGACCGAGGTGTAAATGTTTTAAGTTTTGTATCTGATTGGTTGGGAAATTGACGCGATTTTCAAGAAAAATCATAGAGCAAAGTGAAATACAACCATCTTAAATCTGTATAGTTTCCTAGATATGTCAAATAGAACATCTTGAAATATTCACTCAGGGAGCGTCTTCGTGTGATCAATACATGGTCTTCCTCGCAGACCCGTACTTTGGGATGTCACGCAACGCCTAGCGTGCGTGTGTCGAAGCATGCATGCGTGCAGGAGGTCTGGAGAGCATGGAAGAATAGTAAGAGCTGTTGAGGCTACTGAAAGTAACTTAAGCTTTTCAATTGCTCTCTAAATTTCTCAAGTGCTCCATAACTCAATATACGCACGGTCAAAAGCGTTTACCAATTCTTTAATAATATAGCAGTTTTTTCGTGTAAGCAAGCAGGCTTCATCTGGATTAATTAAAAAGTCGATGGATACTCAATTTCTTAAAAAATTTTTTAACATTATTTACTTCCTTATAGTAATTAAGAAACTGAAGGCAAAAATATTCATATAACATAAATTTTGAGGATGTTTTCGTTTCCTAAAAAGTTGAAGACCACGAAGAAGGGGTTGGATTCTTCAAAATGATGACAACATCACGTCTCCTGTGACTTAGTTCTTTGTTTATTTGTCGCTTCAAGGTGGTAGATTGTTATCTTTTCCCCTGGAAATTAGATGTCATTCAAATCGCGAAGTTTACAGTTTTTATTTGAGTTCAGTCCTCGGAAAACCATTCGCTGTGCGACACAGATGCATGCTCTTGAAACAATTTATGAGCATATTTTCGAGCAAGAAGAACGCTATTGTGAAAGATGTATATATTTTTCTGGTTTCTGTTTTGGAACATCATTCTATTTTACTCACCTGCACTTGCTTTACTTTAGCGCGTGCCTGTAACTTTATTCGGTCAAATGGACTATGAGTGCAGCAGTGGACGATTATGCATTAAACGTCGTGTTCTACAAAGCTAGGGAGATTTCGCAACAAGGGTTAGTTAATAACATGTATGGAATTTTAAGAGCAATATTGTGGCGGTTTATAGAGGAAGATATCAAGATCTTGCTAACTTAATCAAATTTAAAAGTGACACTGTTTTGTTAAAAAAAATAATAAATAAAAAAAATTAATAAACTTTGATCCACCCGTAAATTTTACCATAATGGTTTAAAGGGGTCTTTTTTTTTTAAATTTACATTTTGGACATAAGCGTGCGGCATATTAAAAATATTATTGTCAAAAGTGTTTTGTGTAAATACGTCAAGAGAGACGGTAAATTTTTAGGCTCGTACGTCAAAAAGGAATATTTCACATTTTGACACTAGCTTGGATGAAGAAAATTATAAACTTTATATAGGGATCGAATTTCTCCACAAATTCTCTACAAAATAGGAAGAGAGATTCGAATCTTCGTGGGAAATTAATAATTTGTTTATGTTCTTCGCCAGTGACGAATTTGTAACATAACTTTACGTTCAGAGACCAAACCAAAAATTTCAGTCAGTTTCAGAAATATGTCAACCGCGCTTAACATCCGTGGATATCTGTGCGCTTTTCATTTAAACAGACCTTTGGAAATCAAATGTCTAAGGTTGTAAACCTTTTATTCTGCTCAAGAGAATGGTAGAAGTTTTTTAGAGAACTGCGTAAGAAATAAAGCTGTTTCCCTGCTTGAGGGCTATCACCACGTTGGAGTAATAAATGAGTTTACTAATTGCCTTTTCTTTGCGACTGTCAGATTTTCGCGAGCATTTAAACAAACCTTTGCAATTAGAAATCAACTGTCCAAGGTTGTAAACCTTTTACTCTACACAGGAGAATGGTAAAAAGTTTAGAGAATTGCATAAGAAGTAATTCTTTTTTCCTGTTTGAGGGCTATCACCACGTTAAAGTAATAAATGAGTTTACAAATTACCTTTTCTTTACGACTGTCGGATTTTCGCGAGCGTTGGCGTCGAAAACGAATACTTAATGTTTTCGAAGCAATACCCTCACTTAGCGATACAATTTCCCCGAAAAAAAGATTTGTATTGATCTGCTTGTACCTGTGTGCACATAGAAAAGTGCTGTCGTCAAAATATCATGTTCCTGGTCTTCTCAACTTAGATTGGAAAAAAGCGCTTGAGAAGTACCTTATTTTGTATATTTATGTATGGGAGACTATGAATCGGATGTGTTTGATTTGCAGATAGAATTCTACATAAACAAATAGAATAACCTGTAACACGCATATTTCTGCCTGTCAAACTACTCACCGATTGTGCACCTGTCATAAGCTACTTAAAACAGCACTGGCTACAACTTGAGAAAATTTTGGTCGGGGAAGATGTTTTGCGAGGACTGAAAATTGAAATCTTTTAGCAAGACTTTCATCTCTAAGCGTAAGCTGGATTCATCGTTTGGAAGTGTTGAGGAATGATTTAAAGCGTGATTTCAGAGCCGCTTGCTCGTCGGTAATATAAAAACATACAATTATCAAATGGCGAAAACGTTGAAACGAGAATTTTGCGTTGAAGTTGGCATCCTCATCCAGTTATGTGGTTTTTACTTCTCTGGAGTCATTCTTCCTGTTTGCTGGGGATGTTCTGGTAAGCTGGCTACGTTCTGCACTTAATCAATTCTACATGTCGGTCGGTGTGTTCGTAATGTTTGAGAGCTCTGTTATAGGTAAGCTTTCCATTGTTTCAAGAGCAAACAATCAGATGAAACTTTTTGTGAAGGGGATCTTTGTGAGACCTGTTAGCAATTGCTATTTTGAGTTTATCACAAACCCCCTAATAATACAGACTTGATGAGTTGTAGCTTTGTGATAAGTTATACAAGGGGCCTTTTGTTCGGAGTCTAGCGGGTTTGTATCCCTTTGGGTCAGGCATTACTCTTGCTCTCGAAAAATGACTATGACGTTAACTCGTGTTTCAAATTCTACAGTAACTGGAGCTTGAATTTGAAAGAGTGTTGATTCAGCTACAAAACTCTCTTGAAAGGCTAATGAAGCATCTGCTAGCTAATTGTGAAAACAGGTTAAAATCCAGAAATTCAAATCAAACTTTAGCCTATTTTTTTAAGACTTACAGCGTAAAGTTTCAACTTAATTATGGGTGATTCTCTGCGCTAGACTAACTTCTACTTTTCTCCAGTGGCTGAGTTTACTAGGATGAAAATGTCTCAAAGGAGCTCGCCATAAACATAAAAGTAAACGAAATTCGCTTTCATGCTTTTCAAGCTACGTTTTTCCCCGAAAGAACTCATTACATGGTTATTGAAGGCAGCGACGAGACGGTTATTTTACCAGTGATTTGTGGTCAAATGGACGAATACATTCAAGATCGTTATGTTTATCTGAAATAAAGTTTTTTAGTTAAAATAAAACGTTTGTTAGGTGGAAAAGGTATACCTCATCCTTCGTAACTGAAAACAACGGGAAAATAATCAATTTCTGGGCCATGGTAGGGATTACCTTAAACTCGACATTCTATGACTCTCAAGGTAGTTAATATAAGACGAATTAACCCTTCTGATGTCAAGGTCTCATTTTTCCACGCGTTTAATAGATGATGAATGTCGCTCCATTATCTTCAAAGAACCAGTGCAAGACAAGGTCATAAAAGGCCACTTAATCCGGGCTGTGGAGGTACCCAACCGGGGGAGCTGTGACGTGATGTGTTATATGGAGCCCAGCTGTGTGTCCATAAATATAGGACCATCTCCTCAAGCAGGGACATACATTTGTGAGTTGAATAATGCCACGGATGACAACAAAGGCTCACGTGTTTTACAGAGTAAAAAGGATTACATTTATCTTGGTATTGAGGTAAAGTACTTGATGTACCTAATGAACAATCCCTCTTTCAAATTGTGTGCATTCAGAGTCAAAACAGAAGTTTGCTTATGACGCTAGCTTTGTTTCTCAGAGGTCATCCATGGCAGGTCATTACATTGTAAATTAGCGTATGAATTCAAAAAACAAACCAGAGAATGCTAATATCAATTTCCTAGATGCCTGGGAAGTTTTGCTTTCACTTAAAGAAAACTGTATTATAAAGACTGATCATTATTTGATGCCTGAGGGGTGGGGGGTGGAGGATTTAAGAAGATCACATGGTTTTCAGAGGGGACGGGAGCTCCTAAACAAAAATTTAATACTAATCAAATAATAATCAAAAAATCAAAAACCATCAAATTCAATTTTCTTTTGAAAAGAATCCCTGCAGCAGCAGTCCCTGTTTCAACAATGGCACATGTCAAGCTGGTTACACTAGTAAAGGATTTCGTTGTAAATGTCCTACTGGATTCACTGGCGCATTTTGCAAAGAAGGTAAACCAAAAAAAAAAAAAATAATAAATGGGTTGGTGGGAAGTATACGTTAGATAATTGCTTCTATTTTGTCTCAGCCTGCAGTTTTAACTTTGAAGACGGCATCGGTGGGTGGGTGAAGTCAGGCACAGCTTTTGATAACCAACCAACATTTGGTGACAATCCAAAGGAACGCAAAAGAGAAAGCGCCAGACAACAGGGGAATTGGTGGATAGGGGGAGCTGAACTTCGACCAAAGGAAAGCGCACCTCCTGGAAAACAACCACCGGATGCGGATTTACCCCAAGGCACTCTAACTTCCCCCTGCTTTCAGATCGTTGGCTATAACATCTCGTTTCTTATTGGTGGGGGCTGCGAGATAAATAAAATCCGCGCGGAACTTATTGTTAACAACAAGGTAGGAATCTCTAATTGCATTATGCGTTGCAATATTTCCCTTCCTGTTTTTTTTTCTTTGGCAACACCGAAATGCAAAGCTAATATACAACTATAGTATGGAGGCATGAAACGTGCGGCGATCCTTCAGTTACGCCCCGTATTCTACAGAGGTTCAACCGCCGGTTATTTTCAGTCGAGTCTTGGTGCCTCCCCTGTCGCTCATTCGCAATAAGTTATCACCAATCAATGTCCCTTCTAGAACGCAGCAAAACTTCTTAGCAATTGCCCGCCGCAAGAATCAAACCTCCTATATATTTTCCGACTTAAGAATGCATTGCAATACAAAAAGGGTGAAAATGACAATGACGAGGACGGTGACGATGACGATAATAACAAAAACAAAAACAAAAAATGATATAAAACATAATTTTGAAACAATAGAACATAATGGAGCAAAAACTTTTGTTTTTCTGTTCCCCTTTCTTACAAATATCATTATATCTGTTGAAAGAGACAAAAGAGTACTAAGCCACTTAATCCAGAGACTCCTTAGAGACCATAACTTTATTCTGTCGCTAAAGTTTTAAACCTTTTTCAATCGTTCGTTGTTAGGTTGTGAGAACTAAGACGGGAAACTGTTCGGAGACGATGTACCGTAAGAGCTGGGACGTTGAGGAGTTCATTGGTCAATACGCTCAAGTCAGACTAGTTGACGAGAAATCAGCTGACTGGGCTCACATTAACTTTGATGACCTCAGAGGGGATGTCATTTGTCCACCTGTCTGACGAACGTTTGATGGAAAAGATCTTCCATAGGAGACAAGGCGGGAAAATAAAAATGTGAAATAAAAAATCATTTCCTTATTATTATTTTATTTTGCCTTGGACAAAGACACCCGGATGAAGGCCCATCAAAATCTTTAAAAAGGAGGATTTGTCTTTCTTTTACAAGTTTTCTCGCCTTTACAGTGGACTTTCACGCCCTCCAAACTCACGAATTATTTGCTGAAGAACTCCTTTGCAACTCTGACTTGACTTACCAAAACTCCTCTTGATTTAACATGTTGCTATCAAAGCATATCTGTTCTCATAGCATATCTGTTCTCATATTTCCCCCCAAAGCATATCTATCCTTTGCCCAGACATACGTCACTTTTCCCTAACAATCTCCAGAATCCACTAATGTTCTAAGGGATTCCTGGGAGAGTTTTATTACTACTGTTGAAACTGTAATAGGCGGCTGGCTGTCAAAATCTCCGAATCTGTTTCCTCGTAATCATTGTAATTTTCACCTATTTAGCGGTCGTGGCCACCCTTGACTAAGTCTCAATTGTATTATCTTACACCTGTATGAAACGGTCACTTAATGCGATACTACTAAGATAAAAGTAAGAAAAATCATTCAAGTAACTTTTAATCCATTTTTCTCTCCCGAAATAAACGTTTTTTTACATTGAGTTATCAATTATGGCATAAGATGGCGTTTTTTTTATCGTTTTTTATAATACTCTTCCTTCTGGAAGCTGTATTAAGCGGTCAACCTGCATTTAGCGGTCATTCCGCTATTCCCCACTTAATACAGGGTCGACTGTATTTCAGAAACTGCTGAAGCGGTTTTTCCCGGCCCCTTCCTTTAGGATCAAACTTATATTGAGCTCGTACAGGGTCGAAGCTTAGCTTTTTAACAAATTAAAGTATATATGCAACACTGCGAACAAAATTACAAACATTTAAATAGAAACATTCTAAATCGAAGCATTGTTGGAAATAATTTGGCCGGTTGTGGCGTTAGAATCAGATTATAAATAATAGGCCAATGAAACCCACATTTTGACAGACTTTTAGACAGCTCGTTCGCCAATAATTAAGGCTCACTCCGTTTTCAGCAGACGCAATTTGACGAGCAAACTCTTCATTTTCCCAATGGATATCTTGAAGGCAAACGGATACGTTTAAATTAGGTCGTCTTCTGCCGATCGACGTTAACTTTCAAGTGCATCTTGCAGCGCGGAGTTGCGGAGCCGGTAAAGTGATAACCAGAGACATTTAATTGTTGAGAGGTGTTTTTTAGCTGCTTTATTGACCCATGAATATTAGTTGTGCTTCTGTAAAACCAATATAATAAGCAATGTCTTCCACTAGATTATGTAAGTACCTATGCAAATTAATATACCTGATGAGAGAGGGTTGAGAAATAACAATTCGGGTGTATACGCGTATAACAATAAATCAATATGGCTCGTATGTGCACAGAATTTAGTCGCTTGATAATCATTAGAATGACGTTTAACTTACATACAGCCTAATCTCGCAATAGACGAAATGTAGCCCACGTAAGACGTTGCGAGACACATTTTTCTCACTAATTTTCCTTTTAACGACTTGACAAGTTCGTGATTATGAATAATTTAAAAGCCAACGAGCTGTCTTCAATTTAACTTCATTTTGCTTCATCAATTAGATACTTCAGTATTATAAAGAATTTCATTATAACGTAAGCCTTTGCCACTATTGCCATTAAAATAAAACGTTACTGTTGAATAACAGGTAATCTTCGCCATTCAGTTGTATTGTAATAAGGGTTTAGTCTTCAATTTTATTAATTAATCAGCCGCTGTATTTAGCTTTGTCATACGACGTTATGCTAAATGGTTATATGTTTTGTTAAAATGATTCCGCATTGAGAGAAATAATTGCAGGTGAGCGTGATATCCTGCCTCTTGTGCTGTAAAGATGAAAGAAAATAGCGTTCTCAGATTCTAAAGGCTTCGAATAACGGTTTGCTGGAAAGGAAAGGAACTATTCCGAAGACAATAAAAGTGTTTTACTCATTGCATTCGTGTGATTGGCTGCATAGTTAATGAATGATCCCCGCTGGCGTCTTTGTTACCAGCGTCATAAGTGATCCACACCATTAAAGGAGCACCTGTCTAAGCCACTAACAACGGCACGACCATCTTCTTGAGAACATTCTGTTGAACAAACCAACTGGAGTCCCTTCAAGTTTGCCAACATGTACGAAAACGCCTTTAGCTGTACAGACATGGAAATTTTTAAAATGTTGTAAACTGTTAATTCAATGCGTGACCGGTAATCTTTTATTCTAGATCACAAGCAAGTGGCGGAAACGTGCAGGCTGAGTATGGAAGCTTCCGTTTTACTTTTAAGCTTTCTCTTTTATAGCGGTTTTATTATTCCGTTATCCTCTGGATGTTCCGCAGGTAAGTCGACAAAGTTTTGAATTTGTTTTGCTGATATTCGTTTAATTCATTTCCACAGTTTGAATACCTCCTGTAAATATAACTTTTTTTTATTCGTTAGGGATGGACGGCTATGTCTAGTCACAAGAGAGTTCTACAAAGATTATTGTCGATTAGAATATCTTACAAAATACTCATTTGTGCCCCAGTTCGCGGCAAAAATGAGTATTTGTGCCGCAGCTGGGTGTTTGCACCGCCAAATTAGTATTTGCGCCGCAGTTGGTGGCACAAGAATCTGACGCAATGATCAAATTTCCAATAGTAGTTCATACACATTGGGATCGATTTGAAACGAGATGTTAATTATTTGCTTTCCTCTTTGACGGTCATCTTGCCTCTGGTTCTCACAACTTGCTTTGATGTACATTCAAAATCTTACAGAGATAGCCACTGAGGCAAAATCTTTCTTAAGCGAAAAATTGAAGGAGAACTTTTAATCTGCCAGGATGCCATAGCAGAGAAAACTCTCACAGTACAAAAAAAAAACAACAACAACAACAACAACAACAGGAAACCATGATCCAGCGTCTGTCGAGGCAAATTAACTTTTTTGGAGATATTACCCAGCCATTGAAACCAATTTCTCTAAACCAAAACAGTACATTAACTTTACCATTTCATTCTCTTTTGCTATTTGAATACTAAGCAGGTGAAGAATGTCGATCCATTGTTTTCAAAGAACCACTACAGGGCAAAGTCATAGAGGGGCACTTAATCAGGCTTGTAGAGGTACCCCACCAAGGGAGATGTAACGTGCTGTGCTATATGGAGCCCAATTGTGTGTCCATAAATTTGGGGCCTTCGCAAGGAGGCAACTACATTTGTGAGTTAAACAATGCTTCGGACGAAAGTCCAGGCGCATCCGTCCTTCAGAGTAAACAAGATTATACTCATTTAAGCATCGAGGTAAAGTGAATTATTTCAGACGGCGAACAATTCTTGTGGGCGATAATTTTGTGGGATCACTTCTCAAGCGATCCCTGCAATCCTTGTTTTGAATTAAGGTGATTCTTCAGTGTTGTACCGGGCATCACGTGAAACTTTTTGACCCGATTTTGTATGAGATTGAGTGATTTTTCCACAGATTATATATTACATTGTTCCATAAGTCCTATCGACTCTATACCTATCGCTCGAGTGTTTCAGTTTAACGTTCGTTTAAAACTACCTCAAAATATACTGTGAACCGATGAAATAACGCATGTGATTAGTACCAATACGGGAATGAATTGGGTGACATTGGCCGTTCATATCCGTTTGGTGACCTATCTTTTGTGTGGTTGTACCAATGCAGGAATGAATGGGGTAAGATTAGCCCATCATATCTCTTTGGTGACCTATCTTTTGCATGGTAGTTTTCGAAACAGAGATAAGTAATGAACACTTTGGGAAAATAAGGAATCACCTGAACAAGGGAGAATACCAAAGCTACGGTACACCAGTGGTGTCCTCTGTACAACGTTAAAACGAGAAAATTCCAATACGGAAATGGATGGGGTGACATTGGCCTATCATATCTCTTTGGTGACCTATCTTGTGTTTGGTAGTACCAATACGGGAATAAATGCTAACAGGCACCAGTGGTTTATCTGTACAGCGTTAAAACGAGAAAAATCAAAGAACCCGTGGCTAAAAAGAATAGGAGCCATTCTAAATAAATCAACCACTACTCGACCAACGAAATATCCAGTAACTCGATCGACTGATTTTCTGGTTTACTGATCAACAAGTGTAACTGATTCTAGTCTTCACTTGATCAAAAAGCATGAAGAAGTTATCACTCCAGCAAGACTGTGTTACTTTAGAATAAATAATAACTAACCATAGACATTTATAATACGCAGTCCTTTTGTCTTGAACAGAATCCATGCAGCAGCAGTCCTTGTTTCAACAATGGAACTTGTCATGCTGGATACACCGATAAAGGATTTCGTTGCAAATGTCCTTCAGGGTTCACTGGCGCATACTGCAATAAAAGTAATTGAGTACAAACCTGTAAAGTTAACTCAATACCAAATGTAACCATAGGGTATTCTGGGGGATAAAAAATTCCGTATTTTTTCTTTTTTTCTATTGTAGCCTGCAGCTTTGACTTTGAAGATGGAATCGGTGGATGGGAAATGACAGGCACAGCTTTCATTTATCAACCAACATTTGGTGACAATCCAGCAGCACGCTACAGAGAAAGCGCCCAGCAACAAGGGGACTGGTGGATAGGGGGAGCTGAGAATCGACCCGGCGAAAGCGATCCAGCAGGATGGCAGCACCCAGATGGGGCCGATCCACCCCAAGGAACTCTCATTTCTCCTTGTTTCCGTATCGTTGGCAAGAATATCTCGTTTCTCATCGGTGGAGGATGTAACATAAGTGATATTCGTGCGGAACTTATTGTCAAAAACCAGGTGAGATTATTCACTTTGACCATTATGTTTCCTTTGATTCTAATGAAGCAGTTTAGGTAGATTTGTCAAAGTATCAGAGATTTGGTCTTTCAAAATTGCGAAGCCATTTTGAGCTTCGTCATATCCATGAGATTCGTATGGTTTACAATGAGCTATTTACAAGGAAAAAATATATTTAAAAAACAAAGAGATCTAGTGTCGAAATCGTTTGGTTTTTACTTCCCAAATATATTTTTACCTTATAAATAGCTTATTTTGAGTTTCCTCAAGAGAGGTTCCACGAGGGAAACAACCTCGCGTCTGGCACACTTTATTTGTCTTTAGCATACACAACATTGAAACGACAGTGCAGAGCATCGCAATCAGCACGGTCGATGCCGTAATGTCTTGATTTCAATAGTAAGAGGTTGCTCTTCCTTTGAATTAAAGTATGATACAATCATGACAGACATGTCAGCACTGATCGAAACAAAGGTTTAAAAGCTGTTTGATATGTTTGTTGTTACATGTAGGTTGTCAGAACAGAAACAGGCAACTGTGAAGAGACAATGTATCGTAAGAGCTGGGACGTAAAAGAATTTATTGGTCAATACGCCCAAGTCAGACTAGTTGATGAGAGGAATTGTTGTTGGGGTCACATCAACTTTGATGACCTTAAAGGAGACATCATTTGTCCTCACTATTTAAACGAAAACAACTGAAGGGAAAGTAAGGGCACAAAGGATAAGCGTTTTTCAGGTTTTTACTGATAGTCACCTTCTGACAGTAAGGTTTGACAGCTTTTGATATTGTGTGATTCTTTTGTAGAGAACTTGCTTTGTGTTGGCATAGATAGGCACACTCACGCTGTTTGTAGGAAAAGTAGAAAAGTATTATGAAACAATTTTATACGCGTGGCAAAAAATGCTGTACGTATCATCCACTTGTTACGTTGAATTACCACGACAAAATGAGAGTCTTTTGCTTTAGATGCTAGCAATCATATCATATTAAAATGCTTCTTGTTTTGTTGAAATTTCTGTTGAAGGCTCTTATGAACACTCAACATTTACTTTGAAAAATCCTTGGCTGTAAAAACTCCTGGTAGATTTTGTTCAGGATACAGATTTTAGTCCTTTTTGTTTAAGCTTCCAAAACAGGTTCCAAAATAGCGCAATAGTTTTCTCTAATTAAAAACCAGTATCGAGGGTGCAAAGATCATGTTATTAAAACAGCCAAGGTAGATTGATCAACGCATGTGAGATTTGGTTTTTCAAAATTGCAAATCTTACACTGCATTTTTTAAGTGCAATCCATTGCAATCAGCACACGCAGTGCCATATTAGCACCGATTCCGACACACACAAAATTCCTTTCAATATAATATGCTATCCACGTCAGCAGTGATCGTAACAAGGGTATAAGAGTTTTTGTGTTTGTCAATACGTTAAGGTTGTCAGAAATGAGACATCTAACTGTTCAGAGACTATTTACTATAAGAGCTGGAACGTAGAAGAGTTCCCCGGTTAATACGCCCAAGTCAGATTAGTTGATAAGAGATCTATTAGTTAGGGTCACAGTGCCTTTGATGACCTTAAATGAGATATCATTTGTCCTCACTAAAAGAAGTAGAAGTGAAAGCAAAAAGGATTAGCGGCTGTTGAAACCAACTTACCCCTTCAAGTCAGGTTTTTGCGCGGAATCACCTTAAAAGTAGGTTATAACAGCTTTTGACGTTGTATAGTATTTGCTATGTGCCAGCATTGAGACAATTTTATGTGCGAGACAGGAAATTTTATAATCATGTCTTCCAATCGTTATAGTGGTGTACCGCGGCAATAAGAAGTCTCTTGCTTTAAATACCAGTAGTCACATCATGTGACAACCCACCTTTAACTTAATATGTATAAAAACTCTCATTAGATTTTATATAGGGCTGCAGAGGTCAAAATAGGTTGCAATATAGTGCAATAGTTTCCCTTATCATGCGAAAGCCAGTATCAAAGCCGCACAGATCATGTTAATGTAGTATTTAATGGGTAGTATTTCACCTTAAAAACGAGGTTCTCCCTTTGTTCTTGGTCTTGGAAACCTCGCAAGATCTTGAATCGGATCATTTTGATTCGTTACTTTAACCTTCCTTTCTGTTGTATTCAGTTCAACCAATGAAATGTAGAACAGCTGTAAGTTTATGGCGACTAGGGGTTACTTCCAGTTAGTAATATCTTACGTAACGTGATTTTAAAATGGCTCAGACTGGCGGGAGTCAAACAAACCTGACACAATTGTTGCAGAGAAGCACAATTTTGGAATAAAGAGAAACAAGTGTGCTTTGTCCACCTGAGAGTTGGTAACGAGCTGTGATTGGCGGAATGAAGTTAATTCGATTAAAATGTCTCAAAAACTTCGAGAAAACTTTATCAAATTTCTTTGTTTGTCTCCTTGTCAGTGTCCATATTTGGGTCTTGCAATTTTTGATCTTCGGTAACTTATACCGTAGAAAATTGTGAGAGCTGATCACTCACCAGTGCTTCATTACCTTTTTAGCTTTAGTTTAATTTTATCTTTTTTGCATAAATATCATTTTGGAATATGTACATCACAGTTTGATCAATCGGTTTTAACCATGAAAAAGCATAATTAAAAGTTTCATTTTAAATCTTATTCAGGAATATTTACTCGGAAAGTGCATGCACAGAGTGTGTTTTTAGTGAGGCAGGGTTAATAAGAATAGAGAAATTTGACTCCCAATAAAAATACATTTCAAAATATGAACACCTTTGACTTGTATTTTTCTGTTTCATAAGGCCATCCCTTTACAATGAAATATTTCCAAATCGTATTCAATTGATCGCTTTGCTTCGGAACTGAAAAATATAATAAAGAGATGGGTTAACCAAACGGTGTCATGTTGAGACATTTTTCCGCGTCCGTTCTTTTATGCCGTCTTAAACGAAGAAAGGCCCGCTAGTACATCATAAGTTCAAGTCGTTCGGCCAAGTGAGTAACAATATACACGAAAAAATTACACGCTTCTGATTTGCTGAAAACGAGTCCATTTTTTGATGTAAAACGAGAGTAACGTTGTGAAACGAGAGTAAATTATAAACAGCTGCAGTACACGCACTGTGGAAATTTCGTCTGCTTGATTTTCTGTGGTGGCTTTTCCAAGTGAATTATTACCAAGTAATAGCAACACTTCTCGTTCAATTTGTTGAAAATAAGTACTTGCAAATTTTACAAAACCTATAAATTGCACTCGCCTTACGGGCCTTTGCAATTATGTTGTCTTTAAAAAATTTACTCCTGCTTATTGACACTAAACTGAAATTATGTTCTTAGCTATACTTAAACTGGAAACAAGGTCAAAGACGACCCCTGTAGTTCCTGTATATACGAAGTTGGCTGTCCGTTTAACTTCAACTTTTCTTTTGTCAAAATCTTTTTCGCCCCAGTTGTCTTTTGTCGATCAGTGTGACCATGTTGGGAACGGTGAATTTTTTTCTTTTGTTATTCTACTGCAGGTGATTCGATAACCCAAGGAAAGACCACATATCTGACATCCTTTCGAGTAAACAGTGTACTCGGAGTCAAAATGTACATAATTAAGAAACGTAATTAAAAACTATTACTCAAGTCAGTCGGTGTATGATTTATATGTAATAAGGTGCAGTTTAAGTCCAATTCATCACATTTCTCAAACATGTTCATAATTCTGAGAATTTAGGTCTAGTTTATGCTGGAAATCAAAGAAGTATGAGCAGAACAAAGATTGTTAGACTTCTGTTCACTGTGTTCTCTTGAGCTCGAATTATGAATTTAATATTTGTGACTTGAATTCCACCTGTTCGGAAAGTGGTTTTTATTTCTGTTTATACACGTACGCACCATCTCATAAATCATAATAAAAAAAAGACACGTTTAAGAAGCTTATTTTCAACCTTTAAATGATTATTTATCGACCAATATAGAAGAATTTACATAAAATCGTTTAGGAAAAATCTTGGCGCCAACAAAACGTTGCCCGGGACACTTAAGGGGCAGGTATTGAAATCCCTCGTCACTGATGAAGATGCTAATAGGGGTTATCATTAAATGACATTTATCAAGGGATGCTTGGAAAAGCGGAACTCGAACTCATATTGTAGATGCAGAATACTTAAGACCGGCACATGGGTTTTCCGATTTGAAAGGGGGCTATAATGAACTTTTACAACCTGTTAAAAAGTAATGGTGATCTGGTATTATCTTTAATTTACAGCGATCACAAACAATTTAGAGGCAAATTGTCATTCACCAGGTGATATTATTTAAAATTCATAATCAAAATATTATGAATGTGAGGCTATTTTGCATTCATTATAGATTACCAAAAAACGATGGCTCAAGCTGTCAGACGAGACTTTCAGTAAGGTAGGGGACTGAATTCAATTGTGTATTCGTTTTTGTTCTTACTAATTTTTTAATTGAAACAAAGTACAAACTTTCTGAATGGTGGTCCACGCCAAAGAAACTCAAATATCTGTGCTTTAATTTCCTCTTTAAAGGTAAGAGGCCTTCCTTTTCATTAGTTTTGATATAAAATTGAAGAGGAATGGCTGGAAAGCCGGATGTTATTTTAAAACTAATACTCAAATCTCAAGACTCAAGATCTCTGGACGAGAACCACTCGAACAGTTAAAAATGTCACCAATATACAAAAAAAGGAAGACTGAAAAAAGTAGTTTTATCAATAACCTAGAGTTGCTCTCGGCTGTACCTTGTGGTCTCCAAACTTTCCACGTGTATCCACAATGTCATATACGCACGCTAAGCATGGATTAATTCTTTATTCCTACAGGAAAAATGCCGTGGCCAAATTTTTGTTTCTTTATCTTGGCTTTTTTCGCGGGCCGCGTATCTGCTAATGAACAGTGCAGGATGGAGATCAACATTCAAGGCATGAAACTTGAAAACTTTGTGTTTAAAAGAATGTCAGCATCAGCTCCTCACATCTGTGATATTCGATGTGGACAAGAAATCACCTGCCAAAGCTATAACTACAACAGAAAGGAAAAGATCTGCGAATTGAACAACCGCACCAAAGAGGCGAGGCCTGAAAATTTTCGCTCGGCCCTTGGTTGGTTTTACATCCGGCGTTTAAACGGGAGAGGTATGTTTTAAGTTAAAGAATGTTTACGAGGAAAATTTACTCCTAAATTATATTTTAGAGCGCAGTATGTAGTTGCCGATGTAGTCAGAAGGCCTTCTCGTTCGCACGTTATGGCCGAGAGCAAAGTGTTTTCCGGTCCAGCCCGACCGAATTCAGACAAGGAGCGTTTAATCCTAAGACTGTCGTTCTTCTTCTGGCTGACAATTTTACCATCTTGCATCACGCCGGACCGTAAGCCAGCTCATGCAAGTTTTTCCGGCTCTGTTCGCGTGATCGCGTACGCCCCTCACGAGAAAAGTTTTTGGAAGACTACAATGCATGGGTTCAAATTTAACTTCAAAATGTTGTTTTAATTTTTTCATCGTGTTTTGCTTTAAAGTTTCTGTGTTTTCATGGTGTCACTGTGAGCAACCCTGACAGGTGCTTCTTTAGGACATTTACAGTTTTTTAACAAATTTAATTTTCAAGGAAACTGTTGAATTAGATTTTTCCGATAAACTTATCTTACTGCTTCTGTGTTTTAACACGTTTGAAAAAAATGTTAGTTTTGATGCTTAAATGAGAAAAATGAAAGTGGGAAAAAAGGTAGGTTGAATTCGTGAAAACGTTAAGTTATTCATAAATGATATTTACCTTTGATGTTTTTATATTTGATAGTATTTTTCCAATGTTTTTAACATGCTATAATTATCGTTTTACCCTTCGCTTTCAGAGTAAGGTAAGAAAAATTCGAATGAAATATTCCACCACATTTCAGTGAGTTAGATACATCTATGCACATAGAGGAAGATGTTTTTCTTCTTGTCACGAGCGTGTGACAAAGAAAAAAATTACTTATCATCTCTCTTATTCTATTTACAAAAACATGACGCTGTCGACATTGTAGCAGTATGCAGGACGCGCGTCATGTATGAACTTCGTAATGGGCCACGCCCACCTAAGAGTCTCTGTGGCTCAGTGGTAGAGTATCGAAGCGCGGAAACCGAAGGTCTGAGGTTCCATTCCTCATGGGAACTCAGAACTTTTTCTTTGTCCCACGCTCGTGACAGGACGAAAAACATCTTTCTCTATTTCCTTACCGAGCTCAAAATTTATTATCTCTCTCATTATGTTAACAATTTATTCCCATCCTGACCTTTTTCGAGGAAAAAAATTTTTGGAAATTATCTTAGTAGTTATCCTACGAATTAATTTTGTAATCTATTATGTGTTGCAGCACCTCTGGGTTCCATTCTGGAATTACCAGCAATGTCTTGCCAAGAAATAAAGGCAAGTGAGGGAAAAGATGCCACAAGCAACAAGTACTGGCTGAATCCAACTGGTAATGGAAAGACAGAGTTGATGTTTTGCGATATGAACTTGGGGACTGGAGGTTAGCCTATTTCATTTTATCTCAACCTATACCTGTCAAAGATTATTATTTTTTAATTTTTGGTTTTATTCTGTTACTTTCTATTTCATCTATTCTTTCATTATTTACCATTTATCTCCCAGACATCGATGAATGCAAGAGTGATATCTTGCTCTGTGACGTGAATGCAAACTGTTTAAACATTTATGGTTCGTATAAATGCACATGTAAGGAGGGGTACAATGGAACTGGACTTGCATGTACAGGTATAATGAACTTACTTTGTTTTAACCTCTGCTTAGGGTTAGGAACTGGCATTTTGTCAGTCGAATCCGAAACTTTTATTGGTTGCTTCCCCATTTTAGATTTCCTAAAAGCTTTTCTTCTAAAGATTGAGCTGAGTGTCTATTCTGGTCAGAGATACCAAATTCTTCATTATTTCATTTCGTTTGTCCTCGTCGCTTTCTCTGCTCCTCGGACAATATCAACCTTGTCTCTCTTTTAACTTTCCTCCGTCCATTTATTGTCTGGGTTATATAGAAACGCAAAGTGGCCATTCTCTAATTTCCTACATTGTGACCTTTCATCTTGGTCATTAAGCCCGCCGACCAAAAACTTCTCTGTGGTTGGTAAGAATATCTGCCGAGCATCGGCTGCGAGGCTCTTTCCTATACGTCTCTCACGCAAACCTTTGCTCACCTAATTGGATAAGACACTTTTCTTGAGACTTCTATTCTCCACAAGAGTGGATATCATTGACGAACGGGGTCTAACGCTGAAGCAGGAAAGGCAGCCACCTTTGTGACGCGAATGCCAACTGCATCAACACCAGTTGCTCTTGTAATTTTTTTGTCTCGGTCCTTAAAAACGCTTAAAACAGAACTTAACCAATATTCAGCCATCTTGACCGAACAAGTGTGGCCAATAAAAGATTTATCACATAGCAAAAATATTTCGCTTTATTAAGAATCAAGAAATACTTGTTTATTTTAAGAGATGGGAAAGAGAACCAACTGCTTTTGTAGCTCAATAAACCCACGAGTTTTCTTTACTTTGACCGTCTTCTACCGCTTTTTGCGACTCCGTCGCTGACACTGTCAGTAACTTACGAACTCCTCTGTAAGTTCGCTCCGAGCAATTTTCTTTCTTGCGCAGAATTAAACCGTGCAATCCCGAGCGGGTACGATGGGCCTAATTTACCCTCTCAGGTAGCCAATCAGAAGACAGGATTCGCTTCAAAATGCCCAAGGGCACTGGCAGCGATATAAAAACAACTAATACTGATAGAGTCGTCAGTATTTCTCGTCAGAATCAAATTAAAATGTAGTCTAAGTATTGCCAGAAGTAAATTATCCTTTATCAACCTTTTAAATTACTTTCCTTAGCTTACGTTATCTTTTTTCTTTAGATATTGACGAGTGCGCAAATTCCAGCATCATTTGTGGTGTGAATGCGACCTGTGTAAACACAAATGGCTCTTATGGTTGTAGTTGCAAGGAAGGATCAGCTGGAGATGGTGGTGTGTGTTCAGGTAAATTAAGTTTCTTTAGGAAGGAATGAGAATTTGCTAAGAGATTGTATGCTCACTGAATTACATCCCAACTGTCCAGGCTGCGCAGGAATTGGACCAAGGGGGCGGAGACCCTGAAATGTCAATCAAAGGTCACCAGCCCTCACTTCTGATGCCAAAAGAGTTTGGTAAAAACGTCTTTTTAAGGGTCTCCTCCCGGGAGAAAAAGCGATTTTCTGGCCCTGGCAGCGCGGAAATTGGGTCGAGGGGGCGCAAATCCAAAATAGTCACCAAACAATCACCTATCTCACAAGTAAAGAGCTTTAAACTGTCTTGGTTATCCATTGCATCAATATTGGAACAAAAAGAAAGTAAACTGGAGTTTCTGAGCATAAATCCTCAGCTCAGGAAACACGAATTACCGCTTCACATAACTTCAGAAAGACAGCTAGTGTTTTATAAATGAATAAAGGGGTAAGTTTCTAAAGAAATTGTGGTGCTGCGTCGTAATAATTTTAGTGTTAACAACTGAGTTGAAAACGTAAATTAACCACCGTAAAGGGTAAAAAAGCGGACGTTTCTAGCGTTAGCCCTTCGCCAGAGCGATTAATGTAATTATGGTTTGTGTGTGGGTTTATATGCAGAAAATGGAACTACGCCATTGATTGGAATATGGTGACGAGAAAACAGGAATAAATTAGTTGAATGAAAAGCGCTCGTTGATTCCGTGGGGATTAAGAGTGCCGATTTGGAAGATAAATTTTTGTTCTAGAGTTTTACGGCTTTCCGAACTGCCTAGATTTAAGGAAAGGCCGCAGACTGCTATATGCCGTTTGGAATGATTAGGAAGATTAAAGTCTTTAGCGACTTGGTTTGGATGCGTCCTTGTCATTTCTTTCCACGTCGCGAAGGTGTTCTCGGATTCTCGGATTCTCCCTTCGCGACTAATTTAATTCGTTAATTAAATTAATTAATTCGACTAATTTGTTCCTGTTTTCTCGTCACCATATTCCCACCGATGGCGTAGTTCCACTTCTTGCACATAAACCCACGCACAACCCACAATTCCTCCAATCGCTCTGACGAAGGGCTAACGCTCGAAACGTCAGCTTTTTTACCCTTTACGGTGGCTAACTTACGTTTTAAACTCAGTTGTTGACACTAAATTACTTGCTAGTGTTTTACCAAGTCTAGAAAGGTTAAATAAGGTCAATAAAGGTCAACAAGGTCAATAAATCGAGAAAAGTAAATAATATATAAAATGATTAAAAAAATTACGAGGAAAAGTTTTTCCCTGCGTACTTTGCTCCTTTTGTTGCGTATGCGATCCAAAACCAAAAGGTGAACAATGATATGGATACCTTTTCTCCACACTGATTTGGTATTTGCTGAAAAAGATGACGGATGCCGCCACATTGTTTGGAATCAACCAGAACAAGACAGAGTCATGCAAGGACACGAAATCAGGAGTGTGGAGGTTCCTCATGAGGGAAGCTGTAGAGTGATTTGTTTTCTGGAGCCCAACTGTGTGTCCATTAATGTTCGACCTACTACTCGAGGAGGGAATTACATTTGTGAGTTGAACAATGCTACGGGAGGAAATGAAAGCTCGTCTGTCCTACAAAGTAAAGAGGGTCATATCTACGTTGCTATGGAGGTACTTCGGACTGATTTCATATGGCCAAGAAAATTATTTAAGGCGATCCTTTTTAGTCGTGACGTAACCACAGTGTAGACAAAAAGTTAAGAAAGCCTATGAGGTGATTTCTACAGAATAATCAATCGCTGATCAATCAGGCGATTCAACAGCTTATCTATTAGACGATCAATATTGCACATTGCTGCATATTGGAGGATTGATTAGTTGTAAGTAAATGGTCCAGATATAACGCACTGTTACAGTAGCTTTAAAATAAAGAAATGGACGATTATACGAAGTACGCATAGCTATTTACAAGACACAATCCATTTTTTTCCTAACAGAATCCTTGCAGCAGCAGTCCCTGTTACAACGATGGCACTTGTCAAGCTGGATACACCGATAAAGGATTTCGTTGCAAATGTCCTACTGGATTCACTGGCGCATTTTGCAAAGAAGGTAAACCAAAAAAAAAAAATAGATGGCTTGGTGGGAAGTATACGTTAGATAATTGCTTCTATTTTGTCTCAGCCTGCAGTTTTAACTTTGAAGACGGCATCGGTGGGTGGGTGAAGTCAGGCACAGCTTTTGATAACCAACCAACATTTGGTGACAATCCAAAGGAACGCAAAAGAGAAAGCGCCAGACAACAGGGGAATTGGTGGATAGGGGGAGCTGAACTTCGACCAAAGGAAAGCGCACCTCCTGGAAAACAACCACCGGATGCGGATTTACCCCAAGGCACTCTAACTTCCCCCTGCTTTCAGATCGTTGGCCATAACATCTCGTTTCTTATTGGTGGGGGCTGCGAGCTAAATGAAATCCGCGCGGAACTTATTGTTAAAAACAAGGTAAGACTCTGATTGCGTTATGTGTTGCAATATTTCCCTTCCTGTCTTTTTTATTCGGCAGCAATGATGCAAAGTTAGTATACAACTATAGTACGAAGGCACGAACCATGTCGATGACGATGACGATGACGATGACGATGATGATATTAACAAAAAAAAACAATAAGTTAAAAGATAATTTTGAAAACAATAGAAAAAATGGAGTAAAGGTTTTGTTTTTCTGTTGCCTGTTCTTACAAATATAATGGTATCTGTTAAAAGAGGCAAAAGAGTACTAAGCCACTTAATCCAGAGACTCCTAAGAGACCATAACTTTATTCTGTCGCTAACGTCTTAAACCTTTTTCAATCGTTGGTTGTTAGGTTGTCAGAAATAAGACGGGAAACTGTTCGGAGACGATGTACCGTAAGAGCTGGGACGTTGAGGAGTTCATTGGTCAATACGCTCAAGTCAGATTAGTTGACGAGAGATCAGCTAACTGGGCTCACATTAACTTTGATGACCTCAAAGGGGATGTCATTTGTCCACCTGTCTGACAAATGTTTGATCGAAAAGATTTAAGAAGACAAGGCGGAATAATAAAAATGTGAAATAAAAAATAATTTACTTATTATCGAGACCATTTGCTTGGTAGCGGGTTTTTTTTTACTTTTAGTCATGCAATCATGTTATTATGTATTAATCTGTAAACCTTTAGAAAATTATATGAGAATTCCTCTACACCTGTTTTTGATAGAATCTGTTTTGTGAGTACCAAACTCTGGTCCTATCAAGAATCTCGTTCTGTTTTATAGACATTTTATTTTGCCTTGGAGAAAGACACCCGGATGAAGGCCCATCAAAATATTTAAAAAATGCGGATTTGTCTTCCTTTTACAAGTTTTTGCAAGCATATCTGTTATCAATTTCCAGTTTTAAACTTCAGGGTAATTTGGTATTATCAACTGAGTTGATAACATAAATTGGCGACCGTAAAGTGTTTGAAAGGCTGACGTTCCGAGCGTTAGCCCTTCTTCAGGGCGATGGTTAGCTTGTTAGATTGTTAGATTATTCGCCAACAATTAAGGTTCACTCCGTTTTCAGCAAACGCAATTTCGCGAGCAAGCTCTCATTTCATTTCAAAAGTAGTTCATTTACATTGGATACCTTGAAGACATACGGATTCGTCTAATTTAGCTCGTCTTCTGCCGATCGACGTTAACTTTCAAGTCCATTTTGGAGTGCGGAGTTGCGGACTTGGTAAAGCGATAAATTAGGAAATTGTTCCTCAGATAACAGAAGACATTTAATTGTGAAGAGGTGTTTTCTAACGGCTTTATTGAACCATGAATATTGGTTATGGTTCTATAAAACCAATACAATAAGGAGTGTCTTGCGCTAGATTATACAAACATCTATGCAAATTAATATGCTTGATGAGGGAGGGTTGAAAATAACAATGAGGGTGTATATGCTCATAATGCTTATCAATATGGCTCGTTGAAGCAGAGAACATTAGTCGCTTCCGTAATCAGAAGAGTGACGTTTAATTTACATACAGACTAATCTCACAGTAAACGAAATGTGGCCTCACGTAAAACGCTGCGAGACACATACCCCTCACTAATTTTCCGTTTATGGACTTGACAAGTTCGTGATTATGAATAACTTAACTTCCAACGTTTTGTCATCAAAGTGACTTCATGTTGCGTCATTAATTAGATACTTTAGTATTTTACAGAATTTCGTTAAAAAATAAGCCTGTGCCAAAATTGTCATTGAAATAAAACGTTCCTGTTGAATAGTAGGCAATCTTCGCCATTCAGTTGCATTGAAATAGAAGCTTACTCTTTAATTTTATTAATTAATAACCGGACGTATTCAGCTTTGTTGTGTGTCATCATGCCAAATGATTATATGTTTTGTTAAAATGATTCCGTATTGCCAGACACAGTTGTAGATGAGTTTGATATCCTACCTCTCATGCTGTAAAGATGATAGAAAATAGCGCTCTCGGATTCTAAAGACGTCGAATAACGGTTTGCTTGAATGGAACTATTCTGAAGGCAATAAAAGTGTTTTACTCCGTGCATTCGTGTGATTGGCTGAATAGTTCATGAATGGTCCCCGCTGGCGTCTTTTATTACCCGCATCATACGTAATCCACAACCGTTAAAGTAGCACCTGTCTTAGCCATTAACGACAGCTCGAACATCTTCTTAAAAACATTTTGTTGAACAAAACAACTGGAGTCTCTTCAAGTTTTGCCAACATGTACGAAAAAGCATTTAAATCCGCAACAATTTTCCGCCTTTAGCTGGGCAGACAGACTGGCTGTTGTTAAATTGATGTAAACTGTTATTTCAATGCGTGACTGGAAATTTTTTATTCTAGAACACAAGCGAACGGTGGAAACGTGCAGGCTGAGTATGGAAGCTTCCGTTTTACTTTTAAGCTTTCTCTTTCATAGCGGTATGATTATTCCGTTATCCTCTGGATGTTTCGCAGGTAAGTCGACAAAGTTTTTGAATTTGTTTTGCTGATATTCGTTTAGTTTATTCCATAGTCTGAATACCTCCTCTAAAATACAACTTTATTTTAATTTGCAAAGGATGGCCGGCTATGTCTAGTCACAGGAGAGTTCTATCAAGATGATGGTCGATTAGAATTTCTTAAAAAATACCCATTTGCGCCGCGGTTGGCGAAATCTGACGCAATGATCAAATTTCTAATAGTACTTCATTTACAATGGGATCGATTTTCAAAGAGTTGTAAATTATTTGCTTTCCTCTCTGACGGGAAACTTGTCTCTGGTTCTTACAACTTGCTTCTGTTTACGTTCAAAATCTTACAGAGATACCCGTTGAGGCAAAATCTTTCTTAAGTGAAAACTGAGAAGACCTTTCTATCTCCTAAGATACCGTAGCAGAGATAACTGTCACAGTACAAAAATAAAAAACAAACAAAAAAAAAGAAAAGCACAGAAGACCATGATCCAGCGTCTCACGAGGCAAATTAACTTTTTGGGATATTTTCCTGCCATTGAAACTTCTTTCTCCAAACCAGGAAAGTAAATTAACTTCATCATTTCATCCTGTTTTGTTCTTTGAATACTAAACAGGTGAAGAATGTCGATCCATTGTTTTCAAAGAACCAATACAGGACAAAGTCATAGAGAGGCACTTAATCAGACTTGTAAAGGTACCCCACCAAGAGAGCTGCAATGCGCTGTGCTATATGGAGTCCAATTGTGTGTCCATAAATTTGGGGCCCTTGCAAGGGGGGAACTACATTTGTGAGTTAAACAATGCATCGGACGAAAGTCCAGGCTCATCCATCCTTCAGAGAAAACAAGATTATAGCCATTTAAGCATCGAGGTAAAGTGACTTATTTCAAACGGCGGACGATTGTTGTAATTTTGTCGGATTACTTCTTAAGCTGGCCTTGCAATCCTTGTATTAAATTAAGGTGATCCATTAGTATCGCACGGCCCATCACGAGAAACCTCATAGACCCGATTTCGTATGAGATCAAGAGATTATTCCAAAGGTTATAAATTACATTGTTATATACCTAGACTTTCACTCAACAAAACGAGCACTGTGATTGGTTGATTCTTGGTCACGTGCCCCCGATCACATTCTACGTATCCCGACCAGGATACAATTGCGCAGTTGCCCGCACGCCGAATAGAAGAACATGTTTTTGCCATATGATTATTTAAGGGAAAGTCTAAATATATAACAAAGCACTTAGTGTATGGTCACTCGGGAAACTAGTTAGTTTTGTTTTCCTTCGAGTCCTGATGTTTCCCCCTTCGTCTCGGGAAACATCAGGCCTCCCAGGAAAACAAAAATAAATGTTTCCCTCGGGACCATACATTAAGTATATATTGTTCATACTCTCTACCTATCGCTCAAGTGTTTCTTTCTAAACGTTCGTTTAAAAACTACCGCAAAATGTACCGTGAACCGATAGTGCCAATACGGAAATGAATGAGGTAAGATTGGCCCATCACATCTCTTTGGTGACCTTTCCTTTGCCTGGTAGTTCTCGAAACAGAGGATGGTAATGAACACTTAAGGAAAATTAGGAATTACCTCAACAAAGTAAAATACCAAAGCTAAGGTACGCTAGTGGTGTTATCTGTACAGTGTTAAAAACAGAAAAGAAAGAATGGCTAAAAAGAATGGTAGCCATTCTCAATAAATCAACCACTACTTGACCAACAAAATATCCAGTAAATCAATTCAGATCGATTTTCTGGTTTAATGATCAACAAGTGTAACTGATTCTGGTCTTCATTTGATCAAAAAGCCTGAAGAAGTTATCGCTCTAGCAAGACCGTGCTCCTTGAGAATAAATAATAACTAACCATAGATATTTATAATACGCAGTCATTTTGTCTTGAACAGAATCCATGCAGCAGCAGTCCCTGTTTCAACAATGGAACTTGTCAAGCTGGATACACCGATAAAGGATTTCGTTGCAAATGTCCTTCAGGGTTCACTGGCACATACTGCGATAAAAGTAATTCAATACAAAACTGTAAAGTTGACTCAATACCGAATGTAACCATAGGGTATTCTGGGGGATAAAATTTTTTTTCTTTCTTTCTTTCTTTTTTTTTTTTTTAATTGTAGCCTGTAGCTTTGACTTTGAAGATGGAATCGGTGGATGGGAAAGGACAGGCACAGCTTTCATTTACCAACCAACATTTGGTGACAACCCAGCAGCACGCAAAAGAGAAAGCGCCCAGCAACAAGGGGACTGGTGGATAGGGGGGGCTGAGAATCGACCCAGCGAAAACGATCCAGCAGGACGGCAGTACTCAAATGATCCCGACGCACCCCTAGGAACTCTCATTTCTCCTTGTTTCCGTATCGTTGGCAGAGATATCTCTTTTCTTATTGGTGGAGGATGTACCATAAATGATATTCGTGCGGAGCTTATTGTCGACAACCAGGTGAGATTATTTACTTTGACCTTCATCTTTCATTTGATTCTTTAGAAACAGCTTGAGTAGATTTATCAAAGTATCAGAGATTTGGTATTTCAAAATTGCGAAACCATTTTGATTTCGTGATGTCCATGAGATTCGTTTAGGTTTACAATGAGCTATTTACAAGAAAAAAAATTTAAGTAAGAAAATGAAAAGCCAAACGTTTTCGACATTAGATCATCATCAAGATAGATGCTGGTGTCCCTGAAAATGATAATGTCGAAAACGTTCGGTTTTTACTTTTCAAATACATTTTTGCCCTATAAATAGCTGATTTTGAGTTTCCTCGAGAGAACTTCCACGAAGGAAACAACCTTGTCTTTGGTTTACACAACATTGAAACGACTTTATTTTTTCCGAAGTGCAGAACATTGCAATCATCGTATTCAATGCCGTAATGTCTTTATTTCAATAGAAAGAGGTTGCTCGTCATTTGAATTAAAGTATGATACAGTCATGATAGATATGTCAGCATTCATCAAAACCAGGGTTTAAAACTGTTTGATATGTTTGTTATTACATGTAGGTTGTCAGGAATGAGACGGGCAACTGTAGAGAGACAATGTACCGTAAGAGCTGGGATGTAAAAGAATTCATTGGTCAATACGCCCAAGTCAGACTAGTTGATGAGAGGGATTGTTGTTGGGGTCACATTAATTTTGATGACCTTAAAGGAGATATCATTTGTCCTCACTATTTAGATAAAGACAACTGAAGGGAAAGTAAGGGCACAAAGGATAAGCGTTCATCAGTTTTTTACAGATAGTCACCTATAGTTCTTTTGCATAGCACTTGCTTTGTGTTAGCATAGATAGGCAATCTCACTCTGTCTATAGGAACAGTAGAATAGTATTATGAAACAATTTTATGCGCGTGGCAGAATATGTTATACATATCATCCCCTTATTATATTCTATCACCGCGACATTTTTAAAAATGAAAGTCTTTTGTAGTAGATGCTAGCAATCATATCATCTTAGAATGCTTCTTTTTTGTTGAAATTTCTGTTGAAGGCATGAACACTCAATGTATTTACTTTGAAAAGTCCATGGCTTTAAAAACTCCCGGTAGATTTTGTTCAGGATTACGGATTGAAGTCATTTTCGAGTAAGCCTCCAAAACAGGTTCCAAAATAGCTCAATAGTTTTCCCTCAAGACCAGTATCGAAGTTACAGATATCGTGTTATTGAAACAGCCTAGGTAGACTGATCAACCTAACGTATCTGAGATTTGGTTTTTCAAAATCGTATTTTTGAATTGCAATACATTGCAATCAGCACACGCGGTGCCATATTAGAATTGATTGCGACACAAAAAATTCCTTTCAATACAGTCATGTTACCTACGTCAGCAGTGATCGAAACAAGGGTATAAAAGTTTTTTTTATTATTACATTAAGGTTGTCAGAAATGAGACAGGTAACTGTTCAGAGAGTATGTACCGTAAGAGCAGCAACGTAGAAGAGTTAATTGGTCAACACGCCCAAGTCAGACTAGTTTATAAGAGGTCTGTTAGTTGGGGTTACATTAACTTTGATGGCCTTAAAGGAGATATCATTTGTCTTCGCTAGCTGAGGCAGAAGTAAGGGCAAAAAGAATTAGCGGCTGTTGAAACTAACTTACCCTTCAAGTCAGGGTTTTGCAAATAGTCACCTCGGAAGTAGGTTACAACAGCTTTTGACGTTGTATAGTACTTGCTTTGTGCCAGCATTGAGACAATTTTATGTGCGAATGTAACAATCATGTCTTGGTTTACCGCGACAATAAGAAGTCTCTTGCTCTAAATGCTCGCAGCATATCGTTTTAAAACTCACCTTTTTTCGATGTGCAGAAATTCTGTGGTAAGTCCTCAAGGACACTGGATATCCATTGCTGTAAAAAACTCCTAGTAGATTCTATTTAGGGCTACAGAGGTCAAAATAGGTTACAATATAGTGCAATAGTTCCCCATATCATGTGAAGGCCAGTATTAAAGCCGCAAAGGTCATGTTTATGTAGTGTGTAATGGGTGGTATTTCACGTTATAAAATTTTCAGAGAAATGCGCGAGCCGTGATTTCCATAGAGCACGCGCCTTGCGTCACACGAGTGCACTGTTGAGATACAATGCACGCAGCCTACGTCATCGGTACGAGCACGCAATTCACGATACATTTTATAAAAGATATAAAAAACTTGTTCCTGGAGCATTGTTGAGTTATATAAGCACTTGAAAAATTTTTAAGAACACTCGAGAAGTACTAGAGGCTATCGCTTTCGGCTTGTGCTTCCCCATACTTCTCTTGTCTTCTTAAAAATTCCCGCGTGCTTATATAACCCAACAATGTACTCAGTGCGTTTTTTATTTCTTTGTTAAAAAACGAGGTTTCTCCTTTGCTCTTAGTCTTGGAAACCTGGCAAAAATTTTTTATCAGGCCATTTTAATTTCTTACACTGTGCTACTTGAACGTCTTTTCTGTTGTGCTCAGTTCAACCAATAAATTGTTGAACAGCTGTAAGTTTATGGCGACTAGAGGTCCCTTCCTTGTAAGCAGAGATCTTTGATCAAAGTTGCCAAATTGTAAATACTACGGTTCTAAATGTTTTCATGGGACGAGAGCCTACTTCCAGTTTTAATATATTACGTTATGTGACTTTAAAATAGGGACCTTAAGCAAACCACAACGGCGACGGCAACAAGGACATAGGAAAACAAAAGGTCTAGTTGGCAGAACAATAGCTCAACACGTGCGTTTTAAACTTTGTACATTTCTTAGCCGTCCCAGGTAAAACAACAACGTGAAATCACCACAATTTGCGTCGTCTGCGAACCGAAACCGCGATGGCAAATTATTTTAATTTCCATTTGGAACTCAGTGCTTATTTTATAGGTTATGCTGAAGTTGAGGGTATGGCGCCGTATGAGATGGTAAACAAATGCAGCCATTTTTGAAATTCTAATTAAAAGCAGAAATTAATTTTTTAAACGAAGTCTTCCTTGGCGTTGCCGTCCTGACTGCTTACGGTCCCTATTAGATAAGCTACGCCGTAGCAAATTGTAGAAACTGATCACTTACCCACTGAAAATCTATCAGCACTTTATTATTCATTAGCTTTAAAAAACTTCAAAGCAAATAGATTTAATTTTGTCTTTTTTGTGTAAGCATAATTTTAGAATGTGTACATCACAGTTTGGTCCGTCAGTTTTAACCATGGAAACATATAATTGAAATTTTCATTTTAAATCTTATTCAGGAATATTTACTTGGAACGTGCGTGCAGAGTGTGCTATGAGTGAGGCAAAGGTTGATTTGAATACAGAAACTTTATTCTTAATAAAAATACACATCAAAACATCGACACTTTGGACTTGTATTCTTCTGTTTCATAAGGTCGTCCCTTTACAATGACTCATCTTTCCGAACCTTATTCTATTGATCACTTTGCTTCGGAATTGAAAAAATGTAATAAAACGATGGGTGAATCAAACGGTGTCCTCGTGACTTGGACCATGTAAAGACCTTTTTCAGCGTCTGTTCTTTTATGACGTCTTAAACGAAGAAAGACCCGCTAGTCACTATGAGATAAGGTCATTCTGCCACGTGAGTAATAAGATACAGGAAAAAAAATTACGCGCTTCTGATTGGCTGAAAACAAGTCCATTTTTTGATGTAAAACGTGAACAACGTTGTAAAACGAGTGCAAATTACAAACTGTGCCTTCACTGTCAAAATTTCGTCTGCTTGGTTTTCTGTGATGCTTTTTTCAAGGGAATAATTACCAAGTTATAGCAAAACTTTTCGTTCAATTTGGTGAAAATAAGCAAAGCTTTTAAATTGCACCCACCCTCCCGGCCTCTGCAATTATGTTGTCCTAGTAAAATTTATTGGTGCTTATTAACACAGAACTGCACTCGAAATTATGTTATTGGTTAAATTGGAAACGAGGACAAAGACGATTCTCTCTACTTCCTGTAATACGAAATTGGCTCTCAGTTTAACTTCAACTTTTCTTTTGTGCCAAATTTTTGCTCCAGTTGTCCTTCGTCAATCAGCACGTCCATGTTGGGAACGGTGAGTTTTGGTTTCTTGTTATTCTACCGCAGTTGGAGCTCGATCTCCCGAGGAGAGACCACATATCTGACGTCGTTTCGATCAAACAAAGCATTCGGAGTCAGACTGTACTAAAACATAATTAAAAACTATTACTCAAGTCTGTCGGTGTATTATTTATATTTATAAAATGATTCAAATAGTACGCGCGCTCTGATTGGCCATAAAACCATTTTACATGAGCGTATGTAAACACGGTTTTCGTTTCTCTTTCATTAGTTATTTTTTAAAA